CGGCTGGTTGCATGTCTGTCCTTCTGGTGAGAGCATCGGGTTCACCACCTTTGTCTCCTGGTCGATACTGCAATATGAAGTCGAAGTCTGCTAGTAGTATTGCCCATCGAGCTTGTCGACCTGTGATGCGTCTCTGTGACTTGAAGTACTTGAGGGCTTCATGGTCAGTGAGGATGACCAGTTGGTTCGGTAGTCCAGCTAGCATGTGTCGCCACTGAGTGAGGCAGGCGACCACAGCTAGGAGCTCCTTGTCATGGATCTCATAGTTCTTCTCGGCAGAAGACATCTTCCTAGAGTAGAAGGCCACTGGATGCCATCGTCCTTCATGCTCCTGCTTGAGTACTCCTGCTATAGCAAAGTCACTTGCATCAGTCTCCAACCTTGTTGGAAGGTGGTAGTCGAAGTGCTGAAGCACTCCTGCTGATGTGAAGGCCTGGATGAGCTTGTGGAAGGCCTGTTGGGCCTCCTCTGGTAGCTCGAACTTCTTGAACCGTTCTATAGGCTTTACCAGTGCTGTCAAGGGCTTGGCTATGCGAGCAAAGTGGGCTATGAACCTTCGATAGAAGTTGGCAAAACCCAGGAACCTCTGGATGTCATGGATTGACTCCGGCATTGGCCACTCCTTGACAGTGCGCACCTTTTCTGGGTCCATCTCTATGCCTGTTGGCTTGATGATGTACCCCAGGAACTCAACTGTCTTGGTGTGGAACTCACACTTTGACAGCTTAGCAAAGAGCCTGTTGCTCCTTAAGCGAGTAAGGACCTCAGTGACATGCTTCACATGTGCTTCTTCAGTGTCACTGAAGATCAGGAAGTCATCTAGGTATACTACCACATATATCCCAATGATGTCTCGGAAGATGTCATTGATGAATGACTGGAAGTGAGCCGGAGCATTGGCTAGGCCAAAGGGCATCACTAGGTACTCATAGAGTCCCAACTGAGTGCCAAAAGCTGTCTTCCATTCATCTCCTTTAGCAATCCGGATGAGGTTGTATGCTGCTCTAAGGTCTAGCTTGGTATAGATCCTTGCCTTCCTGAGTAAGAACAGCTGCTCCTCGATGAGGGGCAATGGTGCCCTGTTCTTGACAGTGATCTCGTTGAGACCTCTGTAGTCCACACAGAGTCTGAGACCTCCATCCTTCTTTGGTACGAAGAGCACCGGTGATCGTGCCGGGCTCTTCGATGGTCTTATGAACCCCTTCTCGAGGTTCTCATCCAAGTACCTCCTCAACTCGGACATCTCCTTGGGTCCCTTAAGGTATAGGGGCCCTTGAGGTGGCTTCCCTCCTTCTATTAACTCGAGGTGGAGATCATGCTCGGTATGATGGGGCAGCTTGTCTGCTTCCACCTCATCAAACACATCTTGCAGGTGTTGGTATGGCTTTGGTATGTCTGCAGCCGTCACCACCTTATCTACCTCCACCTCCATCTCGACTCCTTTGTCTGCGCCTGTAGGTACAAAACCAAAGGCCGGGAGTGATGATGGTGGCTCCTCTAACAGCATGAACCCTATGGGTCCATCTTCCAGAGCTGCTCGTAGTATGCGCTCTGCTGAGACAAACTCGTTACCATGAAGGGTTGGTCTCCTCATGGTTAGGTCCCCTGCTCTTGCTGCTTCAGGGGGTCTCCTAGGGGGTCGGTCCTGCTCCTGAGTCTTGAACTCCAGCTGGCCCGTATCCCATTGTATGGTGGGTTTGAGCCTCCGTAGCTCAGTGAACCCCAGGATGAGGTCATAGTCCGCAGTGTCGGCCACTGAAGCTTCGACCACACCCAGATTGTGTGTACCAATAGATACCTGCATGCTCGCAGAACTATTGATGGAGAGTTGGTGCCCGGTGACACCATGGATCGATCTTGTTTTTATGGGTTTTGTGGGTATTTGGTACTTACTAATGAAAGAATCTGAGACTATGGACAAACCAGCACCGGTATCAGCTAGTATCCGAGCAGGATGGTCTTGAACCATTCCAGAGAGCTCCAGTACTGCTTTGCCTCCACTGGTAGAGAAACATACTTGACAATCTTGATATATACAGAGTGATGGCGAGGAGGTTTGTAGAGCAATGCATGCCATCAGTGCATCACCCCACTGACGTTTCCCTCGTCATCATCATCATTGTGCTCCTCCTCGTGATCGGGGTCCATGGGTTGCTGGTATGAGCTGAGGTCCATGGCCTCGGGGTCACCCGTCTCAGTGCTGCCTGTGTGGCCATCTCCTGAGTCGGTGGCCTCCTCGAAGGGGTCTGCTATGGTGACCATAACCTTTGGTCCCATGGGTCGAGAGCTAAGAGGGTCTACCCTCCTGCTGGGGCAGTCTCTGGCCCAATGGCCAATACCTTTGCATACATGACAGGTGTTGATACCTGATGGAGCAGGGCTTCCTTGCTTCGAGGGTTGGGTGGGATGATGAGGAAGGGGTCGGTTTAGGTTTTGTATAGTTGCTTGTGTAGTTGCTTGTGATGGTGATCGAGCTGGATAAGTTTGAGTGGGTTGTCGGATGGGGATCGAACTTTGATTTGGCCGAGACCCAGTTCTTAGTGGAGGTGATGTGGCATTTGGGAGTGAGTGTCTAGCCGAGGACTGCTGTAGTAGCATCCTCTGTCGATTGATCTCCTCAACCTCTCGATACCACTCCCATCTCTTCCCAGGTGGATTCCTCTCGAACTTCTCCTGTATGCTGCGAGTGAGACTACCTCTGAAGAGATCAATCACTAGCTCGTTGTCATCTAGGTTGACCTGTCCTTCCAAGTCTCTGAACCGCTCTACATGACGTGTGGCGGCACCAGGAGTATCACTTGTGAGTCTGAGAGCCAACAGCTTGTTGTATGCCTCCATCCTAGCATTGCGTGGGTTGAACTGCTCTGACAGTCGCTCTGTGAAGTAGTGCCAATCATTGAACAACCTTCCTTCTCTAGCTCTATCAATACGGAGCTTGGAGGTCCACCACTCTCTTGCTGTCCCTTCCAGTTGAGCACCCATGTGATTGATCATCCTAGACTGCTCATACACCTGGTTGAACTTAAACCATGCTTCGGCTTCTAGAATGAAGATCTCCATGTCTCGGGGATTGAACTTTGGAAAGGGGGTGGCAATGGGCTTTGACCGGTTAAGCTCTGCCATGATGCTGGTATCCTCCTCGTGGTCCAGGGGGTAAGGGTCCGTCCTAGTCCTGCTGTAGGGGTCCAGCTTAGTCTTGACATATCTTGGCCCAGTAGGTGAAGCATACTTCTCGTAGTTGATGTCCTCCTGCTCATCCAGGTTGAATGAGACTGTTCGTCTTGGTCGTGGAGCCGGAGTAGGAGTATGTGGGTCTCCTATCATAGACTCATCTCCTCCTCCTGCTTGGTCTTCTGAGTGAGAGAGGTCCATTGTCTCCTCCCTGCTCAGTTGAGCTCGTTGTAATCGTTCCTCTCGATGACCCTGTCTGGTAAGCTCTAGCTGTGCTTCCAATAGAGTGAGTAGTCTATCGAGCTTATTGTTGAGGTCTGGGTCCGTCATGGTGATCGTGAGGAGCTGCTTGAACGATCCACTCTAATGTCAGGGGTCTAGCGCCTGAAACCCAGGTCGGTCTGTCGAGATACTCGGTGACTATCAAACTGTGTGACAGCTATTGTCTCGGTATCGGTGACTATCAAGTTGTGCAGTGACAGCAGGTGGCGTTCGTTGTATATACTATCGTAGGTTTCGGCTGACCTCTGTGGACACTCCGTTCAGGGGTAGCTCGGCACGATCAATATCAATGTTATGATGACACCAAGGTCTGGTGTGAGTGTTGATGATGATGAGGTTGATGGTGTTGGTGATGAGATTGGTGATGTCGATGATAATGAGGTTGATGGTGTTGGTGATGAGATTGGTGATGTCGATGATAATGAGGTTGATGGTGTTGGTGATAAGGTTGGTGGCGTCAACACGAGTGTCCAGTGTGTTGACTTGATGCTTGAAGTGATCCCCGGACCGCAGTGGACTACTGCCTTCGGTTCTATCTATATCCGGACCGCTAACCTGCTATGGGCGCCTTCGGACGTCAGGTAGTGGTGATACAACACACACACTACGATGAGGAGCAACCTTGATAGATTGCTGCTATGCTGACTGTAACTAATGAGTACTTGTGTTTCTAAAGTATTGACTAGTTGTATGGTGAGTAGAGTGGATGAGGATCCACTTGACCTATGATGATGAGAAAGCATGGTTATATACCTCTTCTCAGCATCGCCAGCGATGCTGCTCCTGCTCTCTCTCCATAGAGTACCTTCTTCATCGAGTACTGCTCAGGGGCCTCTCCTGCTTGGCACCCCTGTGCCTCTTGGTCGACACAGCTCCTCCTCCTCATGACCTGGTGTCGACTCCTTCGACACTGCTCCTCCTCCTCATGACCTGGTGTCGACTCCTTCGACACTGCTCCTCCTCCTTTGATCAGAGACAGTTCCTTTGGCTCTTGTCTCTCGAGCCCCTGAGTGGTAACCATCTGCATGCTCCTTGAGCTTGGTCCTCTTCGTGGCTGTGCCTGCTCCTTGAGCTTGGTCCTCCTCGTGGCTGTGCCTGCTCCTTGAGCTTGGTCCTCCTCGTGGCTGTGCTTGGCCCTCCTTTGCATGTGAGTCCATAGGAGTCCATGGTCTCCATGGAGACTGCACTACGACCATGCTCTCTACTGGTGTCGACTAGGTCTTCGATACCTGTGCTCCTTCCATATGAACCAGTGACCCTCCTGCTTCTTGAGCATCCAGGCCCATGACAGGTGTCATCTCAATGTATCTATTGGTTATTGATCATGCTGGGCTACCTCTGGACAGAGTGTCCCCAGTGGTCAGCTGAAACCTGCTGTCAGGGGTCTCGCGCCTGAAACCCAGGTCGGTCTGTCGAGATACTCGGTGACTATCAAGTTGTGCAGTGACAGCAGGTGGCGTTTGTTGTATATACTATCGTAGGTTTCGGCTGACCTCTGTGGACACTCCGTTCAGGGGTAGCTCGGCACGATCAATATCAATGTTATGATGACACCAAGGTCTGGTGTGCGTGTTGATGATGATGAGGTTGATGGTGCTGGTGATGAGATTGGTGATGTCAATGATAATGAGGTTGATGGTGTTGGTGATAAGGTTGGTGGCGTCGATGATAATGAGGTTGATGGTGTTGGTGATAAGGTTGGTGGCGTCAACACGAGTGTCCAGTGTGTTGACTTGATGCTTGAAGTGATCCCCGGACCGCAGTGGACTACTGCCTTCGGTTCTATCTATATCCGGACCGCTAACCTGCTATGGGCGCCTTCGGACGTCAGGTAGTGGTGATACAACACACACACTACGATGAGGAGCAACCTTGATAGATTGCTGCTATGCTGACTGAAACTAATGTATACTTATGCTGAAGTGATAACTAGTTATGGTGAGTAGAGTGGATGAGGATCCACTCGACCTATTGATGAGAAAGCATGGTTATATACCTCTTCTCAGCATCGCCAGCGATGCTGCTCCTGCTCTCTCTCCAGAGAGTACCTTCTTCATCGAGTACTGCTCAGGGGCCTCTCCTGCTTGGCACCCCTGTGCCTCTTGAGCTGTGTCGACTCCTTCGACACTGCTCCTCCTCCTCATGACCTGGTGTCGACTCCTTCGACACTGCTCCTCCTCCTTTGATCAGTGACAGTTCCTTTGGCTCTTGTCTCTCGAGCCCCTGAGTGGTAACCATCTGCATGCTCCTTGAGCTTGGTCCTCTTCGTGGCTGTGCCTGCTCCTTGAGCTTGGTCCTCCTCGTGGCTGTGCCTGCTCCTTGAGCTTGGTCCTCCTCGTGGCTGTGCTTGGCCCTCCTTTGCATGTGAGTCCATAGGAGTCCATGGTCTCCATGGAGACTGCACTACGACCATGCTCTCTACTGGTGTCGACTAGGTCTTCGATACCTGTGCTCCTTCCATATGAACCCATGACCCTCCTGCTTCTTGAGCATCCAGGCCCATGACACCTGCAATACTTTTTGAAGTTACAACATATCTGAGCAAGAACAGTCATAGAAGGCTTCTACAACAGATTTGAGCAGGAACAATATTAGGAGGCTTTTACACTAGATCTCGCCGAGATTAGTCGTAGTTGCCTTTTACCACAGATTTCGGGTTCCAGGCACGCAACTGCTGACACATATGAGTGGATCCTCATCCACTCTATCTACTACTTATTGCACTCTTTACTTTGTTTCTGTACCCTTGCAATTGCAGAGCATTGCAGGATATCTCAAGCACATGTGATGTATCACCCTTGGGACATTGTCTGAAGGCAGTGTTTCCACCAAGGTCCAGTCATCCTCCAAAGGCAGTGTTCTCCACCACAGTCTGGCTTGAAATCCATCTGTAGGCAATACCTTATTGCAGTCTGGACATCATTGCATTGTCAAGTGATTGACAAGCACTACAAATGCTTGTGTTTCTGCTGTTGTTGACATCACACTCCTATCATAATATAACAAGTTCATACTCAACATTGATGTGCCACATAGCCTCTGGACAGAGTGTTCAAGGCAGTTAGTCAAAACCTACTCTTATTCATCTTTACAACATACTTTGTGGAGATATAATGTAAAGAACTGTTCCTGCACTTTTCATTGAAATCTGTTGTATCAGACTTCTATAGCAGATTCAACATAAGGGAATATTATTGCATTTCTCACAGAAATCTGCCATACTAGATTTCTATAGCAATTTTCAGGTTTCAGGCATGTGACTGCTTACACGCAACACTTCTCATGCGGGTCCAGTTCTTCTGTGCATCTGGTCCTGTGACACGTCTCTTCGACATGTGTGAGACCATTTCCCCGTGTGGTAACCCCACACATGCTCCTGGGCTTGGTCCCCTTCCTTGCATGTGATCACCTCTGGTATGCCTCCTTTGCCACCAATGATGGCAACATCCTCCTCCAGCTGTCTGATCACTCCCATGTGATCATTTGACCCACTATGCATCAATGGGTCTTCTTGCAGTTTGTTTGTTGAAATCTACCATATGGGCTCGTTCTGATTGGTTTCACTGAAATTGATCAGAAACCTGCAACTTGACTGTTTTCACATTTTGTGCACACAACACACCCAATGTTTGTCTAGGGTCTTCTGCGCAGACCCTGTGACACTCTCCGCTCTCTATATATATACAGTAATGACACATACCCAAAGGTGGGAGATGTCATGGGACCGGATGCGCAGGAAGCAGGAAGAACAGCAGCCATATGAAGAGGAGCACAGGAATTGCAGGATCAGGCAAAGCAATGGTTTATGGCAGAGTTCATCAAGATCTGTAGTAGAAGCACTCTGTGACAGATTTCATCCAAATCAGTAAGAGCAGGACCTTACAGCAAAACCCACTGGAATCTGTGGTATCATGATTGTATGACAGATCTTAAGGGGAACACCAATTTCACAGATCTCGCAACAAGACAGATGTCAAAGGCATTGGGTTCACCACCCTGATGAAGCAGGGGCCCAACTTGATGATGAAAGCAGAGCAGGAGGTTAGACGAGATGAAAAGGGGGTGTGAGTTGCCACCCAGATGAAGTGGGAAAGGCCCCTATCAAGTAATGAAGCAGCATGAGGACTCTCCATTGGCAAGAAGCGAGAGAAGCAGTGCCAACAAGCAAAAAGGCAGGCAGGACTGCTAGGAGGGAATGTCAAGAGGAGGAGGAGCAGTGTAGGAGAAGAACACATAGGGTATGAGTGGTGTTGCTGGCAATATGGCAAGGACATCTATATAACACATCCTTGCTCCTCATCATAGTAGTTGAGTGGATCCCCATCCACTCTACACCATACATTACTAGCTATCACTTTAGAATAAGTATACTTAGTATTCTGTCAACAAGTTGCAATCACATATCCTTGCTTCTATTGTAGCACATGTGTTGTATCACTGCTCATTGACATCATCCGAAGGCAGTATTAACTGTGGTCCAGATATTGATCAACACCAAAGGTGGTTCATACTGTGTGTCAGGGGTCTCGCGCCTGAAACCCAGGTTGGTCTGTCGAGATACTCGGTGACTATCAAACTGTGCGACAGCTATTGTCTCGGTATCGGTGACTATCAAGTTGTGCAGTGACAGCAGGTGGCGTTCGTTGTATATACTATCATAGGTTTCGGCTGACCTCTGTGGACACTCCATTCAGGGGTAGCTCGGCACGATCAATATCAATGTTATGATGACACCAAGGTCTGGTGTGAGTGTTGATGATGATGAGGTTGATGGTGTGGGTGATGAGATTGGTGATGTCGATGTTAATGAGGTTGATGGTGTTGGTGATAAGGTTGGTGATGTCGATGATAATGAGGTTGATGGTGTTGGTGATAAGGTTGGTGGCGTCAACACGAGTGTCCAGTGTGTTGACTTGATGCTTGAAGTGATCCCTGGACCGCAGTGGACTACTGCCTTCGGTTCTATCTTGATCCGGACCACTAACCTGCTATGGGCGCCTTCGGACGTCAGGTAGTGGTGATACAACACACACACTACGATGAGGAGCAACCTTGATAGATTGCTGCTATGCTGACTGAAACTAATGTATACTTATGCTGAAGTGATAACTAGTTATATGGTGAGTAGAGTGGATGAGGATCCACTCGACCTATGATGATGAGAAAGCATGGTTATATACCTCTTCACAGCATCGCCAGCGATGCTGCTCCTGCTCTCTCTCCAGAGAGTACCTTCTTCATCGAGTACTGCTCAGGGGCCTCTCCTGCTTGGCACCCCTGTGCCTCTTGGTCGACACAGCTCCTCCTCCTCATGACCTGGTGTCAACTCCCTCGACACTGCTCCTCTTCCTCAGGACCTGCTTGCCAGTGTCCTAGGACTCTTGTCTCTCGAGCCCCTGAGTGGTAACCATCTGAGCTTGGTCCTCTTTGTGGCTGTGCCTGCTCCTTGAGCTTGGTCCTCCTCGTGGCTGTGCCTGCTCCTTGAGCTTGGTCCTCCTTGTGGCTGTGCCTGGTCCTCCTCGCATGTGGCTCGGTTCTCCTTTGCATGTGAGTCCATAGGAGTCCATGGTCTCCATGGAGACTGCACTACAACCATGCTCTCTACTGATCTCGACTAGATCTTTGATACCTGTGCTCCTTCCATATGAACCCATGACCCTCCTGCTTCTTGAGCATCCAGGCCCATGACACTGTGGTCTGGCTCTCTCAATCATTAGAATCAAAGGCAGTTGTCCACTGTGGTCCAGGGATCACTCAGTCAATCAGTCAGCACACTGGAAACTTGTGTCGGTGCCAGCAATATCATCAGCACCAGACCTTGGTGTCATTGCAACATACCTATAGTTATTGATTGTGCTGAGCTACCTCTGGATGGAGTGTCCACAGTGATTAGTTGAAACCTGCAATAACTTTCATGCTATCACATATTTGAGTGAGAAAAGTCATAGAAGGCTTCTATGACAGATTTCAGCAAGAATAATAATAAAGGCCTTTTACCACAGATCTTGATAGGATCAGTAGTAGTTGTCTTTCTACTACAGATATCAGGTTTCGGGCATGCGACCTCTGACAGGAGTATCCCTCTCAATGATGAAGTGCGACAACGAGCAGGACCAAGCGGTACTTACTCTCTTACTGTATCGGCTCTGCCCGATCTCTTCCATATCGGCTCATATCCCTGTCAGTATCTCACTAGGGGGTTTCAATTTTTATTTATTTATTTTCGAAAACTCAAGTTTTTTTTTGAGTTTTAAATTGCATTGAATATTTATTACTTACGTAAGCTCTGCCATTTTGACAAATACTCTAGTTTTTGAAAACACTGCTTCAGCAATACTCATGTGGCAGTGTTTGCAGAATTGGACCTGAGTTTTCACTCATGTAATGTTGCATGTGATGTTGCATGTGATCTGCTTGTGCAAATGCCTCCACTTTTCTGCACAGCTTGTTTTGCATGAACCCACAGTGTCAAAAATGACTGTATCTACTTTGATTGTGCAACAAGAGTTTCAAAGATGGTGGAGCTACAAGGTGGTTTGGATTCTGGAACTGCTTCATTTTCTGGCCAACACTTCATGTTCCAGCTGACACTACCCTAACTCTTGGTTGGCTTTGCAAATTAACCCTCTAAAAACACAGCTTACATTTGGGGGCATCAATTTCCTGAGCTTTTTTGAGTATTGGAATACTCTAGTCTTCGAGGGCAAAAAAATTATTGAAACCCCCTACTGGAATGTGTTCTTCAGCACGCAGATGCAGGGTATTGACTACCATGATACATACTCGTCAGTAGTGAGTATGACTTGTCTTCAACTCATCATTTGTTACGGCCTGAAGTTCAACTTCCGCATCCGGAAAATCGACTTTGTTGTGGCATACCTCAATGGTGAACTCACGGATGTCGATATATACATGGCACTGCTGCCGGGTTTCGAGGATCGATACAGACAGTCACCGCGATCAGCCTGTCATCTCAAGAAGGCGCTCTACGGACCCAAGCAATCCGGCCCCGAATGGTTCGCAAAGAACGAGAAGTCATGCCTGCGGCGAAAAGAGTTTGCACCGTCGGGCAGCCATGCTTTTACCGTACCCCTAACCTCACGGACCGCAGCGGGCACACATGGCAGCACGCCAAGAATTTGTTCATCCCAAATCTCCAGCTACTGCAACTAGTGGGCAGCTGCGAGAAGTCAAAGCCCTCTGGGGCTGAACAGAAAGGGGGGGATGTTGTTGGAAGTTTGAGAAAGGGGAGAGGGAAAAGGGAGGATATGCAGATTTCGAGCTCCGGCTACCTTGTGGTTTTCTGTAAAGATTATTCCGAGCACACTTGTTTTTCTTGTGGTCGATCGATGTTTTTGTATTGGATCCTTTGCGTTTGTATCAACCCCCATCACTCTTTGTCGGATGGTAGCTATACTCCTACAACGCTATTTGAAATGGAAAGGGAGGCTTTGTAGAGAGAGAAGCGTCCCAGGTTCTAGCCTGCTGCGGCTTCATTTGCTGTCAAAGTTGTCGGGTTCTGTTGCCCACCCAGGAGCAGCTAAGACAGCTGATGAGATGCCGACATAGCTCACTACTAGGCGTAATCAACGGCGTTACAAGTACTAGTCCTGAGCTCTACATGTGATGTGACCCCCGTAGCAAGAGCCAGCTTGGTTGAGCCTCTTCCTTGGCCGGCTTCGTCCTTCGACAGCGAATCAAGGGACACAGAACGGTCTTGTGGATTTATGGAAACAGGGATGAGTTATGAGCTGGAGCGGCTGAAAGCTCAAGGGGAAAAGCGAAGGTAGCCTCTTTGTTCGTGCTTGAATTCAGGTGAGAAAGGGGAAGAGACTACGTTTGTACGAGGGTTTGTGTCGATTGATCGATTTGCTCCCGTGTCTGAAAGCTCTTCTTTCTCTAACCGAGACAAAGCTCGCCTATGCGGGTGTCCTGCAGAGTTGTTGTTGTTGTTGCATTCTATTGTCCCGCTCTTGACTCTCTACTCTCTACTCTCTCTTTTTCTGCTCTGCTTACTGCCCTGATCCTGTGCTTTGCTTTGCTGTGTGGTGTGCTGTTGCGCTTGGACAATGTGAATGCAGCTGCCTTTTCCCCACGACGCCCTTGCGTTCAGTCTCTTCGATTTGAACTCGAAAATTGCAGGATCGACAACACAGCAGGGTGGGCGTAGAGCGACAAACTCGGCACTGCCTAGCCGTAGTGCGGTGACAACGCTGATCAGTAGCAACTTGTGTGTCTCTGTGTGTTGACAGCAGCTGACAGGACTACCGTAGCATCAGACGAGCCACACTGCTCTACCACTGGAATGCCTCGTCCATAGCGGAGCTTCAAAATCAAGGCACTCGCATATAGACGAGAGAGAGAGAGAGAGAGAGAGAGAGAGAGAGAGAGAGAGAGAGAGAGAGAGAGAGAGAGGGGGTGTTTCACTCGTCATATCACTCTCAGACATCTTCCTTCTCCCTCTCTCAATCCACTCTTACCCTCTCTGTTCCCTCTGCCGCCCTTCCATCCATCCATCCATCTCACTTTATTTCTCCCCATCCTCCGGCCCTCTTCTTCCTGTTTGAACTTCTCCCTCCTTTGCGGTCTGTCACAAGTGACTGTCCTGCGCTATCCCTCCATTGCCAATCATCGATTTCTGCACCTTCTCGTTTCAGTATACCACGACTGCGACTACGACTACGACCACGACCACGATCATCATCATCATTGCATACCCATCCGCCTTTCTGGTCGGAACCTCATCCTAATCTACGCGGCCTTCTTGGGCTACGTGATTCTCATACATCAGCTCTCCGTGCTCATTTTCGCACATTGGGCTTCATTCACCATTCTCATCGTCACCTCTCACTAAATCCCATCGACACAGAGATCGCGACCTCACGCTCTTACACATCCAACCTCATCTTCTTCTTCACGCACACATAAGCTTCGCGCTTAACCAGCAACGATGAGGATCCCTCCTGTCCTCTTCATTTTTGTCGGCTTCCTGGCAATTGGTGCCTCGTTCATCTTGCAGTTGCTCGTTGCATTGGGCTTACCATACATCAAAGGAATCTACTTTCTCTACATTCGATTCGCCGACAACCAGCAATCCACCACCGACGTCCTTCGTGTCACATTCGGCGTCTGGTCGCAATGCTTTAGGCAAGGAGTTGCTACCCAGTGCTCGCCCACCGGGCTTGGCTACCAGCAGTCGTTCAACGGCGTCGACAACGCCATCAGCCTCTTCTTCATCAACAAGCTTCCGTACGCCCTTGTCCTCCAGCCCATCTCGGCAGGCTTCACCGGTCTTGCTGCTGGTGCCGCTTTCTTGCACCTTTGCACCAACACTTTCCTCTGGCCCCTTGCGTCTCTTTGGGCTTCCTTCCTCACCATGGCCGCTCTCGTTATCGAGCTTGTCCTCTTCATCCTTGCACGCAACAAAGCTAGGAACTTCCAAAGCACCGGTGCACTCACTCCTACTGGAAGTGAACTCGGCCCCGCTATCTGGATGCAGGTCGCCTCGCTCCCACCCGTCTTCTTTGGGTTCATGATGCTCGCCCTGGGCTGGTACTTGAAGCGATCTCGCGATAACGACAACTACTACGATGACTACGAACCCGCTCATCCCGTTTACGCACCCAACGACTACCCAGAAAAGGGCTCCTACTACCAGCAGCAACGTCCTATCAGCCGTGCTAGCCGTAGGTCGCGTTACGACGACTACTACGAGCCTGACGATGCTCGTGTTTACGGTAATGTCGGACGTCGAGATTCGAGGCGTACTAGTAAGGGAGCGTATGCGGATGACTATGATCGACACGACAACCGCAGGAGCTACGATTACGAAAGACCTTCGAGGAGGAGTTACGGTGGGGATGCGTACGGTAGTAGAGTGTCACTGGCACCTCCTGCTGTCGGGGCTCCCTACCGTGGTGGTAGATCGCGTCGTTATAGCGAACGCGGTGCCTACTAAGGCTTCATCATCGAGCAAAGGAATCATAACATTGATCTCGTAACACCTTGTTAGTTAGCGCAAAATGCAACACTTCTCATGCTCTCACACACCATAGAGCTTGACCTTCCCCACCTTCCCAAATCACCTTGACTTTCCAACTTGATATGCGTCTCCAACGCCTCTGTCTATTCACACTCCTATTCACACTCTCTTATTTCAAGGATCCCTTCCCCCCTGCTTCCCTATACATTTTGTCCCTCTCCACTCCATCCCCCAGTCCCCCCCCCTGGCTCAACGCAGCATATGCGAGAGCCACCACACGTGCAGGCGCACACCACCACCACCACAATAACAACAACAATACACACACATTCTTTTGTAACAACCTATTCTCTCGGAACGGTACTTTTTGCTTTCTTCTTTCTCCATCTGTTTGATACACTCAGCAGTAGCCTTCCATCTTACGTGGTGGTGGGATGCTTGTACATTCAGTTGTAGCCCAACGTAAATTACAGCTCGCGCGTAAACTGTCCCACAATTTTAGATGTCACCACACATCACTTCAATGCTCAATAGCCATATGTCTTATTGCCACACTGTTTTATATCATCTGAAAGCCCTTAAGAATACCTATCCAACCATACCAGCTTGATGTATCAAAAAGTGCAGTCAAGGAAAATAAAAGGTGTGTGAATTTTTTCCCCTTCTGGGACAGTGAAAATAAAAGGGGTGTGATTTTTTTCCCCTTCTGGGACAGTAAATGGAGCATGTCACCAAATAGCAACACCACTCCATTCCTGACCTTGTGGGCTTTTGATTACACTGAAACTTGCAATGAAACTTGGTGGGCTCCTTCATATACATCAAAAGTAGTGATGTGGAAATTTTCAGCTCAATCAGATGACTGTGAGTGATCCAGTGGCACTTCCAGTATGACACCATCACATCTATACTATCATGCCTAAAACCACCCCAGAGAAGTGCAGATCTGCACTCTTTCACCTCCACAATGGGGAATCTATCTGTTCAGTTGCTGAGTAACTTGGTTTGAGCAAGTCTACTGTGAATCACATCAGCAAAAGTGCCTCAACTGATGTACCAAAGTCAAAGGGGGGCTGCCCAAAAAAACTCCAGCCCTGTCATGTTCGCTTCCTGGACCACTATTTTGAGCTCAATTCCACCTCTGTCAGAGGTCGCATGCCCAAAACCTGATATCTGTAATAGAACCATGTCTATTATGAATCCTGTCGAGATATGCAACAATGCTTGTGGTATTATGATTCTTGCTGAGATATGTAGTAGAGATGTCTCTATTACCTTTCTCACTTGAAAATACAGTAATGGTTTTGCTATTGCAGGTTTCGACTAACTGCTGTGGACACTCTGTCCTGAGGTAGCTTGGCACAATCAATAACTTGAATGTATTGCAAGACACCAGAGGTCTGGTGTGATTGAGATAGTTGATGTCATCAACATGAGTGTCCAGTGTGTTGACTGAGTGCTTGAGGTGATCCCTGGACTGCAGTGGATGACTGCCTTCGGTTCTATCATTATCCAGACTGCTGGTCTGCTATGAACTGCCTTCAGACATCAGTGAGTGGTGATGCAACACATGCACTACAATGGAAGCAATCTACTTGATTGTGACTATGCTGACTGAAACTAATATATACTTATGTTGAAGTGATAACTAGTTATGTATGGTGTAGAGTGGATGGAGATCCACTTGGCTGCTATGCTGGGGAGCATGGCTATATACCTGTTTGCCAAGTGCTGCCCATGACACTTGCTCCTGCTCTGAATGTCCTCCTCTGACACTGTTCCTCCTCCCTTGTCCTGCCAGTCATACCATACTGCTTCCTAGCACTGCTTCTCTCACCCCTTGCAGATGGAGAGTCCTTGCACTGCTTCGCTACCAGATAGGGGCCTTTCCCACCTCATCTGAGTGGTGACCTGCCCCACCTTTCATCTCACCCATCCTCCTACTCTGAGTTCATTGTGGAGTCAGCCCCCTGTTTCATCAGGGTGGCATCAGGGGGTCCTTGCCACTCATCTCCAAGGGATCTGCCATACAATCCTCCATAACCTTAATCTCCACAGAATATGTAATACTTCTTTGTTTACCACAGATCCCAGCAAGGCCCATGGTACCATTATTGCTCATGCCAATCTAGGTCAGATCTGTCATAGAGCCTTCTCTTTTACAGATCTCAGTGACCTCTACTGCAGCTCCCATGATTGGCCTGATCCCTTGATTCCTGTGCTCCCTTCATATGACTTGATGGGTCTTCCTGCTTTCTGCACATCCAGGCCCATGACAACCTCCACTGTCAGGAAAGCATGTCAAGCACTGCAGGAGACATTCCAAGTCAAAGCTTGCCCAACCACAGTAAGAAAAGCACTTCAATATTGTTGCTACAAAGCACAGAGGTTGGTGAAAAAACCCAAGCTACTCAAGAGACACTACATAGTGTCATGGGTCTGGATGCACAGGAAGCAGGAAGACCTGTCAAGTCATATGAAGGGAGCACAGGCATTGAGGAATTGGGCAGATTGTGGGATTTGCAGTAGAGTTCACCAAGATCTGTAGAAGAAACAGCTCTATGGCAGATCTCACCTAGATTGGCACAAGCAATGATGGTATCACAAATCCTGCCAGGGTCTGTAGTAAACAGGATTGTATGATATATCCCATGGAGATTAGTGGCAAGGATGATTGTATAACAGATCCAGTGGAGATTAGTGGCAAGGACATTCAAGGTTGCCACTGGATGAGGTAGGGGCCCTACATGATGATGAAATTGGCATAGGAGGATGGGTGCCAGAGTCAGGAGGTAGATGAAAGAGGGGGGTGTGCACTGTCATTAGGATGAAGTGGGGTAACCCCTATCAATGATGAGATGGCACTGGCTCTCCTTGACCCAGGAGCAGGAGAAGCAGGGCTTGGCAAGGAGGAGATGCCTTGGTAGAGACCTCTACCACAGTGCTCGACAAAGAGGGTACTCTCTGGAGAGAGAGCTGGAGCAGAGTCACAAGCAACACTGCAAAGATGTACATAAACCATGCCTTCTTGTCATAAGTGGTCAAGTGGATCCCCATCCACTCTACACCATTTATTACTAGCTATAACTTCACACAAGTATACTTAGTATTCTGTCAGCAAGTTGCAATCACAATAGATTGCTTCCATTGTAGCACATGTGTGGTATCACCACTCCCTGACATCCAAAGGCAGTTCATAACAACCTGTGGTCTGGATAACAATTGACACCAAAGGCAGTTCATAGCAACCAGCAGTCTGGCTCGTGATCATAGAACCATAGGCAGTTGTCCACTGTGGTCCAGGGATCACTTCAAGCACTCAGTCAACACACTGGACACTTGTGCTGATGCCAACAAGCATACTCACACCAGACCTTGGTGTCATCCAATAGTTCCTAAAGTTCTTGATCATGCCAAGCTACCTCTGGATGGAGTGTCCACAGTGGTCAGTCAAAACCTGCAATATCAATCAATCTATCACATATTCAGGTGAGGAAAGTCATAGAGGCCTTTCTACAACATAACTTGACAAGAATAATAATACACAGCATGCTACCACATATCTCAACAGGATCTGTAATAGACATGTTTCTATTACAGATATCAGGTTTCAGGTGCGAGACCTCTGACACATAGCCCATTGTAAATTTGCCAATGAGCACAAGAATATGACTGTTGAGGATTGGAAAAAGGTTGTATGGTTGGACAAGACAAAGATCAACTTTTTTGGACCAGATGGTAAGCAGTTCTGTTGGGTTAAGAACACTGACTTCAACAGTAAGCTTGTCAGGCCTACAGCCAAGTTTGGCAGCAGCTCCATCATTATCTGGGGCTGTATGATGTGGGAAGGGGTGGGAGGTATGCACTTGGTGCTGGGTATAATGGATTCAGACCAGTACATCAAGAACCTGAATGACAAGCTTGTCAAAACAATCTTGGATTTGCACCTCCAGCATGGATATACTGATATCATTTTTCAGCAAGACAATGACCCTAAACACATGTCCAAGAAGACTACAAAGTGGTTGACAAGCAATAACATCAAGGTTATGGAATGGCCAGCACAGTTGCCTGACTTAAACCCAATTGAACACCTCTGGCAGCATCTCAAAATGTGACTTTCATAGTACAATTGCAAAGTTCAGGGATGAACTGCTCAAGAGATGTGAGGCTGAATGGGCAGCAATCACTCCAGAGACATGTAGGAACCTAATAGAGAGTATGCCACACCACATAGAGGCAGTTCTGAAGGCAAAAGGAGGGAATACAAAGTCCTAAGGTGTTGTAGAGGAGGGCTCCATATACTGTCCCACAATAAAAAATTTCTCAACTCCTTTTTGATGCACAATTTTCTCATGCAATGTCAATATCAATTACACAGTCTTGTAGAGAAGAAGCAGGACTTTCCAATGGTGTAGGTCAAGCATAGGTTTGATACATTGGTTATTGAGCATTGGAGTGATGTGTGGTGACATCTAAAATCGTGGGACAGTTTACATGCGAGCTGTATCTTTTTGTCTCCCTACATTCCCGGCCTGGTTTGGCGTGACTTTTGTGCCTGGACAATTCTGAGCTGTTCTCCTCGTCCATGTGTTGGTTTCAAAGGAGAGTTTCGCTTGTGAATGAAGAGGTGATAGCGTTCAGGTCTCAATGAGGGAAACAGGTGGCATGTGGTGGAGCAAAGTGTTGGAAATTGGACAAGCTTACACAAGAAATTCCAAAGGCACAGACACCAGAGAGAGAAATACAGTTGCATCCAAAATTGCCTGGCATTTTTTAGGATAATTAAATGCTCATCACCACACATCAACTTTGCTTCTCAAGAGCTGGTATCCTCAATGAAGTGTAGCTTGTGACATATTGTTGGAAAGCTGAGATTGAGAGCTACAAGTACATATAAGTTTTGTTGTGATTGGACCACATTTGTGCACAGTGAAAGTGCCATGACTTTTTTTGAGTGTAAAGCTCCTCCTAAATTACTATATACTATACTTTAGTATTTTGTATGACCCCCTTTTGCAACCCTTACAGCCTGTAACCTCCTGGGCATCAACTTTATGAGTGCCTGGACTGATTCCTTGGGAAAAGTTGCCCAAAACCTGTTGATAGCTGTAATGAGTTGAGCTTTATTGTTGATAGTATATCTTTGCTGATATAGCCACTTTTTCAGCTGCTGCCACACATGTTCTATAGGATTCAGGTCTGGAGACATTGCAGGCCAGGGCAATATGTTGAGTTTGACCTCCTCCAGGTACTCCTTGGTGACTTTGGCAGTGTGAGGGCAGGTATTGTCTTGTTGAAAGATCAATTTATCCCTTGGTGAAAATCTCTGTATATTCTTCCACTTAAAGATGCTACCAGGCACCACTTCCTCCAGCAACTCAATGTAATGCTCTGAATTCAGTTTGTCATCTATATAGACCATTAGACCTAGGCCTGCCCAGGTCATACACCCCCAAATCATGATGCTGTGGCCACCCCCCCACAGTGTAGGTATATATATATCATAGTTGACATCCCTGGACCAGTATCACTTTTCCAAGCCCTTTCCAATGTGTTGAACCTTGGACTCATCACTCCAGATGACATTCTTCCATTGTTCAACAGTCCAATGTCTATACTCCTTGGCAAACACCCTCCTTGCCTTCCTATGTTTATCTGTGAGCAAGGGTTTTCTTCTTTTTGCCCTAAACTTAAGTCCAGCTTGCTTCAGCATGCATGTAATGGTTTGTCTGGACAAACGAAGTTGATAGTGTCATAGCCAGTAGGCTGAAGCTTCAGTAGCCAAAGTATAAGAATTCTTGCTAATTCCTCTGGTGAGTAATGCCTGTTGGTGCAAGGAGAGGAGGAGGGGCCTCCCAGGGGTCCTTTTCACATATTCACTCTCTTGTACTCATTTTGCCAGTTCAGCAATGCTGGATTTGTTGATAGACAGTTTAGTTGCTATCTCCCTTGTTGAGAAACCTGCTTGGAGCAGCTCTTTGGCCCATAATAGGTGAGTGGTGGTGTATTTCATCCTCCCCATATCGATTTTTTGCCCTCCTTGCCATGTTGACAGCAGTATTGCCATATGATGTCCTAAGCTTGTCAAAACACCCCAAAACATCTTTGTTTATATCATACTACATACATATGAAGTTTCGAGCATGGTCTATTAGCTCAATTCTGTGCAAAGCAATAAGTTACACAAGGTACAGAATTAATTGAGGAGGAGGAGGAGGGGCTTCAAAGAGTGCCAACCTGAATTCCAGCATATTCTTTGGTGGGACCACCCTTTTTTTCTCTCATATTCTGATAGCAGGCTATCTAAGCTTTGCAACCATACCACACAAAGTGGGTGTTGTCAAAGATAACAAAGAGTACTGGTCATCATCATCAAAAGGACCTGAGAACACCATATCAAATTAATTAGATGCCAGGCAATTTTGGATGCAACTGTAGTTGAAGCATGTGGCTTCTCGGCGAGGAGCATGCAACCCATCAGAGTATGCAAACTCTACGCCAAGCCACATTTGAACACCAACCTCGCTCACTCGGGCTTGGCACATTGCCTGGGCCAACTGCCGAGCATCAGGACACCAGTCAATCAATAGCTGGCATCTTTCCCTTTGCTATAGTCTCTCAGTCATGTTGCGGTCTCATCAGCTTTGCATCATAGCAAGCATATGGAGGGTATTGAGGCATAACGTAGTTCACATACATGTCAATTTCACCTAGGTCTCGGATTGGAAGTGAGGTCAGTGACATGCATAGCAGTCTGAATTTGCAAAATTTCAAGGCAGCAGCTCCACTATGATTCTCACACTCATCTTGTCTTGAACTTGTCCTGATCTCATCTGCTGCACGTGACTTGGCGTGCGCATCTGAGCACAGGCCACACGTGTCACAACCTACTCAGTCAGATGTTTGTTTTGCTCCGCGCTGTCGCAAACTGACTCAGCCACTCATTTTGTATATATAAGCTCCATTTCACTCCTCGCTCTCTCTCTCCTACCACCATCTCCTCTTCTCGCAAGAGTCGCGCAACACCGACCTTGCTAAAACCCTTCTTTTCCTCCTCCCTCCTCACCCTCTCTCCTAGACCCCCTTCGGGCCATACCTCTCTCCCCTTCAATTCGACTTTTCTCCACTCCTCCCCTCCTCTCCTCTCCCCCTCTCCTCCTCCTCTCCTCCTCTTCTCCTCCTCGACCCTCTCCTATCCCTGTTCTCTCACCATCGTCCTCCACCATACCTCTCCTGTTTCCAGCCATCCCCTCTCGACTTCAACACCATCTCGACCTCGCCACATCCTTACAACTTCAAGACACCCGTCCCGACTACTGCATCACCAGGAACCCTTCATTCTCCTCAGGCCATACCTTTCTCCTTGCCCCTTCCTGCCACCCCTGGAAATCTCCTAGACCATTTTGACTGCACCCTGCCCCCCTTTTCGCACGCACTCTTCCCCTCCCTTCTGGCATGGTGGCCACTCAACTCTGCTCTTCCTGCAGACAGTCCTACCCGAACAACCATTTTGTGAGTCTGCACAACCGGCCTTGCATGCGCTGCGCTGCTTGCCGACATTCCCAGCCAGCGCCACTCCTCTCCATCGCCACGCCTGCCCCCACCTCAGAACTGGTCACTACCTCGGCTCCTGGACCTGCCTTGGACTCCGCCCCTGCTTTGGAACCAGACCTTCTTTGGACCTCAACAACCGGGACCCTGCCCATCCGGACGTCACATCATCCCCTTCCCATCCACACCCTTGGAACTGACCTGTCGGCCCCTCACCACCAACCACAGCCACAGTTGCCAACCCCTCCCTTAATGCCAACACCACTCACACTCGACTGGACAAGCAGGCCAACACCATTTCCAACCTAGCTATGTCCATCACCGAGCTCCATCACCTGGTCCTGGCCCTGTGCCAAGACCTCAACATGTTCAACCACCCACTGGTCACCATCTCTCCCTCGGCTCTGGCCCCAACCCCCATGCCATCAACCAACCAGGCCCTACTGGCAGCACAGCCTCCCTTTGCACCCACCCAGCCCTCTGGTGAGTTGCAGCTCCGATGACTTTTCCTGTGGATCTCCAAGGAAGTGGCCCAGCTTGTCTATGATGACCAACCTCCCCCACACAACCTCAGCAAGCTGTGCAACCCAGCAAATGCACCCACTTCCCAATCTGCAGAGCTGGGTGTGCTTGTCAATGGTGTCCATGTTACCATACCAGAGCCTGTTGCTGTCGCCTCTTCCTCCAAGGTCTTCCTCTGCCTCCTTCCAGACATCTGCAGTTTTGCTCAAGCCTGGGTGGTGTACACATTGCTGCGCTGCACCTGTACCAACAACCCCCACCTCAGCACCAGCCTTGGTGCTTTCCTTGTGCATGTCATCAACCTCGACATCACCTTTCACTGGCCTGGTGTCACGGAGTACATCCTTGCTGTTTGTCACTGTCATTTTGGTTTCGCCAACACTTGCGACTGGGTCAAGAAAGACCTGGATGCTTGGCAAGAAGAACTTGGTGGTGCCCCTCATCGCTCCATCCACCCCAGCCCCCCCCCCCCATGCCAAAGCCCCAATTGCCCCCTCCCAGTTGTCCTCAGGTCCCAAAGGACCCTGCTCCGACACTGGTATCCAGGTGTGCTTCCAGTTCAACAACTCCAGCTGCCAAGACACCAAGTGTACCCGGCCCACCTGTGCTTGCACTGCAAGGGCGACCATGCCTTTAAGGACTGCACGGTCCCTGTCAGCAGGAAGCCCTCCCCCTAGAAGCACAACCCGCACCACCCCCCGATGCCGGCTCCAGTCTTGCGCAGCGTGACTGTCTTGGCAGCAGCCTCCTGCTCGGTGCTGCCCCTGCGGCAGGCCCCCTTCGTCTCCTCAAGCAGACCCAGTTTTCTTCGCCGGCTCCGACCATCACGTCTCCACAGCAGACTAAGGCTTGGCACGGCTCCAGCAGTGAGCTCCTCATGTCTCCACAGCGGACTCAGGCTTGGCACCACTCACAGACCTCCTTATCATTGCCGTGGCAACCACCAACCCAGCCCAGGTCTCTGCAGCAGACTCCAGCTCAGCTCCTCTCCTCATCCCTGCAGCGGACTCTGGCTCAGCCCCCAACCTCACACTCTAATCATCTCCTCGGGCTGCCTGGGACTGGGCCTCCCACCTCGGTCCCTGCAGCACTACAGGTTCCCTCTCCCAACCATTGCCTCGATCTTCTTCTGGACTCCTGTCTTCACATACCTCCAAGCCGGCCCAACACCTCCATCACTCGCAATGTCTTTGACCCTACCTCCTCCCCCACTCATCTTGGGTCCATGCAAGCTCAACTGGATGCATGGCAGAGCTTGCTCCATGCCTATCCCAACCCCTACTATACACACCAGCTCTTGGGCATGATCCAATTTGGGTGCCTGCTTGGATATGATGGACCCCTCTGTAACTGCAACTGCCATACACCCAACCTTCCCATCGACGCCATTGTCCATGCTCATCTCCAACATGAGCTCGCTGCCAGACTTGCCAAGGGTTGCCTGTCAGTTGTCCATCCCAAACACACCTTGGCTGAATCCCCCATTGGTGTGGTGCCCAAGCCTCGTTCCTCCAAGCTCCACACAATCCACCACCTATCCTTCCCTTGCCATCCTGCCCCTAACACCCTGCCTTTGATCAACAGTGGCATAGACCCCACTTTTGTTGCCATCCAGTATGAGTCCACCTGGTCAGTCATCAACTACATTCAGCTCAACCATGGCTGTCTCCTCTGGAAAGGTGACCTGGAGGATGCTTTCTGACATGTGGTCACCTCCAAAGTGGATGCTCCACTCCTTGGGTTCCACTATGATGGTGTTTGGTACTGTGAGAATGCTCTCACCTTTGGTGGCAGCAGCTCCCCTTTTCTTTTCAACCTGGTAGCAGAGGCCCTCCACTGGGTCATTGCATCAAGTCTTCTGGCTGCCTGGCCCCTCAACCATTACCTCAATGACACTTTTGGAGCTGTTCTGGTGGAGGTGCACAACCTCTCCTTCCTGCCTGTCCATGTCCTTGCCCTAGCAGCCACTGCTCTGGGCCTCCACTTGTCTGCCTGGAAGACTTTTGCAGGCCTCACTTGTCTCAAGATCCTCAGTATTGAAGTTGACTCTGTTGCTCAAACTGTTGGCATTACTGAGGACCGACAGGAGCACCTCCTCTCCCAATGCCACCAGCTCCTCCAGCATGGCACAGCTGACCTCCTTGACATGCAATGAATCTCTGGCCTTCTCCACTTTGTATCCCAGGTTTTCCCTTGTGGCCAGGCTTTTCTCCATCGCCTCTATGATTGCACTTGTCACTCCCATTGGCTCCTCTCTCACTGATGGATCCCCTGCCCTGCTCTCGCTGAGCTCAGCTGGTGGTCTGCCATCCTCTGCTCCTGGTCTGGCACCACCATCTTGGCACCTTCCCCCCTCCTTGTTGCCCATATTTGGACAGATGCATGCCCCTGTGGCTATGGTGCCCACCTGGGTCTGGCCAATGCACCATCTGCCATCTTCTCTTGTGATGTGCCTCATCGCCACTGTGGCAAGAACATACAGTTTCTGGAGGCTCTGGCAGTTGTTGAAGCTCTCTGCTGTTTCTTGGACCATTGGATCCAACCAATGACAGTGGTGGTCCATGTTGACAATGAGAATGTTGAGCATGGCCTTTGCTCTGGGCATTCTCGGGACCCTCTCACCCAATGCCTCCTTTGTGAGATCTATGGGTTCTGTTTCACATGTGACATCACCTTGCATCTGGTGTGTGTAACCTCTGCTGACAATGCCCTTGCCAACCTCCTCTCCCAATGTCAGTTCTCCCGCCTCTGGGCACAGTTTCCTCATGCTCATGGACAGTTGTTCTCCCAGTGGGTACACAACAGGCAACCAACCAGCTGTCATGGGCCTGGATGCTCAAGAAGCAGGGGGGTCACAGGTTCATATGGAAGGAGCACAGGTATCGAAGATCTAGTCGAGACCAGTAGAGAGCATGGTCGTAGTGCAGTCTCCATGGAGACCATGGACTCCTATGGACTCACATGCAAAGGAGGGCCAAGCACAGCCACGAGGAGGACCAAGCTCAAGGAGCAGGCACAGCCACGAAGAGGACCAAGCTCAAGGAGCATGCAGATGGTTACCACTCAGGGGCTCGAGAGACAAGAGCCAAAGGAACTGTCACTGATCAAAGGAGAAGGAGCAGTGCCGAAGGAGTCGACACCAGGTCATGAGGAGGAGGAGCAGTGTCTAAGGAGTTGACACCAGGTCATGAGGAGGAGGAGCAGTGTCGAAGGAGTCGACACAGCTCAAGAGGCACAGGGGTGCCAAGCAGGAGAGGCCCCTGAGCAGTACTCGATGAAAAAGGTACTCTCTGGAGAGAGAGCAGGAGCAGCATCGCTGGTGATGCTGAGAAGAGGTATATAACCATGCTTTCTCATCATCATAGGTTGAGTGGATCCTCATCCACTCTACTCACCATACAACTAGTCAATACTTAGAAACATAAGTACTCATTAGTTACAGTCAGCATAGCAGCAATCTATCAAGGTTGCTCCTCATTGTAGTGTGTGTGTTGTATCACCACTACCTGATGTCCGAAGGCGCCCATAGCAGGTTAGCGGTCCGGATATAGATAGAACCAAAGGCAGTAGTCCACTGCGGTCTGGGGGTCACTTCAAGCATCAAGTCAACACACTGGACACTCGTGTTGACGCCACCAACCTTATCACCAACACCATCAACCTCCTTATCATCAACACTCACCAACCTTATCACCAACGACATCAACCTCATCATCATCAATACTCACACCAGACCTTGGTGTCATCATAACCGAAGCATTGATATTGATCATGCCGAGCTACCCCTGAACAGAGTGTCCACAGAGGTCAGCCGAAACCTACAATAGTATATACAACGAATGCCACCTGCTGTCACTGCACAACTTGATAGTCACTGATACTGAGACAATAGCTGTCGCACAGTTTGATAGTCACCGAGTATCTCGACAGACCGACCTGGGTTTCAGGCGCGAGACCCCTGACACCAGCCCCCCTTCCTCCTTCGCCCCTAGCTTGGGCCTCTCACCAGCAGTGGCCTCCCTGCTCTGGCATGGCCTGGTGGTGAGCACTCACGACTGCACTGGCAGCTCCATCACCACCTTCTGCACCTTCTGTGCCCTCAGGTTCAGTCCCAATGCCCCCTGCCTTCCAGCCTCCAGCCTCCAGCTCCTTGAATGGCTTGGCAGCATGTCAACAGAGCACCAATCCTACCACTTGGCCAAGCATGACCTTGGCCATCTCTACTCCCATCATGTCGACCTCAGCCTCAACCTTGGTGGCTTCAGCTGTGGCCATCTTGAGCAAGCCTTACAAGGCTACAAGCGCCTCCTCAGTGCCTGATGTGTTGGCACCAAGCTGCCCATCACCCTTCCACTGCTCTGCCACATTGTCCTCACCATCCACACTTTTGGTGACCTGTCACAGTATGATCAACAAGTTTACAAAGCTGCCTTTACCCTTGCCTTCACCTGCTTCCTCTGCTCTGGTGAGGTTGTGTGGGAACTTTCCTCTGATCCTGCTGTCATCCTCCAGGTGGTGAGCATGGCCCTCACAGATGATCATGCCATCATCACCCTCCTGGCCTCAAAGACTGACCCCTTCTGGCTTGGTGTCAAGGTGGTCACCCCCCTTGTGGGTGGGCCCGAGTGCCCCATCTCTCACCTCTGACCCTTGCTCTCCTGACTGGCCTCCTCTCCCCTCTTTGGCCTTGGTCTGTCCAGAGCTGCACCCCTCTCTTGCTCTGCCTTCATCTCGATGCTCTGATGGGTGATTGCAGCTTCTGGCCTCTCCCCCTTGGCCTATGCTGGCCACTCCTTCCACCATGGTGCTGCCACCTGGGCTGCCAGCCTTGGTGCTGATGCTGCTACCATTCAATGTCTTGGCTGGTGGAACTCCAACTGTTTCCAGTGCTACATTGACTGCTCAGCCACCAACCATCAGGACCTCTCCATCACTGCTCTCTACCATCTTCAAGATGGCCCACTCATCCCCCCCACTGCCTCATGGTGCAGCATGGGTTCTTCCTAAGCCTCCTCAGTTGGCCCCATCCCTGTTGAGACTGCTCTCTGCTGTGCAGGTGGCTCAACCTTCAGCTGGTGGGTGTCATGGGCCTGAATGCTCAAGAAGCAGGAGGGTCACTGGTTCATATGGAAGGAGCACAGGTATCGGAGATCTAGTCGATACCAGTAGAGAGCATGGTCGTAGTGCAGTCTCCATGGAGACCATGGACTCCTACAGACTCACATGCAAAGGAGGACCGAGCCCATATGCGAGGCACAGCCATGAGGAGGACCAAGCTCAAGGAGCAGGCACAGCCATGAAGAGGACCAAGCTCAAGGAGCATGCAGACAGTTACCACTCAGGGGCTTGAGAGACAAGAGTCAAAGGAACCATCACTGGTCAAAGGAGAAGGAGCAGTGTATAGGGAACCGGCAAGCAGGTCCTGAGGAGGAGGAGCAGTGTCGAAGGAGTCGACACCACTCAGGAGGCATAGGGGTGCCAAGTGTCATGGGCCTGGATGCTCAAGAAGCAGGAGGGTCACTGGTTCATATGGACGGAGCACAGGTATCGAAGACCTAGTCAATACCAGTAGAGAGCATGGTCGTAGTGCAGTCTCCATGGAGACCATGGACTCCTATGGATTCACATGCAAAGGAGCACTGAGCCCATATGCGAGGAGGACCAGGCACAGCCACGAGGAGGACCAAGCTCAAAGAGCAGGCGCAGCCATGAGGAGGACCAAGCTCAGATGGTTACCACTCAGGGGCTCGAGAGACAGGAAGTCGACACAGGTCATGAGGAGGAGGAGCAGTGTCGAAGGAGTCGACACAGGTCATGAGGAGGAGGAGCAGTGTCGAAGGAGTCGACACAGGTCATGAGGAGGAGGAGCAGTGTCGAAGGAGTCGACACCACTCAAGAGGCACAGGGGTGCCAAGCAGGAGAGGCCCCTGAGCAGTACTCGATGAAGAAAGTACTCTCTGGAGAGAGAGCAGGAGCAGCATCGCTGGCGATGCTGTGAAGAGGTATATAACCATGCTTTCTCATCATCATAGGTCGAGTGGATCCCCATCCACTCTACTCACCATAACTAGTTATCACTTCAGCATAAGTATACATTAGTTTCAGTCAGCATAGCAGCAATCTATCAAGGTTGCTCCTCATCGTAGTGTGTGTGTTGTATCACCACTACCTGACGTCCGAAGGCGCCCATAGCAGGTTAGCGGTCCGGATATAGATAGAACCGAAGGCAGTAGTCCACTGCGGTCCGGGGATCACTTCAAGCATCAAGTCAACACACTGGACACTCGTGTTGACGCCACCAACCTTATCACCAACACCATCAACCTCATTATCATCGACGCCACCAACCTTACCATCAACACCATCAACCTCATTATCATCGACATCACCAATCTCATCACCAACACCATCAACCTCATCATCATCAACACTCACACCAGACCTTGGTGTCATCATAACATTGATATTGATCGTGCCGAGCTACCCCTGAACGGAGTGTCCACAGAGGTCAGCCGAAACCTACGATAGTATATACAACGAACGCCACCTGCTGTCACTGCACAACTTGATAGTCACCGATACCGAGACAATAGCTGTCACACAGTTTAATAGTCACCGAGTATCTCGACAGACCGACCTGGGTTTCAGGCGCGAGACCCCTGACACCAAGCAAGCAGGAGAGGCCTCCTGAACAGTACTCGATGAAGAAGGTACTCTCTGGAGAGAGAGCAGGAGCAGCATCGCTGGCAATGCTGTGAAGAGGTATATAACCATGCTTTCTCGTCATCCAAGGTCGAGTGGATCCTCATCCACTCTACACAACCATCATAACTAGTTACCACTTCAGCATAAGTATATATTAGTTCCAGTCAGCATAGCAGCAATCTATCAAGGTTGCTCCTCATCATAGTGTGTGTGTTGTATCACCACTACCTGACGTCTGAAGGCAGTTCATAGCAAACCAGCAGTCTGGATATAGATAGAACCGAAGGCAGTAGTCCACTGTGGTCTGGGGATCACCTCAAGCATCAGTTGACACACTGGACACTCGTGTTGATGCCACCAACCTTATCACCAACACCATCAACCTCATCATCATCAACACCCATACCAGACCTTGGTGTCATCATAACCTACACAGTGATATTGATCGTGCTGAGCTACCCCTGAATGGAGTGTCCACAGAGGTCAGCCGAAACCTACAACAGTATATGCAACGAATGCCACCTGCTGTCATTGCGCAACTTGATAGTCGCCGAGCAACCAGCTCTTCGAGACCGATACCGAGACAATAGCTGTTGCACAGTTTGATAGTCACCAAGTATCTCGACAGACTGACCTGGGTTTCAGGCACGAGACCCCTGACATTAGAGTGGATTGTTCAAGCAGCTCCTCATGATCACCATGATGGACCCAGACCTCAACAATAAGCTCGATAGACTACTCACTCTATTGGAAGCCCAGCTAGAGCTTACCAGGCAGGGACAATGAGAGGAACGATTACAACGAGCTCATCTGAGCAGAGAGGAGACGATTGACCTCTCTCACTCAGAGGAACAAGCAGGAGGAGGAGATGAGTCTATGATAGGAGACCCACATACTCCTACTCCAGCTCCATGACCAAGATGATCAGTCTCATTCATCAACCTGGATGAGCAGGATGGTGTCAACTACGAGAAGTATGCTTCACCCACTGGGCCAAGATATGTCAAGACTAAGGTGGACCCCTACAGCAGGACCAGGATGGACCCTTACCCCCTGGACCAAGAGGAGGACACCAGCATCATGACAGAGAAGTCAAAGCCCATTGCCACCCCATTCCCAAAGTTCAATCCCCAAGATGTGGAGATCTTCATTCTAGAAGCCAAAGCATGGTTTAAGTTCAACCAGGTGTATGAGCAGTCTAGGATGATCAATCACATGGGTGCTCAACTGGAAGGGACAGCACAAGAGTGGTGGATCTCAAAGCTCTGTATTGATAGAGCTAGAGAAGGAAGGTTGTTCAATGATTGGCACTACTTCACAGAGCGACTGTCAGAGCAGTTCAACCCACACAATGCTAGGATGGAGGCATACAACAAGCTGTTGGCTCTCAGACTCACAAGTGATGCTCCTGGTGCCACCACATGTCATGTAGAGTGGTTCAGAGACTTGGAAGGACAGGTCAACCTAGATGACAACAAGCTAGTGATTGATCTCTTCAGAGGTAGTCTCACTTGCAGCATACAGGAGAAGTTTGAGAGGAACCCACCTGGAAAGAGATGGGAGTGGTACCGAGAGGTTGAGGAGATTGATTGACAGAGGATGCTACTACAGCAGTCCTAAGCTAGACACTCACTCCCAAATGCCTCGTCACCTCCACTAAGAACTGGGTCTTGGCCAATTCAAAGTTCAATCCCCATATGCCAACCCACTCAACCTTATCCAGCTCGATCACCAGCACAAGCAACTACACAAGCAACTACACAAAACCTAAACTGACCAACTAATCGACCCCTTCCTCATCAACCCATCCAAACCTCGAAGCAAGGAAGCCCTGCTCCATCAGGTACCAACACCTGTCATGTATGCAAGGGTATCGGCCATTGGGCCAGAGACTGCCCTAGCAGGAGGGTAGTGTCATGGGCCTGGATGCTCAAGAAGCAGGAGGGTCACTGGTTCATATGGAAGGAGCACAGGTATCGAAGATCTAGTCAATACCAGTAGAGAGCATGGTCGTAGTGCAGTCTCCATGGAGACCATGGACTCCTATGGACTCACATGCAAAGGAGGACACGAGCCACATGCGAGGAGGGCCAGGCACAGCCACGAGGAGGACCAAGCTCAAGGAGCAGGCACAGCCACGAAGAGGACCTAGCTCAAATGGTTACCACTCAGGGGCTCAAGAGACAAGAGTCAAAGGAACTGTCACTGGTCAAAGGAGAAGGAGCAGTGTATAGGACACTAGTGTCAGGGGTCTCGCGCCTGAAACCCAGGTCGGTCTGTCGAGATACTCGGTGACTATTAAACTGTGTGACAGCTATTGTCTCGGTATCGGTGACTATCAAGTTGTGCAGTGACAGCAGGTGGCGTTCGTTGTATATACTATCGTAGGTTTCGGCTGACCTCTGTGGACACTCCGTTCAGGGGTAGCTCGGCACGATCAATATCAATGTTATGATGACACCAAGGTCTGGTGTGAGTGTTGATGATGATGAGGTTGATGGTGTTGGTGATGAGATTGGTGATGTCGATGATAATGAGGTTGATGGTGTTGATGGTAAGGTTGGTGGCGTCGATGATAATGAGGTTGATGGTGTTGGTGATAAGGTTGGTGGCGTCAACACGAGTGTCCAGTGTGTTGACTTGATGCTTGAAGTGATCCCCGGACCGCAGTGGACTACTGCCTTCGGTTCTATCTATATCCGGACCGCTAACCTGCTATGGGCGCCTTCGGACGTCAGGTAGTGGTGATACAACACACACACTACGATGAGGAGCAACCTTGATAGATTGCTGCTATGCTGACTGTAACTAATGAGTACTTATGTTTCTAAAGTATTGACTAGTTGTATGGTGAGTAGAGTGGATGAGGATCCACTCGACCTATGATGATGGGAAAGCATGGTTATATACCTCTTCACAGCATCGCCAGCGATGCTGCTCCTGCTCTCTCTCCAGAGAGTACTTTCTTCATCGAGTACTGCTCAGGGGCCTCTCCTGCTTGGCACCCCTGTGCCTCTTGAGTGGTGTCGACTCCTTCGACACTGCTCCTCCTCCTCATGACCTGTGTCGACTCCTTCGACACTGCTCCTCCTCCTCATGACCTGTGTCGACTCCTTCGACACTGCTCCTCCTCCTCATGACCTGTGTCGACTCCTTCGACACTGCTCCTCCTCCTCATGACCTGTGTCGACTTCCTGTCTCTCGAGCCCCTGAGTGGTAACCATCTGAGCTTGGTCCTCCTCATGGCTGCGCCTGCTCTTTGAGCTTGGTCCTCCTCGTGGCTGTGCCTGGTCCTCCTCGCATATGGGCTCAGTGCTCCTTTGCATGTGAATCCATAGGAGTCCATGGTCTCCATGGAGACTGCACTACGACCATGCTCTCTACTGGTATCGACTAGGTCTTCGATACCTGTGCTCCATCCATATGAACCAGTGACCCTCCTGCTTCTTGAGCATCCAGGCCCATGACAACTAGCAGGCAGGTCCTGAGGAAGAGGAGCAGTGTTGAAGGAGTCGACACCAGGTCATGAGGAGGAGGAGCAGTGTCAAAGGAGTCGACACCACTCAAGAGGCACAGGGGTGCCAAGCAGGAGAGGCCCCTGAGCAGTACTTGATGAAGAAGGTACTCTCTGGAGAGAGAGCAGGAGCAGCATCGCTGGCGATGCTGTGAAGAGGTATATAACCATGCTTTCCCATCATCATAGGTCGAGTGGATCCTCATCCACTCTACTCACCATACAACTAGTCAATACTTTAGAAACATAAGTACTCATTAGTTACAGTCAGCATAGCAGCAATCTATCAAGGTTGCTCCTCATCATAGTGTGTGTGTTGTATCACCACTACCTGACATCCGTAGGCGCCCCATAGCAGGTTAGCGGTCCAGATATAGATAGAACCGAAGGCAGTAGTCCACTGCAGTCCAGGGATCACTTCAAGCATCAAAGTCAACACACTGGACACTCGTGTTGATGCCACCAACCTTATCACCAACATCATCAACCTCATCATCATCAATACTCACACCAGACCTTGGTGTCATCATAACCGAAGCATTGATATTGATCGTGCCAAGCTACCCCTGAATGGAGTGTCCACAGAGGTCAGCCGAAACCTACAATAGTATATACAACAAATGCCACCTGCTGTCACTGTGCAACTTGATAGTCACCGATACCGAGACAATAGCTGTCACACAGTTTGATAGTCACCGAGTATCTCGACAGACCGACCTGGGTTTCAGGCGCGAGACCCCTGACAGGTAGACCCTCTTAGCTCTCGACCCATGGGTCCAAAGGTCATGGTCACCACAGCAGACCCCTTTGAGGATGCCACCGACTCAGGAGATGGCCACACAGGCAGCACCAAGACAGGTGAACCCGAGGCCATGGACCTCAGCTCATATCAGCAATCCATGGACCCCAATCATGAGGAGGAGGAGCATGATGATGGCAATGATGAGGGAAATGTCAGTGGGGTGATGCACTGATGGTGTGCATTGCTCTACAAACCTCCTCGCCATCACTCTGTATATATCAAGATTGTCAAGTATGTTTCTCTACCAGTGGAGGCAAAGCAGTACTGGAGCTCTCTGGAATGGTTCAAAACCATCCTGCTCGGATACTGGCTGATACCAGTGCTGGTTTGTCCATAGTCTCAGATTCTTTCATTAGTAAGTACCAAATACCCACAAAACCCACAAAAACAAGATCGATCCATGGTGTCACCAGGCACCAACTCTCCATCAATAGTTCTGCAAGCATGCAGGTATCTATTGGTACACACAATCTGGGTGTGGTCGAAGCTTCAGTGGCCGACACTGCTGACTATGACCTCATCCTGGGGTTCACCGAGCTACGGAGGCTCAAACCCACTATACAATGGGATACGGGCCAGCTGGAGTTCAAGACTCAGGAGCAGGACTGACCCCCAAGGAGACCCCCTGAAGCAGCAAGAGCAGGGGACCTAACCATGAGGAGACCAACCCTTCATGGTAACGAGTTTGTCTCAGCAGAACACATACTGCAAGCAGCTCTGGAAGATGGACCCATAGGGTTCATGCTGTTCGAGGAGCCACCATCATCACTCCCAGCCTTTGGTTTTGTACCTACAGGCGCAGACAAAGGAGTAGAGATGGAGGTAGAGGTGGACAAGGTAGTGATGGCTGCAGACATACCAAAGCCATACCAACACCTGCAAGATGTGTTTGATGAGGTGGAAGCAGACAAGCTGCCCCATCATACTGAGCATGATCTCCACCTCAAGTTGATAGAAGGAGGTAAGCCACCTCAAGGGCCCCTGTACCTTAAAGGACCCAAGGAGATGTCCGAGTTGAGGAGGTACTTGGATGAGAACCTTGAGAAGGGGTTCATAAGACCATCGAAGAGCCTGGCACAATCACCAGTGCTCTTCGTACCAAAGAAGGATGGAGGTCTCAGACTCTGTGTGGACTACCGAGGTCTCAACGAGATCACTGTCAAGAACAGGGCACCACAGCCCCTCATCGAGGAGCAGCTGTTCTTACTCAGGAAGGCAAGGATCTATACCAAGCTAGACCTTAGAGCAGCATACAACCTCATCCAGATTGCTAAAGGAGATGAATGGAAGACAGCTTTTGGCACTCAGTTGGGACTCTATGAGTACCTAGTGATGCCCTTTGGCCTAGCCAATGCTCCAGCTCACTTCCAGTTGTTCATCAATGACATCTTCTGAGACATCATTGGAGTATATGTAGTAGTATACCTAGATGACTTCCTGATCTTCAGTGACACCAAAGAGACACATGTGAAGCATGTCACCAAGGTCCTCACTCGATTAAGGAGCAACAGGCTCTTTGCTAAGCTGTCGAAGTGTGAGTTTCACACCAAGGTAGTTGAGTTCCTGGGATACATCATCAAGCCGACAGGTATAGAGATGGACCCAGAAAAGGTGTGCACTGTCAAGGAGTGGCCAATGCCAGAGTCAATCCATGACATCCAAAGGTTCCTGGGTTTTGCCAACTTCTATCGAAGGTTCATAGCCCACTTTGCTTGTATAGCCAAGCCCTTGACATCACTGGTAAAGCCCACAGAACAGTTCAGGAAGTTCGAGCTACCAGAGGAGGCCCAGCAGGCCTTCCACAAGCTCATCCAGGCATCCACCTCAGCAGGAGTGCTTCAGCACTTCGACTACCACCTTTCAACAAGGTTGGAGACCGATGCAAGTGACTTTGCTATAGCAGGAGTACTCAAGCAGGAGCATGAAGGTCAATGGCACCCAGTGGCCTTCTACTCTAGGAAGATGTCCTCTGCCAAGAAGAACTATGAGATCCATGACAAGGAGCTCCTAGCTGTGGTCACTTGCCTTACTCAGTGGTGACACATGCTAGCTGGACTACTGAGTCAACTGGTCATCCTTACCGACCATGAAGCCCTCAAGTACTTCAAGTCCCAGAGACGCATCACAGGTCGACAGGCTCGATGGGCAATACTACTAGCAGACTTCGATTTCATACTACAGTATCGACCAGGAGACAAGGGTGGTGGGCCTGATGCTCTCACCAGAAGGACTGACATGCAACCAGCTGGTGAAGAGCAAGATCACAATGTGAGGCAACTACTGCCTCCTCAAGTGTTCAAGGAGACAGCAGACCATGACTCGATCCTAGTGGCCCCTATGCTCTCGATGGAGTCCATAGCATCAAAAGGTCTCAGAGACCTGGTCAGGATCTTCCAGCCCTTAGACCAAGAGCTACAGGAGATACATACAAAGAAGCCCTTCGAGATCAAGGATGACCTATGGTACAGTGGAGGAAGGTTGGTTATCCCCAAGGTAATCATGCCAGGGAGGACCAACAACTGACACTCAAGGAGTGCCAAAGAGGTGGATGGACAGTCTCTCTCTGTAGAGCACCTGTGATTCATGGTGATGACCCAATGCCATGACAGCATCACTGCTGGACATGTGGGAAGAGATGCTACCATCAAAGCAGCCCAACAACATTACTGGTGGCCAAACATGACAGCTTGGATTGCAGACTATGTAGCAAGTTGTCCTGTATGTGCTAGGTACAAAGCTCCTTGTCACTGTCCATATGGTTTGCTACAGCCACTAGCAACACCAGACAGGCCCTGGGGCTCCATATCCCTCGACTTCATCAAAGGATTACCACCATCAAGGAACTATGACTCCATCCTTGTCATTGTTGACAGGCTGACCAAGTTTGCCATACTAGCTCCAACCCATAAGACAGTCACAGCCAAACAGACTGCAGTGTTGCTATATGGACACATGGTTAGACTCTTCGGATATCCAGATCACATGGTCTCGGACCGAGGCAGGCAGTTCATATCAGGAGCATGGAAGGCATTTGCAGAGCAAATGGGTGTGAAGCACTCACTTAGCACGGCTTACCATCCTCAAACTGATGGTCAGACAGAGAGAGTCAATCAGGTCATAGAGCAATATCTCAGGATGTACTGCAACTATGAGCAGAATGACTGGGCCAACCTGCTGGACACTGCGGCCTTTGTATACAACAACACGGTCCACAACAGCATTGGTGTCTCACCATTCTTTGCATGCTATGGATGGAACCCCAAAGCTCATCCTGACATCCCTCAATGACTAGGAGTCAATGATCCAGGTCGCTTCAAGTACCTCATGGATGGAAAGGAGCATTGCAAGTACCTCCAGGAGCAGATCAGAGAGGCACAATGTAGATCAGTAGACCAGTATAACAGGAAGCACAAGGACATCGAGTTTAAGGTGGGTGATCTGGACTATATCAACTGTCAAAACTGGAAGACAAGGAGACCCACACCCAAGTTAGATACCTGGTTTGCAGGACCCTACCCAGTTCAGGAACGGGTAGGATGCCGAGCTTATCGAATCACATTGCCAGCAAACCTTAGGGTGCATGATGTGTTCCATGTCTCCATGCTCGAACCAGCAAGAACCAGTTCTCTTCCTCAACGAGCTGAACAGCCCACCATACCATCACTTCCAGATGAGGACCTTGACTTCGAAGTCGAAGCACTCATCGACAAGCATTCACACAATGGGACTACAGAGTACAAAGTGTTGTGGAGAGGGTACTCAGAAGAAGCTGCTTCATGGGAACCAGTAGAGAACCTCAACTGCCCTGACCTCATCCAGGAGTATGAGGTGTCGGAGGGGGGACGAGCGAGTAGACAGAGTAGAGAGAGGAGGAGAGAACAGGAGGAGTAGAGAGAGAAGGAGGAAGGAGAATGACGATTGAAAGAAGGAGGAAGGGTGATGTTGGCGATGTTGTCGAGGAGGAGGAGGAGGAGGAGGAGGAGTCAGCATGAACCAGACCAGAGCATGCCTCGACGGAGCTCGGCTCTTAAGAGGGGGGTAGTGTCATGTGCCTGAATGCTCAAAGAAGCAGGAGGGTCACTGGTTCATATGGAAGGAGCACAAGTATCGAAGATCTAGTCAATACCATTAGAGAGCATGGTCATAGTGCAGTCTCCATGGAGACCATGGACTCCTATGGACTCACATGCAAAGGAGGACCGAGCCATATGTAAGGGGGGCCAGGCACAGCCATGAGGAGGACCAAGCTCAAGGAGCAGGCACAGCCACGAAGAGGACCAAGCTCAAGGAGCATGCAGATGGTTACCACTCAGGGGCTCGAGAGACAAGAGTCGAAGGAGTCGACACCAGGTCTTGAGGAGGAGGAGCAGTGTCGAAGGAGTCGACACCAGGTCTTGAGGAGGAGGAGCAGTGTCGAAGGAGTCGACACCACTCAGGAGGCATAGGGGTGCCAAGCAAGCAGGAGAGGCCTCCTGAACAGTACTTGATGAAGAAGGTACTCTCTGGAGAGAGAGCAGGAGCAGCGTCGCTGGCAATGCTGTGAAGAGGTATATAACCATGCTTTCTCGTCATCCAAGGTCGAGTGGATCCTCATCCACTCTACACAACCATCATAACTAGTTACCACTTCAGCATAAGTATATATTAGTTCCAGTCAGCATAGCAGCAATCTATCAAGGTTGCTCCTCATCATAGTGTGTGTGTTGTATCACCACTACCTGACATCCGAAGGCGCCCCATAGCAGGTTAGCAGTCTGGATCAAGATAGAACTGAAGGCAGTAGTCCACTGCAGTCCGGGGATCACCTCAAGCATCAGTTGACACACTGGACACTCGTGTTGATGCCACCAACATTATCACCAACACCATCAACCTCATCATCATCAACACCCATACCAGACCTTGGTGTCATCATAACCTACACAGTGATATTGATCATGCCGAGCTACCCCTGAATGGAGTGTCCACAGAGGTCAGCCAAAACCTACAACAGTATATACAATGAATGCCACCTGCTGTCATTGCACAACTTGATAGTCGCCGAGCAACTAGCTCTTCAAGACCAATACCAAGACAATAGCTGTTGCACAGTTTGATAGTCACCGAGTATCTCGACAGACTGACCTGGGTTTCAGGCGTGAGACCCCTGACAGGGTTTTGGTCACAAGGTTCAACAAGTGGCTAAAGGGATTCACAAGACAAAGTCAAGAAGGAGCTGTGTCGAAAGGGGGCATCACACATCATCAGGCAGAAGGAGAACATGAAGGTGAGAGGGCAGTGTTGCATAACCCTTACGCCATGCAAATGGTAGGGGCACAGTACCAATGGGCTTGATGCCAGTAGGACAAGACAGTGTCAAACAGGGGACAAAGGCCCCTCAAGAGGAGCAGGATAGGTGTTGTGGGCAACACCAATCAAATGCATAAATACTCTCATTCTACCATAGCATACAAGTGGATCCTCATCCACTCTATACTATACTACTTACTCAATCTACTTTACTTACTTAGTTATGTACCATTGCAATAGCAGTGCTCTTGCAACAACTCTCAACATGTGTGTTGTATCACCATTAGTCAACAACTGTAGGTGGTGTTCTTCAACACTAGCAGTCCAGTGCCCTTACTGTAGGTGGTGTTCTTCAACACTTGCAGTCCAGTCCCTCACTGTAGGCAGTGTTCTTCAACACTTGCAGTCCAGTCCCTTGCTGTAGGCAGTGTAGCTCAACACCTGCAGTCCAGTCATTTATTGTAGGCAGTGACTCACCCATTTGCTCTGCAAATGCCTTCCATGCTCCTGATATGAACTGCCTGCCTCGGTCCGAGACCATGTGATCTGGATATCCGAAGAGTCTAACCATGTGTCCATATAGCAACACTGCAGTCTGTTTGGCTGTGACTGTCTTATGGGTTGGAGCTAGTATGGCAAACTTGGTCAGCCTGTCAACAATGACAAGGATGGAGTCATAGTTCCTTGATGGTGGTAATCCTTTGATGAAGTCGAGGGATATGGAGCCCCAGGGCCTGTCTGGTGTTGCTAGTGGCTGTAGCAAACCATATGGACAGTGACAAGGAGCTTTGTACCTAGCACATACAGGACAACTTGCTACATAGTCTGCAATCCAAGCTGTCATGTTTGGCCACCAGTAATGTTGTTGGGCTGCTTTGATGGTAGCATCTCTTCCCACATGTCCAGCAGTGATGCTGTCATGGCATTGGGTCATCACCATGAATCACAGGTGCTCTACAGAGAGAGACTGTCCATCCACCTCTTTGGCACTCCTTGAGTGTCAGTTGTTGGTCCTCCCTGGCATGATTACCTTGGGGATAACCAACCTTCCTCCACTGTACCATAGGTCATCCTTGATCTCGAAGGGCTTCTTTGTATGTATCTCCTGTAGCTCTTGGTCTAAGGGCTGGAAGATCCTGACCAGGTCTCTGAGACCTTTTGATGCTATGGACTCCATCGAGAGCATAGGGGCCACTAGGATCGAGTCATGGTCTGCTGTCTCCTTGAACACTTGAGGAGGCAGTAGTTGCCTCACATTGTGATCTTGCTCTTCACCAGCTGGTTGCATGTCAGTCCTTCTGGTGAGAGCATCAGGCCCACCACCCTTGTCTCCTGGTCGATACTGTAGTATGAAATCGAAGTCTGCTAGTAGTATTGCCCATCGAGCCTGTCGACCTGTGATGCGTCTCTGGGACTTGAAGTACTTGAGGGCTTCATGGTCGGTAAGGATGACCAGTTGACTCAGTAGTCCAGCTAGCATGTGTCACCACTGAGTAAGGCAAGTGACCACAGCTAGGAGCTCCTTGTCATGGATCTCATAGTTCTTCTTGGCAGAGGACATCTTCCTAGAGTAGAAGGCCACTGGGTGCCATTGACCTTCATGCTCCTGCTTGAGTACTCCTGCTATAGCAAAGTCACTTGCATCGGTCTCCAACCTTGTTGAAAGGTGGTAGTCGAAGTGCTGAAGCACTCCTGCTGAGGTGGATGCCTGGATGAGCTTGTGGAAGGCCTGCTGGGCCTCCTCTGGTAGCTCGAACTTCCTGAACTGTTCTGTGGGCTTTACCAGTGATGTCAAGGGCTTGGCTATACAAGCAAAGTGGGCTATGAACCTTCGATAGAAGTTGGCAAAACCCAGGAACCTTTGGATGTCATGGATTGACTCTGGCATTGGCCACTCCTTGACAGTGCACACCTTTTCTGGGTCCATCTCTATACCTGTCGGCTTGATGATGTATCCCAGGAACTCAACTACCTTGGTGTGAAACTCACACTTCGACAGCTTAGCAAAGAGCCTGTTGCTCCTTAATCGAGTGAGGACCTTGGTGACATGCTTCACATGTGTCTCTTTGGTGTCACTGAAGATCAGGAAGTCATCTAGGTATACTACTACATATACTCCAATGATGTCTCAGAAGATGTCATTGATGAACAACTGGAAGTGAGCTGGAGCATTGGCTAGGCCAAAGGGCATCACTAGGTACTCATAGAGTCCCAACTGAGTGCCAAAAGCTGTCTTCCATTCATCTCCTTTAGCAATCTGGATGAGGTTGTATGCTGCTCTAAGGTCTAGCTTGGTATAGATCCTTGCCTTCCTGAGTAAGAACAGCTGCTCCTCGATGAGGGGCTGTGGTGCCCTGTTCTTGACAGTGATCTCGTTGAGACCTCGGTAGTCCACACAGAGTCTGAGACCTCCATCCTTCTTTGGTACGAAGAGCACTGGTGATCGTGCCGGGCTCTTCGATGGTCTTATGAACCCCTTCTCGAGATTCTCATCCAAGTATCTCCTCAACTCGGACATCTCCTTGGGTCCCTTAAGGTATAGGGGCCCTTGAGGTGGCTTACCTCCTTCTATCAACTCGAGGTGGAGATCATGCTCGGTATGATGGGGCAGCTTGTCTGCTTCCACCTCATCAAACACATCTCGCAGGTGTTGGTATGGCTTTGGTATGTCTGCAGCCGTCACCACCTTATCTACCTCCACCTCCATCTCGACTCCTTTGTCTGCGCCTGTAGGTACAAAACCAAAGGCTGGGAGTGATGATGGTGGCTCCTCTAACAGCATGAACCCTATGGGTCCATCTTCCAGAGCTGCTCGTAGTATGCGCTCTGCTGAGACAAACTCGTTACCATGAAGGGTTGGTCTCCTCATGGTTAGGTCCCCTGCTCTTGCTGCTTCAGGGGGTCTCCTTGGGGGTCGGTCCTGCTCCTGAGTCTTGAACTCCAGCTGGCCCGTATCCCATTGTATGGTGGGTTTGAGCCTCCGTAGCTCAGTGAACCCCAGGATGAGGTCATAGTCCGCAGTGTCGGCCACTGAAGCTTCGACCACACCCAGATTGTGTGTACCAATAGATACCTGCATGCTTGCAGAACTATTGATGGAGAGTTGGTGCCTGGTGACACCATGGATCGATCTTGTTTTTGTGGGTTTTGTGGGTATTTGGTACTTACTAATGAAAGAATCTGAGACTATGGACAAACCAGCACCGGTATCAGCTAGTATCCGAGCAGGATGGTCTTGAACCATTCCAGAGAGCTCCAGTACTGCTTTGCCTCCACTGGTAGAGAAACATACTTGACAATCTTGATATATACAGAGTGATGGCGAGGAGGTTTGTAGAGCAATGCATGCCATCAGTGCATCACCCCACTGACGTTTCCCTCGTCATCATCATCATTGTGCTCCTCCTCGTGATCGGGGTCCATGGGTTGCTGGTATGAGCTGAGGTCCATGGCCTCGGGGTCACCCATCTCAGTGCTGCCTGTGTGGCCATCTCCTGAGTCGGTGGCCTCCTCGAAGGGGTCTGCTGTGGTGACCATAACCTTTGGTCCCATGGGTCGAGAGCTAAGAGGGTCTACCCTCCTGCTGGGGCAGTCTCTGGCCCAATGGCCGATACCTTTGCATACATGACAGGTGTTGATACCTGATGGAGCAGGGCTTCCTTGCTTCGAGGGTTGGGTGGGATGATGAGGAAGGGGTCGGTTTAGGTTTTGTATAGTTGCTTGTGTAGTTGCTTGTGATGGTGATCGAGCTGGATAAGTTTGAGTGGGTTGTCGGATGGGGATCGAACTTTGATTTGGCCGAGACCCAGTTCTTAGTGGAGGTGATGTGGCGTTTGGGAGTGAGTGTCTAGCCGAGGACTGCTGTAGTAGCATCCTCTGTCGATCGATCTCCTCAACCTCTCGATACCACTCCCATCTCTTCCCAGGTGGATTCCTCTCGAACTTCTCCTGTATGCTACGAGTGAGACTACCTCTGAAGAGATCAATCACTAGCTCATTGTCATCTAGGTTGACCTGTCCTTCCAAGTCTCTGAACCGCTCTACATGACGTGTGGCAGCACCAGGAGCATCACTTGTGAGTCTGAGAGCCAACAGCTTGTTGTATGCCTCCATCCTAGCATTGCGTGGGTTGAACTGCTCTGACAGTCGCTCTGTGAAGTAGTGCCAATCATTGAACAACCTTCCTTCTCTAGCTCTATCAATACGGAGCTTGGAGGTCCACCACTCTCTTGCTGTCCCTTCCAGTTGAGCACCCATGTGATTGATCATCCTAGACTGCTCATACACCTGGTTGAACTTAAACCATGCTTCGGCTTCTAGAATGAAGATCTCCATGTCTCGGGGATTGAACTTTGGAAAGGGGGTGGCGATGGGCTTTGACCGGTTAAGCTCTGCCATGATGCTGGTATCCTCCTCATGGTCCAGGGGGTAAGGGTCCGTCCTAGTCCTGCTGTAGGGGTCCAGCTTAGTCTTGACATATCTTGGCCCAGTAGGTGAAGCATACTTCTCATAGTTGATGTCCTCCTGCTCATCCAGGTTGAATGAGACTGATCGTCTTGATCGTGGAGCAGGAGTAGGAGTATGTGGGTCTCCTATCATAGACTCATCTCCTCCTCCTGCTTGGTCTTCCGAGTGAGAGAGGTCCATTGTCTCCTCCCTACCCAGCTGAGCTCGTTGTAGTCGTTCCTCTCGATGACCCTGCCTAGTAAGCTCTAGCTGAGCTTCCAATAGAGTGAGTAGTCTATCGAGCTTATTGTTGAGGTCTGGGTCCGTCATGGTGATCGTGAGGAGCTGCTTGAACGATCCACTCTAATGTCAGGGGTCTCGCGCCTGAAACCCAGGTCGGTCTGTCGAGATACTCGGTGACTATTAAACTGTGTGACAGCTATTGTCTCGGTATCGGTGACTATCAAGTTGTGCAGTGACAGCAGGTGGCGTTCGTTGTATATACTATCGTAGGTTTCGGCTGACCTCTGTGGACACTCCGTTCAGGGGTAGCTCGGCACGATCAATATCAATGTTATGATGACACCAAGGTCTGGTGTGGGTGTTGATGATGATGAGGTTGATGGTGTTGGTGATGAGATTGGTGATGTCGATGATAATGAGGTTGATGGTGTTGATGGTAAGGTTGGTGGCGTCGATGATAATGAGGTTGATGGTGTTGGTGATAAGGTTGGTGGCGTCAACACGAGTGTCCAGTGTGTTGACTTGATGCTTGAAGTGATCCCCGGACCGCAGTGGACTACTGCCTTCGGTTCTATCTATATCCGGACCGCTAACCTGCTATGGGCGCCTTCGGACGTCAGGTAGTGGTGATACAACACACACACTACGATGAGGAGCAACCTTGATAGATTGCTGCTATGCTGACTGTAACTAATGAGTACCTGTGTTTCTAAAGTATTGACTAGTTGTATGGTGAGTAGAGTGGATGGGGATCCACTCGACCTATGATGATGAGAAAGCATGGTTATATACCTCTTCACAGCATTGCCAGCGATGCTGCTCCTGCTCTCTCTCCAGAGAGTACCTTCTTCATCGAGTACTGCTCAGGGGCCTCTCCTGCTTGGCATCCCTGTGCCTCTTGTCGACACTGCTCCTCCTCCTCATGACCTGGTGTCGACTCCTTCGACACTGCTCCTCCTCCTTTGATCAGTGACAGTTCCTTTGGCTCTTGTCTCTCGAGCCCCTGAGTGGTAACCATCTGCATGCTCCTTGAGCTTGGTCCTCTTCGTGGCTGTGCCTGCTCCTTGAGCTTGGTCCTCCTCGTGGCTGTGCTTGGCCCTCCTTTGCATGTGAGTCCATAGGAGTCCATGGTCTCCATGGAGACTGCACTACGACCATGCTCTCTACTGGTGTCGACTAGGTCTTCGATACCTGTGCTCCTTCCATATGAACCCATGACCCTCCTGCTTCTTGAGCATCCAGGCCCATGACACCCTCTGGAAAGGCCCTGAAGCTAGTGAAAGGCCTATATGGATTAAAGCAATCAGGTAGAGAATGGAATATGGAGCTAGACTCACACCTACAAAAGATAGGTTTCTATTGCATGCTGAGCACTCCATGCCTATACTCAAGAGGGACAGGCGACAGCATGACAATCATCACAGCCTATGTAGATGACATGCTTATAACATCACCCAGTCATATGGAGGTAAGCCACACTAAGGATGAGATAATGGCAAAATGGGGAATGGAAGATAAAGGACCTGTGAAGGAGTTCTTAGGTGTAAGGATAGATCGAGACAGAATACAGAGAAGAATGACACTCGACCTAATGGCTTACATTAAGGCTATGGTGAGAAAGTGGCTACAAACAACTGATCTGAAGTCATGGGTACCAATGCAGAGCCTAATGGGTGTTACGGGTGGCGACAAGTGTGACCCATTGGTAGCAAAACAGTACCAAGAATTAGTTGGACAGCTTTTATGGGTATCTAACACAGCACAGCCCAACATATCATTCACCGTAGGAACACTAGCAAGATACATGTCGAGCCCAATGAGCAATGCATGGAAGGCAGCATTACATTTGGTGAAGTACCTCAATCAAACCAGCGAATATAAGTTACTCTTTGGAGATGAAGTGAACAAACACTCAGGACAGTGTCAGGGGTCGCGCGCCTGAAACCCAGATCTGTCTGTCGAGGTACTCGGTGACTGTCAAGTTGTGCGACAGCTATTGTGGGTTTCGACTGACCTCTGTGGACACTCCGTTCAGAGGTGGCTCGGCACGATCAATGTCGTTATGAAGGTTATGGTGATACCAGGGTCTGGTGTTGGTGTTGATGATGATGAGGTTGTTGGTGAATGTCGATGAGATTTGTGGTGAGGTTGGTCGCGTCAACACGAGTGTCCAGTGTGCTGACTAATGCTGAGTGATCCCCGGACCGCAGTGGACTACTGCCTTCGGTTCTATCTATATCCGGACCGCTACCTGCTATAGGCGCCTACGGATTGTCAGGTAGTGGTGATACAACACACGCACTACGATGAGGAGCAATCTTGATGGATTGCTGCTATGCTGACTGCTAACTAATGAGTACTTGTGTTCTAAGTATTGACTAGTTATATGGTGAGTAGAGTGGATGGGGATCCACTCGGCCTATGATGATGAGAAAGCATGGTTATATACCTCTTCACAGTATCGCCAGCGATGCTGCTCCTGCTCTCTCTCCAGAGAGTGCCTTCTTCATCGAGTACTGCTCAGGGGCCTCTCCTGCTTGGCACCCCTGTGCCTCTCGAGCTGTGTCGACTCCTTCGACACTGCTCCTCCTCCTCATGAGCTATGTCGACTCCTTCGACACTGCTCCTCTTCCTCATGAGTTGTGTCGACTCCATCGACACTGCTCCTCCTCCTCATGAGCTGTGTCTACTCCATCGACACTGCTCCTCCTCCTTATGAGCTGCTTGCCGGTTACCAGTGACCTCTTGTCAGCAGGCCGGTCCTTCATGACGTGCTTGGACCTCCTTGCATACAGGCCGGTCCTCCATGACGTGCTTGGCCCTCCTTGCATACAGGCCGGTCAAGTTGCTCTCCCACGCTCCCCTTCTATGAACCTCCATGCCCGTGTCCTAAGGCCTATGACACTACCCCCCTCTTAAGAGCCGAGCTCCGTTGAGGCTAGTCATGCTTCTGTGTCTGGTTCATACTAGCTCCTCTCCTCCTACTCCTCCTCCTGCTCTCTCCTCCTTCTTCTGCTCGCTCCTCCCCCCTCTGATACCTCATACTCCCGGATGAGGTCGGGACAGTCGAGGTTTGAAACGGGTTCCCAAGAGGCGGCCTCCTCTGAGTACCCCCTCCAAAGCACTTTGTACTCCGTAGTCCCATTGAATGAGCGCTTGTCAATGAGTGCTTCTACTTCGAAGTCGAGGTCTTCATCAGGAAGTGATGGTATGATTGGCTGGTCTGTCCTGTGAGGAAGTGAGCTAGTCTTTGCTGGCTCGAGCATGGAGACATGGAACACATCATGAACCCTAAGGTTTGCTGGCAATGTGATCCTGTATGCTCGGCGTCCTACTCGTTCCTGGACTGGATAGGGTCCTGCAAACCGGGTATCCAGCTTTGGTGTAGGTCGCCTGGTCTTCCAGTTCCGGCGGTTGATATAGACCATATCACCCACCTTAAACTCGATGTCCTTGTGCTTCCTGTTATACTGGTCCACCGTCCGACGCTGTGCCTCCCTGATCTGCTCCTGAAGATACTTGCAACGCTCCTTCCCATCCATGAGGTACTCGAAGCGACCTGGATCATTGACTCCTAGTTGTTGAGGGATGTCAGGATGGGCTTTGGGGTTCCATCCATAGCATGCAAAGAATGGTGAGACACCAATGCTGTTGTGGACCGTGTTGTTGTATACAAAGGCTGCAGTGTCTAGCAGGTCTGCCCAGTCGTTCTGCTCATAGTTGCAGTACATCCTTAGGTACTGCTCCACGACCTGATTGACTCTCTCTGTCTGACCATCAGTTTGAGGATGATAAGCCGTGCTAAGTGAGTGCTTCACACCCATCTGCTCTGCAAAGGCTTTCCATGCTCCTGATATGAACTGCCTGCCTCGGTCCGAGACCATGTGATCAGGGTATCCGAAGAGTCTAACCATGTGTCCATATAGCAACACTGCAGTCTGTTTGGCCGTGACTGTCTTATGGGTCGGGGCCAGGATGGCAAACTTGGTCAGCCTATCGACAATGACGAGGATGGAGTCATAGTTCTTTGAAGGTGGTAGTCCTTCAATGAAGTCGAGGGATATCGAGCCCCAGGGCCTGTCTGGTGTGGCAAGTGGCTGTAGAAGGCCATACGGACGATGACGAGGAGCTTTGTACCTCGCACAAACTGGACAACTAGCTACATAGTCAGCAATCCAAGCTGTCATGCTTGGCCACCAGTAGTGCCGTTGAGCTGCCTTGATGGTAGCATCTCTTCCTACATGTCCGGCAGTAACACCATCATGGCATTGGGTCATCACCATGAATCGCAGGTGCTCTACAGAGAGAGACTGTCCATCTACTTCCTTGGCACTCCTTGAGTGTCGGTTGTTAGTCCTCCCTGGCATGGTCACCTTGGGGATGACTAACCTTCCTCCACTGTACCATAGGTCGTCCTTGAGCTCGAAGGGCTTCTTCGAGTGTATCTCCTGTAGCTCTTGATCTAAGGGCTGGAAGATCTTGACCAGGTCTTTGAGCCCTTTCGATGCTATGGACTCCATCGAGAGCATGGGAGCCACTAGGGTCGAGTCATGGTCCGCTGTTTCCGCAAACACCCGAGGAGGCAGTAGTTGCCTCACATTGTGATCCTGCTCTTCACCAGCTGGTTGCATGTCTGCCCTTCTGGTGAGAGCATCGGGTTCACCACCTTTGTCTCCTGGTCGATACTGCAGGATGAAGTCGAATTCTGCTAGTAGTATTGCCCATCGAGCTTGTCGTCCTGTGATGCGTCTCTGTGACTTGAAGTACTTGAGGGCTTCATGGTCAGTGAGGATGACCAGTTGGTTCGGTAGTCCAGCTAGCATGTGTCGCCACTGAGTGAGGCAGGCGACCACAGCTAGGAGCTCCTTATCATGGATCTCATAGTTCTTCTCGGCAGAAGACATCTTCCTAGAGTAGAAGGCCACTGGATGCCATCGTCCTTCATGCTCCTGCTTGAGTACTCCTGCTATAGCAAAGTCACTTGCATCGGTCTCCAACCTTGTTGGAAGGTGGTAGTCGAAGTGCTGAAGCACTCCTGCTGATGTGAACGCTTGAATGAGCTGATGGAAGGCTTGTTGGGCCTCCTCCGACAACTCAAACTTCTTGAAGCGTTCCGTCGGCTTCACCAGTGATGTCAATGGCTTGGCTATCCGAGCGAAGTGAGCTATGAATCTCCTGTAGAAGTTAGCAAAACCCAGGAACCGTTGGATGTCATGGATAGACGCCGGCATCGGCCACTCCTTGACAGTCCGTATCTTTTCTGGGTCCATCTCAATACCCGTTGGCTTGATGATGTAACCCAGGAACTCCACCGTCTTGGTGTGGAACTCACACTTGGACAGCTTAGCAAAGAGCCTGTTGCTCTTTAAGCGAGTGAGGACCTCGGTGACATGCTTCACATGTACCTCCTCAGTGTCACTGAAGATCAGGAAGTCATCCAAGTATACTACCACATATACTCCAATGATGTCTCGGAAGATGACATTGATGAATGATTGGAAGTGAGCCGGAGCATTGGCTAGGCCGAAGGGCATCACTAGGTACTCATAGAGTCCCAACTGAGTGCCAAACGCTGTCTTCCATTCATCTCCTTTAGCAACCCGGATGAGGTTGTATGCTGCTCTAAGGTCTAGCTTGGTATAGATCCTTGCCTTCCTGAGCAAGAACAGCTGCTCCTCGATGAGGGGCAATGGTGCCCTGTTCTTGATAGTGATCTCGTTGAGACCTCTGTAGTCGACACAGAGTCTGAGACCTCCATCCTTCTTTGGTACGAAGAGCACTGGGGATCGTGCTGGGCTCTTCGATGGTCTTATGAACCCCTTCTTGAGGTTCTCATCCAAGTACCTCCTCAACTCGGACATCTCCTTGGGTCCCTTAAGGTATAGAGGCCCTTGAGGTGGCTTGCCTCCTTCTATCAACTCGAGGTGGAGATCATGCTCGGTATGATGGGGCAGCTTGTCTGCTTCCACCTCATCGAACACATCTCTCAAGTGTTGGTATGGCTTTGGTATGTCCGCAGCCGTCACCACCTTGTCCACCTCCACCTCCATCTCGATTCCTTTATCGGTGCCTGTAGGTACGAAACCAAAGGCCGGGAGTGATGATGGTGGTTCCTCCAACAGCATGAACCCTATGGGTCCATCTTCCAGAGCTGCTCGTAGTATGCGCTCTGCTGAGACAAACTCGTTACCATGAAGGGTTGGTCTCCTCATGGTTAGGTCCCCTGCTCCTGCTGCTTCAGGGGGTCTCTTCGGGGGTCGGTCCTGCTCCTGAGTCTTGAACTCCAGCTGGCCCGTATCCCATCGTATGGTGGGCTTGAGCTTCCTTAGCTCAGTGAACCCTAGGATGAGGTCGTAGTCGGCAGTGTTGGCCACTGAAGCTTCGACCACACCCAGATTGTGGTTACCAATAGTTACCTGCATGCTCGCAGCACTATTGATGGATAGCTGATGTCCGGTGACACCATGGATCGATCTTGTTTTTATGGGTTTTGTTGGTATTTGGTACTTACTAATGAAAGAATCTGATACTATTGACAAACCAGCACCGGTATCAGCTAGTATTCGAGCAGGATGGTCTTGAACCATTCCAGAGAGCTCCAGTACTGCTTTGCCTCCACTGGTCGAGAAACATACTTGACAATCTTGATATATACAGAGTGATGGCGAGGAGGTTTGTAGAGCAATGCATGCCATCAGTGCATCACCCCACTGACGTTTCCCTCGTCATCATCATCGTCTTGTTCCTCCTCGTGATCGAAGTCCGAGTCCATATGCTGCTGATAAGGCCGGAGGTCCATGTCCTCCTGCTCTGGCTCGGTATTGCCTGAGCGGCCATCTCCAGAGTCGGAGGCCTCGTCGAGGGGGTCCTTGGTGACGACCATGACCTTTGGTCCCATAGGTCGTGATCCCAGAGATTCTACCCTCCTGCTAGGGCAGTTCCTGGCCCAGTGTCCGATACCATTGCACAAATGGCAGGTGTTGTTGCTGCCTCCTGATGGTGCCGGGGTTCCTTTTGGAGCTGGAGTGGGTTGATGGGGAGGAGGACGGTTGTTTGAGTGGGGAAGGGGTTGGGTGGAGTGTCGCGTCGGATAAGGTTGAGACGGAAGATAAGGTGGAGCCGGTGATCGAGTTGAATAAGGTTGCGCAGCCGATCGCCGAACGGGGATTGAACTCTGGATTGGCCGAGTTCCTGGAGATGACGTGTTGTTTGCTTGCACGTGTCTAGCTGAGGCCTGCTGCAACAGCATCCTTTGTCGGTCGATCTCTTCGACTTCCCGGAACCACTCCCATAGCTCCTTCGGTGGATTCCTTTCAAACTTCTCCTGTATGCTGCGAGTAAGGCTTCCTCTGAAGAGGTCAATGGTTAGCTCGTTGTCTCCTAGGTTGACCTGTCCTTCCAAGTCTCTGAACTGCTCTACGTGTCGTGTGGCAGCTCCTGGTGCATCACTAGTAAGTCTGAGAGCTAGCAGCTTGTTGTAGGCCTCCATCCTAGCATTCCGGGGGTTGAACTGTTCAGCTAGTCGTTTGGTGAAGAACTGCCAGTCATTGAATAGCCTCCCTTCTCTAGCTCTATCAAAGCGTAGCTTTGAGGTCCACCACTCTCGAGCAGTACCTTCCAATTGAGAACCCAGGTGGTTGATCATCCGGGTGTGCTCGTAGACTTGATTGAACCTAAACCAAGCTTCGGCTTCTAGAATGTAGATCTCGATGTCTCGGGGATTGAACTTTGGGAACGGGGTTGCAATGGGCTTTGAACGATCTGCCATGATGCTTGCCTCCTCCTCCTGGTCCTGAACATAAGGGTCCACTCGGCTCCTGCTGTAGGGGTCCCTGGTCTTGAGATACTTCGGCCCGGTGGGGGAAGCATACTTTTCATAGTTGGTCTCAGCATGCTCATTCAAGTTGAATGAGACTGATGGTCTTGATCGTGGCGCCGGAGTAGGAGTATGGGGGTCTCCTATCATGGATTCATCTCCTCCTCCTGCTTGGTCTTCTGAGTGAGAGAGGTCCGTTGCCTCCTCAGTCAGATGAGCTCGTCGTAGTCGTTCCTCCCGATGGCTTTGTCTGGTCAGCTCTAGCTGAGCTTCCATTAGTGCTAGTAGCCGGTCTAGCTTGTTGTTAAGGTCCTGATCCGTCATGGTGATCGTGAGGAGCTGCTTGAACGATCCACTCTAATGTCAAGGGGTCGCGCGCCTGAAACCCAGATCTGTCTGTCGAGGTACTCGGTGACTGTCAAGTTGTGCGACAGCTATTGTGGGTTTCGACTGACCTCTGTGGACACTCCGTTCAGAGGTGGCTCGGCACGATCAATGTCGTTATGAAGGTTATGGTGATACCAGGGTCTGGTGTTGGTGTTGATGATGATGAGGTTGTTGGTGAATGTCGATGAGATTTGTGGTGAGGTTGGTCGCGTCAACACGAGTGTCCAGTGTGCTGACTAATGCTGAGTGATCCCCGGACCGCAGTGGACTACTGCCTTCGGTTCTATCTATATCCGGACCGCTACCTGCTATAGGCGCCTACGGATTGTCAGGTAGTGGTGATACAACACACGCACTACGATGAGGAGCAATCTTGATGGATTGCTGCTATGCTGACTGCTAACTAATGAGTACTTGTGTTCTAAGTATTGACTAGTTATATGGTGAGTAGAGTGGATGGGGATCCACTCGGCCTATGATGATGAGAAAGCATGGTTATATACCTCTTCACAGTATCGCCAGCGATGCTGCTCCTGCTCTCTCTCCAGAGAGTGCCTTCTTCATCGAGTACTGCTCAGGGGCCTCTCCTGCTTGGCACCCCTGTGCCTCTCGAGCTGTGTCGACTCCTTCGACACTGCTCCTCCTCCTCATGAGCTATGTCGACTCCTTCGACACTGCTCCTCTTCCTCATGAGTTGTGTCGACTCCATCGACACTGCTCCTCCTCCTCATGAGCTGTGTCTACTCCATCGACACTGCTCCTCCTCCTTATGAGCTGCTTGCCGGTTACCAGTGACCTCTTGTCAGCAGGCCGGTCCTTCATGACGTGCTTGGACCTCCTTGCATACAGGCCGGTCCTCCATGACGTGCTTGGCCCTCCTTGCATACAGGCCGGTCAAGTTGCTCTCCCACGCTCCCCTTCTATGAACCTCCATGCCCGTGTCCTAAGGCCTATGACAGACAGCAAATCGTTACATATACTGATGCAAATTGGGCATCGGACCCAATGAATGGACAAAGAAGCACATCAGGGGGAGTAACATACATGTATGGGTGCCCGGTTAGCTGGAGATCACATGTTCAAAAGTGCATGGCATTGTCAGCAGTTGAGGCTGAATTTGTAGCTGCTTTGGAGGCAACAAGAGAGGCTCTTTTCTTCTCATACCTTCTCAGGGACCTGGGAGTTGAGGCCCATCCACCGACATTGCGGACAGACAGTCAAGGATGTATCCAGGTAAGCAAAGACCCTGCCAAGCACTGGAAGTTGAAGCACATCAACACAAGGTACCACTTTGTCAGAGACCATGTTCAGGAAGGAGAAGTCAAAATTGATTTCATCAGGACAACAGACAATGTCGCAGACATCCTCACAAAGCCTTTAAAGGGCTTGGCCACATCTCAGATCACATGCCTAATAGGGTTGATGATGCCATTGAGGGGGGGAGTTGAAGATGTGTTGGCATCCTAAACTGAATCACGTGGTTCGCAGAGCACAAGCGAGACACCGGTGAGTCAGAGCTGCATGTCAACATGCATTGATATGCATGTGGGACATATAAGTACTTCAACCATAACACTCAGGAGATGGCAATGCTCAGGAGGTGACAACACAGGGGTGATATGAAGAATAGTTCATTATGATCTAGTATGGGCTGAAGGTAGCAATCAAGTATATATATGTTCACATTGTAGCACCTATCAATTAAAACATAACAACTGTTATATGCCTGATAAGTTGAGCTTGCTAGTAGCTCCTAAACAGTCGCGTTTTACCTGTAATCTACAACTATCCCACCTTATGGTACACCACTTGCATACAGTGTGGCCATGGCTGGGAGCTCACCAGCGACTCTCCCACAAGTTAGGCAATCTCACATTTCCCATGTCTCCAGTCCCGCGTGTGGTGCGTGCACCTGGCAACCAGACACTGATGGGAAGGTGCTCGAGAAGGGGTTTGTGTCGTCCAAGGCCTCCCGGTGCAGCAGTCAAGGCACGAAGCAGTGACCCAATCCGGAAAACGCCTTCATGACTGATCACGTGATGTAGGAATCCATTGCAATTGACATCTGTGATCATTTACCTTGACTCACGATTTGATTGACTTCGAACGATGCTCTTCATCTGAAATAGAGCTGAAAGCTCGGTTAGATTTTGTTTTGGTCAACTTCAAATCCCCATTTCTTGAGCAGATCATTTCTCGTTCTTCTTGACGATCATCGACAACTCCTCACCTTCTACAGCAAGCATCCATACGAAACGCTCAAATAATCTCGTCAGATAGCGGACCGAAAGATGTCGAAACTTCACGAGAAAACGCAACAAGCAGGGTTAGGTGATGGAAGTGAATTGAATGGTGGCATTGGGGGAACAAATGTAAGCAACTCCTCCGTTTCTCCTTCTTAGCTGCTGAGAGGGATGGTACTAACGTTCCCACGCCTTCTCTTCTCTCTATCTCCGACTCTTCAACTCGCTGCTGCTGGGACGATCATCTCGAACTGACTCATACGACCCTCTTAACTCGACCCTCTCCTCCAATGTCTCACCACCGAACCATACCCTCATTACCATCAAACGGCACTCTCACCCCTCCACTCCTTTCTTCCCCCATGCTCAACCCCATCGCTACAACACCTGCAGGCAGAAGCAACAAAACTCAGAGCAGCTATAGCATCCATAGACCCCGTAAAAGACTTCTTCCGCATTCCCTACATGCCTTGCGCACGAGGCTCTCTTCTCACAGGCATGGCAACCGCAGCAGGCGTAACAGGAATCTCTCTGGTAGCAGGAAGAGGTTTACGGCGAGGTTTAAACTGGGGTGTGGGAAGTTTTTGCTTCGTAGCGATTGCAAGTTGGGAAATATGTAGGAGAAATAGGAAAGCGGAACTGAACAGAATGAGGACCGTGATTGAGAGTTATAAAGGAAAGAGTGAGAATCGGGCTAATAGGCCTAGTTTGACGAGTATGGCCGCAAATCAGGAGCAGACAGCGCAAGGGTCAACATAGCAATGAAGGATTCGCAGCAAGCGCAGCATTTGGATCTTACACGCTGCAAACACATACAGTAGATCGATGCAACTGTATCAGACATTCTCCCACAGCTCAATCGCACTTATCCGTCACACATACAACACTGTCTGTCGAGCCATGCACAAGCCTATCATACACAAATGCAAAACGAACGTAACCACATCTGTTAAGATTGCAACAAAGACGCCTTCCTTTCTTGTGGCTATTTCATCTCATTTTTGCTCCTCACCTCCCTTCTTACCCTGCTGTTCCTCCTTCTGTTGCTGCTTAACCGCGAACTTAGCAGCCAGCAACTTTGCCGAACAATTCCTTATATTCTGTTCTGCTCTACTTATCCCACCCTCCTGTGCTCTCTTATACGCCACCAATGCATCTTCCAGCTGTTCGCACGCCTCTAGTACCGCAGCTAGATTATACTGAATTTCTGGATCTTCCGGTGTGATCCCCGCCGCCGTTTTCAAATGGTGTACCGCTAAATCCGGTCTACTCGGTTTACTCAGCACATACGCCGAGGCTAAATTTGTATGCGCATCGGCGGAATCGGGGGAAAGTTCTAGGGATTCGTTCCAAGCTTCGATGGCTGCGGGAAGGTCTCGGTCGTGATAGAGACATACGCCGAGGTTGAAGAGGGCGGAGGAGTTGCGTTTGATGGAAAGGGAGCGACGGTAGGAGGCGGCAGCAGAGGTGAGATCGCCGGATTCGAGATGAGTAGTGCCTTCTTCTAGAAAGCGTTGCGATTCTTCTTCTGCGGGATCGAGGGAGGTGGAGGTTGGGGTTGTGGATGTTGCGTACGTTCGACGGGTGAGGATGGTACGTGAGATTGCGGGAGATGCTCTGCGAGCAGGGGCAGGCAGTGTAGTGCGAGTAAGAGTTTTGGCTGATTGACGTAGCGTAAGGCTGGCGATGCGAGATGTTGAGACCAGCATTGTAAAGAAGGATCCCGTGTATGATGTTGAGTGATGGTGAGACGAAAGGTTGAATGATATCGGCGGGTGGGTAGAATTGACCGAAATGCGAGATCTTCCAAAAATTTCGGACTCGGCCGGAAATTACGCCTTGTAGACTGACGCAAGAAATCGTTGGACCCTTTCTTCCTCCACCCTCATACTCACTCAGTTGGTTCAACAACCATCATCTCTCCACTTCTCTCCACTCTTCCAACCTCAGACCTGAGGTTGCGACTGCCACTCACTCAGGCAGTCGCAAGCTCAGCCTCAGTTTCCGGGCATGATATCACCCTTTCGCTTTCGTCCTCATTTGGACAGCTTCGGCTTGATCAGGCAACTGACACCACGCCAAACCCGACCTTCATTGACACCCTCACTTAGCCCTACCCTCTCTAGCTCTTTCTCCAGCTCCACACCATATATAAAAGCCGCCTCAACGCCACTGTGTACAGCTCGCACAATATCCCAATCAGAAGCACCCTCAACTGCGCCTGCCGAAGCAGAATCCTCCGTCGCCCGCGGCACACGCTACGAATTGCTCTGTCGCTCCGTCCTGTCCTCCATCTTCGGCATGGCGCTCGAACGGACCGGAGGAGCAGGCGATCGCGGCATAGATCTCCGCGGCTGGTGGTCCCCTCCCCAATCCTCTAATCGAATCCGAATCCTCGCGCAATGCAAATGTCAAGACGAAGGAGGCAAGAAGATGGGTCCTGTACTCATTCGCGAGATGGAAGGCGTGATTTTTCGAGCCTCCTCCCCTTCTTCGGATACGGAGGAAGCTAGTGCACCAACAGCAGGGATCATACTTTCGAGTTCAGGATTTAGCAAACAAGCATTGTTGCAGGTGAGGAGTAGTGGGGTTGCGTTGGCGGCTATGCATGTTTTGGCCTTACCGCAGGTGAAGGTGGAGAATAGGGAGGAGGGGGAGTTGGTGGAGAGATGTGTTTCGATTGTTTGGAATATTAAGTTCGGTGGTGCGTATGGGTTGTTAGAGGGTGGAATGGAGGCAAGATGGGTGAGAAGCATAGAGGCAGGGGGCGGGAGTGCGATGGGTAGACCTGTGATCTATCGTGGTGGCAGGCCAATTTGATGGCAGTGCTTTTCGCCGACTGCCAGGAGCATTGGATACCGGATCTCAAGAGGGAGAGAAGCAAGATGATGCCACAGGCAAGTTGCTGATCATCGGGAAGAAGTGCAGACTTCGGCAGGTATGATACCAAGTTCTTCATCGGAAGAGAAAGATGTAAAGCCGTCTTGACGTTTCCGAAATGGATAACCGCGTATCCGACCCTCCCCATGTCCTCTAGCCATGAAAGACGTGAAGTCTCGGCCCAAATGGCCGACCAAGATGTCCCGGAACAAGAGAGAGTCTGTGTATCACCGTCACGGGTTTGTGATGTTGACTAGGGAGCCCAAATGGATAGCCGTTACACAGTTCGTGTAGCGATGAAATTCGGTTTGCCAAAGTCCCGAATTTGAGAATTTCTTTGGAGAAGAAGGACAACCAGTTAAGCTCACGGGTTTGTCGCACGTCATACCGGTTTTCCTGTAACAAACACCAAGCGGAAATACGGTTTCGGCGAACTCTGGGCTAAAAAATCCATAGCCGTCGTTCGCACTGGCCATATCGTAACCGTACAACCCCGTTATCTCCCCCTTCAGCAAACTTCCTGAAGACAATATCACTTTTCAACTCACAACCATAACATCCCTAGCTTCTGAATGAAAGCATATAAACTTCCCCTTCGACTGCCTCGTTCCCATCTCTCCATTCCATCTTTTTATCGCTTCATCACACAAGCCCGTCATCTCAAGATGCCTTCCCACGCAGCCTCTACAGGCGGAGCCGCTGATATGGCCACCTCGAACTTTGTCTCTGGTCTCACCTCTCCTCTTGTCAATGACATTTCCGCGCTCAAGATTGACAACTTTGTCGCTACTCGTCAAGGACATCCTCCCCCCGGCTCCCTCCCTGACTCTATCCTGCCAGAGGGAGTGGAAAAGCCTGCATTGTTCAGGACGATCACCCTTCCTTTTGCCAGCCCTGAAGATGGCGGGAAGCAGACGTACAAGAACAGGGTGATTGTTTCACCCATGTGTCAGTACAGCGCTAAAGATGGTCTGCCTACGCCCTACCATATTGCTCATCTTGGATCATTTGCGTTGCATGGTGTCGGGAATGTGATGGTGGAAGCAAGTGGCGTTGTGCCTGAGGGTAGGATTACTCCGCAAGACTTGGGGATTTGGTCAGAGAAGCATAGGGATGCACACAAGGCATTGGTTTCGGTGTTGAAGAGCTTTACTGATGGGTTGGGGGTAGGGTTGCAGCTTGCTCATGCGGGGAGGAAGGCTTCTGATTGGTCGTCCTTTTCCAGGGGCGAGAAGAAAGAAGCTAGGTATGTGACAAAGGGAGAAGGTGGTTGGCCGGAAGACGTTGTTGCTCCCTCTGCTATACCCTACAATGATGGTTATATCACACCTCGAGCCCTCACCACTGAGGAAGTGAAGGGATTGGAAGACAGGTTTGTGCAGGCGGCACGATGGGCCTTCGAAGCAGGCTACGATTATGTCGAGCTACACGGTGCTCATGGGTATCTTATGCATTCTTTCCTTAGTCCTCTGACTAACCATCGTACGGATGAGTACGGTGGAAGTTTGGAGAACCGTGCGAGGTTTATGCTCAACGTTGCACGTCGCGTTCGTTCCGAGTTCCCGAACAAGGGTGTTTGGGTGAGAGTTAGCTCCACAGACTGGGCTGAAAACGCAGGGAAGGGTGAGAGCTGGACGGTGGATCAGACTGTTCAACTCGCACTTTGGTTGCAGGAGGCAAAGGTGGATTTAATCGATGTTAGCTCTGGTGGTCTGGTGCCTTTCCAGAAGATTACTCCGGGGGCTGGGTACCAGCTTTTCGGCGCCAGGGCGGTGCGCGAGGCGCTGGTGAAGAGTGTAGGAGAGGAGAACGAGGGGAAGAGAATGTTGGTCGGAGCCGTGGGAATGATGGAAGGTTCGAACGAAAGTCCTGATGGTCGGGATAGGTCTCAGGTGGGTAAGCTTGCAGAGCAGAGTATTAGAGGTGGTGACTGTGATGCTGTCCTGTTGGCGAGAGGTTTGATGTCCTATCCGAGCTGGACAGAGGATGCGGCAGTTGCATTGACTGGGACCAGGGTTGCTGGTAATCCACAGTATCACCGTGTTCACCCTGCCAAGAAGGCTTGACTACATCGCCCTCGCTCATCGCGCAGTCTTTTGTAGCTAGACACCCACATTCTCGTTCTTTCTTCGAATGCTAGAGTTGTTTCCAATTACTTTCCAGTGATGTGCAATGAAACATGATGTTCTCCGAGAAAAATTAGAGCTTGTGCTTGCCCTTAGGTGGGAACTGCGGATCAGCCCTAATTCTGACCACGGCCTTTCCCCAAGTCTTTCGATCCGCCAGATCCTTCAATCCATCCGGCACACTTTCCAATCCTTCGTAGATATGCTCGAAGACGGTAGGAGTGACCTTCTTTGTCCTGAACATATCAAGCAATGCTTCCCATGTCTCACCGATCTTGTCAGGTTCATTGCGAACATAGGCACCCCAGTGAACACCGGTCACGGCGACGTTCTTGAGCAAGATAAGGTTGGCGGGGATCTTCTCGATTGTACCGGCTGCGAAACCAACGACGATGATTCGTCCGTTCCAAGCGATGACTTTGAGAGAAGGGACGATCATTCCAACGGGATCGTAGACTACGTCTACTCCGTGGCCGTCCGTGATTTCTGCGTTGAGAAAGGGGGGTAGCAAGGAGGAGTGTTAGTGGAGAGAAAGGGGCGAGTCTGGCAAGTGAGGGTGGTGGGGACTTACTTTTGACTTGAGCCTGCCAATCCTTGTCCCGATAGTTGACGGCGTAATCTGCACCACCGTGTAGCTTGCACACACGGAGCTTATCGTCCGAGCCAGCGGTAGCGATGACCTTAGCGCCCATAGCTTTGGCGATCTGAATGGCGCAAATACCGACACCCCCTGCACCGGCATGCACGAGAACCCACTCATCTGGTTTCACCTCAGCTCGGAATTTGAGAGCGGCGTAACTGGTAGGCCATGTAACGAACAACCCTGCAGCTTGTTCGAGCGTGATACCTTCAGGCACTTCCATGAGTTGCCAGTAATCAGCTTTGGCCTTTTCGCCGTAAGCGCCCTGAGCAGCGCCAAAGACGCGGGTCTTGCCGGGGACGAAATCGCATCCATCCGGGATAGGGGAGTCTTTGGAGATGATACCGGCCATTTCGACACCGGGGACATAAGGATGAGGGGTTTTGACCTGGTATTTGCCTTGGACGGCGAGGATGTCGAAGAAATTGAAGGCGGCGGAGTGGACGTCGATGAGAACTTCGGAGGATCCGGGAGTGATCTTGGGTTCAGGAACATCGTTAGAGAGAGTGTTTGGGAGCTCGGAGGGAGCAATGTCTTTGTGCAGGTAGAAGGCCCTCATTTTTGCAAAATTCGAAGAGGGAACGATGGTGATGGGTGAGGGTGAGGGTGGGGAGAGGGGAGAGGGGAGAGGGGAGAGGGGTGAAGGATGGTGAAGACGGAAGGTAGGATGAATGCTGATCGAGGCAAAAGTATGGGGTCCGGCGAGGTGCACACAACCCCACACCAGCCAAGAAGCCGGCAAGAGTGAGTGCAACCGGTAAGAGATGCTCGCGGTCTTCCGGCTTCTGTCTCGTGTGGCTTTGCTACTGTAACTAGCCGGACTTGAGACTGAGAATCCTTCTCGGCCGTGTTGCGTTGCGTGAAAGTGGTGTGATGATTGGACCCTGAAGGTCGCATTGATACTTTTTTTTTTTGGTTGGAAGGATCACACGATCTCAAGACTTTGCTCCAGCATACATTGCATCGTCACTTGTCACTTTACATCGCGTTGACAAGCGCAAAAAACTCATCATGTCGGCACTGGTCCATCTCGCATCGCCGCAAACCAAGAAGGCGCCTGTCGTCGTAGAGCCAGGTCGCTATCCACTCGCTCTTCCTGATGGCCACAAGTTCACCATTACGGTCAGTCACGACAAGGGCTCTTCCTCCCATGCTGACAACGAAACGGAAGAGCGAGTGCGACACCTGGTCAAGCTAGACTCTCCCCGACCACATGCTACGCTCGACTCTACGAATGTTCTGCGTGTTATCTCTCCTCTGCCTCCGTATCCAAACCCATCGGCTGAACCAGACACGAACGGTCTCGCTTTCCGCACCACACGATTCGCTGAATGCCAGCTTCAGTCGGAAGGTAACGATGCAGATAAGGAGCATGTACAGACAAATGCGCACCATGTCTGGGGCTGGGTCAACGTCATCTTTGCACTCTGGCCGCAACAGGAGCATGTTCTGCTCAAGACAGATGGGTTGGACCCGTCATTTGCTTCCGCTCTGATCAAGTCTGGTCTGGCGGCCTTGGACCCTTGGAATCCACCTTTGCTGTCTACATCAGGCGCAAAGACGCAGATCGACACCTCACGGCTGTTGATCCCACGCGCTGCCTTCTGGCAAGGCTGCAACTCTCCAACTACTGGCTTTGCGCCCTGGATCCTTCCTCTAGCAGACGCGGCAACACGGAGTGCACTTCTGTCTTCCAACTCGGAAACAGTCACAAACCCTCTCACTGCACCTTTCCGACCACCACCTTCGGCAGGTCCCATCTACTCTCGTTTTATTCCGAGACTCAACTCTCACCTCACATTCCGAGTCGCTTCCTCCACCAACTCCAAAGACGTCGACCTGCTCACAGCGTGGCACAACACAGACCGAGTCAACGAAGGCTGGCGACAGCGTCTCACCCGCCAAGAGCAGCTCGCAGAGATGCAAAAGAATGAACGAAACCCATACACCATCGGTCTCATCGGTGAATGGGATGGCGAACCTTGGGGCTACGTCGAGATTTACTACTCAAAACAATCGAACCTCAAAGATTTCTACAATGCGGGACAACACGATCGTGGCTTCCACGCTCTGGTCGGGGAAGAAAGATTTAGGGGAGCTCATCGGGTGAGATCGTGGATGGGAAGCGTAGTGCACATGATGTTTTTGTTGGATCCGAATACAAAGCAGTGTGTTTCGGAACCGAGATTGAGCAATACAAAAATGGTAGAGTATGAGATGATGGTGGGTGGGAATGTGGAGAAGGTGGTTGATTTTGGACATAAGCGAGCTGCGTTGGTGGTGTTTGGGAAGGAGAGGTACTTTCAGTTGTGTCCGATGGGGCCACTGCCTGAACAACTTACTTAGACTCGGTTATCGGATAATAGCATACAAAGCAAACGATCCTTCGAAAGCAAGATAGCTTGGAAAGAGCCGAACAAGGCCGCCCTTCGCTGTTGACCGGAACAAAGTATAACGTACCACAATGGTAGATAAGAACGCATCAATGGAAGGATACACCAATAATCAGCATGTTTCAAGAGTGTTTGTGGGATCGCAAATATACGAGCTTGCCGCGGGCCGATGGTGCATGCCGACGGACGGGTTGGAGATACCAGGCTTTAAAGAAAGAGCTGGCGCGATCAGCATGCACAGCATGTGCAGGAGGCTGTGCGTGACTGCATCGTACAGCTGAGCAAGAGCAAGCAAAAGCCGAACATGTTCGCATCAGAATGGGAACAGAAGACGCCGCAATCGAGTCGACTAGTGTGCCATTCAGATTTGAGATGATGGGTTTCATGCCACCGAAGAGGCGATGGCGTTTGATGCGATAGCTAAATTTCTCTCGAGTCGAGCGATAATACACGCGAGACGATGGTATCGCGAACCTGCCCTCGCCCACGCCGACTTTGGCATCACCCACATTTGGGTGTGGGTGTGGGCGCAGTCGATCTCGGATCGGGGGGGGGGATGGCTTATTCGGCAACATCCATGTGCACAGCAGTAAGATCAGCGTCACACAAGACAGTATCAGACACAGAGCACTATGATTATCGGCAGTGATCGGCCGATCTCTCATTGGTCTCGCGAGGATGATGGAAGCGAGACGGGCTTGGGGGGTTGCTCAAAGGCGTGGAAGCGAGCATCATCACCATCATCGTGGTCGGTCGGCGTCAATAGAGCAAATTGCAAGGTGGCTGAGCATTCGGTTAGATACCGTATGCTTCGGAAGTGCGGACATCCATGGGAAGAACGGCTCTGCGGAGATCATGAAATCCATGCCGTTCGCATGAACGAGAGATATCAGAAGCTCAAAAGGGGAATGTACGAAGCCATGTTGTGGTGGAAGTGGGAATTCGGATCCGAAAATATACTAGGCGAGGCAAAACAGATGGTATGACTGGTCTAGCCTCGCAAAGGTATAACATTCATGCCGAGTACACACAGGAGGCTCGGTCGGCATCGTGAAAGGATGACACGGGCATGTCTATCAAAGGAAACTGGCGATAAGGCCTTGAGCATGAAGCAGCTGAGCTTCAAATCGTAAGAATGATCAAGAGAAGCGGGGAGAAAAGGAGAAGCGTAGATCGAAGCCATCCGGATACCAGGGGTTGCTGAGTCGACAAGAAGTATGGAACAGCCACTGTGTCATGTGTATGTGCTGAAGGAGAGCGGAGTTGGAACCGAAAGAAGCTCGCTTGTTACTTTTCGAGGACACTTCCGGTTCCAAGTACGCGATGGTTGAGGTTGTTGCTGGTGTTAGTTAGTGCCTTGGATGGACAATGAATGACCCTGACCCCGGAAGAGCGGGATCGGACGAGGTGTGACCGAGAGTGTCTGTCAACGTGCACTTGCCGCAGCCCGCTGCAATCTGCTTGGAAACTCAAGTCAGACTTTCCTTCTCTGCCTTTGTGCCCTTCTTCAGCGTACCTCTGTGTTCTGTGCCATCGTCTCTTGGGTTGACTCGAATTCGACTCACCTGACTCGGTTGTGCGGATTCAAATGACGAGATCGCCTGCAGAAGGCGCAGCTACGTTTCCCATCTGGCTTTTATTGTCGTGTGTTGCATTTCATGTGAACACTTGGCAACGAGAACAGAACAGAGCCATGATGATGGGTCAAGGGTCACAGACGCTTCCGAGGCGAGCTGTGCGGTTGTCGATGACCTGCGATAAAGTAATACCCCCTCCTCCTCCTCCTCCTCCTCCTCCTCCTCCTCTTTCGGATCCGAAAACAACCTTTAGCATGTGAACTAGCCCAAAAGACAATATTGATTCACGTTTGTTCATATCTCCATCCTGCTGTTGCACTTCTCGATCGTCGTTCAGCCAGGCTGTCTGTGGGGAAAGACGGAGATGATGTGATTCGTACAACAAGCTGAAGAAGAGTGTCGGTAGATTGAGCGGAAACGCAGCGACTCCCAGGTCATCTCGCACCAAATCAGATGTCACTGCCCACCATCACGTTCTCCGAGAGTTGACTCGGCAAGTATGCGCATGCAAGGTGTTTGCTGTGCTCTGCTCTTCTCTTCTCAACAAAATCATTCTCGCCAACCGGGCTCGTTTAGGGAAAGAAAAAGGTCGGTTGACAGGATGCACAAGCAAAGTTAGAGCTGAAGCTGAGAGCACTTCTGACAGGCGTAACTCAGCTCCTGCAAATCTTGTGTCCTGCTTGTTGTGTTCACTAATCCTGACCCTCAAGACTCACTCCTTCCGACTTGTAGTGTTCCTCCTTCTTTCCCTCTTCGACCATCATTTGCATTTTGATTTGATTCGCCTTGCTATCATCAGCTGCGGTTCACGTCGCAGCAGCACGACACTCTTCCATTCTGTACGGAAGCAGTCATGGCATGCTCCCACGTTGCTCCGGCTCTCCCCCTCCACCACCAGCCTAGCGATACTTGACTCGACCGCCCCCCTCCAATCAACACCATCACCAACCTCTTCTCGCCGTCGTCGCACTCAATAAAGTATCGACCATCAACACCCTTGCCTTATCTACTCGAATGGCTACAGCATCCCCCTTCATGCTGTTCTTGTAGCATCAGCATCAGCGTCTTCCACCAACTCGTCACCCAAACCCACCTCTCAGCTACTCCTTTGGATCTCAATACCCACCCAAGCTAGCACTCGCAGTCATGGATCAGTACGACCACTTCTCAGCCCTCTCAGCACCCAGTGGCTCTTACCCTTCAGCCAGCAATGGCAACACCAACATCCTCCTCAATCACGGCATGGTCTCTTCCGAGGACCTCACAGAGATGCCACGCATTCAGAAGCGTCCACGACGTACCCATGCTCGTCGTTCTTGTCAGATGTGTCAACAGCGCAAAGCAAGGTGCGAGTTGCCAGACCTTGACGTTCCTTCTGGTCCTCTCCCACTTCCAGAGCATCAAGCTTGCCATCGTTGCAAGACCCTTCAGATCTCGTGCATTGTCGATGATGCCAACAAGAAGAAAGCCAAGAAGCCAGCTGCTGATGGCATCAACGCCAAGCCAGCGTCGACCAAGAAGCGAGACTCTGTACCCAACGCTGTCCGACAGCAAGGCATGCGAAAATCATCCACCAATGCTTCCCTCTCTTCTTCATTAGGCGAACCAATGAGCATCGCTAGCACCGGCAGCAGTAATGCCACCAGCCTCTTACCTTCCGGTGTCGCCTCTGCCGATACTGATTCCGATGCCGACAACCTCAAGTATGCTGGAGGTCGCGTGTTCGCTGATCAGATTGTATACCCCGCCGAAGCACGTCTCGTCTCCCGGACCCCTGAATCGTCCTCAGATGAAGGCACACCACCGCCTTCCGCCGCTAACAACGATCAAGCCAGTGCAGCTTCCGGTCGTGCCGGTTCCACAGAGACCTACATCCAGACAAACGATCGCTGTCCCAATGACACCGCAAACATCGATATCTGGGAACGCTTTTCCACCTGTAGTCGACCTCTCACCCTACTCACCGAGCTAGTTCCACGTCAGAATGGCTTCGCCTCCAAAGTCTTCCGTCTGGTCTCGGCACGAGCTACCATTGAGACTGACATCACAGAGCTTGTCTCTAACGAAAAGTCCAAGATCCTCAGCGACTGGTGCGAGGAGAACCTTACCTTGTGGCTACCCCATGTTTCCAACGCACATCAGCTACGTCAAGATGCACTTCAAGGCAAGCAAACGCTCTCGACACAGCTGCTCGAGCAAGTTCTCTACTTGATTGCCATGCAGCACATCCGCGATCCTAAGGATGACGTGGTACGCTTCTCTGTTGCCAGGTTCGTCATTCGCGATCTGGCACGAGTCATGATGACTTCTCCACGATCGCAAAAGGCTGTCGAAGCGTTGGAGTTGCTCGCTCTCTTCCCTGTCGACGTCTCGGTCATTCCAGGTCCGTCTCGTAATCGCATCCGTACCGACGCGCTTATCAGCACAGCCGAACGATTCGCTCGTTCTGTCCGCCTTGACCGCGTAGCACTCACGGCTGCCGCACCTTACTCCTTCTTCTCGTCGAACAACCAACTCGACGATTTCGAGACCAAACGCACCGCAATGGAGTGGGCTAGCGTCAAGACATGGCACAACTGTTTCACCATGGGTGACGACGAGCTGTACGAGAGCGTCGATGAACGATTCTTCTGTGATGATTGGAGTCGATCCTTGATGCTGACTACTGAAGAAGACGCCGCCCCACTCGATCTCACTCCTGAGGCTCGCGAGGCCAGACTTTCAGGAGAAGAGCTAGCGATCGGTACAGAATACCACATGTTTGCGGAGCGACGCTGGTCCAGAAGACGAAGGATCGGAAGCACAGGTTTGGCAATGCGATGCTTGGCGATGAAGCAATTGCTCGTTGCCTTCGACGCTATTCGCAACTCTCCCATCGACGTTTCCGAGTCCGAACGCATTGCCAATGTGTCAAAGATATTTGACGAGTATACCAGACAGATCAGCGCCGTCGATCAAGAGTTCCGCGGTCACCTCGTTGATGGTCCCGATGGCTGTCAGGTCTTGTCCACATGGCTCACACTCGAAACCACTGCTGGCTACCTGCTTGTCCTTGGCGCCGGCATCCTTCGTAGTCTTGGCATCGACAAGAAGGAGAGTTTACCATCTCACGAACTTGCTCTTCTCATCCAAGATGAAAACGCCTCGGCAGTCATGCGCACCTTTTTGACGCGCTATGGAGAGCAACGCATCCTGGCAGCCGAGAAAGTGCTGGTCAACGTCTCCCTTCTGTGCTCGGAAGCTCGATCTGGCCGCGTAGCTCCTTCTGGGGATTGGACTCGCGATATGCTGCAGGCAACACACTCGCCTACACCGAATAAGAAGCGTTGGATGGTCGAAGGGCAATCTCGCACGGTGCTCCCAATGATGAATGTCTGCGGCTACGCCCTCGAAGCGGCGTTCAACGCAATGGAGATGCACGCTACCATGTTCAAGCTTTGGAAGACACCTCCGAAGAGGTCGGAAAGCTGGCAGGCGGTGTTCAGCAACGTCATCAAAGCGATGTTGAGTCTGGATCCTAAGGGCAGCATTCAGAATGGAAGCATTCCTGCGACTTGTGCGTATGTCTTGCAGGGAATGTTGAAAGTCATTGTTACTTGGACTGATTGTTCGAGGAAGAAGGAGAGCCAGCGTACTACGGCAAACACTCCTGGTCGAGGCGCAGGGGAAGGCGGTGGTGTAGGAGGCAGAGCGAATGGTTTCAGTAGTTCGCCGGATGTAGCAAGATACGAGGCTTTGCTGCAGGACTACGCCCAGCAGCAACCGCAGGGTCTGGCCAATGGAGGGTTCAGCGTCACAGCCTCATTATTCGAAGCTAACTTACCACACCAAGCCCAAGGGTATAGCGATCTCCGCTCCAAATTCTGTCCCAACCCAACCAGCAATATGCGATCACAACCTTACCAACCTGACACAACAGAATCTCTCGCAGCAGCTATCCCGCCTCCTCACTTCACAAACCTTGCTCAACAGCAAAGCTACTCTTTCCCGCAACTCCCGCCTTCAGCGATGGACACCTCGAGTTACCGTTCCAATCCTTCGAATTCTTCTAGTCATTCTCATAGCCCACCTCACACCGCCGACTACACGTCTGCGAACGGAATGCAGGGAGCTGCTGTAAACGGTAACGGTGAAGGAACAATGGCAAGGGGGATGAACACGAACGCAAACGGAGAACAAATGCCTGCGGTTGCTATAAATAGTTTGGATTTCATCCTGAACGATGTTTTGGGCTCTAGTGAATGGAGTGGTATTCTTAGGGATATCTGGAGGACGGACATCTGAATTCCTCTCTCCGCTATCCAAACTCATTTCAAACATTCTCGTACTCGTTCCCTCTCACAGCCTCACCCTCTTCTGTCTTTGTCTCTCTCTCACCGCAATGTTCATGTATACTAGTAAGGAATAAGCTAGTCGAATCTATTCTATTCATCATTGTCCATCATCCCGCCCTTCTCCCCAAGTGCTGGTCAGCAGTCAGGCACGGCAACGGGCACCCTAACCGCCGTTGCCAGTCCCCCCAAACTCGTCTCCTTATAACTCGTATGCATATCTCTGGCCGTCTCTCTCATAGCTGTAATTGCATCATCCAACTTGACACTATGAGTTCCATCGCCTGCCAGCGCCAACTGAGCCGCCGTAACCGCTTTCACCGCTCCCAATGCATTCCTTTCAATACATGGAATCTGAACCTGTCCATTCAGTGGATCGCATGTCAACCCCAGATTATGCTCTATTCCAATCACACTAGCCTGCAAAATCTTTTCGACACTGCCTCCCAACACTGCTACAAAACCCGCTGCGGCCATGGCGGTTGCGACGCCAACTTCGGCCATACACCCACCCTCAGCGGCAGAAAGGGTTGCTCCACGTTTGAATAGCATTCCGATAGCAGAGGCTGTGAGGAGGAAGTTCTGGAGATCGCGGAGTGGTGCATCGTCAAAGAGGAATTCAAAACAGTATTTGAGAACGGAGGGGAGGACGCCAGCTGCACCGTTGGTCGGGGCGGTAACTATGCGACCACCCGAAGCGTTCTGTTCGTTGGTTGCGATTGCGTAGCATGTAAGATAGTCAATTGCCGGGAAATTAGTGCGACGTGGGGGGGAGGGTGGGAGAGGGTGGTTGAAGTTTCCAATCACCCTAGGCGGCATTGATCCTAACTGTCCTACCAAGTCCATACTCGAGGCTCCTCCGACACCGCCTTCTATACCTGGGCCGTCCCTTCCGGCACCCCAAGCGCCGCCGCCACCACCCACAGCTCCAGGCGAAGGAAGCGAAGCGCCACGATACAACCCCCTCAACAACCTCGAATAGAGTTTCGGCGCACGTCTCTTCACACCCAACGGCCCTGGCAATTTCTCCTCCCCAGACTCGACTCCGGCACGAATACACTCGTCCATAGTAGTCCAAATCTTAACCAACTTCGCATGGACAGCTTCGGGAGAGTTCCAAGTGAGTTCGTTCTCGTAGACAACTTGGGCGATGGTAAGGTTGTGCGTTTTACATTGGCGGAGAAGTGATGCTGCGTTGTGGAATGGGAATGGAGGGCCGGTGCTTGGTCGCGAAGTCAATTTCTCTGGTGAGTGAGTGTTGTCTGATGGTGAAGGTAGGGAGGACGGCGACTGAGGTGCTTCAACCTGGGGAAGGAGATTAGCAACGGTGGGGATGGAGCCAGAACGTCGACCGTCGGAAGCATCTGAACGTCGAATTTGTTTGTAGAATACGTTTTCGCCCCAGTCTATTGGGTGTGCGGTCAATGGTGGTTCGTCGTGTAGTGGAGCCGGTGTTGCATCTGGTTCTAGTGACTCGGTGTTGGGGGTAGTGGCTGGTGTCGATGCGGATGAAGAGTTAGGTGTTGCCAGCGCACCATTAACAACAAACCCCCCACCCACAGAATAATAATCATTCGTAGCCAACATCTCCCCGTCTTGATCGAAAACACTCATCCTAATTCCATTACTATGATGCGGTAACACTTGTCCAAACATCCATTTTAGATCCCTCTCATAATCAAAGTCGACCACCTTTCCCCCCTTCGCCCCCTCTCCTTTGCCCGTTCCCTTGCCCCCTAGGGTTTTATGCAAGTTCTTCGCCAAATGCAACCTCCGCTCTTTCTTAATTTCCTCAAACCTTACCGGAACACTCGGCGGATCGACCGTCTCACAATCATCACCCTCCAACCCACCCAGTAGGGCTTGGGGAGTCATGTGCCCTGCTCCGGTTAGGGCTAGGGATCCGTAGAGGTTGATTTTGATCGTGTGGACTCGGTGGAGGAGGTTCATGTCGGCTAGCTCGGAGACGAAGATGACACCGGCTCGCATAGGGCCGACTGTATGAGAGGAGGAAGGGCCAATGCCGACGGAGAATAGGTCGAAGGTTGAGATTACGGCATGCTCTGTTTCGTTTGCTTCTGGCGTTGGCGTTAGGGATGATGATGAGGAGGGGGAGAGCGCTCGATTCGAGGTGTGCAGGGTTCGTTTGTGACTAGGTTTGGTGAGCGGCGCTGAGCTTGAAGGTGAGGTTAAGGTCGGTTTCAAGGGCGATTCGATGATTCGTAGGCCAGCGAGGAGGGTTCTTCGCTGGAAAGTTGGCTTAGTGGTTGAGCGGGCTGTGTTTCGCAATAACAGCGACGCTGCGTGCCGCGGTGACACCATGATGACTGCAGAACTCGATATCAGGACCAGATATTGTTGTGCCCAAAGCCTCCTTTCTGGTGGTGCTGGCGATGATGGTGGTGAGAAGCAAACCTCTTCCTCGATGAAGGGAGTGGGTGATAGGGGAAGCAGCAGCGCCGGCACTTACAAAGATAAGAGAGCCAATGGTGACAGTTGCGTTTCCAACACCCGAACGCGCCCTTGAGGTCCGAAGAACAACACTTTTTTCCTGCACCGTCACGAGTCGCTTGCCTCTTATGGTAACTGGTGGGTACAAGCATATCCCGGTCAAGATGCCGACCTATCGTCGGCGGTACACATCTTCTTCCTCCCTCACCATCAGATACACTCACATCACACTTAATCACTGATCAAAGTGGTATAGATTTTAAAGGATGAAGCGGCGACGACATATCATGTCTGAGCAGCACTCCTCCTGGACGACGACCTGGGACTAAAACTAAGCACAACATGACAAGTAGGACAAAAAGCCTGTGCTGTCAACCATGACACTAAACAAACATCGTGTAACTCATGTCCACAGTCCAATCTACAAAACTCGTACTTCCTCCCCTCCTTTTCTCCCTCCTTTTCCCCCTCCTTCTCCTCACCCTCACCTTCCATCGCCTTGCTACGGGTGAGTTCGAAGCAAATCGCACAAAACACATCATCACAAGACTTCCACTTGTAGTCCCCCGCCTCTTTTGCCGCTCTCGGCCTTTGGACACTTGTATATGGATCCTTCCCTTCCTCCAGCACCACTCCCCATCTCCGTCTTACAAATTCGAGACACTCAACTGAACTTCTTGCTCTAGACCAGATTTGAGTGAGAGATGCAAGTTCAGACCGCAAACTGAGCAGAGAGAGCACGGGAGGGAGAGAAGTGGGTGAAAGAGTGGGGAGACGGAGAGTGATGATTGCGTAGAGCAGGGTTCCAATGAGTTTGTCGAATAGAGAGGTGGCTGTGTCGGAGATCCATTTGGTGGAGACTAGGACGGATTGACCTCGGAGTCGATGGGAGGCGGAAAGGGGAAAAGCGTCGGATCCGGGGATTGTCGGCATCATTTCGGATTCGGGTAGCCGGAGCGGGGCGATGGGTCGTGCGACCGAGGTTGTGCGAAGGATTTCGCTGTGAGGTGCTTCAACTCGACGGTACACTTGCTGAGGGATAGAGTCGTCGGTGGTAGTAGGGGCAGCTGCGGCAGTGGGTTGAGTGGTGTTGACAGCTGTTGTGTTGGCTGTAGGTTGAGCTTGTGTCTGTTGTTGCTGTGGAGCTTGGGCTGCTGCATGCCCATCATTTGTGGGGGCAGAAGGCGGAGCTGGGTTGACAGAAGGCATCATCGGTCGTCGTCCTCTCGCATACCTAGCTGTAGCAGTGTTAGCTACTGGCTCTGTCAACGCCGCCTTCACTGCTCTCGGCAACGGCAAAAGCTCCACCAAGGGCGGCAAATGCGATGGAGAAGGAAGCTTCATCTGCATAGGAACAATCCTGGATATCAGCTCCGCATCCACCTTTGTCAAAACACTTGACAGGTGCACCACGGTAGAAGCCGCCTCGAGCATCACAAACAGCGACAGAGGCAGCAGTCCATCAGCCTTGAGACTAGAATTGAACGAGGTCCCCCCGTCTTTGTCTTGTTGTAGTGTCTCGAAGCCGAGCTGTATCCTCCAGTCATGACAGAGCGAGCTGATTACGGACACTGTTGCTGGCTGACCGGCGAGAATCGCGAGCATGCTAAGCACCCCAAGATAAATAAGCGGTAAGGTGACAGAGTGAAAGCTCGATTTTGCGCCGAGTAACGAGCTCTTCACCACCCCATCTTCTACCGCCATACCTCCCAATCGTATCGCCCAAAGCAGATGAAGTGGCAGCAGGGCAGGCAAGACATGCTCATCGACAACAAGACCCCAGCTTAGCTTGGGCAAGCGGAAGAGGGAGCCTGGTGACGGCTGTCCCTCTTGAGCTGACGTCTCCTTGCTTGCTTTGTTCTTCGGCACTGATGGAACAGGTGAAGGACTGGAAGCCTTGCTTTCAGAGGTGCCAGTCTTGGCGTCGGCCTCTTCTGTTTTGAGCTTCTTCGGCAAAGCAGAAGAGACCGACTCCAGCAGCTTCGAAGCGGGAGGGGGAGCGGCTACAACGAGACCATCGATGATGCTTACTGACCAGCCTTGTTGTGCTGGTTGACTGAAGCTGACGGCTTCTGCGGGCGAAGATGTAAGTTGGCTTGCATTATATGGACTAAGTAGTACGAGGAGTAGGAGGAGACAGAGTCGAGGTCGATAGACGTTTTTACGGAATTGGTCTAAACTGGACGAACTGAGTGAGAGTGACGGTAGCATGGTGTTCAGGGGTTTACATGGCAGGTGCCGGGGTCGAATCGCGAATAGTCGGAAGTAGAAGGTGTGCGCTTGATGATGGTTGAATATGAAGGGAGCAGCAAGTTGGAACCAGGGCCGATGAGAGCCGTGTTGCGAGTGGAGGTTAGTTAAAGATGCGTCGGCATCCCAACGGGGTTCACAGAATAATACAGAGTCCGCAGAACACAAGCAAGTTCTTGATTAAGAGAAGCCATGCATAAGTGGCAACATGTGTGGGATGCACATATGTTGTCATAGTGACACACAGGAAATCACAACTCAGGGGCAACAATAAGAGGTGACTCATCATGGATTGATGAGCATTGGAGGTGATCATCAGGTATATATACATAACCATATACATAGTAGCATACAGTTTAAATTTTAAGCCTTTTTACATGAAAACCATACACTCATGTTAGGAGCTTGTCAGTAGCCCAACTTAGTGTACAGGACTTGTATATCTTCAACTGATTAAAAGTCTGAAACTCTACCAATTGAGCCAGCTGGGACCCCCCTTACCATTATGGCAGACAATGCTGAGATGCAGGCTGGTGCAAGTAGAACTAAAGGAGGCAGGAAGGGTAAAGTTTCCCAGCTGTGAGCCACCGATAATGAAGTCACCAACAAGACAGAAGTCGAAGTGATCAACAATGACAAGGAAACTGGTTCTGATTCCAACCAAGACAGCAGTGGCAAGCAATATAACTTCCACACCCTGGCAAAGCTACTCGAGCTGGTGCCCAAGCTCACATCACAGAACTACTATAGTTGGAATGTTCACATCAAGTCCTTCCTCTGATCTGTTCCTTATGCCATGAAACATCTTGAGGGAACATATGATAAGAAACACCCCAAGTGGAAACAGAGTTTTGATGATGCCTTGATGAATGCAGTATGTGGCACCATCGACACCACTGGGGAATATAATGTCAACTACTTAATTCTTGACATCATCAGGGAACACCACATGTTCAGTCAGGTCTGGAAGAAAATTGAAAATGGCCTGACCAATGAAGCCACTGCAACCTCATGCTGGATTGCCCTCATCACTCAGTTAGGCAAGCTCAGGATGTTCAACTCTGATGCTCGAAAACTCATTCAAGAAATCAGGACAATCCAGACAGAAAGCAGCCTATTGGGAAAACCTTTTGCCAATGATACTTTGTTCTCCAATTTGCAGAAGTGCACCATCCACCATCCAATGTATAAGGAAATGGTCACCACCATCAGCCAGCTCACCTTTAGTGCCCTCACCACTGCCCTAACCATTCAGCAATCTGCAATTGAGAATTACCCTGCTCAGAAGGTTGACCCCTGCCAAGCCAGTGCCAGAGTTGCCAGCAGCAATGATCAAGATGAACCAACCCTGAAGGATGGGGGGGATGAGAAAGATGGAGATAACACCAATGCCAAGGTTGCTGCTTGGCCTTGAAGGCTTCGGTGCTGGATTTGCAAATGACCAGGACATGGAATTAGCCAGTGCAATGCTATGGTAACCATCCCTGAAAATTCCCCCCTCACCAAGACCAAATAGGAACCATGGTGTTCCTTCACACCAAGTTGGAAAAGGCCCCTAGATCCAAAAGAAAGATCCCATTGGATCCTGGACTCAGGGGCCAGTTACCATATGGTCAACATTCATAGCATGCTCATCAATCCCAAAACCTGTCGTAAACATGTGTTCACAGCTGGAAGTGAGGTTTTGGAAGCAACAGCTATTGGAGATGTCAACATATCAACAAGTAACAGAGATATACTACTCCATAATGTACTATATGTTAGGCATCTCAATGTTAACCTCTTGTCAACAAACTCAATGACAGATGAAGGAGCATGAGTGATATTGGATTCTGCCAGTGGGCAAATACATTTGGTAAATGGCATGCTACTCAAAATGACCAAGGATTGCAAGCAAGGACTTTTAGAGTTTCAAGGTGACACATGGCAAGAGAATGTGATGATCACATCAACATCATTACTTGAGGATGTTGATGAAGATTTTGAGCAGACAGAGAGCAGAGCAGAAATATCCAAACAACAATTATGGCATGAACATCTAGGGCATCCAGGCCAAGATAAGACAAGGGCCATCAACAATCTATTAAAAGGTGACAACATAGCTAAATTGAATCCAGATATGGCTCAAATGTGTGAGCAATGCATTCGATCTAAGAGCACAACAGCCTGAATGGGACAAGGTAGCAGAGAGAAATCCATTTCCCCACTTGATCTCATCCACATCAACTTGATAGTTGATTTGTCACACTCAGCCAAATACACATGCACACTAGTATTGTTGATGACCATAGCAAGTATGTGTATGTACAGCCTCTACTATGGAAGAGCCATGCATTCCCAAAACTCAAGATGATAGTAATGTATCTCAAAACCCAGATGGGAAGGTGTCTGAAAGTGATATGATCTGACCAAGGCACAGAGTGGCAAAGCAATGATGCAATCAAATGGGCATATGATAGAGGCATAGAATGGCAGATGACAGTTGGGTATAACAGCAGACAGAACAGACATGTAGAAAGGATGAATAGGAGTCTAGGAGAGAAAATGAGAACACTACTCATGCAAAGGAGACTACCAAAGAGCTTCTGGCCATATGTGATCTGGGCTGCAGTGTTCAAAATGAACCTCAGACCCAATGTCGATGGTGAATTCCCATATCAGGCCATGTTTGGAAAGTCACCAGAATGGCTCATAAAGCTCTTACAGGTCTTCAGATGCTTGGCATGGGTAAACATCCCAAAGGTTAAGAGAGACAATAAGAAACTAGACCAATGAGCAGTGGCATCCATATTCCTGGGGTACAGTCTGGAAAGAAGAGGATGGCTCTTCTACAGCCCAGATTATAACCTGAATATATTCTGGAGCAACTCCATGAGATTCATGGAAACTAAATGCTGGCTTGACAAAATGGAGTGGTGCCCAGCAAACATTCAATCGCCACCAGCACTAGCAGATGAAGAAGACCTCAACAATGTGGGGTACACAAATGAGAACCTCTTCGATGAAGGAGATGAGGAGCCCCACAATGAATACCTGGACATGGATATGATTGATGAATCAAATGAGGAGGAGAACTCAACTAACAGTGCAACAAAATACACCACATGTGATGTCAATGCCAAGATGCAGACCAACGGTCCAATTCTCGGACTCACAGCAATAAATGATAACAGATGGAAGAACTTGGATCCAACTGTGAGTGAAGCATTATCTGGAGAGGACAAGAAACATTGGGAGGAGGCAATGCATAAGGAGCTGAATGGACTCAGGGCCATGGGTACATGGGAAATTGCTGACCTCCCAAAAGGGATGAATGCTGTCAACACATGTTGGGTTTTAAAGATTAAAACAGATGCAAACTTGATTCTGACAAAATTCAAGGCAAGGTTGGTAGCACAAGGATTCACACAAAGAGAAGGGATAGACTACACAGATGTGTTCATGCCAGTGGCACCTATCCAAGCTATCAGAGGAGTTCTAGCCATAGCAACTGTATGAGATTGGGAGGTGGACTGCATTGATGTAAAACAGGCATATTTGAATTCGACACTACACCATGATGTTTTCCTGAAGCTGCCAATTGGAACAATGGTTCCCCCAGGAAAGTTTCTAAAGTTAATTAAGGGACTGTATGGACTAAAACAATCAGGCTGAGAGTGGAATGTGGAATTGGATTCACACTTGCAAAGCATAGGTTTCTATTGCATGCCGAGTGCACCTTGCTTATACTTGAGAGGAACTGAGGGTAGTCTAACTATAATTACAGCATATGTGGATGACATGCTCATAGCATCCCCCAGTCATGAGGAGGTGGATCACACCAAGAAGGAAGTAATGGCAAAATGGGGTACAGAGGATAATGGACTGGTGAAGGAGTTCTTGGGTGTAAGAATCAAGTGTGATAGGACACAGAAGAAGATGTCACTTGATCTGTCAGCTTACATTAAGGCAATGGTGAGCAAATGGTTACAAGTGACTAATCAGAAGTCCTGGGTACCAATGCAAGGAATAGCTAATATTACAAGGGAAGACAAATGTAATCTGATGGAAGCCAAGCAATACCAAGAGCTAGTGGGACAACTATTATGGGTATCAAACACCACATGACTGGACATTTCATTCACAGTTGGGGTACTAGCAAGATATATGTCAAGCCCAACAAGTAGTGCATGGAAAGCAGCAATCCATCTGCTCAAGTACCTAAACCAAACCAGTGAGTACAAACTGATTTTTGGAGATAGATCAAGCAAGCACTCGGAATGCCCAGTCATCACATACACAGATGCAAACTGGGCATCAGACCCAATGAATAGACAAAGGAGTATGTCAGGAGCAGTAACATATGTATATGGGTGCCCTGTTAGCTGGAAATTGCACATTCAAAAGTGTGTAGCATTATCAGCTGTGGAAGCAGAATTTGCCGCCACCTCAGAAGCAGCAAGAGAGGCACTTTTCTTCTCTTATCTCCTCAGGGACCTGGAGATGGGAATGATCCAACCAGTCCTTTGCACTGACAGTCAGGGATGCATTCAGGTGAGCAAGGATCCAGCGAAACATTGGAAATTGAAGCACATAGACACTCAATATCACTTCATCAGGGACCATGTGCAGGATGGAGAGATAGTGATTGAATTTGTTGGAACAGCAAGCAATGTGGCAGACATACTAACAAAGCTGCTGAAAGGTCTAGCAACATCTCAACTAGCTCAGTTGTTAGGGCTGGTAATGCCATCAGAGGGGGGAGTTAAAGATGTGTCAGCATCCCAACAGGGTTCACAGAATAATATGGAGTCTGTGGAACACAAGCAAGTTCTCAATTAAGAGAAGCCATGCATAAGTGGCAACACATGTGGGATGCACATATGTTGTCATAGTGACACACAGGAAATCACAACTCAGGGGCAACAATAAGAGGTGACTCATCATGGATTGATGAGCATTGGAGGTGATCATCAGGTATATATACATAACCATATACATAGTAGCATACAGTTTAAATTTTAAGCCTTTTTACATGAAAACCATACACTCGTGTTAGGAGCTTGTCAGTAGCCCAACTTAGTGTACAGGACTTGTATATCTTCAACTAGGTTGCTACCCTCTCACCAAAAAAAAAAAAAAATAAAAAAAAAAAAAAAAAAGAGAGAGTGGAGTCGTGCGAATGGAACGTGCGCTCGTTTCAATGGTGGGCAAAGGCACGTGACCTGAGTCGTGTCACTTCATATCGCTCATCTCATCTCCTGTCTCTCTCGTTGCTTCTTCTCCATCATCTTCTCTCCTCTTGCGCAAGCTTTCTCCTGGCTGCGCTTCGTCAAGTTCACCCTCCCTTCCCTCCCTTACCTTCTCACGCTGGTTCATGCTTCTCACGCTTAGTTCTCTTTGTACTTCGTTCTCACGCGGCGCTCGACCGGCCGTGCCTCTTACGGCCATGGCTGGGAGCCCGCAAGCGACTCACCTGAGTTAGGCAATTTAACATTCTGACACAGACTTCAGGCACGTGAGATAACTCACCGTTGACAACGGCGATCGAGTAGTGAGGCTGACACCTTGAGCGCGATTCCGAGCGTTCTTCTCGACCATTCCTGTTCACCTTGCCCAGCAGCGTCTTCCGGCTCTACTTTGCAGTCAAGCTCGTCTCACCCTCCAAAAGGGAAAGATCGCGGCAACTATGACCGGGCGTGGTCCACCACCACCACCTCCGCCGCCCGGTCCACCGCCGCCTGCACCACCGCACCTCGCACAACGTCCTCCTCCTCCTCCACCAACACCCAAGGATGCACCCAGCACATGCCCAAGCGAGCCTCGCAATGGGAACTTTCAGTCGATACAAGCCGACACAATTCCAACGAATGGCGTTCAAAGTTTAGTTCCAGACAAAGCAGCTCCTGGCACCGCAACAGATGATAAACGAGCCTTCGCTCTAGAACGCACTTCTCTCTTACAACAGCTCGAGATCGATCGAATCCTCAGTGCATTCCGTCTCAATCCATACGATGTCCTCGAAGTACCACTGGAAGCAGACGACAAGGAGATCAACAAGATCTATCGCAAAAAGTCGCTTCTTATCCACCCGGATAAGGTCAAGCATGGTAAAGGCGCCTTCCTCCTATCCCTCTTCTTCTCGTACGTTTTACTATATTGACCTTGCCTGTTTCCGCTTTTCTTGATCTCGGCACGTACAGAAAGGGCAGTAGAAGCCTTCGATCTGCTCAAGAAAGCCTCTTCTCACCTTTTGGACGAGGAAAAACGCAAAACACTCGACGAAACCGTCATGGACGCCCGCCTCATGGTCCTCAAAGAGCTTAACCTTGCTTTTGCTACAGCATACGACGATCCAAGGCTAGCGAACTTGAGCCCGAGCTGGGAAGAAAGAGTGAGAGCAGCGACTAAGGAGTTGATGGTGGATGACGAGTTGAGAAGAAGAAAGGCGATTCGAATTCAACATCAACAGGAAGGTGAGGCTCATAGGAAAAGGGAACAAGCTGTGGAGGAGAGGAAGAGGAAGGCGGAGCAGGAGGCGGCTTGGGAACAGACCAGAGATCATAGAGTGGCCGATTGGAGAGCGTTTCAGAAGGGAGGGAAGAAGAAGAAGAAGAAGAGTGATAATATTCTTGGTTGACAAACAGTGCATTCGCAATTTTCAGGCAGATGCTGTTGAGACTCGAGTCTTCCAGATGATCGGCGTTGATGTTGATCGGTACGGCTGTTGGTGTGATTGTGATGCTCTCGAGTCTGAGATCAAAAGACATGTTTTGTTCGGTCGAGCGAGGCTGCGAGCTGTGTGTGAGAACAAGTCGCCGACGATCCTGATTTTGGTGCCATGTTTTACTTGAGTTGCGTTTTATCCTTGGATGTGACCTCCACTCGTTTATCATACACGATCCACATATCTCGCTTCTGCCTGCCTTGTGTCTAACTGCACTGTTCTTGCCATTCGAGAAAGCTCAGTTCCTCTACACCTTCCCCGACCATCATCACCACCACCACCACCACCATCCACAATACCCACCTCAAAACATCGCCAAGATGCCAAACGTGACAATCATAAACGACACCCAAGTCCCCCTTCACATCTGTCTCAAACAAGTCTCCCCTCTCCACTATGCCAATTCCGTCCCCCCGGACGGCGGTCGTGCAACGATGCACACTGGCAAAGTATGGTTCACGATCCAAGCGCGTATAGATCGCGGGGATAACTCCTACGATAAGTTCCAAACTTTTGCTCCTATCGCAGCGGTTACCATCGGCGCGCTGTCTCTGGGTGCAGGAGCGGTGTATTTTGCCGGAGCGAGCGCTGCTGCTGGTGGTACCGTCGCTGCCGTCTCTGCTGTCGGAGCACGCATTTCCGCTGCAGTAGCAAGTCACACACCGACAGTGAAGAGATTGATCAAGTACGCGTCGAAGGGTCAGACCGTAGCTAAGATAGCACAGGTGGTTGGGATTGGTGGTGGCGCTCTTGCTAGCGCGAAAGGTGCTACTGGGAAGAGCAAACCGGTTGAACAGCAACTAAAGGATAAGGCGGCACAGGCGAGCAAGAGTGCACTGCGGAAGCTGTTGCAAGGTAGTGTGGTGAGCTCGGCGGGATGGTATATTGACAGAGACCGCACAATCCGGATTACAGGTGGTCCCAGGGCTAGTGTGACGCAAGATGGACTGTTGGTGATTGAAACGGATACCACGGTTCCGTTCACGTTGGTGGATGAGACTGGGAAGACGGTTGCGATTGGGAATCAGGATGGCGCTGAACCCGTGCCGGCGAGTGCTGCTGCGGAGGCGGATGATGATGAGTTGGATGATACGGAGGATGCTGCGAAATTGAATCCAAAACCGGGACATGCTGTGGCCATGGCGATCGGGTCGGCGACTGCTGCGGCTGCGGGGGTGGGTGCTGTGCCCGTGTTGCAGGCGGAAGGAAAACAGCAGGAGAATAAGAAAGATGGCTTCTGGATGCGCACGCTTAAGGGCGATGATGGGTTCTAAGCAGCCATAGAGTGACACTTGGGTTGTCTTTGATAGACACACATATCCTTTCCTAAGAAGCAACCCATTTCGTAATACCCATTTCAAAAGATACAAGACACACCAGCGCGATCAAAAGCGACTTAGAAGAGCTGTCGTAGATTTACCTCAGCCTTGGAAAACCTATCCAAAGCATCGTCCAGCATATACTTACATCTCTCATCCTCACTCAGCACCTTTGCCAACCTCCGATAAGACTCTGAACCTTCCTTCAACCATCCCCCGTACCCAACCTCTTCTGCTTTCTTTGCAGCCACGCTGGCACCAAACTCTTCCAACTCTGCATCTGAAGCAACACCAAACTCACCCCTAGCTTCTTCCGCCTTCCTCTTATGCGCAGCAGTCAACTCTGTATTCGCCAACCCTTCCACAATGGGTGCACCCAACGTCTGGTGATCCAAGCCACACAACTGAATGACTTCTTCAATACTCAAAAATGATGCAGCCATAACTTGAGTCTTGATCCTCGCATCATCCTTCCGCAGCCGCAAAAGGCACCGTTGCAGAGGAATAATAATTTCCTTCACTGATCTAGCTCCAGCTTCCAATGCCTTTTTCCTCTCATCTTCGCTCGGGTTGTCAACAGCAAAGAAATGCGCAGCTAAAGCGTTGATATACGGAGCAGTGTAAATCGCACGTGATGCTTGTGCTGCAACAAGACCCTGTTCGACGGTGAAAATGGTCGTTGCTAACACTTGAATCTTGCCTTCACTCAGAGGACCGCCGAGGTGGGACTCGTCCAGGTGACCACCGGAGGAGAGATATCGCATAGCCTGAAGCCCAGGGATGGTGGAAGGGATCTTGATGCAGATTCGGGAGGTATCGACTGTGGTGGAGGAAAAAAGTTGGTAGAGGGCAACGAATCGACGTGCGTGTTTGACGGCGGCCTGGGGATTGTACGCCTGAGAGGCAGCTGTTTGGGCGTGAAGGTTGCCGTGGTTGAGTAGGTTGGGGAGCGTTTCGAGGCCGAAGAGGACGGTGAGGATGTCGGATGCCAAGTGCTGCTGCTTTTCTTCCGCACTCTCACTGCCTGAGAGGCTGGAGTTGAGGGAAAGTCGTTCGAGCATAGCTGAGTCGAGCTGTTCTCCGTTCCACATTCCAGACTGCAACTGTTTTGCGGACGAGAGAGACACTTGCAGCAGCTTCTGGGCTTTGCTAGGATCAGAAGCAAGCAAACCGACGTAGGTGGAAGACACAATAATCTGGTTTGAAGTCATATCGCTAAACAGCGGTCGGATGTCTGTCTGCACTTGCTGCTGGGCGGCTGGAGTGGAAGTGCTGGAGGTGGACGCAAGCTCGAGCATTCGACGATGCGCGAGATTGTACTGAAGAGCGATCGAGGCGACATTGTTGTTGATGTCGATGGTAGTGTGTCGAGCTACCTCTGCGAGGAGAGAATTCGAGAGATGGACTGGTGAGGAGGTTTGGTCGACGGTCATGGCTCGCGGCGCTGCGACAGGTCGGAGATGGTTGTAGGAGTAAGGTGAGTTCAGGGTCCGAGCATGAGGGAAGGAAGCCTTGCAACGGTCAATTGAGCGGCCGAACACCGCAAGGATTTTCGAGGAGAATGATGTCAGATTAAGTAATCGCGCATTGATCCTATTTTTCCGCTTGACGTGACTAATCGACGCCGAGTTATTCGTTCCTCTGCTCTGCAACCTCTTCCCTCACACCTTTTACCGTTGTACTTACTTCATGAAGTCAAGATAGCGCACAGACATCTTCTTGTATCTTCCACCGTGCAATAAATCTTGTAAGAGGTTGCGTTGCGAGCGAATGAATGAACCAGGCAAACCCCCTTCTTGCCTTCCCTCATAAACCCAAACAGTAGATACGCATTCCATCAACGAGATCCTCCATACTATCGTCCTCACCAACCAACACATCCTACTACAGCGTTTATGCATCTGCTTCGACAACAAACTCTGTTGATTCGAACAGTTCGTCCCATCATTACTCTATCTCAACTCTACAAATCGACACCCAACCTCACACCCCGCACCTTCTTCCACTCATCTCCCTTCACCATGTCCGCACAACGAGTCCGCGTCGGCAGCGCCAAAGATGTTGCCCAGGGCAAAATGAAAGAATTCACTTTCGCAGGTGAAGGCGACGACGCAGTCAAGGTTCTCGTCTCCAACGTTGGTGGTCAACTCCACGCTACTTCCGCTAAATGCACTCATTATGGTGCTCCCCTTGCCAACGGTGTTCTCACTGGCGATGGAAGGATCATTTGCCCTTGGCACGGTTCTTGTTTCCACGCCAAGAACGGCGAAATCGAAGACGCCCCCGCTCTGGACAGCCTTCTTAGCCTCAAGCTCGAGGTGGAGGGTGATGATCTTTTTGTGACGGCTGATGCGGAGAAGTTGAAGGGTAAGCCGGGTGTGGCTCCTAGCTGCAAGGGTGGTGCTAGTAGCGTGGGTAAGGGCAAGGGAGTTGTGGTTGTTGGAGGTGGTGCTGGCACGATTAACTGTGTGGAGGAGCTTCGCAAGAGTGGTTACCAGGGTGCTATTACTATTGTTTCGAACGAACGCGCTATTATCGACCGTACTAAGCTCAGCAAGGCTCTGATTGCCGATGCTGACAAGGTCACTTGGCGTAGCAAGTCCCACCTCAACAACGTGTTGGGCGTTCAGTTGGTGAACTCGACCGTTACGAAAGTCGATGCACAGAACAAATCGGTTCTTCTCGAGAACGGAAACAAGCTCGAGTACGAGAAACTCGTTCTTGCTACAGGTGGTATTCCCAAGCGTATCCCCATTCCTGGTTCTGACTTGAAGAACGTGCTTGTGCTGCGACAGATCAGCGACACAAAAGCCATCAACGAAGCCGTGGGCAACGAGGAAGGTGACGAATCCAAGAAGAGCAAAAACGTCGTCGTCATCGGTTCCAGCTTTATCGGTATGGAAGCTGCCATCGCCCTTTCCAAGCGAGCCAACGTTTCTGTTATTGGAATGGAAAAAGTGCCCTTCGAGCGCGTTCTGGGCGCTGAAGTCGGTGAGGGTCTCATGAAAGCTCAACTCAAGAACGGACTGAAATTCCACATGCAAGTTGGTGTAGAACGCATCGATGGAGACGAATCCTCCGGTCCCAAAGCCGTCGTTATCAAGACTAACGAGGGTAAAGAAGAATCTATCCCCGCTGACGTTGTAATTCTCGGTGTCGGTATCTCCCCCGCCACCAACTTCCTCAAAGAATCCGGCTTTAACCTGGAAAAAGACGGCGGCATTGCCGTTGACTCGAAACTGCGCGTCACCGGCCATTCGGACATCTTCGCTATCGGCGATATCGCAGCTCACCCCACCCGTGGTTCCGACCGTACTAGGATCGAACACTGGAACGTTGCTTCTAACCACGGCCGTGCCGTTGCTAAGATCCTCGCCGGCAACGAGACCGATTATGACAAGGTGGCTATCTTCTGGTCTGCCCTAGGCTCGCAGTTGAGGTACTGCGGTAGTGGTGGGCCCCAATTCGACAGTGTCTATGTGGATGGTAAGCCGGAAGAGCTCAAGTTTGCTGCATACTATGCGAAGGGGGATGAGGTGGTGGCGGTGGCTACGATGGGTGTGGATCCGTTGATGGTTCAGTGCAGCGAGTTGATCAGGATTAGGGCTATGCCAAAGTTGAGCGAGATTAAGGGAGGCAAGAATCCGTTGGACTTGGATCTTTCGCAGATTTCGGCAAAGATCTAAGTGGAAGCACCTCACAAGTTGTTTTACTCGTAGCCAGATGCACAAGTATACATTCAACGTTCAGGTTTATATACTTCCAACGCCCTGTATGATGTGTGCGTGTGGACTGCTTCAGGCCACATGGGCGATGTCGTCTGGACTGGATGTGAGCTGGAACGACTGACGGTAGTCATACAACATCATCGTAGCTGATTCTGACACGGTCGTTCCACCCTAAACCGGCGGCCAGGATGTCAAATAACCGCTTCAAACAAGCTTTGGCAGCTACTGCAGCAAGACACCGTCATAAGCACGTGTGCTCTCTCCACGCTGCTAGTAGTTGCTGTCTTCGCATGTGCGGGAAAAGAGTCGCCGATCTATTTTGCGGTGAGAAGACAGGTCGGGCTCAAATGCCACAATCACACCATCAGACTTGTTGGTGGAGAAGAAATAATACCGCTTAACGAAGCAGCCACAGGGGAGACGAGTGAAGATGCAGCTGAGCTTTTCGGCCAATCGGTGGATGCGACTGAATCTCGCTTAGATTTTCGCCTCTTTTTTGCGGGATTTTGCCCCACACTGAACAGCTCCGTTACCCACTTTGGATGTGGGAACTTTTTTTTTTTTTTTTTTTTTTTTTTTTTTTTGGGCAGTTCAGTCAGCGACCCCGGCTTTCTCTCGCCCTTTTTTCACGCTTTCTTCTTCCGGACAACGCATCAATCTCGTGGTTTTACATATCCTCTTCACCCTCCCTTTTCCTCTCTTACCACCTCATCGCTAACCCCTATACAGCAAAGATGATCGTCACAAGAACCGCAACTCGCACCCTCACCCGTGTTGCTACTCTTCGCAACTTTTCCACTGCTCCAATCGCAAAACTTGCCTCCGCAACCCCCGCTTCAAATTCCGCCTCAGGTCCATGGTCAGACCCACCCTCAACCCCCCACTTAAACCGCTATCTAGTCATCGCCGAAGATCACACTGATTCCGGTTCTAACGCCCGTCGATTCGAAGTTCGAGAACAACACCTCGAACAAGCTCAAAATGGAAAACGCGCCGGTCGGATCGAACTAGGAGGTGCCCTGCTACGCAAAGACTTTAGCGAAATCGACCAGGATGTCGGACCAGGCCCTCACATGGGTGGTAGCGCTCTAGTCGTGCTAGGCGAGAGTGTAGAGGATGTGAGGCAGAGGGTGATGAAGGATGAATATGTGCAAGGAAATGTTTGGGATGTGAGTAAACTTAAGATTTGGCCGTTCTTGCAGGCGCCACTGAAAGCTGCGTGGGCGGAGGAAGGAGTAGGGAGGGAGGTGGAAGCAAGCGGCGAGAGGGCAGATGCAAACGCAACTCTGGGTCAGTTGAGACAGGATTTGGCTGCGGGAAAGGGCCCAAAGATGGTTACCCTAGGTGCGCTGAGGAGGATTCATCAAGGGGTTGGCCAGTATCGTCATCACTACAACAACAACAGTCACAAATGAGCGAGCGGGCTTTTCTTCGTTTTTTGAAGGTGATATTCTATGAAAGGGTTTCCCATTCGCACCTGCATGCCAAGCAACGACTGGAACAGCGAAGGACATCTAAGCACCTTACGCTCTCGAAAACACACACACATACACACACCTGATGTGTCTAACACAGGACACTCAGCTTCAGTCGCCGGATTCCGCAGTGATAGTCGATACCCCACTCAGGCACCCTTTCTGGAATCCCAAAAAAGCGCTTCTTTCCCAACCTCGCTCTCAGACCGATTCAGGGCCGTCTGTATATCTCAACAAACATACCACACGGTTCTGTAGCTCAGTTCTTTTGCTTGCAATTGAGTCATGTCGACCGTTCGCTTTTGATCTGAAGGTCTGTGCACCTGCTCGCGTTCGTGTGTAGAATGTTCTGTGAGAGCGTTGCGTTTCTCTCAACTGCTCCGTTGTGTGACGGAAAGAGACAAACCGGTCGTCGGTCATGGCTTCACAATGAATTGCGCTGCACTGTGGCTGCAGTCTGTTCCATTGCGGAATGGAGAACTCAAGCATGGCACACAGTCTCTTTGGATGGCAGAAGAGTGCTTCCAATTCGTCAGAGCTTTGCCTGTCAAATCAGGACGCTTCCGATCGTTGAGCTTTCTCGAACGTCACAACAGCTTTCCCTCTGCGGAACCTCACAAACACGCACACGCACACGCACACGCACACGGTCGCACGATTGCTTTACCAAGTGTTTAGAGATCAGGCATAAACCGAGTAACCCGTTCCTCATTCTTCGTATGCTTCACCAATCTCCAACCCAACTTTCCTTCCGTCTTAAAACTCTCTTCCCATCTCTCTGGGATTTGTTTCCTCAGCGTACACCAATAGAAAATATCCCAATCTGGCTCATCCAACAACCTATCCAACTCATCCAACTCTTTATCCTCTAAATTTTTCAACTCTTTCTTTGCAAACGTTGACAACAAAAGATCAGTCTCCAGCGTGCCTCGCTTTCTGCACTGATAGACTAAACGGGCGATTTTGGTGTCTCGATCCTCGGTTTCTCGTCCAGGAACCCGCATTGGAGCGTTTACCCCCTCGACTGTTTGGCGCTGAGAGGCGAGGTTGAGGCCGGACCACTTGGATTCGGGCCCGGTTTCAGCGCCGCCGTTGGCGGTGTTGAGATCGACGATGTCGGGGCTGAAGGGTAAAGGGTAGGGATCGGAGAGTTGGGAATCGGGAACGGTGCCTGATGGGCCAGATGCATTTGCGGTTGATTGATGTGGGCCTGTGGAGCCTTGGTCTGTTTGACGAGGGTTGGGGACGTCTGGGCGCGAGGAGGAGGAGGAGGAGTTGAGGCGGAGAGAGGTTGTTGTGAGGGTTACGCGAGGGAGTAGGGTGGTGTACTTGGCGAGGTTGCGTCGGGCGACGCTGGTGAGTAGGCGAGGGAATGACATTTTGGTCAAAGTGATGGTGGCAATGGTGGTGTAGTGCTTGACAATGTGGGTGTAAAGGAGAAGCAGCGAGTGATCACGGTGGAGAAGGATGGAGAACTCGGTTTTCGGAACTGCCCGGTTACACGCTACGAAAGTGGAGCAGAAAGGGGAATTTTTTTCGACCCTTTGCGTCACAGTTGTTGAAAGCAACACGCTTACCCACCGTTACATAATCCGAACCTCTCACCGAACCAGAGACTCGGATCCAAACCACTCGCAGAAACATGTTCAACTAGCCCTCCCCTCAACCGCCGGTAAGGATCTATCTGTGTTTAATGTTCGTTAAATGCATTGAGAGCGAGGGAATTGACTATGAATACATGCAAAACGTGTTGGCGTTGGAAAAAGACATGAAATGAAGCATTGCGTGTGGGATGAAACAATGATTGTTCTATGCATGGATGCTATTGCTGCTGCTGCTCATTAGTGCGAATTAGGTAGGAACAGCTTTTTGGATGGCACGAGTCGACAGCTCTTGGTTGGATCTAGCGACCAGCACGATCGGAGGATTCCGAACAAGTGCTAGAGAGCGACTCGTGTTTGGGAGTGTGTGCCTGCGTGGAACCTCCCATGTCGAAACTGATTCGTGCGGTTTCGGCAGGCTCGATGCTCTTGGCTTGGTCCGAGATCTGGCTGTTGATGCGAGTAGCTTGACCCTTTTCGAGGTCATCATCGTCGCTAGGAGCTTTGACAGCCTCGCCCTTGGAAGAAGCCTGCATCTGTTGGAGCATGGCTTTGGCTTCCGAGGCGTACCTGCACTTCTCACGGATCCCAGCTCCGTACTTGTAGAAGATGAAGGGGAAAGGCATGCAGATCAATGCGAGCAGACCAGCGATCGCGGGACCCCAGTGGATGCCGTTCTTTCCTCCAATCTGATACATATTTGGCGTGAATAGGGGGAATGCAAAGCCGAAAAGGGATCGAATGACACTGTTGGAGGCCAAAACCGAAGCGGCATAGATGAGGTATGAATCGGTGAGATAACTCATGGTCGAGAGGAAGATGAGAACCATTCCGAGGCCGAAAGGACCACCGCCGATAATAGGCACGATCCAGTGAATGTTGGGGTTGTCGGTAGCGGCAAAGATGGCGAGACCGATGACAATAGAGACGGCACCAATCATAGCAGGAGGCAATCGAGTCTCGGGAGGAGCGATACCACCGTGCTTGTCGGCAATACGACCGTACCTGCCGTTCTCGTAGAAGATGATGTAGGCGAGTGCGATGATCATGCCTACCAAAACACCAAGGAAAGCAAGACCACCGATTCCTGGGCTCCATCCCCGACCCTTTTGGAAGACGATGGGGAAAGCGCCGAAAAGCGAGTAGAGCACACCATAGATGATGGCAATGTAGATGGAGAGGAGAGTAACGATGGGCTCGTAGATGAGAAGCAGCCAAGGACGGCTAAGAGCGACCTTGAACTGGGTCTTGAGTCGAGTGTCGCGTCCCTTGTCGAGCTTGCAGATGTAGTGGTGACCAGTGACCTCTGCGAGCTTCTGAGCGCGCCATCGCAGAAGAACGGGAGCGTAAGTCTCAGGCATGGTGACAGCACCGAGAACCGTGATGATGGCGGCAAAGATGGAAAGGAAAGCGATGAGCCACTTCCATCCAGCGCTCTCGCCGAGGAAGCCACCAGTGATGGGACCAAGAGCAGGACCGAGGAAAGGAGCACTGGCAAAGATGGCCATGGCGAGACCACGCTGCTTTGCGTCGAACATGTCAGCGAGAGTACCGCCAGTGTTAACGAGTGGACTCGAGCCGAAGAAGCCAGCGAGGAATCTGAAGACGATGAGCGAAGCCATGTTGGGTGATGCAATGGAGACGGCTTGCCAGAGGGTGAAGATGAAGTAGGTGCAGATGAAGAGCTTGCGACGACCAATGACTTCTGAGAATGGTGCCCAAAACAAGGGGCCGAAGGCGAAGCCTAGTACAAACAGCGAAATGCCAAGAGTAATGATGATCTGCTTTGGTGGGTGGAACTGAGCTTGTAATGAGGCGACTGCTCCAGAATAGGCAGATGAGGCAAGCGCTACGGAGAGAGTAGCCATGGCGACCTGAACAGTCTGGGCCCATTTGTATACCGGCGCCCAGGTCTGCGGGTTCTCAGCATCCTGAGGAAGCCATTCGACGAGGAAAGGATCGTCTTTTGTACCGGAACCTTGGTACTTGTGGTTGACGATGTCGGAGAAAGGCGTTGTGTAGAGACGATATAGTGTCTTCCGTAGTGTATGCTGATCTAGGTTCTCGATTGGATGTGATGAGGAGGAGGGTGTGAGCTCCTTATTGAGGGTTGCCGACATGGCGTTGAACGAAGTTGTGTGAACAGCAAGCAACAGTAGAAGGTGTTTGGCGCAGGGGGAAATTGAAAGCCCACTAATAACGCGGACGCGAAATATTAGGTGTCGTCGTTGTCAGACTGACGTTGATGGATGTCAAGAATGTCGATGGGATTGATGGAGAGGAGGAGGATGTCGTGGTGAGAATAAAAGGTCGGAAGCTTTCTTATTTGAGTGAGATGATCGAAGTGAATGGGTCGTCGGTTACGCAGACAGGGGGAGTCAGGTTCAAAAGTGACTTGCTGAAAGAAAGGAAGAAAGAAAGAGAAAAAGCGACAGCGGCAGAATCGGCGTGGCGTGGCGTGGCGATGCGAGTTTGTATGGAAAGTGTCAAACAATCTGACAAGACAGAGCAAGCGTGGGTGTGAGCTGTGTGTGCTGGTTGGCTGGCTATGCATGGAACGTTTCTCGTCTTAGGATAGTCGATGACGATTCGAAGAAAGGTTTGGATTTTAAGGAAAGGAGCTTCCGACGCAAAAACACACACACACACACACACACACACACACACACACACACACACACACACACACACACACACACACACACACACACACACACAAAATGATGATGACAGGCAAACAGAACAAAGAAAATGGAACAGCCAGCGCAGGGCAGGGGTTCGGAGGGAATGCAACTGCATAGGCGCAGCGCAGTGCAAAGTTGGATTGGCCGGCTTCGGTAACAAAAGAACGGCAAAGTCATAAATCATGACAAGACAGAGAGAGAGAGAGAGAGGGGGAAGAGAGGTTTTGATTTCTTGAAATTTCCGCGGAGATGATGAGAAAAGCAGCAGCAGCAGCAGAGACTCGAATTTGAACTTGGTTTGAGTTGGGATTGCGCAGACCTATCAAACCCTGCATCAATCGCACTACTAGCATGTTCACACTCTCACTCTGCTCGCCATACGATACAATAGGATACGCTAGAGAGAACGCTAAGGCCCATGTGATGCCAATCGAGTCAGTCTCCTCTTCTCACTGAGGTCACAGATGGCGGCACATGCCGGCACCTTGACGCCCCCCCTGTTCGCAAGAGATAGCAGCCAACGGAAAAAGGCGTCTTAATTCAAGCTTTACTAAAACAGCAGCAGAACAGTGAAATTGACACGAGATCCGATCGACCCGACAGGCTCACACACACCGCACACATACGCCACTCGAACCACCGTCGGAAGTGCCGGATGCATCCATCACCCTTTCTCTTTAGTTCCTATCGCTTCTCGACGCTTTCTATTTCTCTGCAACTCGGCTTTTCCGAGTGTATTGTATTGTCAAGCTAAGTTACCAACCATATTGATAAACCACAGCAGAGCACATTGCGCTGTCAACAAATAGAAAGCCTGTCGGCTCTCTCGGCCTCATGCTACCCGTCGGAGCTGCCAATTCCGCGTTCTTGATTGCCGAGCAGGTCCATTTGTCAAACTTGCTGACTTTTTCCTTTCTATTCTCCCGGATAAAGGAGCGCCACTTGAAGAGCTTGCAAAGCTAGAGCCCCTAGCTCTCTCTCCTTCCCTGGATCCGTGCCTAATTTTGCAATTTGCAGTTTGGAGCAGCCAACCCGTCCCGGCAACCATCCGGTTCAATTTCGACCTCTTGTTCCGGTCATTTGGCTTGGCATCCTCATCCTCCGCTGTCAGACACATGCACGTCCCCAACCCTCCATCTTTTCTTCCAGGCGGTCGTGTCGCGTCGTGTCGCGTCGTGTCGCGTCGTGTCGCGTCGTGTTGTGTCGACCCCTGTGTTGCTGAGCTGAGAGACAACGTGACGACAAGCATGGTTTGCCGTGGACCACAGATTTGGCTCGCTCTTCAGCTTTCAAAGGTGATGGTTGTAACCCAGCTTAGTGTCGGCAACCAATTGTTAATTGCAAATTGATTAGCTTTAATTTTTAGAAACATGGCGAGCGGTTAATAACGAGGCCAAGCGGCCGATTCACTCTCCCTGTCTCCACGCTTGCCTCTTTCTCATCATCTCGATGCTGCTTCGCAACGCTCAGATCCCCCACAGAAAGCACTGATGCAGCCTGTCCTAGTCTCCACGGACCTCCACTCCACACAGACCTCCGGAGTTTATAGTCGAGACAGGTCAAAACGTGCTCTTCTACCTCATGATTGAGCTTTGCTAGCCGATACTGACAGGAGCCCGAATCAATTTCGCACTCCTGTTTCCATGACGCCTACTAGAGTGTTCAAGTAAGTAACTTGTGTTGGACCTTGTTGAAAAAATGATAGACTCCAATGGTAGGACGCGGTTGTATTACGTATATCAACAATGAACAGTATGTACAGGCAGATGAATTGGATATGAACCGTGAACAAGCTAACTGAATGTAGTGTTTTATATGTCTTACCCTGTGTATCACTCAGTAACATGCTGGGGCCAAAGGTCAGTCTGAGACATGCCAAGGCAGTGCAGGAGGGCCTCAGCGATAGAGCCCATGACCCTTATCTCTCCTTGGTATGGTCATCGGACACTCTGAGGTCTCCTGCCTGATTCGATCGTCGGATGGACTGAAGGTCTGGTACAATCATTGGATAGACCAAAGCGTTCGGCGCCACGACGACTTGGCCCTGATACGAGTCGATACAAGCGCAGCCCTCCAACAGACCTCGCTAGTGATGCCCCTTGTGCTGAGATCCGTGCTTCCATTGGAGCCGCCGGTTAAGCAGAGCTCGCTGCACGTGTCACAGACCATCTCGAGATCGACTCCAGAGCATGCAGAGTAGGCAACAACGGAACTGCACTTCCACGGATCAGCATTTCCTTATACAAAACTCTGACAGAATGGTATCCTTGACTAGCTACAAGAAAGGCATGTCCAACCCAGCAGCAGCCAAATCAGTCAATGCATCATCCAACCACATCTTGGTCAACAAATCTTCTTGTCCATCTTTCAACGGCCTTGCTCTTCCGGCCTGATCTTGCAATGCATCGCCTGAGATGATATGCTGTTGTTGCCAGTGCAGTTGACCGCTTTCAGCCGCACTCTGTGTCATGTTCGAGTGCATCCCTGCTGCTGGACTGTCAACGCTTGAGGGAGAATGGTGTGCATCCAAAACGTTGCTGATCCGCTGAGTGTTTTGAGAGCCCATCGTACCCACATGTGTAGGTTGTGTTGTTTGCCGTTGAGCCCCGCTAGCCCAACAAGACATTGGATGATGCGAAATTGGCGGAGCCAGCGTCGACGTCTGATCGTCGAGCCATTTCAGGAACAGTTGCGGATCCACTTCTCCAGTTAGGATGTCGGCTGTGCTCCACCATCCCGATCCTGTGCTGCTGCCTGACATGGTTTGCGAAGCCAAGAGTGGTGCTAAATTCCATTCTGTGCTGTTGGGGTTGCCCAATGACTCGTTATGTGTTGGAACTTGGTCATGTCGCATGATCGATGAGGGAGCCGACATCGGCGCATTCGACTGCAGTGAGTCGGCGCTGTGCTCGAGTGCTAAGCCGGATGCTGTCGACATCGTGTTGAGCGAAGATGAGCTCTGGGCCATCGCAGCCCCATTGCTAGCCGATGCAGCAACAGCGTCGATAGAAGAAGTGCCACCACTACCACTCTGGACGTGCGAGTTGCTCGCTCGCCCCTCCGCTGGCGTAGCATCTCCCACCAGATCTGTCTCGTGCTGCGGTGTCTGCGGTGTTCCTCTCGATCTCGACTTGTTCCTCGACTGATTTCCTCCACCCGTCGCGGTCCTCGTTTTTGCATCTGTCAATACCAATTGCTTCGCCAACTGCCTCAGATACATTGAGTACCTATTCGCCAGATGCACTCCATCCGGTGCAGCCCTTTCCAGCGCCGTGATCACCTGCTGCAGTGACTGTGCACATCTCTTCAATGGCAGAATCACATCCGACACCGCTGTCGCCTTGACACAGAATACAGCAGCCATCACTAGCAACAAGAACCACCGTGCCGGAGCACACATCATCGTCTCCAGCTCCACCGTCAGGATCCGGATCAAGCTTTGTGCTGCCGCCAGCGCTTCTCGCACGAATGGGTAGGCTGGATGGGTCGAGAAGCTGACCGTGTACGATGCTGCTGCTGAAGAGGCTGCTGTGGTGGAGCCGGCTTTGCCAAGTCGACCCTTGGATCCGATCTCGGCTGCTTCCGAGGCCCGATATTGACGATGATTGCGCAGAGTTCGAAGACTGCGTTTGACTGAGTCCAGAGCGATACCATTGGCGTAAAGACGGGCGTAGTGATACTCGACACGCACCCTCAGCGAGGTCATGTCTCTGGTCGGCTCAATTCGTGGTTGCGTCCAGTTGGCCCAGTTGTCCAAATCGTCTCGAATCGACTTGAGTGCTGGCACAAAATCTTCATCCTCCAGCAAGCGCTCGGTGACCGCCTTGGAGCGATACAAGTTCTCGCACGTTCGAAGCACGATCTGAAGCAGCTCCGTGTGGGCACGGAAGGCGATCCATGCACGATTGGAGCCAGAGGGAAAGCCGACTTCGCTGGTGTTGCTCATCTCCGCATTCAGAAGGAAGGGATGCGTGCGGTCTCTGACCAGATTCATGAAAGGTGCTGCGAGACCAGGACTCGAGATCCTCCGTCCAAGTCGAACTGACAGATGACAATCTGCGTGGACGCTCGACATCCAGACACGCATGCGACGTTCGGCATTCCTCCTCGAAGCTACATTGCGACTCGAGATTCCGCTGTAGGTTGCATCGTTGTGCAGATCCAGTCGCTCCGCAAGTCGAAGTGCTGTCCCTGTCAACATCCAAGCGGTATCGTCAAACTTTTCTGATTCTCGCATGTCTGCTTGCCGTGGTTTCTGTGTTGATCTGCGCCTTGTCTGCTTCCTTCCGCCGGGTCGTGGCATCTGCCCTTCATGCTCTGATCTGAGATCATCTCCTGTAGCAGCAGCAGTGCCGGGAGTCATAGCTGATGCATCTTCCACTTCCTCTCGTTCTGAGTCGGTTTCGATTTCTCCTCCGTCTTCCTCGTCCTCTTCTGAATCCTCCGAGTCGGAGCTGGCATCGTTCTGCGAAGTTCTTCGGTCGTGCAAGTCGAGTGTCGCCCACTCGCTGAGGATCAGTAGAGCTTCGATGGTACCGATAGTGTGTGAAGCTGGCAGGAAGAACGACCGGCTGATCTTCTCCTGCGTCCACTTGGAGATCTTTCGATGGAATGTATCGACCGCGGTCACGTGTGCATTGTGGTTGGCAACGTCGTAGCGAGAAGCAACCGAGAGCATGGCGCCGAGAAGAATAGGTTCACGGTAAACCAGCTCAGAAAGCGCTTCGGGAGACTTGTCCAGCAGATGCGGCGAGCAGTGCGGTGCGAAAGCATGCATCTGTTTGATGAAGAAATTGAGAAAGCAGTGAGCCTCGCTTCTCTTTATCAGTTTTAGTCGAACGGGCTCGAACTTGCTCCATCCATAATTGTTCTTCAGTGGCGGCGGTGTTACTGGTCGAGCCAGAAGCGCTGCTGCTGACTTTTGAGCTGAGCTGAGGCTACCGCGATGTTCTGTGGGCGCATGGAAGGCGTGTCCACTGGCGTCTGCTCCAACAGATGTCGTCGCTTGCTCAGAAGAACGACGATCGGTACGAATCTGCACGCCTCGTCGACCTCGCGAAGGTCCTTCGTTCAGTGCTATCGAGCTGCTAGCACCTTGTGCGTCTCTTGCATCATTGCTTCCTTCGGCCTCGTCTGTCGCTTGCCTTGAATTTACCGCAACACCGGCGAGCACCCTCAATGCATCTTTGCTGTGCTGCAGACCCACCTCGGCATATTGCTGCAATGAGTCGAGCCTCGAGATCAGACCCAGAGGCTCGTTGTTGGCGGCAGCAGCACCGGATGGGCTTGCGGACCGCGTAGATGTGTCGTTTTGTCCGTCTGAGACGCGATCTTCGCGCTGCTCAGCCTTACTGTCGCCGTGTTCCGCTGAGGCGACATTAATCGATAGCTTCCTGCGTTTGGTTTGTAGCCGTGCACCATCGTGTCGATTGAGTCCGTAGATCATGCCGATACTGGGAGCGTCCATGGGGTCGAGTGCTGAGACGGGCACATCGTGACGAGCAGAGTGAAGTCTAGGGTTGGTGGCAGGCAGGGAGGCTAGCGCTGCACCAGCAAGCGCATCGATTGCAGAGGATGCAGTGCTGTGCTCGTCACCGACGTCAAGGTCTTGAGCAGACGACGTGCGAGGGCTCTTGGCCAAGTGATGGGCGCCAAATGCTTGCGACCGGGATGATCGTGTCTTAGGTCCGCGTCCTCGTGTTGACATCGTAAATAGACAGGGACGCATCTCGCGCTTGCATCGCGCACATGGTGGCTCGGACGGCGCTGCTAGATCGCCTAGCTCGCATTTGACCTTTTTGGTACGGCATCCATCGCATGCTTTGAAAGAGCGTTGGAAGTCCTTCTTTGCTGAGCCACCATCTGCGTCTTGTACGGATCGAGCGCTTGGCGAGTGTGAAACAGAAGGCCCAGAGGCGACGCCTTGATCGCTCATCTTGTAGCTTTGCTGCAAAGAAGAGACGCTCGCATCTCTCTGCACCGTTGATGATGGTGAGGTGAGTTTGTAATGCGTCGAGTGATGATGGGTACAAGCCTGTTCTATGTGTTGGAAAAGGGATCCGTTTCAAGCGTTCGAATGCATAACCAGCCTGCCTTACAAGCCAGGTGCGACCCCAAACGCTGCGAGCGAGGCCACTTGATCCTGTACTCGACACTGCCTCTCCTAGCTTTCGGTGTTTGCTGCAGAGGATACGCAGCAACTGCATCGAATGCCGGATGGATCGGACAAAATGCTTCTTGGTCGGTCACTTCCAGTTGATTGGATTGCAGAAGCCAAGGAAAAGTGCCAATGAAAACGCTCTCGAGCGGATAAGAGTCGATCCAGAGGCCGCGAGGTTAGAAGGGGATCGACTGCTTGACACAGTGATGGATGGGTCAGAATAGGATGGGATAAAAGGAAGCAAAGATGTGACTTTTCCTATTCATCTTGCCGTCTTTTGCCGGGCCTGCTTTGAACTTCAGAGTCTCAGTCTCTTTCCAGCGTGGGGCACATTTGAAGGGAGGAAGGCTTCCACTTTTTCCCCCGCGACTTCCTCAGAGCCTGAGCTCGGCTTCTGACGGCTATTTGGCGTTCAACGTGACTCTCTTGCTCCTCCTCACGGGCTAACACTCATTCAGACAGCAACACACCAAGGAGCAAGTTTGGCAGACATGTTCGCATTGCTTTAACTTGCTGATGAGCCTGCTCGCCAGCTACAAGTCATCTAGCGCAAGAAGAGCGAGAAAGAGAGAGAGACAGAGAGACAGAGAGACAGAGAGACAGAGAGACAGAGAGACAGAGAGACAGAGAGACAGAGAGTGTGTGTGTGTGTGTGTAACACAAAAGCTGCACCAACTGAAACAACTCAGCGGTACAATTCAGCCGGGTTGTTGTAAGAGACTGGAGGCTTCAGGTGTCGCTCTTGGGTCTTGCAATCGAACGAGATGGGACGCATCTGATCTCCTGCAGGTGTGAAGCCGTCCGGGTGCATCTCATCCCAGCGTTCCTGCATGATCCTTTGCTGCTTCTCGACGGCTTTGCATGCCTGATGTTCTGTAATACCCAGACCAGAAAGACCTAGTGCTATGGTTAGGGACAAACTGATGACTGTAATTGCTCCAATAAAACCCTTGTTTTCGATCAAACTGATGGGTTTATATCCTCGTGCGACCAGGTTTTGTGCTGCCAACGGTGGTCGTAGAGCTATGAGTCAGTGATCTGCTCGGTTCAAGCTCGACGACGAGGATGCTCTGCTTATGATGACTCTCACCTTTCTGACTGAATTCGCCGCTTTGGCGTCCTGCTTTCGGCAGCGGCTGTGCTTGACCAATTGGACAGAGACAGAGCGTTACCAAGAGCAAGATGGCGAAGATTCGCATGGCCGGATCCAGAGTATGGTAGCGAATAGACGGTTTGCGATGGTTCTGTGTCAAGGACGATTGGAAACCGTGATGGACGAGATGAGACAAAGAGGCAGAATTGAAGGACGCTGTGGGGGCATCGCTTGCTGCGAGCAACCCCTCAGGACAACACACAAAGGCTCGTTGACAATGGCCAACAGGTACCAAATGAAGTCGGCATGAGGGCCACGCAGCACAGACTTGGAGTCCACCTTGCAGGCTCTAAAATGAGATGAGGATATTCAATTGAGCCATCGAGGTTGAGTCCTCTGGAAAACAGTATGTGGGTGGGTTGTGTTCCGTGCGATCCAACAAGAGAGCGATCCGCACCGGGACAGCGACTATATCAGAGAGCCACCTCTGCGAGGGGACGGCCATAGTCGTCGACACCTGCGCGTCGTTGGCGGAAGCGCCATGCAATGCAAAGTACGAGCAAGACAAGCTGAAGCGCACCTGTAAGCACATACGCCGCGAGCGAGGACCAATCTGTGCCTGGCTGAAGCGACAAGGAGTAGACGAAAATGGCGCTGCCGGGCACCTGCAAGCACATCATGGGAATGCTCAAGCTGCCCACGAGCTTGGTGCGTGCGGTGTGAACGATCTGTGGAAGATACTGGCCAGCGGCAAGAAGGGTCGCTGAGCTGCCGAGGAAAGCAGCCCATCTCGAGACGAGCAGATGTGAAGAAGGTCTGCTCAAGACAACTGTCGATACGCTGGCAACGGCCTGTCTCGAACTCGCGAGCGCTGAGACTTCCTCCAGCGGAGGGAAGGATTTTGGTGGCAGCGAGCTGACAAGCAAAAGGGTGATGGCGCTGATCAAGAGGAAGTGAATCAACACAACCCAAGCGAGCGCAACGGCCAAACTCCATTCTTCAGTGCGACGTTTGCGGGTTCGCAATGTTTTGTGGTCCATCTTAGCTCGCCTCTCTCGCTCGATTCTGCGTATGCCGCGGGGCGCACCTACAAGCACATCACTGCGAGTGTTGGAGGAACGGTTGCGTCGTTCGGATGCGTCGACATTGCCGCTGCCCGGAGCCTTCCACATAGGCCAAAAGGTGGGGACGAGACGGGAAAAAGCGCTGCTGCTGAGATCCCGTGATGAGAAAGTTGTGTGATGGCCTGGATGGAGCAAAGCCTCGGTGTCGTGATCGAGATCCTCTTCCTCGTCGTCATCGTCCCCATTCGAGGAGGTATCATCACCATTTGTCTGAGGTGCAGTGTTGGCATAGTTCTGAGCAATGTGGCTGTCGACAGAGTCGAGATCCGAGTTGTCTGAATCAGCTGAAGTGACATCTTCAGCGGTGGACCCTACCAGAGGTCGAGAAGTCTTGGTGGATGCTGCGAGCCAGCCAGCGCTGTTGGTGCTGTGAGATGGGATTTGTCGACCAGCAGCTTCTCTACGGGCAGCGAGGCGTGCTTGAGCGCGGAGACGACGGTCGTCCTCGTCACGCTCGGGGAGAGCGATGGCGCGTTCGTACCTCCGGTCTGCTGGATAGTAGATGAGGAAGAGGACAAAGATCGAGGCAAACATGAACCATTGCAGACCGACTTGGAAGATGCCTAGTAGCGATTCGGTACACTCCAAAGCCGGCAAAGACGGACAGCATCTGATGATTGCCCATTGTAGGGCCACGACGTTGAGAAAGCTAGATGCGCTCGAGGTGGCACCTAGAAGCAGGAACCATGGCGAGAAACCTTGTGATGACTTGTTGTGGATGATGCGATAGATTTGTGGCAGATATGAGACGACAAGACCGACGCAAAGGAAAGTGGCCAGATAGACGGCCACTGGATCGTGATGGATGTGGCAGCTGCCATTGTCGTGAAGGCCGGACTCGATCGAGGCACCGGCCCACATCGACGACAGTGTCGTCTGCATGGTGAAGAGATGCGGATTCAGCAGCTTCCCAAGAATGGACTTGGTGCTTGCGAGTGCAGGAGGCAGAACGGTGCTCGTGGTGAGATGAAGAAAAGAGCATACAAAAAGAAAGACTTCTGGAGCCAACAATAATAAGTTATACAGTATGCGCCACTTCATTGAGGCGGCGATCAGACTCTCTTCGCACAGGTGTGTAGCAACTGCAATGCTTGTCATACTCAAGTGGACTAAGGTTACAAACATGAGTAAAATCCTTGGTCTCACATCGATCAACTTCTGAGCCCAGAAAGGAGGCGTCGTCTACCATTCCGTCGGTTCAGTAGCATAGTTCCCCAAGGAAAAAGTCTGCAATTGAATACGATCCGAGTAATGATCTGTTGGTCGCGAGATTCGCAGCGTTGGATGCTGCAAGATAGCGACTGTGTCACTCTGAACCTGCGTTCTTGTAAGTGGTTGTCATTGGAACAGGATGATCTGTGTGGTGCCGAGCTGCTGCCCGTGCGATCCACCTCCCTTAAGCTGTGCTATGGCCCCCTTGTGGCCTTGCCGTGGCTTCACTCGCTTGCAGAGCGAACACACGTTTTCACCTTCATCCTTCCAGCTGTACTGCGACGTAACATATTTACAATGTTGGTGAAGGCTGTTGCCCCAGGGGGTTTAGCTCAGTTGGTAGAGCGTTCGCTTAGCATCGTGTCTAATCTGCGAAAGGTCGCGTGTTCGACTCATGCAGTCTCCATAGTAACACTTTTTTACCCCGTTTTTCCTCCCTCTTTTGCTGCTTATCTTTATTTGATCCTCCTTGTCCTCGAGGCATCGGAGCCTCCTCTGCTGAAGATTACGATCCAGTGAGACGCTGAAGGATGACGCAGAGCCGATCTGATCAGAGATCGAGGATAATCGATTTCACTAGAGATCAGGTACAACCAAGTCCCGCTCGTTGTCAGGCTGGATTATTAAGTATAGCAACTCCCACGTTCGGCATGTGCCACCCATATGTATATATATCGAGCTGGGAGCGCTAGGCTCTCGCCATGTTCACTAAGTCAATTGAGTATATTTGTTTCTGTCTAAAACTAGCAGTGACATCGTACTCAGACTCTACCCGATCGCCAGTTATCGGGACCAAAACTTCAACAGATTCAACTCTGCTGTTGCTGCTCAACTTGATACTGACTGACTCCTTCGCCGTCCTCGTCCAATGATAACTCAGGGCAGAGTCGTCACTTGCTTGCTTGCTGCTTGCGTTCATTTGGCTTCCCCACTTTCCATATCTCTCCCTTTCCTATTGTTCTCGTTCTCGTCCCTATCTCTCCTTCCTTGTCGTGGTCTCTGTATCCTTTGTCGTAGTTCCCTTCTCAACATCATCATCATCATCCAACTTTGCTCAATTCAACATTCAGTGATTCTACTCCTTTCATAATAGGTCAGCACAGAACATCTTATCCAAACTAGGAATGGCGCAGCACCATCGTCTTGTCCAATCTTTGGCACGAACTATACCAGGGCAACCCATTGCGTTGACAAGCTGGACTTTCAGGCTTGCATCGACTCGACCACTCGCAGAACGATGCTCCAGTGAAACCATCATCATCGCCGGCAGGCGCTGGGCTTCTGGTAGTGCCCACTCGCACTCTGCTCCATCTGCATCCTTAAACACCAGTCGAATCGGTCTCTTTGCGCTTCGTGCTGCTCTCGCCGGTACCGCCTTGACTGTAGTCACTATTGCAGTCATCGACCCAATTCACCTCGATTCGCAAGATTCCACAGAGACCAAATCAATTGCTGAAGCCCATCGCAAGCCCATCGAGCGCGAAGATGAAAGCCACCGTCCCTATCGTCCGTTGCGCAATCAGCCCATCTCGATGCTTCTCACCAATTATGCCGTCTTCACACTTTGCTCCTTTTCATCGCTAGCCAAGGTCGGACCTCAACTCATCGAGTGGAGCTCCAACACCTCGTTGCCTCTCGTCTGGACCGTCACAGAATACATCATCCGTCGCACCTTCTTCCGTCAGTTCATCAGCGATGACACTGCTGAAGGATCCTTGCCCTTGCTCTCGTCACTTTCGCGCGACAATCTCGGTGCTATGCTCAACTTCTCCGTAGAGGTTGCTCACGATGGCAAGGCTGCCAAGGGTTCTTCTCAAAGCGGTGCTGGTTCAAAGCTGGCCATCCACCGTCCTTTCGTTGATGAGCTTCTCCACAGTATCGATGTTTCTGCTAAGCTTGCATCGCTTCCTGCTTCGCACGGCGTTGCTGACGAGGAGCAGGCTTCCGAGTTGGCTGTTCGTCCCGACCGATCCGGTAGCACCTTTGTCGCCATTAAGCTTTCTGGTCTCCTCTACGACTCTTCCGTCCTTGAACGTGCCTCTGCCGCCATTGTGCCCAGAGAATGGTTCAGCTCGCCTCCTGAGCCGCTTCCACCTCTTAGCATTAACGGCAATGGCCCTTGCGGTGGTCTTGCTATCCCTGTCGCAGCTCTTACACCCAAGGATGTGGATGCGCTCAAGCAGCTCTGGGAAGCTTTGCGAGAGATTGCCGAGCGAGCCAAGCAGCACGGCAGCGTCCGTCTCGCAATTGATGCCGAGTACAGTTGGTACCAACCCGCCATTGACGCCATGTACGAAGCCATTGCTGCCGAGTACAACCGACCCATTTCGTCTTCTGCTGACGCTCCACGGGGTAGCATCACTGGCCCTTTGGTCTACAACACCTTCCAAGCCTACCTCCGCCGCACTCCATCCCACCTCGCTGCTTCATTCGAGCGCGCAAAGCTCAACGGATACACGCTCGGTGTCAAGCTGGTGCGAGGTGCCTACGTTGACATTGAAAATCGAATCTGGTCCGACAAGATCGTCGACGCACCACCTGTACCTGGCAAGGGTGCCGATGCCTCTGCTTACGAAGGCTGGGGCAGCCCTGTCTGGCCCAACAAGGACCTCACCGATCGATGCTACGATGGCTGTGCCATCCGTCTTGTCCAAGAGATTCACGACGACCTCGTTCGCGGCGCCAAGAAGGGCAGCCACCCTAGCTTGGCCGTCGTCTTTGCCAGTCACAACACGCAGTCTTCGCTCAAGGTGATCCGTGAGATGGTGCGCCTTGGTACGGCCAAGCCCTCTCCTGCCCTCTTGCAGGCGACCAAGGACGCCAACCCGACTGCTGATAAGCGACAGCTGCTCAAGCAGGTGCCGCTTGTCGACTTGCAGTTGCAGGAGTCGGTGCGAGGACGCATCTTCTTTGCTCAGCTTTACGGTATGGCTTCGGTGTTGACAGCGCGTATTCAGGCCGCTTTTGACCCAAACTCTGGCGGTGTCGGCCCGCATATGGTGCTCAAGTACATTCCTTACGGTCCACTCGAGTTGACGCTGCCTTACTTGATTCGCCGTGCTCTTGAGAATGGTGATATCATGACGGGTGGTGCCGCCGCTGAAAAGTCGCTCGTGTGGGATGAGCTCATGCACCGTATCGGCTTGCGTCACTGAGCACCCTCACACTAGCATCAGCACGTACAACCATGGTAGAAGCACAATCTACCCAACTACGACAACTCCCCACTTCTCTCCTTTACACCGTTTCGCACCCTCCTTTCTCGTCCCCGTTCTCGTTTCTCACTCTCGTTCTCGTTGACCTCGCATCCACATCGGAGATACCCGGCACGGTGCCTTGCCCTTAACACCAGGCACGCCTACTCTCGTTCTCGTTTTCGTTCCAAGTGGCACTCAAACATACCCATCGGCATGGTGCCTTGCCATTAACACCAGGCACACATTATTCTTGTCGCTGTAAACTGTTCTCGCATACCCAGGCACGACGCCTTGCCCTTAACACCAGGCGTGTCTCTTTTTCGTCGTTTCGCATGCTTCATTTCGACGTGCAACTTCATATCGAAGCTGCAGTCTATCTCAAGGGTTTCTTTGTCACACGCATGCATCTTTCTCGCAGTTACAATATCGCATCTCACTTGTAACAATAAAGGTCGGTCGAGCCACTTAACACATCGACGCATTCTTTGTGATGGTATCTCTGAAGTCACTCCCACTTTGCTACCGTATTTTGTGTCGTTGGGATGGGCCGTCTTGCAGAAACAGACAGATGATGAACTGTGAGCTTTTCTGTTCCTGCAATTTTCACCGCAATTTATTCGTTTGTTTCCTCAAGCAATTCCAAACCTTTTTTTTCTTTTTTTTTTCTTTTTTTTTCCCCGCCGACTGCCGCTCGACTGTTGTGTTGTGAGCTCAGCTGTCGGTGAAACTAGGGCGAGCACCATTTCCTTTTCTTTTCCACCAAAGAAGCCGTTCGCTTTCCGTCTCGGTCTTGACACGGTCTTCTATACCTCGGTGAATCGTCTTTCGAACGGACCGAGCAACGACCTCCCCCGCCTTTTCCCTGTCCACTTCATTGTGCAATCCCACATTGAGAGTTACACCATTGTTCTCGCTTGGAAGTGGGTTGAATGCCACTTTGCATCATCGTCTCCCGTTGGTTTTGCTGATCTCATGTAGAGAATGCACCGAATCCTTGGTCACGCTCACGGTCCCTTGGCCCCTGTCGGTCGGTCCTTGCGCGGCGTCCAGCAGACCTTGACAGGTGGCCTTGCCTTGGAATGAATGACCGACCGAACCTGTGCAAGCGAGTGCCTCATGGCTATACCTCAGCATCCCGTACACACACCGATGTCACCTGTCTAGGCACCGAACAGCTACCGAATTCACCGGTCATCTCTCTCTTCACTTGTCAACCCCAGGAGTGCACCAAACCTTGTATAGTGGAACAGTGCTCTAGACGACTGTCCCTGAAATGTTCCCGAGAAACCGACGCTTGAGGTGTTGACTGCGTGCCTATTGCTTGTTAAGGAAGAGCCTCGGCAGGAGCTTCTCAAGATATATGACCCCGGACGCTCATCTTCAACTCCATCTTACCTTCCCCCGTAAACATTCCACCCCCACAGTCGACACACCTCTTCACCTCACACCGGTCGAGACCACCACAACCCACACCCAGCATTCACAATGGCACCAATTGCAGTCGACCCAATCGTCGCACCGACTCCAGCGGTCAAAACCCCCCACTGCATCGTCGCAAAGGGTTCCGCCATGGACTCTATCTCTGACATGGTTGACGAAGTCAACGTCTACCGCGGCACACACCCCGATGCACCTCAGCCCGCCACAGCAGAAGACGAAGCATGGCGTACCGAAGGTTCCCGTTTCGACTCTGAAAAAGACAAAGCAGACTTCCGTCGATACGAAGACGCTCTCGACCACGTTAAATCCTTCTACAAGACTCAGCACGAGAAGCAAACTGTAGCATTCAACATTCAAGCTCGTGATCGTTTCCTCAAGAACCACCATGCATCCATGACGGTGTGGGAGGCGATCGAGAAGTTGGACACACTCGTGGACGAGTCTGATCCTGATACTTCCTTGTCGCAGATTCAGCATCTGCTGCAGACGGCGGAGGCGATGAGGAGAGATGGCAAGCCGGATTGGATGCAGCTTACTGGTCTTATCCATGACTTGGGTAAACTGTTGTGCTTCTTCGGTGCTGATGGACAGTGGGATGTTGTAGGAGACACTTTCGTTGTTGGTTGTGCTCCTGAAGGTACTGTTTATCCTCACACTTTCGAGGGAAACACAGACTTTCACGACGAGCGATACAACACAAAGTACGGAATGTACGAACCCAACTGCGGCCTCAAAAACGTCATGCTTAGCTTTGGTCACGACGAATACCTCTACGAAATCGCCAAGCGAGAGTCGACACTGCCACAAGCAGCACTCGACATGATCCGTTACCACTCCTTCTACCCATGGCATCGCGAGGGCGCTTACCGACACCTTTGCAGCGAAGAGGACGAGGATGCGCTGTCAAACGTTCTTGCATTCAACCCATACGATCTGTACTCCAAGTCAGACTCGCCTCCTGACCCGGTCGAGTTGCGTCCTTACTACGAAGGCTTGATCGAGAAGTACTTTGGTGGTAAGGATCGTAAAATTCAGTGGTAGTCGTATTTCATATTTAGCATTTCCTCGTATAGAAGGGCCGAAATATACCTTGTCCACATCTACCTCAACTCATTCGGCTCTGTGTACCGTAGATCTCTTTCATTTCTCGTGTTTCGTCGCAATCGTTATTGGTTTCAAACCATCTCTTTTTCATGTCGCAGATCGCTTTGAGTGTGAGAGAATAGTTCTTTCATATTGCAAGGTATTGATCGTAAATTGAGCATAGAGAGGCTACTTGAGATTCTTGAGGTGGGATCCAAGCGGATCTTTACCTGGCTTCCAGTAGCCGAAGAGAAGTTGGAAGATGCCGACAAAGATGATACAGTTGAGGGCGGCGATCTTTTTGATCAACATCGTCGCTGTTTCTCCTCCTGGAACCAGGCCGAATGGCAGCCTGATTGTTTGGATAAATTGGAGGAGAACCAGGTCAGCGGTCAGCTAGTCTAGGCTCCGTGAAAGATTCAGGGTAGGTAAAGACTTACACCTGTGGTGAGTACAGATCTTGCTGACTCTTGACGTAGAATTTGCCATCTGCACCTCGTTGAAGTTGAAGGGCTATAAAGATGCGGGCGTCTTTGGCGATGACATCTCGAATGACGGGAAGGTTTGGTCGGAGGGTTTGGACTGCTTCGAGAAAGCTGTGTGAGTGTGAAGCCATTAACGAATGAGAAGTTGCGTCAGCGGATGTTACCCAGTTCTGCACCTCCGCTTGAGGTGAAGGTTGAGCTTACAGTCTGTTCGTCTGATGATCGAAGCCTGGAATTCATCGAAGAAGGATACCCGTGCAGCGACGGCTTGTCAGCATGAGGTCGTTCCAGCAACAGTTACACCTGAAACGCTAGAACTCACCAACAGAATACACCTCAATATCGGACCTAGATATGACCCTCAACCACTGATAGATCGGTAACACCCCATTATCCCTCGAGTTAGGACCTGAACTGACGGTGCAGAGAACATGGTCGAAAGATGCATCGGGAGCAAAGTATCTCTGCATGCAGTACTTTTGTTCGGAAGCGTTTCTGGCTGCGACAAGCCCTTTGACGACTCCGCGAATCTCGTTGACCGGGTCTTCCATCTTTGTTGCGATGCGGGTGTGTGTGGGCGAGTAGGTGGTTGCGATGGAGGAGGAACAAATCATAAGGCGATCCGCTGGGAAGAAGGTTTAGCAGGCTTGGCACGTTCTCAGTGTTCTGTCCTTGCGGCGATGCGGATGCTTGTGAAATTGCAGGATGGTTTGTAGTAGCGAGAATTCGTGATTTGTTAGATTCAGCCTTATTTGTTAGATTCTGGAAGATTTGACATCTTCCCCTTGAGCGCGGCTGACAGTGCATCGTACAGACGAGGTGACGGTGTCCACGCTGGATACGATATGAAGTGCATCGTGTCCCTGGTTGAAGCATCACTCTTGCGAAGCAGCCCCAAAGAAGACGTTATACAGCACATCTGTGCCAAAACGGTGCAAGAAAGCTTAAGTCTATCAGGGCAAAGTTTGAAAGCATTGTGCCACGGCATTTTCGCAGAGATTCAGATCAGACACCACACCGTGGGATTGTCGACACGCGTACAACATTGTCGCTTGCCCAGCCGTCTTCAAGAACATCCAATGAGGAGCAGGTGGCCTTGCGCAAGCACCAAGCAGGAGGTGTGTAGGTCCATTGTTCTGAGTCGGCACGTATCTCCGCAGCTGCATCGAGTGACAGCGCCGAAGGTTCATGTGTGTGCATCCATAGGCTCATTGTTCTGCAGCGTGGGATGGATAGCCGCTACGCGCTGCGAGATCTGGGGTCTTTGATGCGCAGCAGATCTTTTCATGCTGTCCCACTCCTCTGGGTGGCACAACAGGTGCCCTGCCTAGACCATGCGCATACTCCTGCCAACTGAATGTTCTCAAAACATGCGCAGATGCTGCATTGCCAACGAGTAGCGATGAATGAAGCATAAGACGGAACACAAAGGGTCCGGCTATCTCGGTGATTCTGTTTGCACCTCACGGGATGCCCCTTTGCGGGGAACTCGTTGATTGACCCTACTGCAAAGGTGCTGGGCGCCTTGGTGATGTTTAGAACGACTTGGCGAGCTGCGCTCTTCTTATAAGAACGGCGAGGACAGTCTTCGACTCGTCTCTTCCATCTCAGGACAGCACAGTCTCTCTCTACTCATACCCGCTGGATCTTTCAATCACTCCAAATACTTCTGCCTTTTACTACATCGCCATAATTGCCAACTCCACTCTCTGCTCATCAAGCCACCCTCCGCCGACAAACCCCTTTCGATCGAAAAAATGCTCCTCTACGACCTCCGCGAACGAATCCTTCACCTGGCCTCCGACGCCGAAGCCCTCCAACGCGAAGTTGACGACGTAGTCGCTCAAGACCATGCCATGTTCGGTCAAACCGAAACCCTCATCTGGGAACGCATGGAACAAGATATCCCCGAAGGCTTCGTCATGTGGTACCGAACCCTCTACACCGAACAATACCCCGAACGATGCGAGACCAGTCTCGAAGATCCTTGGGTCCGTATCAACTGTAGTCCTCTCAGCATCGACGAGATTTTCAACCGCATCACTTGCTTCTTGATCTTTATGCTCGAAGCCGAACCTGAGGAGCCGTGGTACCACGCGGTGGATAAGTTTACTTTTGCTACTTGGGCCGACATCTTGTTTTTGAGGACTCACAGAGCATTGGCGTGCAAGGTTGATGAAGTGGGAAAGCTATACACGGGATGGCCTGAGTTGGGGGAGGAGTCATTGTGTTTAAGATTGATGAATTGGGCGGAGCAGGTGATGGAGGATCGCGGACTTATCGAGTAAGGACACACGGCAGTTCGTTACACATCACTTTGCATACTGCTCCGTTGTCCTTTGTTCGGGATTCTTAGACGCTCATACCCTCTTTCTGAACCGTCGTCATCTACAGAGAACTATTCATCACCGATGATTGCCCCTGTTGCCCGCCTCAAGAAGAGTGAACACTTCGTCCTCTCACATGCGCCTAGTGCGCGACCGATTCTGCTTTCTGCTCATACTACTAACTCTTGTAATGCCACCGCTCTGTCTCAAAAGTAAATGTCTTTTTCTCTTCCATTCCGCTTGCGACCGGTATGAGAGTACATATCAAGACATAAGCTGTCGTGTCCGCTAATCAGAGGCGGCGCCAAACCATCACGCGCTGCACATCGGGTTGCGTCCCTTCCCCTTTAGGCCGCAGATTTGCAAGCTCTTGCCACGCCGCTCCGTCATCCGAGTTTTTCTGAGCGCTGAAAAGCTCACGCACCAGCTCGGGCGAGATTGAGAAGGGAGGTCCACCTGGTCGGTCGCCGTGAATAGGGAAGACAAGGGCGATGAGGATACCGTCTTTAGCCATTAGTCTCGTGTAGGTCTCAGCCCAGCTCGTGCGGAGGGAAGGCGGGATGGCGCACAGGAATGTGTAGTCGTAGGAGAGCGATGCTTGTCCTGGCTTTGATAGAGCTGGAGAGGAAGCCTTGTCAGTGCCGAGGGTGAAGAAGTCGGCCTCTTCAAAGATGACTTTGGAGTCGAGGTCAGCAGGTAGGTTCTGGTCTTTGAGCCACTGTTGAAGCATCAATCGAAGTCATATCAAAAAGGTCAGAAACTCGGGTTGTCAGCTATAATGCTCAATCCGAAGAGCTGTCAAGGCTGGATAGCGTGCGACTCACATTCTTTGCGGCAACCACAGCACTGGAGCTGATATCGAGACCGTAGCTGGTCAGACCACGTTCAGCGAAGATCCTAGCATCGTAGCCTCTTCCACAGCCAGGAATGACAGCAAGACCGTCTCCCTTAGGGATGACTTGTGATACAGGAATCTGGTTGCCTTGAAGATCGGGTACCTTGGTGTCTGCATCGTGCACACCGTTGAGCAGCTCTACCAGCGCTGGCTGAGCTCGGCTTGCATCCCACGGTGTTGTGCTCTCGACCCAGGCTTTATCCCAAACCTTCGGATCGTTCGGAATATCGGAAGTTGCGAAAATACTCCTCAGCTTCTGAATTTGCTCGTCCTTGCTGATGTTCGCGATCGAAGTCTGCATCGTGGAGAGGATTGTTTGGATGGTTGAATACGAGCGAGTGCTTGGCTTGAGTCCGCGCTGTCGTGACGTTTCCAGAGTCAGTCAGAAAGGAGAAGCACGTTTGATGGCTCGAAGGGGTAAGCGAGCGGGGAGTCTGTTCATGCGAAGGGTTCTTATGGAGGATCTAAAGGAAGAATGCTGTGTGTGTGGACCCTGTCGGCAGCTTTATGCAAGTCTGTACACGGAGCGGGCATATGCGCCATGCCCGGGGCAAGGCAGCATTTCTAGTAAAATAGCCGAAATAGCAAAAGCACGGATTTCGGGTTCCGGATTTCGGAACCGCGTGTCTTCGATGACAATCATGCACATCGCTATGACGTGGAGGTCAGACGCTTTTGAGGCCTGCGTAGCTGTTCTTCGTCCTCAAGACACACTTCAGCTGCGAACAGCTTCACCCTTCTCACACCACCGTCGGATCGGAACCCATATCGACAAACCCGCCACCGTCCAAGAAAGATGCCACCATCTACAGCAAGACAACGCAACAAGCGCGCGCTCGAAACCACAGGAGGTGTCTCACGGCCACCCGCAGCTCGAGGCAAAAAGCGAGGAGCTCCCGAATCATCCAAGCTCCAATCACTGCTCTACGTCTTCCTTGCAACGACAGTCCTCCTAGTCGGATACCAAGTCGCACGGTTCTACTACCGCAATCATGCGGCTCTCTCACCGCTCTCGGCTTGGACTAAAGCCAAGTATGGCGCACAGGATCGTGCCAATGTGGTTGGCGCACCTATTCAAACCGATGGAAGAACAAAGTTCAACAAGCTTTCTCCTGAGGGAGCTGTTCCTGGAGCACCTGCTCTGGTTCCTGGACAGGAAGCCACCGACTCTTTGGACGAGCTCAGAAAGAGGCTCGGGACCGAGGGTGAACTCGATGCCCAGTTTGACGAGGATGGAAACCTGGACCTAGCGACGATTCAGCGTATGTTGGATATTCTGTACAAGCCAGCGAAGGATGGAGCGAAAGGAGCGGCAAAGGCTGCGGGTCGGGTGTTGGAAGCTGTCACGGAGGATGAGGTGGATGCGGATGCAGCTGATGCGGCTGAAGTTGCGGATGAGTCTGGGCCTTGAAGTAAGTCAATGTAGAACATTCAAAACGTGGCTCAGTTGACAGGGAAGATGATGCGTTAGATTGAGGCGCAAGCTGTGTCGACTTCTCGGAGCCATATGTGTAGGTCGATGCAATACCAAAAGAATATATCGGGATTCCCGATCGAGTGCCGATCTAGGTCCGGAGCAACGCATGTGAGATGAGTCGATGTTAACACTCAAATAGGATTGCCACTCACCGAAGCCATCCAGGCGACCCTTCCATGATCACGTTCCACAGTGACCTCTGTGAGAGCACAAGTGATGATGCAAGGGGCATTCAACGGCGTTTTTTGCTGCCAACTCTTCCTGCGGGATGAGGTGGGTGGCGAAGCAGAGACGGCGGTTTGCTTACAGGCTAGGTTGAAGCAGCCACACTATGCAGTATTCCGGCAATTCAGCAAAGTGTGGTACGAGACCTGAATGGCTTTCATGGCCTGCTCGCTTAGGTGTTAGTGTCATCATCTCTGGTCACTGTTACGGTGTCTCGGATACGGGCTAGGCACCCCAAGGCCTGTTGGCAGCTCGTAGCGAGATGATTAACAAGTCGAGCTCTCAAGTTGCTTTAGCTCTACAAGCTCCAACATCCTGACATGGGCCAGGTAAACGTGCTGATTTGAATCGCCGCGATACCACTGTGTCACACAGGTCACACTATGAACTTAGTGTGAATAACAGACCAAGCTCGGAAGCATGTTTTGTCGGCAGGCTTGATTTCGCACTAGAAGCGATAACGGTCAACGTTGGTCTTATTTGTAAACGACCGTTCAAACATTTAGAGCTTCTCTGCAAAAGCTCGGATGCAGCTATTGAGGTCTTTGATAGTCTTCCAGCCGGTCACCACTCGCCCCGCAAGCAGGTTTGTTCCAAATCCGCGTCCTTGAAGCATGAGCCGTCGCAATTGGAGCCGTCACCATGATGGCGATGCGTTCCTTTGAACGGAGATGAGGGTAATTCGTGCTAGCTCGCCAGGACTTGCTCATTCACTTGAGTGCACGTGCTGCAAAACGCACAAGGTCCAAAAAGCGGCCAAGAGCTTTGTCATGTCGAAGTGAACATCTCCTTGACGTGCGCGGCGAAGGCATCGGAGAACAGTGGCTGATGAGGATAGGGACAAGCAACTCAAAGAGATTCCGACCCGCTCCAAGCCAAAAAGGCTGGAAGGTCATGCAGGTACGACATCCTGAACAATAATGCTTGCTAGTGCGGCGGCAACGGGAAGCAAAACTACTCTGTCCGCATTGCCCGGCGGAGCAAGACGAGGTCCGAAGAAACAAACTACGTTAACTCAACCGCAGGGGACCAAGATCGATCGGCGAAGCTCGATCAAGCAAAGCACGAGCTAGTCTTACTTCAGGCTTTTGTCCCGCGCTCCCCACTTCTGGCCGAGTATATGGGGCCAGAGCTTCGTTACATGTTCCTTCGCTCAAGTCGGCGTCCCAGGCAAAGTCAATCTTCGCACCTACCCGGCCGAGGTGAGTATCCTTTACGACATGTAGCGCAGGGATTAGCAATGGCGTCGGAGGCATTTACAAAGCTGGTCGTGGGTGATCAAAGTCATGGTTCAGTTCGGCTGTAGCATATTAGGTTGTTCGCTTTCACACCAAAGATTTTCTCTGTAAAGTGCGATGGTAACGCGCCATCGATGTCAACTTGACGACGCGAGTTTGAATGTGCCCAAAATTTCCGGGTGCATGAGCCAGCCTTGCTTTCAGCCACTTGAATTTTCAACTTTGTTTTCCAGCTGTCAGAAAATGAGTCTCAGAATATCAAAATCAGGCTCGATTCAGCTAGACCAAATAAGCAGCTCAACGAGTGCCAATACGCTTTGTTGCTTGGTAAGATAGAGAACGATTTTGCTAATGATGCTTCGACGAGGTTGTGATGGTGACTCGGGAAGCTGAAAGGGGTCCCGCTCGCTTGTGCATGCCAAGCCTGACTAAATGAAGATTGCAGCTCAGCCTGTCTACGCTTCTCTCCCTTGCCTTGCTTTGACTTTAAAACTCGTCACGACTCCCGAGTTCTATCCACACATTGTTTCCGTTCAAACAGTCTTCATTGATGTAGAGCTCCACCATATTGGTCAAAGCGCCGATAACCAACAGTGTGTGGGGTTTTGGTTTTTTGTTTTTTTTTTTTTTTTTTTTTGTTTTTTTTTGTTTTTTTTGTTTTTTGTTTTTTGTTTTTTTTTTTTTTTCCCTCGAGCGAAGTCGGGTTCGATGTAACTCGAGAGCAAGCGATGGTGTGGCTTGTTTCCATTGTGTGTCAAGTGAGTGGGGAGCTCCGCCATCTCTGAGTGGATATCCAGATTAGGCTCGTGCCACGAGCTCATTTTAAGCCAATCAGAAAGCGAGAAGGACAAACGTGTCTAATGCGGAGTGCAGAGAGGATATGCCACTGGAAGGAACGTGGACACGTCTGCATGAATTTCCAGCAGCCAAATCATCGGGATCTGTCAAAAACACCCAGACTCTCGTTTGGAAGAGCTCACCGCACATCTGTGCTTTGTGCAACTGTACATACTCGATCTCCACAAACAGAGCTTTCTTTACCCGTGAGCAGAGAAGGGGAGACACGGACGACACATCTCCGTGTATCGTGCCACCAAGCCAGATTGATGCTTTGTCGCTCAACAGAAGAACGTGCTCGTGCTCGCCACTTCTTGTACTGAGACCGCTGATCGCCGGTCCGAGTTCGAGACCTGTTCCTTCTCTTTTGAGTTTGTACACGTTCTCTATCCAACCCTCTTGCCCATCGCGGTGTGTCTTGCCGCACGCTCATGGCCGCACAGGCCGTAGCTCGTGTGTGAGATACCGCGGCCGATTCCAGGTGCCGCCAATTCCAGGTACCGCCAACTCAAGCAAGCGAGAGTCTTGTCACCGGGACCTGATTGTGGAACAAGTCCCGATGGCTCAAGAAGCCATGTCGCAACAAGCATTGATTACCGCTTGAATCATAAGGTCCAATGAGAACCGAACTGCAGGTACAATACACTCTGTTTGTCAGCGATGAGGCACTCAAATCGAGTCGATTTCACAGCGGCTTAAAGTGCAAAACTTCTATGCACAATGTCAAACGGCAACCACGACCGACCTGCGCAATCGACCCAGAACGAGAATGCTTCATGGTTGGCCGTGGCTGCAACCGAATTGCCTGTAAGAGCCTAGATTTTGACTGCCAGTATAGAACAACAGCGACAAAAGAAAAAGAAAAACTTTTCTCCTTGTTTTTCCCGAGACATTTTCCCCCTCAAGTTACCGGCTGTTGGAAAAAAGCGGTGGGATAAGGCCGGCTGCATCCACTGGTTGGGCCCCCCCGCGGCTCATTTTCTTCCTCATTTGTGCGAGCACTGACGGAATGGCTGTTTTGCCATCATCCTTTGCAGAACCATGCGTTCGATAAAAGCCAGCGACCCAGCTTTTATGCTCGGCCTGTCACCCAAAACGTGTCAATCAGAATATGTTTTTTCCATCGCTGGTTGGACGGACGAGGGATCGATTCGCTTCCCACATGAAGTGGACCCTCCGTTTCAAACCCGCGCGCTGTCTGCCACAAAGCGATTGACGTCTCTCGCATCCTACCATCGAGGGTGTATGGTGTGGGTTGATGAGTGCCAACGCACAGGCATTTCGGCTTCGCCACAGTCCATGTGCCTGCCAGAACAAGCAGCTTTTCTCCCCCTCATTTCCAGAAGCTCTTTGCTGTACGCTTCCAACACCCACCTCTCCAAAACATATATCAAGCCTGACCATCCAGACGATCCCCTTGTTCGACGCCCTCACCCATCCTTCAAGGCACACACTCTTCGCCAACACTTTACCCCTCTTTCTTCGCCAACCCCTCTTTCTTCGCCAACCCCATTTTCCTCACCATCACACAGCCGAAGCAGCATCACACATTCCAAGATGGCTTTCGGTAAGGATATGGACGCCTGGGCCGGCGACACCGGTCTCTCCCTCGTCGAGAGGAATGAGAAAAAGTCTCGCTTCGCCATCTCTTGGGCTGAGGCCAAGCTGCTCACCATTGCTGGTGTCGGTTTCCTCATGGATGCATGGGACTTGTTCATCATTAACATGATCTACGCGATCATCCTCGTCGCTTACTACCCCAAGAACACCAAGAATATCGACTGGGGTCTCGAAGGCGGTGTGCTCAAGGCCTCCGCCAACATTGGCAACATTGTTGGTCAGCTCTTCTTCGGTTTCTGCGGTGACATGTTCGGTCGATCTGCCGTTTACGGTAAGGAGCTCATCATTGTCATCTTCGCCGTCATCCTTCAGATCTCTGCTCCCGACTCCATTGGTGGCCACGGTATCACCATCTGGCTTGCCGTCTTCCGCTTCATTATGGGCATTGGTATCGGAGGTGATTATCCAATGTCTGCCACCATCGTTGCTGACCGTTCTTCGCTCAAGAACCGTGGTTTCTTACTCTCCTGGATCTTCTCCAACCAGGGTTGGGGTAACCTCGTCGGTGCTCTCTTTGCCGTTATTGTCATTGCTGCTTACCGCCACTACGTCGATGCTGGTCAGATTCACAAGCTTTCCGGTGCTTGGCGTATCCTCCAGGGTCTGACTTTGATCCCTGCCTTCCTCGTTCTCTACTTCCGTCTCACCCTTGTCGAGTCCACCCGTTTCACTCAGGCTCGTAAGCTCCAGGACGACCCTGAGCTCATTGCCAAAGGTCACAACAACCTCAACCGCTCCAACTCGGACGACGCTTCGCTCTCCAAGGAGAAGGCTCTCGGTGGTGCCATGACCCCCGTTGAGGAGACCGCTGTCGGTATGTCGTTCAAGTCGATCGGCAAGCCTAAGAACGAGTTTATCGAGTACTTCTCCGAGTGGAAGAACGCCAAGAAGCTCATCGGATGCGCCGCTTGTTGGTTCCTCGTCGACATCACCTTCTACGGTATCAACCTCAACCAGTCTTCCATTCTTTCGGCTATCGGTTTCACCAAGGGTTCCACCTGGGGCAAGCTCATGAAGACTGCCACTGGTAACCTCATCATCACTGTTGCTGGTTTCCTCCCCGGCTACTTCTTCACCGCCTTCACTGTTGACATCGTCGGCCGCAAGCCCATCCAGCTCCTCGGTTTCGCCATGAACGCCCTCTTCCTCGGTATCCTTGCTGGCAAGTTCGACAGCCTCAAGCACCAGACTGGTCCTTTCTTCGTCATCTTTGTCTTCCTCCAGCTCTTTTTCAACTTCGGTGCCAACGCCACCACCTTCATCATCCCTGCCGAGGCTTTCCCCACTCGTGTTCGTGCTACCGCTCACGGTTTCTGCGCTGCTTGCGGAAAGTGCGGTGCCATTCTCTCATCGCTCTTCTTCTCCTACCTCGCCAACAAGACCAAGCTCGGCAACACCGGTGTCTTCTGGATCTTCTTCGGTGTTTCCATCCTCGGTGCCATTGTCACTGTTCTCCTCGTTCCCGAGACTAAGGAGTATGATGCTGACGAGGACGACCGAAAGTGCCTCGCTGCTCGCGCTGGTGTCCAGTAAGCGACATCTTCACTCTTTTAGAGCACACACCCAAAAGTCACCCTTTGGATCTTTCACTAGTCCATGTATATCCCTCCGCTTTGCGTTATATGCGGTATTCCTTTTCTCTCTTAGACTATTTTTTTTTTCTTTTGTCATCTGTTGATTACACACTACCTTGCGCGTCAACGTCAGCTTTGAGCATATGTGTGACGACATATGATGGTGAGGATCAAGGTGATCTAAGTTGGAAGTGTGGGATGAGGAGAAGGTTGTCGAGATGTGCCAAATTATACAGTGTTTGCACAACCGGAGAGGAGCGGGACTGACTACTTTCACATACTAAGCGAGCTCTCTGCGCACTCATGTTTGTTAACTTAAGTGGTGTTCTTTGCTTTTTGTTCCTTCGTAGTAGCGGCTAGGACCCTTACGTTCGCTACAGCAGCAATAGTTTAGCCTTGTGCGATGCCGAGACTGAAACGTAACTGCAGATGCTACACCTGCTGCTGGGACGGGTCCAGGTGTCCATAGCTCGCATTGGTGTCGGCTTTGTGCAATGTTGGACTCACTCATTGTCAAAACAATCCGCATGATCCTTCCCCTCGCAACACTCCTCTGCATCCAAACCCAACATCACCACTTACATTCCATCCCCTTTTGTCCCCAACAAGATCACACGCAAGGAATAACGTCGACGTCTAAAGGCGCACATTTACCGGCCTTCCTCTTCCTCCTCCCGCCCTGACAATGTCCCACTTCCCATCATCATCAACCTTCACGGCTCTGGATTTTGCTTCCACACTCACGGCGACGATGCAAGATTCTGTGGGAAGAAAGCACAGAAACCAGCGCATTTAGGGGCTTAGAGGCAATCCGGAACAGAGGAAGCAGTAAGAGTTTACCACCAACTCCAGCTAGAAGTAGCTCGAGTCTAGGATCCTCTACTACTATGGCTGGTGGTGAGTCTGTTAGGTGTCCTAAGCTCCTGGCTCCGCCCTCCTTTCTCATAAGAACGATGCTTCAAAGTACCTCACAGATAGCCACACATATACACACATTCGTTTTTGATAGGACCAACATTCATTACCACCCCGCACCACAACAACTATCGTGATGGAATGTTGCCGAAGCTATGACTCGCCAACTTTCTTAACCCTCACCGGCAAGTTGAGTCTTTCATTCCTCCTCCAAAAATCGACCAAAACCTTTGCGGTTCTCTCCGGCGCATCTTCATGCAAAGAATGTCCCACATCCGCAATCACTTCCAATTGATACTTTCCTTGCATTTGACCTATCATCAGCTCCTTATCCAGCCTATCTGTTCCGGCTAGCAACAGCAGTCGAGCGGTGCGAACGGAGAGAAAGCGAGAGGAAAGGCCTTCAAACCATCCCCGCCAGAAAGGCTCGGTGGCGAGAAGGTTTGCTTTCCATTTCAAAGCATGTTCTTTTCCCTCCTGAGATTCGGTGGGAGAGGCGGAGGAGGAGGACAGGATTTCTTGCGGCTCCTCTTCTTCTTTGGCGGTAGCGGAGGAAGGGCGGTAGGCAGGATTGGGCTGGAGAAGAGGAGGGACCGAGATTCGGGCGCTGGAAACGTTGGCGATTGTTTTAGAATCCACGTGCCAACGAATCGCATCCTCAACCGAAGAGAACCCGGAAGGATGGGAAAGGACAACACTACGCATAACACTGAGAGCGTCCATCGCGGTTCCCTCTACCACATCTAGAACTGCTACTCCTGCAATCCGGTTGAATCCTCTCGATGAAAGTGCATGTGCGGCAGAGACGACTACCGACCCACCCATCGAATGACCTACCAGCACAAGCGAAGGCATTTCTTCCGTCTTCGGGAACATCGTCGATAGTAGAGAAGTGAGGTCGCTCGAGAGCGTGTCAATAGACATATCCAACGGATCTGTGGGCATGTTACTTGTACGTGTTCGGCCATGCCCTCGACAATCGTAAGCTAAAACACCGACTTGGCCAACGGTCATCTTTGCAATTTCAGCAGCAGTGAGCGCATAGGAGAGCGCAGAGAATCCTGCTCCATGGTGAAAGACGAATAGGGTGCCTGGATTTGCTGCTGGTGCGGTTGGCTGTGCTCCTCCTTCATCTTGGTCATCAGTTACTGGAAGCCCAACACCGGGGCGAAGTGTGGGTAAGGAAGGAGAGTCGAGGTTGATATCCACGTCTTTCATCGAAGGCTCCGCTGCTGGTGGGCCTAGTGGTGCTGAAGCCTTGGGTTTCGGTGGGGTGTAGTACACTCGAAAAGCAATCGATCCGCCGGATTGGGAAGGAAGATCGACCTCGAGTGCTTCTTCGAAGTACCCCTCTGCTGTGCGTGGTGAGAAGTCTTCTGCGTTACGTTGGCGGTGCCGTGATGGGCCTGCTGAGGATGACGCAGTGGTAGAGGGCTGGGCGAAAGCCTCACCAGAAGAAAGCTCTGCTTGTTCTTCCTCGTCTTCTGAGAAAGCTGGGACGGGAGGGAGCTTGCTCAGCTTGCTTCTCAGGAAGGTGCGTTGGAGGTCGGACATGTTGCACGTTGCTGTGTGTTCGGTATATTGCTAGGATGACCTGTCTGGGAAGCGCGAGTGGGGCCGATTGGGCTCAAATCTGGCTGCACGACCTTCTCTTTGCTTGTCGAGCAGCTGTCGCAGCGAGAGAGTGAGTCGGTCTATGTGTTTTATCGTGGTTATGAGTGCGGAAGAAAGCTGAGTTGGGTTGATGGTCAAAGCGCTTACGTGTGGAGGAATTTTAGCCTGCTCAATACTTTCAGAAGGAATCACTCAGAAACGCGCCTTTGAGAGAGCCTGCAGCTGTCACTCTTCTGCACCTCGTCAAGAAGACATAGAGCTTCAACCTCTCTGCTCGTCATGCATCACGAGCCACTCAGACATGCTTTGATAGTATCCAAAAGGAATGCGTTGCAAAAGTGCGCACTGATGCAAAATGATTTCAGTAATGGTATCTCCAATCCAAACGACGGTCACCCAACCTCTTGAGTTCCTCTTCAGACAACTCGTCTTGCTTCTCATCATTCGCCTGCAGAGCATCTCTTCTTCGATTCTCCCTACTGAGCAAAAACCACAGCGATGTAGCGGCAGCAATACCGAAAGCGAGCCAAACAATTGCCAGACCATGACTGATGTGGTAGTTCTTATTCACCAATCCTCCTAGTGGCTTCCTGTAGAGCTGTACACCGACGATACTTCCCATGTTTCCGAAGCCAATTTGCATGGCGAGTGCGGTAGCTCGTTTCGTCTGACCTGTGATGTTCTCGCTTGGGAGCGAAAGAAGCAGAGCATTAGCTGCGTAAATACCCGGCGTGCAGAGGAACAGCGCAACATAGCGACCAGCTACGGTGGGGGAAGCGATCTGAACAATGTACCCTACGATAGCTAGGCAGCCTGAGCCGATGATGAACACTAGTCTTCGCTGGACGATGAACGAAACGTGGGCGATGGACATGGTGAAGATGAATGCGAGGAAGTAGGGTGGGACGGTTAAGAGCTGTGCGTTGGCGGCGGTGAAGCCGAGTTCGTTGATAATTGTCGGCATGAAGAGCGAGACGGTGTAGAGTGCAAATGCAAATCCGTGGAAAAGGAGACTGTAGAGATAGACGTAGGGATCGGTAAAAGCTTGCTTGACGCCGTCCCAAGAGAAAGGTTCTTCGTCGAGCGAGTCGTGGTCGGCTTGCATACGTGCTGCGATAATTGCTTTCTCTCTTTCTGAGAACGACTTTGACCTTTGAGGGTAGTGAGGTACCAGCCAGTATGCAGCAACAGCAACGACAATGGTAAGGAGACCTTCAAGGATAAAGATCCAAGACCAACCTGCTTTGCCGCCGACCGCACGCATGAAACCGATACCATAGGCTAGAATACCACCGAAAGCGCCGGAGAATGCTGCACCAGACAGCAACAGCGCAACACGGTAATGACGCTCTCGACGAGGATAGAACATGCTGAACACGAAGACCGAGCCAGGGAATTGACCACTCTCGCTCACCCCCTGGGCGAAGCGAACGGCGAAAAGACCAGCTTGATTGTGAACCAGACCCTGCACAACCGAGATGATGCCCCACACCAAGGTCAAACTAGGCAGCCAGATGGGCGGGGAAGTCTTCTTGAGGACGATATTTGCTGGTACCTCGCCAATGACATAACCGATGAAGAACATGGTGAGTGCTGTAGAATAGTCACGCAGGTTGATGTCTTTGACGAGACCATCAAGCTTGGCATTACCAATATTTGAGCGATCCAGGAATGACAAGAGGTATAGAACGAGTAGGATAGGTACGACGAGGTAATCAACCTTGCGGACGAGCTTGCGTTCTTCTTGACGAGTGTAGGAGACGGTTCCGTAGCTGGTGGTGTGAACGGTGGTGGTAGCTGTTCCTGCTTCGTGGGCTTCGGAGAGGGAAGCCTCCTTGCCTGACGGAGGCGTGGCGGTGGGTGAGACCTCGCTCATGATCGACGAAGAGCGGAGGACTGGAGAGAAAGGGGGAAGGGGATGGTGTGGTAGGGAAGGTAGGGAAGGAAAGAATGCTGGAGTGGTTTTGAAAGACAAGCAGGTCCTAACTTTAACGAAAAGACACCTTTCCAACTACTCAAAACCAAGAAGTGGGGAAGTTCGACACGATATAAGGTCAATGATCTGTTCCTGATGACTTCTTGACGAGATAATGGCGAGATGCGAGCTTCTAGCGTGCTATCTTAGTCAGAACAGGGACCACGATTTGCATTGCTGAAGTTGCCTCGTGGTCACATTCTTCTTGCCCAATGTAGCAAGTTGGTCAGACAGGTGGGCCAAGCATCGTGGCTTGCTTATTCGAGCTCATCATTGGATCATACTGGAGCGACCAGGGAGCTCACGGATCCTTCAGCGTAAGGTGCGACAGGCTGGAGATCTCCGCGCAGAGTTCTACTGCGGTTAGCAAGGGTGAGAGGAGAGATATAATCATTGCGAAAGAAGGTTGCGTGCTTCGCTCGACGTTAGCTTTGCTTGTGGAAGCAGGGAAGGGTGTTAAGAGAGAGTCACTGCTGACAGTTGAGAGAGGTTGTCCATCATTTGTCCACAACAGCACGCCATATTCGGCAACTATAAGCGAGAAGAAGCTGAATTCCCCGATCCTAAGCCGATCTCACAAAGGCAGATTGACGGATCAAAAACGCCGCTGAGTAGTTAGATCGAATTCGCTCACATATGGCTCAAATTATAACCTTGGCGTTGACGACAACGGTGAGGCTACGAGCCTCGCTTCAGCGGCCAAGCCAGAGCCCACGTATCGCAACTGAGACCAATCTAGCGTACCCCACTCTTGTTGACCGCCTTTTAGGTGGAAATTAAGCAGCTTTCATGTCCTCGGATAGGAAGCAGCAAGCTGTGAATGAGGTGGCAAGAAAGAGCCGCTGTACAGCTCTGGTATGGGTGAAGACGGGGCATTCTCGGCTGCTGTGAGGCAAGCGAGTTGCTTCCCGCCAAAATCCCTCCGCGGCCAAACACACCAATTTCGGCGCTTTGCTGTCTTTGGGCCGAAATCAGAGCGAGAAAAGAAAAGCACAGCCCTCCAACCTCCTCTCTCTCTCCCCCCCCTCCCCCGAAAAAAAAGCAGGGTCCACTTTGGGAAAAAAAACAGAGCTTGGAACAATATGCCGACCAATGCTGCATGGGCAGTAGATCTGTCACCACGTTTTGCTTTTCTGCCTGACCTGCCTTCTCCTGCCTTCTCCTGCCTGCCCTTTCTTTCTTTATCTTTCGCATCAACGACAACGACAACAAGAAGCGATGACAAAATTGGCCGTCTCTCGGCAGCCTATCTCCGCGTGAGAGGCTGAGTCGAGCCCATTTCTTTGCCTTTCTTATTTCCCTTTTGTGCCAATAGATCTTTATCGGCGGCTCGCCCACCGCTGCCGATTTGAGTATTGACCCTCTCCGCAAGCCAATTTTTGAGTCGATTTTGCTCTGAGCCTAGAGCTCGTCAACGTACCTCTTGCACCTTGGAGCAGGAAAGCGAGCATTGATTGATGCAAAGCTTAGGTAGGATTCCCGGTCGGGTCGCGCAACAGTCCATCGATTGCAGCTTTCTACCTTTTGTGGTTCCTTGTGGCTGCGCTGAATCCACGCACACATACATCCTCTTCAGCGCATAACTGTCCATCCCTTTTGCTCCCCGAATGCTTGCCGCTTGAGAATGCCGAGGGTCTAACTCCTGCCATCCCTTGCTCAGCTTTCCTCGCAGCTACATCCATCAACCCTCTCCCTTTCCATCACCACCAACACAACGTGTCGCATCCCAGCACTCAGCATCTTTGTTGCTATATCTTGGATAGCGTTAGCATCTACAGTGCCATCCATCCCAGTCTCATCGGCTGATCCGACATCCGTGCACAACACGCTCATCTCATCCATCGCGGACCATTCGTTCACTTTGACTCGGCCCGTAAAGGCTGCTCTGCTCTCCCTCAGTGATGATCGACATCGCCTCATCGAGCAACAACACGCTCGACGTCTCATCGCACTCATCCTCATTAATGCAGCGCGCTGTCTCCTCCACATCGTTGATGCCGACCAGCGCTGGATCCTCACCCTCGATGCTCGCATCCGGCCTTGCCTCCGATGTGGGCAGCAACGACGGCAATCACTCTGCCATGGATGAAGAAAACGTTTCGATGCCAGCCACACCACCCGATGTCGCACACATAGGCGACCCCCTGCACCTCGTCAACGATGCTTCTTCAGCATCTGCCGGTGCCTCGGTCAATGGCGCTAACCCCACAAAGAAGGCCGAATTGTTCCTCTCCGTCACTCGGGCCAACCGTCCAAAGCTCGTCCTCTCACCCATCGACAAGCTCCGATTCACAGAGCAGATCGAGGAAAGCAAGAAGAAATTCGCCGATGACACCGCCTACTTGCCCAAGTCGACCAATATGGGTCTCAGCGACGTCGATGCTGCAGCGCTTCTTTCGGTCAACCCGTTCAACTTTGCACAATCCAACACGCAGAATTGGGAGGATGACGATGTCGATGTCGACTGCGGACGTGTTAACCGTGCAGCATCGAAACCTGGCAAGACCGTCTTTATGAATGCATTCCCTTGCATCTTTGTCTCCAACCTTACCAACTCGGTAGCCTTCTATCAGAAGCTAATTGGATTCTCGCCAGTGGGAAAGCCTCAATCGCACCAAGCAGTCTTGCGACGCGGTCCTGCCGCCCGTCCACCGAGATCTTCAAATGTGCAGTATTCCGCTATCCCCTCAGCAGCGGAGGAGCAAGGTGTACGCATCGTGCTGCGATACTTGCCAGCGGAGTGGAGCGAGCTGAAAGCAGATGGTACCGGTCCACCGCAGTTGTTGATTGTGGTCAGCAATGTGGATGAGCTGTTCCAGGAGATCGTGGCTAAGCAGCAACAATTTAAGCCTACTGGAAGGGAGTACTTCCCCGAAGTCTTCTTAGGCAAGGCTAAAGTCCTTGGTAAGCCGCAGAACAAGCCTTGGGGTACCAGGGAGTTGCATATTCTCGACCCAGACGCGAACAAGATTGTCCTTTATCATGAGCTGCATTAGAGCAGCCATCACCCTCTTCTACTTGCTTTAGAGTCTTTATATACCCATCGAAGCTGGATTAGCTCCGTGTCGTTTGTATCAACAACACCACCACCATCATCACCACTACCGCTTTGTTTTGCATTCTTCTTTGTACTTGTATCGTTGCAATGGCCGTTTCGTCTTTTGGCTCGAGAGCAATACTCATTCACCTCTCTCATCATCACTTGCTTCAGTCTGTGTGCGTTCTTCTCTCGTGTGGCTGTGAAGCAATCGATTGCTGTGTCGATGCATGTGTATGATGACAACTTAAAACTCGGGCGGAGCCTCACCGACCACACTCGCCGTCTGTTTCCTAGGGCCTTCAAGTACGTTAGAAGGGAAGCTTAAGATTAAGAAGTGAAGGGGGGAATGTGAATCCCCTCTATATATACCTTACATGCCTGACTGTGTTCTGCTGAGCGCCTGAAGGGCGCTCCTAAGTACAAAGGGGAGCGATGGTGATTAAAGGGAAGTGATAACGAACAAAAGGTAGTGAGGATTCATGCGAGAGAATCAAAAGGGGTCCGTAAGGGACTTCCGACGCGTGCTCAGACAGGCCGTCTGGAACACGTCTCAGCATACTGTTTACTTCCCATCTCTGTCAACCTGGAAATCACCCTGGCAAAAGCAAAAAACTCTTCATCGCCAGTAAAGATGGGCGATCCACCAATGTCGTCCATTGTCAAACCGAGGTCGTCCATTAGCGCTCTCATCTGGTCTGCTGTTGGTTTTGCTTTGCCTGCATCACCTGAGAAGATTTGTAGAATGGGTACTTCCGAAGAAGCCAAGAGTTTTGTTTTTGACTCGTACGCGGCGTCGATAAAGGTGATAAACCGGCGAGCAAGATCTCTTTGGTTTAGACTCATTTTGGGGACCGCGTCGACAAAGATGGTGGAAAAGTTGTTACAGATTTCGATGTAGTCAGCTGCTGAACGGGGACGCCCGCAGAGTTCGTCGAAGGTGAAACGTGCGACTTTTTGAGTTGAATAGGGGACTTGCAGTGTTCGACCCCAGATTTTGAGCGGACGGTTTTGGATCACGGGATCGTGAGGGTCGGAGGTGGCGGCGGAGAAAAGCTTGTCGAATTCTAGGGTATTGGCGTCGTTGAGGGGGGAGAAGTAGACTTTCGAGAGTGCGCGGGGGACTTTTCGATAGTCGGTGCCTGAGTTGAGGTCAGTTACGCGGAGTTGGGATTTGAGAAGGTCGATGCAAGGGAGGAAGGATTGTCGTTGAATGCCGTTCTTGTAGAGTTCATCAGGATGTCGGTTGGAAGTCATGACCATGACGACGCCGTAGGAGAGCATGCGTTCGAGGAGGCCGCGCAGAATCATGGCATCTGCAATGTCGGTGACTTGGAACTCGTCGAAGCAAAGAACAGAGTTATTGCGAGCCATTTCTCGAGCTACGGCTTCGATCGCATCACTCTCCTCTCCTGCGGTTGCAATCGAGCTGGAGGAGCTGGAGGAGCTCGAGGAGGAGGAGGAAGAGGAAGCGGAAGCCGACATCATCATGACGATACCCGAAGGTTTGTGTGTTTTCGATTTGTAGAAATGCGCTCGTTTGTGGGCTTCAATCATGAACTGGTGAAAGTGGATGCGACGTTTTGTTGCGATGTTCGATGGCAAGGTATCGTAGAAGAGGTCCATGAGCATACTCTTCCCTGTGCCGACATCGCCGTAGAGGTAGAGTCCTTTTGGAATGTCTTCTGGAATGGGCTTGATCTCGTGTGCGTTGGATTTGTTGCCAAAGGGGAACCAGGAGAAAAGACCTTTAGAAGCTTGTAGATGCGCCTCTGGATCTGGAACTTCTTCTTGCTTGTATGTTTTGAGTCGGTCGTGCAGCGATTGCAAGACTTTGACGATCGTGCGCTGGTGAGCATCGTCTCTGAGGACGCCGGCCTGTACGAGCTCTTCATATCGTTCGGTGGGGGTAGTAGCCTTGAACTTGCTTTCTTTGACGGCCGATTTGGAGGATGCTGACCCACTGATGTGACGTCGTGTGTGCAATGCCGAGGTCAATGGGATCGGAAGTGAAGGTTTTCGAGCGATATTGGACCATTGTGAAACGAGGGCTGGGCGTGCAACGTAAGAAAGGCGCCGGCCACCAATTTGGCGCGCAGGAAGCGCTAATCGAGAGAGTGTCCGTTGCGCGGATTGTGTGGCAAGAGCACTCATGGTGTCTATCATAGGTACGGCTTTATAGCCTCTATGTGGTCGGTCGGAATGGTGGATGGTGTGAACTGGAAAGAAAGACGAATACACACACACACACACTTACACACACACACACACACACACACACGCCTTAATTTGGTACGGTGTCTGTGCGGGATTTAGGACTCTCTGCTTTTCTTTTGTTGTTATTGTTGTTGTTTTTTATTTTTATTTTTATTTTATTTTATTTTTTTGACTTGGTAGACTCGGTACAGTTCTCCCGCATTCTTCCGCCTATTCCGGCACACCGGTTACCATCAGTCAAGCCCGAATTCTATCCTTACCGCCGGAGTCTCTTTCTCCACAGACACAGACACTCACCTTCCGAAAGGATTGTTCACATCACCTTGATTGTGCTCTCGGAGTCAACTCGGAATGTAGCATCGAAAAGGGTAGGATACATAACTGAAAAGTTGGCTCGGCCACACCGTCTTTGTGATTGCAGTCCGGAACAGAGGTTTGAATGTGAATCGACTCCAACCTCATCTCCCGATGGACACTCATTCGAATGTTTGTTATCGGCGATGAATGTGTGAAACCGAAAAATGTTTCCCGAAAATCGGGGTGGGTGCCTGACAGCGCGGCGAGCCGAGTTTTCATTCGAAAACCTCAAAAAGGGTGTGTCTGACAGCACCTTGATTTTTGCAAAGCCGATTTCAGTGAAAAGTGAGTGGAGTCTGAATTTCATGTTTCGCAGGGATGCAACGTTCTAAATTTGGTCTTGTCTCACCGCTTGTGCCAAGCAGCAGCAGCAGTGTCGATCAAGGCGGCAGCGGCAGTACACGAGCACCTGTCGCATGTTGCTGTTTAGCTATTGCCATATCGTGTCACCCAAACCCTCTTACCGTGACCGCTTTGTTTCCTTCTCTGACAATTGGGATCCTGATATCCATCCGACCCTTCATCATCTTTCTCATTCCTACCCTCTCACCGTCATATCCGCCCACTCACTCCTCGATCATTCGTATGGATACATAGACGCTCAGGATTCGCAACCTAGCTTGCTCGTCCATCAAGCTTTTCCTTTTTGGACGACGATGAGCGTCTCACCTTTCCCACCGGGCGAAGGCCTCCCCCTGGTGCAAGATGCCACTACGGCGCAAAGGCAGGCTTCATACCCTGTACGGTATCAGATGCAGGATCGAGGAGGGGACGAACCATTTTCTTCAGCGGCTGCATACAGGTCACCCGTCGCTTCACCTCCTCCTCGTGCTCCTTCTTCGATCTCGCACGGCGCGCCTCCCATCCCAAGTACATACGAGCGTGCATCCGCATTAAAGAGTCCTCCTCCACCCGCAACGTCCCTCGTGATTCAAGAACGCGGTATGCCATCCAACTCTCCATCTCCAGCACCGCCAAATGGAGAAACACCCATTCTCTCATCCCCAACACAACGCGGTACTGGCGCTCGTACAACCACCACTGCTGCAGACAGCCGTTCAGCCTGTACAGCAAGCAAGCGTGACGCTACCGCATCCATCTCCAAATCAGCCCGTAGTAGCACTACTTCATGGTTCTACGGTGGTCCCAACTCGTTCATCCGCGTCCCTTCCAAAATGGCCGCACTCTACATTCTCGTCACCTTCATCGAAGCAGCTATCGTCATCGCTCTCGTCGGGTACACCTTCGGACGCATCGTTGCTGAAGTCGAAAACTTCACGCAGAACCTCAAGACTGTCTCTATCTACTTGGCAGTCTTTGTGTTCGGCTGCGTCTTCCAAGTGTTGGTCGCATGGGATGCAGTGAGGTTGAAAAACACAATGCAGCTTATTGGAGTGCTTATATTCAACATCGCCCTCACAATTACAGCCGCGATCGAGATCGGACAGGTCAGAGACGCACTCAACGTTCAAGATAGTATCGCAGGCGGTATCACTTGCCCAGATGACCCATCTCGGCTTTGTCGTGCACGATCCCTTTTCCCCGACATAGAAAGATACCTCATTGTGGTAACGGCAACATGCGGTGTAGCTGAATTCTTCATGCTCTACCTCAGTTTCAAGCTCTGGAAGGAATTCGGTTGGATCATCTATCAAAAGATCGGCGCGGATCTCAAAGTACGAAACATGTTTTTCTGGTATCAGCTTTTCATCGTTTTCCTCAAGTTCTCCTTCTTCTTTGGTGTCGGATTTACGGTGATCTATCTGATCTTGGTGGCGGATACGACGGACTGGGAGTATGGAGTCACGATTGCAGCGGTTCCCATTGCGATCGTTTCGCTGTTTGCAGCCGGATTTGCGGTGAGGAGGGAATGGTCTAGTTTGATGGTCCTTTCGTTGTTCTTGATGATTGCTGGATTGACTTACTTTGTGTACAAGTTGACACAGGTTTGGGTTCCAGCTACCGCGGATCAGTACATGTACGTTCATACGACGATTACGTTTATTAGTGGATTTGCGATCTTGTCGTTGGGATTGACTTGGTTGAATGGGATCATTTGCTTGTTGAACTTCCATAAGGGACTTAAGCCGGCACATGATGCGATCGGCACTTTTGGTGGTGTCCGTCGAACAAGGGCGCGTGGAGAGAGGAATGGGGAATCGGAAGGTGCCGCACTCGACCTGGAACGTGACGTCGAACCCAAAGAACACTCGGAAACTTCAACGCCCTACATCCCACCACATCGAGGAAGTCTCTTCGGCCACGGAGGTGGAGGAGGCACACCTGTTGGCGGGATCGACCCTAGAAGAGGGAGCAACATGATTGCAAGCCCCGTCTACAGTTACAGCAGTCACGGTGGACATGGTGCCGCTTCTCCACCTCCATCTGCTATGATGGTCGATCGACGAACTTCAGGAGCAGGACCTCACGCCTACAACCCTCCGCCCATGGCTGCCACACTGGGCAATGCACCGGTCTTGGCTCCCCAACCTATCCTCGCTGCTGCACCGTTATCGCCTCACGCTTCCATGGGATCTCCACCTCCAACCCAGATGCAGGCAGCACCACCACCGCAACAATCAATTTACCACCAGTTGCCAACGCAGGTGCCAAGCCAGGCTTTCGTGGATGCTCATCAACCTCGTCCTTCGACGACTCGCATTTCGCTTGACTGAGGTGGTGCGACGTCGAAATGGTCTTTTCTCTAACGCTCCTTATACCCATTACGACTGCCTCAGATCTTACCAATGTTCACGCTTATTTTTCGATGCGATATTTGGGAATGAAACACCTTCACAGCTTTTCGCACTTTGTCTGAACTTCTTCTGGATTCCGTCTAATGATTGTGTGAGCTTGGCATGATTTGTGTGGCAGCTTTCCGTTGGACCGGCGAAAAGGGCGAGCCTCGGGAAAATTTCACACTGGTCTCACTCCGCCTCAAGAATGGACCGCACAACCTGAATTTTAGTCACGCGCAAGCTTTGTCTTGGCCGATCGTACTAAACGCAAATCAGCGCTCGAAAGAAGTCATAAGATTAAAGGAGAAGGATGAAAGTCAAAAGAAGATGGTAGATGCGAGCATGCGATGTGGGGAAAAGGAGCCAAAAGATGCAAGTATGTGGCTAAAGAAGATTGAACGGTAACTGAAACGGAAGAGATGCAATGCGATGAGGAGAGTCCATGATGTGTAGTGCCGGAAACATAAATGGGGAGAGAGGATGAAGAGATGATGCGAGTATTTAGAGGGGCAGGAAAGATGTGCGTGATAGAAAATCAACATCCCATGTCGGAAAGAGGAGTAGCGAGGCATGACAGAGCATAGATCTACTGTCACGACTATGCAGCAGCATGGACAGCAAAGGCAGGCTGAGGAGCAGCTGCGCTCAGACCAGCCTTCTCCGAGACAGAGGAGGTGGTCGAGAAGGAAAGCGAGGCCGGACTAGCAGCCGCAGCAACTTTTCTGAATGGTGAGCCAGCACGCCTCTCGATGTTTGCGAGCCACATGGTCTGCAACACGAATTGTGGCAAAGCATAGTACCTCCAGGTAGCCCATCGGAAGAACATACCGACCTCGACCTGTCGTGTCGAGGCAAAGTCCTGTGTCATGTCTTTGCGCAAATCCTGGAAGAGAGCGGTCTTGTCGGTGAGGACGGCCTTGACACCCCAGCGTGTTGCCTCGATCATCTCGTCCTTGCGGTTGACGGTCCAAACATAGATATCTTTGCCCGCCTTCTGTGCATCGGCGATGAAAGCCTGACCATCGGCACCGACCAGGCATGCAAAGTACATGGAGAAGCCGGTGCAGTCCTTCCAGAAGTACTTGCGCGCCGCACGGGGCGAGGCACCAATGTGAATACGCTTCATAGATGGGACGTTGATGAGCGCCGACTCGAGGAACTTGGGGTGCCACAGGCCAAGAATGAGACGCGGCGCCAGGTCGGTCTCGAACTTGGGGTAGGATTCAATGACTTTGCGCATAAGAGGGAAAAGGCGGTCTGGGTTGTTGTCTGGCTTGATGTCAAGATTGAGCTTGACGTGCTTGCAGTCGGGACGCATGAGCAAGTCGCAGATCTGGTTGAAGGTGGGGATCTGTTGTGCGGGTTGCTTGAGGGTACGGAGGTGCTCGATACCGTCCTCGCCAAAGTATGGGCGCTGGTAGATCAAGCCCTTGCCGTTAGTGGTTCGCTCCAATGTTGGGTCGTGGAACATGACGATGACATCGTCAGTGGTAATGTGTACGTCGGTCTCGAGACCTTCCGATCCATCGAGGATGGCCTTCTCGAAACTGGCGATGGTGTTTTCCGGGAAAGTGGCTGAGGCTCCACGGTGACCCCAGCACTCGGGCATATCAGGGCGAATGTCCATTTTGGTGGATCTAGTGATGGGGCGCATAGTGTCGAATGCGACGCGTTGCGGTAGGGAAGATGAAGAGGTAGCAGAGATGCGCGTGGAGAGGTGATGGCAGAGAAGGAAGACGGAGGCGATGATTAGTACCACGATGGCAAGAGATGAGCTCACACCAGCCGAGCAGGTGAGAGTGGAGAGTCACAAGACAGCGCTACAGCCAAGAGATGCTGTTGTAGATAGGAAGGGTAACGTGGGGTCGCTGTGTAGACCAAGAGACTGGTGTGTGCTATCTATGGTGCGTGCGCGACTGCAAGCAAGGTCGGTCCGGCGTATCGAAGGCTAAGCTTGGATGCTTACCAATGTAGTGCGTGTTTAGATGGAAAGGGAAAGGAATGAAAGGCGACCTCGATACCACGTCGGTCAAGCCTGACAATGGGCGAACGGGTGGGGACAGGATATGGATGTGAAGAGAGAAGAGGAGCAGGAGGCTGAAGCCGTGGTATCTTTTACACCAGCAAGGGAACGTGACATGTATTTGCCACGGAACGTGCTCATAAGAGAAACACACAAGCCAACACTTCAGCACTCGCACTTCCACGCAGTCACGGCACATCCTCAGTCTGCCGGTGGTTGTTGTGCTCTTACACTGTGCTCCTGCTTCACCCCCCATGGCCCCCGCCTTTGGCATGCCATCTCCTATTTCTTGAACAAAGTTTTGATCAACGAACATCGAATCTCTTGAACCAGCGAGCTCAATTAGCTTGAGCTTGGCGTTCGAGGTACAAGCACAGCAGCCGCAGCCGCACCAACAGCGACAGCCAGGCGAACCCACTTGAAATGATCTGCCTGAGTGCCGTAGCAAAAGCAAAAAGAAGCCAGACTGCGAGCCGTGGCTATTCTCACTACAGCGATTGTGTAGTTGTGGCCATAACTTCTAGAGCCGGCGGCAATGCAACGCATTGTCGGCAAGCGTGACATGACAGATTTGGCTGCACAGTGTGACGCGGACCATGAAACTTTCTGACTGGACCCCTTTTGGCATCTTGACAAACAACCCAGCACTTGAGCAGTCTTGGTCGAATTTCTTCTGCAGATCCCAGGCAAGAGACCACAGTACCGAATGCTGACCGAAGGCAAGGGTCGCAGCAGAATAACAGAGGCCAGTAAAATTTCCGGTCAATTTTGGTCGCTAGAGAACTGGAACAGAGCTTTCTTTTCCGCACGGCCCGCCCCAGTCTCTCTCCCACTCTGTCTCTTCCTCCATTTTGTTAAAAACCACACTTTTCGCTGGTGAAGTGCAGTGGAGCTGAACCCTACTTGCAGTTAAAAAAGCAGATGCGCCCCACACGGCGCAATAGCAGTGTGGGTTGAATTAGTGGCGTTTCTTCCAGCCGACCTGGCACGAATCGCTCTCCTCTGCTCCAGTTCGGCCCGGACACTTAGAGAAAAGGCACCGTTCAACTGTTACTTTGACGCGGCAGTGACGTCGTGGCTCTGCTTCTAAGTATCCACGTTCTCTTCTTGGCTTGATGTCATCCTTCTACGAACGTGTATCTCTTTCCTTTTTTTTTTTTTTTCTTTTTTTTTTTTTTTTTTTTTTTTTTTTTTTTTCTTTTTTTTTCTTTTTTTTTCTTTTTTTTTTTCTCTCCATTCTTTGTTTTTTTGTCAGTCCGAACTGTTAAATCTGAAATAAGAACAGCATCTACATCGATCGGCAAGTCGAAGAACGATCCGAGATCCGCGATTTGGCGTCAGACACGACAACTACACACAACAGGCTTTGTCACACTGAGGATGTCTCAAAACTATGCGTTTTGGTAGAAGGAGAAGCTACAGATGAGGACGGAGGTGCCACGAAGCAGAGTCTCACCACGTGAGATATCTGAAAGAAGATCTAGTTGCGTCGCTTGAGACCAACATCGAGCTGAACAGGCTTGCGCAAGAAACCCTCGAACGTCTCGAGTGGCTTCTCTGGCTCAGCCAGCACAATGTCATAACGACGGAAGATGGCTGCAATCAAGATCGAAAGCTCCATCATAGCCACATTGCGTCCGACACAAGCACGAGGACCGACCGAAAATGGAATGAAGGCCTTGTCAAAGTCTCTCCTTGCGTTGGGAGCGAGCCATCGGTCAGGGTTGTACTCTTCGGCATCTTCGCCAAACACCGACTTGTCGCGGTGAAGTGTGTAAGCAGGCACCGAAAGAATGGTACCAGCGGGGAAGTGCTCACCGCATACCGTTGCACCGCCCTGAGGGATGACGCGAGGAAGACCGATAGCAGAAGTAGAGTGGAAGCGGAGCGACTCGCTGAGCACAGCCTGCAAGTAAGGAAGCTCTTGAACATCGCTGTGCAGAGGTACCTCTTCAGCGTGCTCAAGCTCACGGTCGAGTTCAGCCTGAAGCTTGCGCATCTTGTCCGGGTGCGTGCAGAGGTGCGAAAGGATAGCGCAGGCAGTGTTCGAGGTCGTGTCCGATCCGGCGATAAGTTGAGTGAGAGCTTCGGCAGTCAATTCCATCTTGCCCATGGGCTCTCCGCGGTCATCCTTGGCCGACTGCAGCTTGGCAAGCAAGTCCTCGCGTTCCGAGCCGTTCTGTAGGCGGTCGTTGACACGAGCGAGCGCGATACCGGTGAGTTTCTTGACCGAGGTGAGTCGATTCGAGAACCACGGCAATTTGAGCAGGTAAGGACGCAACCAGACAGGTGCGAGCCCCATAGTAGCCGAATACTCGCCACGCTCGTTGATGATCTTGACAGCCGAGCAGTAATCGACCTGCTTGTTGCCTTGTGCGTCCTCGTACTCAACCTTGGCCTCGTCGATACCCCTCTCTAGCATACCGAAAGTGCTACCGAATGCAAGGGCACCGATGGTGTCGAAAGCAAAGTAGTTGAGCCACATGAGCGAGTCAAGCCAAGTACGACCCTTGATACCGCGAGGACCCACGGCGTTGGACTTTGCAGCCTTGTCACAGAACTCGTCCCATCGCTCGAGAAGGAGCTGCACTTCACGTCGAATGAAAGGCTCGAAAGCAAGAATGGTCTTGGGAGCAAACGTGTGCGAGACAATCTTTCGCTTACGAGTGTGCTCTGCACGGTCGCGAGTGTTGAAGAGACCACGGGGGAAAGGACGAGGAGGCACAAAGGCGTCGTAGTAAGCTGGCTTTAGAGTACCGGTGCCGTGACCATAGACAGGGTGCAATGCTTCGTGGTCGGCGATCGAGATGTGGTTGGGCGCGATACGAACGAATTTGCCTATAAACGTATCGGAAAGAGGGTTAGTCCCAAAGAGATCGAATCGTCAGCACGAATTTCCCGAGATCTGAGCATATGCGGCGCTACTTACCATACTTCTTGTGCTGCTGGTGAACCGTATCGAAACGGTGACCCTTCATAGCCTGACGAAGTAGCCAGAAGTCGGAGAACTTGGCGAACAGAGGTCCTGGGTACTTGAGGAAGGCGGTATTGGTGATGAATGGCACCAGGTGGAAGAGAGCGAATGCACCGACGATGGTGATGATGATGTGAGCGGGCGACTCGACAGCCCATTGGACCGCAGCCCCGATGCGGGGTACGAGGTCGGTCTCGACCATGATTTTGGACTGCAGCTAGCTTGTGGGGAAGATGGTAGCGGTGCTGGATGATGACGGATGCGAAGACCAGTGGGATAGCTGGGTGCCTGCTTCTTGTTGGTGTGAAGATGGCTAGTGCAGGGAAGGAAGCTGGGAGGTGGGTCAGGGAAGATGGTGAAGGAGGTTGCAAGGGCCGGGCAGGATCTTTTTGTACTACGAGGCCAGAGCCGTGGGTTGTCTGAATCCTCCACCAACTCGTTCGGCGGTGCTGAGAACGTGGGGTCAAGCAACAATGAAGGAAGGCGAATTCTCTATTCTCAAGGTCAGGTCACTGGATTGGGTCACGAGAGTTACAGTAGTAGGATACCGCTGGGCTTGTTGGGTCGATGAAGGCAGCAAAGCGCGCACGGACGCGGGGGTCGGTAAGGCTTCAGGATGTCGCGGCAAAAGGTCGTCCGGCCAGACGAGTTAGTAGAGCTGCAATTCAGCAAACATGATTGGAGTTTCTCTTGGAAACCCTTTTTGGATTTTCCGACGTGCCAAAAAGTAGAGGCAGCAGATGGCGACCAAGGCGATATTGGATAGGTCGCTTCCTATTTGCGCCGTGCTATCCGAAACTTGCCGGCCTCTCACTTCCTCGAACAGCTTTGCTGCCACGCCATGCACCCATCTCACAGTCTTGCCGACTCCATCACCACCTCTCGATATGCTCATGCTTGCTTCTTCCAGATTTTGTTTGTCGGATTCATCTCGACGCCGTCTATTTCGCTCTGAACCTCTTGCCATTGATCTTTGACGCCTCCGTTCATCTCTTTGCATGTGTCAGCTGTTCGAGTTGAACTCAATTAAGACACTGTAACGGTCTTATCGGCATCCGAGTGCAATAAAAGTGTGGCTCGATTGGTTTCGCTTGTGAGTTGTGTTGTTCAGTTACGCAAAATCCACTTCGTAATACAGTCGCACGCACGAGAGCGCATTTTGTGCATAAATTCAACAGACAAGAGCGGGGACCTCACCCCTCGGATCTCGAGCGGTGCGTGAAAGCGAGAGACCAGCAGCAGGCATTACGAAGATCGACTTTGTAACTCTCCTTCCGACTCGTGTGTCTGTCTCGAACTTTCTCCGGTCCACCTTCATTACGCTTTTCTACATCTGTCAGAGACTGTCATTTGACTCAAACCTTTATGCACATCAAATCACCGAAGCTTGTTGAGTCGGTGTCGATGAGACTCTTACTTGGCCAGCGTCGAGGTTTCCGAGATGCAGCCCCACCACTGACGGTAGGCCGGAGTACGTGGGGCTACTGGACTCGCCGCCAGAGAAGGTCTCATCATTCTCACCACATGACAGACTCGAAACGCACACTCCAGACCATCGACACCGCGTGAGAATGATATAATGAAAATGAAAGCTGTGATGATACAGAATGCAAAAGCTAAAGAGAGATTCCAATCCGGTCCTGGGCATCACCAGAAGTTTTGAGCCCAGTCAACGAGCGCATCCCAGCCTCGTCCGACAGCGCCATTACCAACCTTGCCGAGCAACCTCCTCCATTGCAAGATCTGGTTGTCAGCTCTGGCAAGACCAATGATACCCTCCATACCGCCGACTTTGGCGAACATCGAGTCGATCGGCCTGGTCGCGATAGCTGCTGCTTTGCCTGTCGCGCCCAACGGCCGAGACCAAGACAGCAAGCCAACTAGACGCTGGAAGAAGCCAGTTGAGCCCGAAGCTGAAGCTGCCATACCAGCAGCAATGTCAGCGCCGGGAACGGCACAACTGAACTCGAAGCGGTTCGTGTGGAAGACCAGGGCAGCGCGGTAATGGAAGACGATAGCCATCACGATGCCCATGTGCCAGAGCTGATGCGAGTGACCCCATGTGTCGAATCGTCCTGGTGCCCAACTTTCTGGAAACTGAGTTGCGTAAAAGACTAGACCTGCAACGTAGAAAGCGAGCGAAGGCAAGATGGGGCTGAAGAAAGAGATGGTCTTGGCAAAGCCGTGCTCGAAAGCAGCGTGCGAGAACGGCGCCAGCGCCGTGAAACACATTGTCAGGAAAACTGCGATGCGCCAGCTCTTGTTCTCTCGTTTGTTGAACCACTCGGCCCATGGAAGAATGGCACCGGCGAGACCGACAAGAAGCGTTGTGAACGAGTAGAAGAGCGCCAAGTTAGGCTGGCAGTAGAAGCAGTTGTAGACAGTCGTCCAGATGGAAGCTGCTACAAGCCAAGCGATACCTGTGTAGTCGACGCAGGCGAATCGCTCGAACCACTTGCGATCTGAACAACCTGCCATGACATGCCACGAGACTGAGAGGGCCAAACATTTTGCGGCTGCAAAGAGGTAAACGGTCTGGACCAATCTGTCCATGGGTGTTGTCTGATCATCGAGACCCTTGCTTGGCCAGAAGAGCGGCACGATGGCTGCGAGACCCCACAGATGCGTGTGGATGTTGCCGGTCTCGTTGTGAATCTGGAATGTACTCCTCAAAAGCGCTGGCCAGTTCTCGACAGGGATGAATCGATAGCCAGAGAGAATATGCTCGTTGTTGCGGAAAAAGCGAGGCAGATGTTCGTAACTAATCAGCTCTTGTCCGTTGCGAGCCAACTCGACTGCGAATTGGTAAAGCTTCTCTTCTGCTTCGTGAACGGCGTGCCCTGCGCGCGAGGCAAAGCTGTTGGCACGCGAGCGAGAGCGTGTCTTGAGATCGACGAGCTTGTTCTCGAAACGCTGTAACAGTGTCGACGAGTCGCCTTGATCGGCAGCGCTCTGAAGTGTATCACGCCATGCCATTGTACGCACGGACTCCTGGATGGCTTCGAGTCGCGCTTGCATCTTTGCTGCGAGTGCATAGGCTTGGCTCGGCAATTGCGTCGACAGAGGTTCGAGCACTGATGCAAAGTCGAAGTCGAGCTGTGGAAGAGAAGGCATGGTGGGTAGTGATGGAAGCTCAGCTGATGTAGATGGAAGGCGTGGCAGACGCCCTCGAAGACCGTTGCCCAAACTGATGGGGAAGGAGAAGCTGGATGAAAGACGTTCCCAATCTTGTGCCAGTGACTGCGAGCGAGATGCGAGAGCTGAAGATGCAGATGCTGGATACGAGGGGAGGAGGGCTACGAGCCTGCGCAGATCCTCACGCATGGCTTCGAGTTGCTGGAAGAAGGCAGCCGAGTGGCCGTCGTTCAGAGGTGCAGCTGTGTCAGTTGAGCTTGTGCTTGCGTCGGTCGGGATAGCAGCATCTAAAGCCGCCTCTGTCTGCGCGCTTCCGCACATGGAAGCTCGAGAGATGCGTTGGGAATAGAAAGCTCGTGCTCGAACTTCGAGCTCTGTGAGGTAGGAGAGCAGCTGCGCACGTAGCGAGACAATGGAGTATGGCAAAGACGCTGGAAGGTCAAGATACTCGAGCGACGTGAGTGGCTGATGACTTTGGCGGCTAAGGAAGAGTGTCGCATCATAGTCATCGTCAGAAGATGCCGAGTCAGTGGCGGTGACTGTTGCACTGCTAAACCCTTCACGAAGCGCTTCTTCCGTGTCGAGGGCATTGTAACGGAACCGCAAAGATGAGCGAGAAGTTTCTACGGGTTGCGATGCTCTCCTAACTCGACGACGAACGTTGAAAGGTCGAGTGGGTTCGTCGTCGACAGCTGATCCATTTAAAGCTGAGAGAGCTCGTTTGGAGGCGCAAGATCCCAGCATGGGTGAGGATCGGGATGTGCCGAGAGAAGGTCGTCGAGGTGTCATCGTGCTGATCAAGGTCAAGCTGAGTCGAGGTGTGAAGGGGATTCCGAAAGTGATCGAGGGCCGCGGTGCGACTATAAACTGTGGACAACAATGAATTCAAAAGGCCATATCGAGGGCAACGCTTTGGACGAGTGCTTTGTTGCTGCCGTCGGTGGCAACCAAAGACCAGTGCTGACGATGAAGTGCTGATTGCACACTAGGCCGTAGTGATGATGGTGAGGGGGAGTGAACAGAGTTGCGGAGATAGTGTAAGGTGTGGTGAGAGATGCACGTGAGGCAGCAACAATGTCGGTGGCTAGACTCTATGCCCATCGCTCCCAATATACATAGCCACGGTGAAAAGGTGGACCGACAATCAGCCTCGATTGGATCTACAGCCCTAGCACCTTTGCTCTTTGCAGTGACGATAAACTTTGGCTAGCTGCCTGCCGAGTTTTCAAAATTCTCGGCGTCTCCGCTCACCACACCGCCAAGCTCCACAACGGCCATACGTCAGTCAACAGAGACGCCAAAATTCCCTGTTCAAAACAGAGAGAGAGAGAGAGAGAGAGAGATGATTCATCTGCAGGCGAATGATTCCACAGTTTCCAGAAAGGGTGAAGGCGTGGCTTGAGTCGCCAACTCCAAGGCTAAATTTTTAGACTTTTCAAATTAGCAGCCGCAAATGCAACTTGAACTCGTGCGAGAAGGTTCGAAAGCCAAAGAAACAGGACCCGATGTGGAGGTTTCTGCATCGGGGATTTTGGGTAAGCTCTATTTGCGGGTCCAACACATCCGTGCCTTGTGCCCGAATTGAGCTGTCTTCTGCTTCTTTGTTGCTGCTGCTATCCATCCACCATCTTGACGACCACAATCTACTCTCATTGCACCCTTGTTCACCATGCCTCCAAAAGGATCCAGGAGCAAGGCTTCGGCTTCGGCTTCGGCTTCGGCTTCGGCCTCGTCGTCCGCTTCTGCTACCGCTAAGCCAGTGAAGCGTGGCCCTCCTGCTCCCATCCGCTACTACCTCGTCTTCTTCAACTTCCTCTCCTTCTTCGGCTGGGTCATCATCCTCTCGACACTCATCAAGCACCTCGCTCTTGGCCCACAACCTTACTCGGGTCCTGTAAAGTTTGCCGCTGATGTGCTCTCCCGCTTCCGTCTTGTCAAGATCGGCGTTGTCAAGTCCTACTCGCACCTCTTCCCTGAACGTATCGCCAACATCCTCGAGCGTGCTTCCAATTCGCACACCTTTGTTGGCTCTGTCGTTGCTCTCGTTCAGTCTCTCGCCATTCTCGAGGTCGTTCACGCTGCCATTGGCTGGGTAAGGAGCCCTGTTGCTACTACCGCGATTCAGGTCGCTTCGCGTCTCTTCATGGTTTGGGGTGTCACAGAGCGATACTCGCAGGCTTGGTCTAGCCCCTTCTACGCATCGATGGTGCTTGCTTGGGCCATCACCGAGTGCATTCGCTACCCTTTCTACGCCAACCAGCTTCTCGGACAGGAAGGCCCTGGTCTCCTCTGGGCTCGGTAAGTTCCGCTTCCACTTGGCTCTCATCCTTACACATTTCTTTGATCAGTGTTCTGACCTAGTCTATATCCCTTCCCTCCCGTCTCTTCGACAGTTACACCACCTTCTACATCCTCTACCCCGTTGGTGCCATCTCTGAGGCCATGTGTATCCTCGCCACGCTTCCCAACAGCCTGCCCTTCAACAAGCCTGCTGCCTGGGATCTTCGTGCTTACGTCTTTGCTGGTCTTTTCGCTATCTGGTGGCCCGGTCTCTACGTCATGTACTCTTACATGATGAAGCAGCGTCGCAAGACCATCGGCAAGGGCTTCTGGGGCGACAAGCTTGTTCAGCAGCTTGCTGAGAAGAAGCGTCAGTGAACGCATCAAAGCAAGACCTCGGCGCTGCGTTGTTGCATTCGTCGGGCGTGACTGTCGCGCACCGCCAATCATCTATCAACCTCTCTATCAACCTTCACATCCCTTCGTCTCACCCAGGAACAACAAATTTGTTGAAAGAATCACATCACCTCAGCCACCAAGAGAGAGCGTGTGTCAACCATGTAGAATTACATCAAAAGTACATTAAAGGGTCGTCTTCGTCGTCTCGTAATCCAAACCAATTCAATCAATTCTCAGATTGTACGCTTGCGACTCGCCCGCCACATGTCCCATGGCAGCTTCCAATGTTTGCCCGTCTGTAATGATGCGTCGTATGGGTTGAAGTCTGCTTTCTCCAGCCTTTCGAGGTAGGACCTTGCTGGAACGATGCCCACCAATGGCGGTACGACGGCTTGCGGAACCTTGCCTCCGAGGTCGTCCTTGATCATCTTTCTCGCTGTGATGAGGTAGTCGTTCGCCCGTGTAGCTAGTGCAAAAACAGCATCACGAAAGCCGTGTGCTTGTGGGCCGTTGCGAAAGGCGTCTTCCTCTACGACATTGTGTTTGTGGACGAATTCCCTGGGAAGGACGAGCTTACGTGCGCCTTTGGTGATGGAGTTACGCATGTGTGGTGCTGGGTGCGAGTGGTATGGGATGGAGGAGATTGCGAGGCTGAGACCGGATACTTTGCCGAGATGAGAGAAAAGCTCGTCCATTGCATCGCTGCGTACACCAAGAAGGTTGAGCGAAAGGTAGTGCAGCCGTGAAGAAGTGGACTCTGAGTAGGACTCTAGTTGCTCAAGGGTCGGTGCAGCGAAATCGTCTGCTAGATCTGCTTCACGGATGTCGATGATGCGAAGAAAGTGGTCGAGCATCAGCCCACCAGCAGCGTTGGACTTGACGGCCGGATCTTGAAAGGCATCGCGCAGAGCTAGGACGACGGGATGTTTGGCCGGTCGGTTCTGGTATGCACCCTGGACTGCGTCCCTCCACCAACCCATTCTCATTCGACCCAGAAGCTCGTTCGAGACGGTGTCCTTCAGACCAGCGATTTCGACATTGAATGTTCGGATGGCCGCAAAGTGTGTCTGCAGATGCTTTGGGTAGAAATGATGCGCGAGGTATGAAGGATGGTCTCGTTTCGCTAGCTCTTCGAGCAGGAAGGTGCGTGGAGATTGTAATGGTGAAAGCTGCGTTGTTGCTGGCGGGGCTGTTCGTCTTGAAGGGCCTTCCGCTGCTTTTTGTAGCCGCGAAGAGCTAGCTAACTTGACTCTGCGACTACTCGAGAGGCTCCGCTTCGAGGATGCAGATGACGATTGAGTGGAGGCGCTGTGGCTAGCGGCGAAGACACCAACGGGTGCAGCTAGACAACAAGCAGAGTTGCCGCCGCTCGAAGCAGTTCGACTCGCTGCCAAGACGAGGGTTCTCGAAGACGATGTTGCGATCATCTTGAACATTAGCTTTGTGCGTGGTTGGGCGGTGACGAGATGACAGTGAGGAAGCCAGTGACCTCGAAGAAGGATCGATGGTCTAAGCACAGTTAGCATGTTGCTTGATGACCAACACTTTCTTCTTCGAAGTTACGAACGTCTGTTTCTGAGCCAAAATCTCCTTGACAAAAAGAGCACAAAAAAAGGCTCAAAAAAGTGGCATACGAGTAAGTGGAGGCTAGATCGCCGATTCGATCCAGTCTGTCTTCACCCTTGACATTCTGAACGCAACAGTTCGAAGCTTTGTACGCCACGATCACCATTGGAACAGCTACGATCTGACTATCAAGGACTACCCCAAAAGTGCAGGGGGACTGGAATACGGAGGAGAGGGCGTATCCGTGAATGCAGATCTGATGTTCAGAGCCGTAATGGGAAATTGCGATGATTAGAGTACATGTGAAGTTTTCGGTACATGACGCTTTGCAACCTGGTCAAGATAGTTCTTCTGGAAGTTAAGATGAGCTTGTCACCAACACCTTTATGTCAAGGAGAAAAATCGTACGCAGGCTTAGATACCGCCTTTTGCTAGCGTCAGCCAGAGGTCGTCTCCCAGATAGTGAATGTTTTCTATCGCAATACCTTTGCCAGTCTTTCGCACCTCCTCGGTGTCCATCTGCATGACACCCACAGCGAGAATCTCATCCTTGCCTTGCGCACGGATCGCAACACACTGTCCCTTCTTGAGAGGTGTCTCCCCTTTCGATGGGTCTGGCAGGTGGCCTCCTGCGCTAGTAAGACCTGGCGACATGACGTTGGCTCCGGAAAGTACAAACTTGATGGCTCCTCGGTCAACTTGTACCGATGGAAGCATGTCTGGGACTACGTCGTTGATAAATGGGAAGATGAGGGTCAGCCGAGTGGAGCATCAGAGCCTGGCAGCGGGTTTTGTCGGCACTTACACATGTGCAGAAGTCGCAAAGAGGGGAGGTACCAATCGTCATAGTGCTGGAAGAAGAGCACTTGTTTTTCCGAAATAAGCATCTGTATGTGTTCTCTTGCGAACTTGACCGTGGTCACAGAAGCCTTGTTGGGCCATGCTGCTTCCAGGAGAGCGCCTTCATCCTTTGCAAGTGCTGGGTATTGATCGGTGAGCTTTTGTCGGATCACTCGGCGCACGGAAGACTTGAGTGCTGTTGCGGGACCCAGGTCTGACTTCGGTTCGAACTTCTTGAACAGCGACATGGTTGTTCGCTTTCGATGTTAGGGAAAATGGACGAGATGGAGGCTGAGAGAGGTTGGCTCCAACTGTCGTATGAGCAAGCTTCATATATGCGTTTCTTGCATTTCACGTTTGGAGTTCGGAAGTCGGGCTGAGAAAAAGGCCGAAGCAGTTTTGCAGGTCTAACAAGTCTGTGCACTTTTGTGTTTTGGAAGAAATCGGTGCGACACAGCGCAATTTTGAAACATAGCTTGCTGCCCCGCATCCGATGCCAAGCAACAAACATACGTTACACAAGAGAGCGTTGAAGGCCGAGCACAAGCGCAAGCGAGCGGGCAGGCCAGCCGTTGACGAACGGAAGGACGAACAGCAGGCACATCGGTCAACTGTTTATTGCTTGTCTTGTCGTCTGCATGACAGCGTGAATGAAGCGCTCTTGCTTTGGACCCGGAACGGGTTGCAGCTGTCTTATCCAGTCTCTCTTGACTTACCACCAGAACCAACTTCCATATCCTTACAGCTTATCGGCAAGATGGTGCTCCTTCCTACAGCAGCAGCGTCCGCCTCATCACGGCGTGCCATCGCTGCATCGATCCGACCTCGGTCTGCTATCAGCACTCGACTGGCTTCATCTCACCCTGTTTTTCACCTTCGAACGCTGTCAACAAGTCCCATTCGAGCCTCCGAGGGTCAACAGGCATCTTCTTCAAAGTCAAACAAAAGCGAATCGGATAAGGACTCGGGTGATGGCTTCCGCAGCTTCTTCAACTCCACCGGCTGGGAAACAGCCATGGGCGCATCAGTTGGTGTCCTCTTGCTCGGTGGTGCAGCCATGGTCTACCATTCCTGGTACAAACGTCACGTTCTTCGCAAGATGGAAGCCGCTTTCGATCCCGGCTACGACCCTGTCCTTGCCCTTGCCAAGAGCGGAGATCAACTCGCTCACGTCCGCATCGACCCGCCTCGCCCAGAAGACGAGATGATCCGTAGCATCGTCTCTGGCAAAGAGGCCGGTCGATACTTCCTTGTCATGGGCAGCAAGGGCTCTGGTAAAGCAACTTCAATCATTGAGGCAATGGCAGAAATTGATGCTGATGGATGCGCCTTCTTCGACGCCCATCTCGATCCAACCATTGTCGTCGACCGTTTCTCGGAATCGATCAACTTTAGCAACAATCGTGACTATCTCGGCAATTTGCTAGGTCTTTCAGATTTGTCAGGCATGTCATACTACCAGCAACTCGAACGAGCGCTGCACAAGCTCGAGAAGGCGCTCATCACACGCAAGCAGAAAACGGGTAAACCTGCCATCATTGTCATGAACAGTGCTCATCTCCTGCCCCGCGACGAAGAAGGAACCAAGCTGCTGCACATCTTCCAGCAGCGTGCCGAGAAGTGGGCTTCGGCAGGAACAGCGACATTCGTCTTCACCACAGCTGACTACTGGGTCTACGATGTGCTGAGAAAAGCATCGAATCGCATGGATACCTTATCGTTCAGGGATCTCTCAAGACGCCAGTCAATCAACGTCTTGCGCGGATGCAGGAAGCAATACTGGGGTGAGAAGCCTTCTTCGCAAAATCCACGTGTCTTGCAAGAGGTCTATGAGATCTGCGGTGGCCGTCTGGGCCTGCTCAACAAGGTGGCTCGACGCAAGGACATGTTGCGCGCAGCAAGACAGTTGGTCGAGGACGACATGCAGTGGGTTCTCAGTAAGACAGGTATCATCCAGGACCACGACGACGATGTGATGGACGAGCAAAAGTGGTCGACCTGCAGTTGGTTGCTCTTTTGCGAGCTGAGCAAGAAGCAAAAGGAGTTGGAGGAGGTCTTGGATGAGTATGAAGGTGTCTTGCCATCGTTCGTGAATCAGGAGGCCATAGAAGATCCACAGTACAGCAGCTTGGCTGCGCAATTGCATAGCGATGCGGGCTGGTTCAAGGCTCGAGCTTCTCCTGTGCCAGGCCTGACACGCTTCAGTACCGCGCTCAAAAGTGACAAAGATGGCATAGACGGAAAGGCAGGCGGCGACGCTCACAGGGGTCATCAACACGACGATGACGACGACGATGACGACGACAATGATGATGACGATGATGATGCCACTGCACACCGCCGTCTGAGCGAGTCACCCATCACTGATCCCAGCATGGACCAAGAAGCCGACGTGCGAGGTGCTGATGTCCCCAACCCTCACCTCACTTGGGGCGAAGCACGTCAAGTCATGACGCGACCTGACTTCATCATGGAGCTCGACCATCTCAACGTTATTCACATTGACCGTCATCATCACATTCGCGCCGATTCCATGCCGCTTCTACGTGCTATGCGCCGCGTTGCCGAATCGCAAGGCTACGAGGAGCGTCTCGAATCGGTCATGGACCGTGTTTCGGCCATTGAGAGCTTGGGAAGAACACGAGAGTTGGTGTGGAAGGAACAGGGAGATGGTGGCAAATTCTTGATCAAGAAGGATGGCAAGGGCCGTGAATTCGAGACCTGGACTTTGCTCGGAGGAGACGAGCGACTCGGTCGCGACACCGAAGGCGAAGGCGACGATGATGACAAGTGAGCCTACTGCAGATGTAGAACTTTATCACTAAGAGCTATCTTATCGTAATGCTATACATTCGAAGGACAGTCGCTTCCGACCTCTGTGGCGTTACATGTGAAGGCCTCGATCCTATCTGGATGAGCGCACCAGTCTCGCTGTCTTTTGGCAACGGTACCGAAATGACCGATTGCAAGTCGCACAAAGATAGCAAAAGCTTTCCGCGGAAGCAGCACGGCTCCAATGGCTTTGTGTTGAAGGGCGTGCGATCGATAGCGTTGATCATGAGTATCGATTGCGATAGTGAGCATCAACTAAGTACAAGATGATTCGAGTATTATATATGCCCTCCAGCGTTCTATGGATGCGTGTATGATACAAGGAAGATAAGACTGAAACATAACGGGGAAACTATGTCGGATGTCTGATAGCCGGTATGCCGATACCTATCGCGACCGATCCGGGTAATAAGATGTGTACTCGAGTGAGCGAAATTGGCGAAGATGTGAGATCGAACTATGGCTCACATGCTTTCACTCTTTGTTATTATTATCACTCGAAATTCGCCGCTAGTTATCGGAATAAGGGGAAAATGCGTGGGGAAACAGAAACGAAGCGTCGGGATAGTGACTTCGAAACGGGCCGACTTAATAGCCGGGGAAAAATCAAGTTGAGATAGGGTGCACAAGCTGCGCAAGAGGCATGTCGTACAGGCAGGCACGCACAGTGCAAACCCCCCACGCTCAGTGTCCAGCAAGACATGTTTGAGCGATGCCAGAAGGTGTCACATGGTCTGCGCTCCGTACAGACCTTCAATGAATACCCTGGAGGAGACGGAGTGTTGCTTGCCAGATAAGCTCTAGCTCTAGCTCTGTTCAATTGTTGCTAAGACTGTTGCTGCTGCCTTTACGCCGCAATCATGATTAAGTTGTTGGCGCCTCGGCCTTCGTTGAACGGGGACCTAGCCGACAGCCGGCCAACCTGTACCTGATCCACTCGCGCTTGTCGGCTGAACAGCTGCTTGTGGGGCTGCATGATGGTTGTCCGACACTGCTCGTACTGTGCGCTCTATCATATATAGCTGGCTGCTGCTTGTGACCCACTCGACTTTCCAGCTCCTCGGCGAAATTCTTGAGTGCTTCTTCTATTCTTCGAATCTTCTACCTTGCTTCCCTTCCACACTATGCCAGCAGCAGTAGCTTCTTCCCCCGTGGTTGCCTCAAACGGCTCTGCCAAGATGACTACCAGCAACGCTGCGACCACCTCTTCATCATCTTCATGGAAGCTGGTTGCTGCGGCCAAGCAGCAGTCTCGTCTTGATCAAATCCCAGCCGAATGGCGGCTTCCCGCTGAAGTTGTTGCTAAGGCTGACCCCAACAGCCGCACTGATGTGCGCTCCATCCCTGCCTCTTGTGGAATTCTCACCTCTGAAGAGCTTGCTATCACCGAGTCGCCCGTTGCCGACATCCTTGCCAAGCTTCAGTCTTGTGCCTGGACCTCTGAGGCTGTCACTACCGCCTTCTGCAAGCGTGCTGCCATCGCTCACCAGCTCACCAACTGTCTCACCGAAATCTTTTTCGACGAAGCCATCGCAGCCGCCAAGAAGCTCGACCAGCATTATCAAACTACTGGCAAGCCCGCGGGCCCTTTGGCCGGTCTGCCTGTCTCCCTCAAGGACAACTTCAATCTCAAGGGCAAGGACTCGAACCTCGGCTTCGTCGCATGGATCGACGACCCCTCGGATCATGACTCGACCCTCGTCACATTGCTTAGAGAGCAAGGTGCAGTGCTGTATTGCAAGACGTCCACGCCGACGGCCATGATGATTGCGGAAACGGTGAGCAACGCCAATGGAAGGACGCTGAACCCGTTAAACACAAAGACAACGTCGGGTGGCAGTTCGGGAGGTGAGTCGGCGCTCATTGCTATGCGAGGCAGTCCCGTGGGTGTTGGAACCGACATTGGTGGCAGTATCCGCATCCCGTGCTCGTTTACGGGGTTGTGGGGTCTCAAACCTTCGTTCGGTCGTTTCCCGACAGGTAAGTGCAAGAGTGGCCTTGCTGGTCAGGAGGCAGTCATGTCGATCAACGGTCCTATGTGCAACGAGCCAGAGGGTCTCGAGATCTACGCCAAGGCGGTGATCGACGCGGAACCCTGGAATGCCGACCCTAAATGCGTGCCCATCCCTTGGACAACCATCGCCTCAATCTCGCTTCCGACTTCGCTCACCGTTCTCATGCTCACCAACAACGGGATCGTCAAGCCCACGCCCCCTCTTCAGCGCGCTATGGCCCATACTGCAGCTAGGCTCCGCAAAGCCGGACACAACGTCGTCGAATGGGACGCATCTCAGTCTGCCGCCGACTCAGATCTCTTCCATTGTGGCCTGAACTGCATTGCCTCGTTCTTCCGTGCTGAGGGTGGTGCTACGGTGCATTCGATCATGGAGGCCTCGGGTGAACATGCTGACTGGGTGAAGGGTCTCTCCCAGACCGACGCTAGCTGGAGCAAGACAGTCAAAGAGTTGTGGCAATTGCAGGCTCAGCGCACTGCTTGGGCAACCGAGTTGCTTCAACGAATGCGCGAGCTCACAGGCGGGAAAAAGTTCGATGCTCTTGTCTCGCCTGTAGCAGCTGAGGTGACGACAGGCCACGACGCATACCACCACATCTTCTATACCGGATGCTGGAATCTGATGGATATGCCGGCTGTTGTCTTCCCTCTGCAAGGGTTGAAGGTCGACAAGGAACTAGACAAGAAGGAAGAAGGGTTCAAGGGCAAGGAGGGAGAAGAGGAGGCCGTGTGGGAGCAATACAATGCAGAAGATGTTGACGGAATGCCGATCTCGATTCAGGTCGTGGGACACAGGTTGGGAGAAGAGAGGACGATTGCTGTGGCCAAGAAGATTCATGCCGATACTGCTTAAGATATACGCTACAGGTGAATGTAGCTGTCTGTAATCTAGACTTGCTGTTGGCGGACACCATCCTAAAGGATTACCTTTGGACATGAGTACTGTTGAATATAGTCGAGAGCGCTTTTGGGACTGTGTTGTAGACAAAGCTGAAGCCAAGGTCCATTCTTGTAATCCAGAGCTCGTCGTTAGCTGCGAAATGTTCTTACAATCAGCAGGATGAAAGCAAGGCTCTGCACTTACTAAGAGTCAAGTTGAAAGGCACTGTTGGTATTATCGAATCGATCGAGAGTAGTGGATAATCTAAAAGCCCTAGTCCATCCATCTATCCGCCTCTTCCTTATCCGAGTCTGTCATTGATCTACGAAAGAATTTCAAGCGTTTCCCCTGTCACGTCTCCTTCGCCTACTTTCCCTCTCCTAACTTTCCCACCCTTCGCCTCAATCATCTGTTCGATCGTTCTGGGATCGTCTTCCGTTTCTGTAAACCACGACAAGTTATCCGCGATGAGATGCCTGCTCTTGCATTCAGGGCACTGGACGATCACGATGCCCTTTGTGTAGGATCGTTTGGAGAACTCGTGTGTGCTCCGGTGTCCACATTGGTCGACAGTGCAGGTAAATGTGATGGCTAGTCGTTGTTCGATCTGCCCAATAGGGGTGCGTTGGCCTGTGACTGGGATGGAGGGGGTATCTTCGTCTGAGGAAGAGGAGGTGGTCGGGTCTACCTCAGGGACGGAGGTGGCACAACGGGACTGGTCGTTGAAGGGTGAGAGTGTGGAGCGGAAGGCTCGCCGCTGAACTTGTTGCGCTAGAGAGCAATGCAGAGATGAGGGTAGTGTGGACTTGGAACGCAGCTGTGGAAGGGCTTGCTGAGCGACAGGTAATGTCCACCGTTGCAGCATGTGTCGGCTGCTGGGCGTAACATTGCGTGCGAGCGTTGAAAAGATCCGGGTTGTTGACATGGCTGGATTTAAGGGCTGGAGACAGAGTAGCAGCAGAACAGGGATGATGCTAAGCAAGAAGCGAAGACGAAAGCAGGAGTGAATCGGAGGATGGAGGAATGGAAGATGACACGAAGACAGGCTTGAGGCATGTTCGAAGCTCAAAAGTGGAGGCGCAAACCAATTTTTTTTGCGGAAGTCGGAAATGCTCAATTCCATCAGCTGCCGATTTCATATCTCCGTTCTTGGTGCTTGTTCTTGCAACCAGCCTTCGCTCACACGGCATTGTCAGTAAGGACGCACAGGTGATGAACAGGAGCGCGATTCAACGTACGTTATGGACGTACACACCGATGCATACGAGTTGAACGCTAATGGCAATGATTGTCCTTGTTTCCAGATACTAGGGTAGGTCAGGTGCAGCTAGACAAAGTGACATCGTTCTAGTAGGCGGTTCCTGGTGTTGCAGCTTATGCTAAGGCCAGAAGACCAGATGTGACACCCACAACGACTGCACTGATCCCACCTATCAGTCGCGCATCGAGACTTGAGAAGTTTGGCAGCGCGGAACTCTGCTGTGGTGTGCTGATCGAAGAGCCGGTGTTCGATCCACTTGATGAATCGCGACCAGCTCCAATAGTGCCATTCTTGGTCACCTTCACTGTCAGCACATCCACCGTCCCATCAATGCCAATATCATGATTGATCTGACTAGCACTGACTCCGTTCAACAACTGCGTGCTCTCCTTGCTAACCGTGTACTGGAATCCACCTGGACTGGACAGGGTTCTTCCGGTCATGTTACCCACCATCTGGTCCCTTCCTGCATCGTATCCATCTGGCGCGATCATGTGTTTCAGCGTCGCATTGAGCTCGACACTAGCCGCGATGAAAATGGCACCCGAGTCAGCGGCAGTTCCGTTCTGAATCCAGTACCTGAAATGGTTGCCACCTTTGAGTGATTCCAAACAAGTGCCACCATCACCCTGTTTGAAGTTCCAGCGCATGATGTTGGTCTGAGGGCGGTAGCCGTTGCCGTCGCCGAGATTGGCTGTCTGGTAACCGCCTTGAGAGATGTTGAGGCAGCTGCCGGGGGAGAAGTAAAAGGAGCGGGCGAATTCTTCAAAGCCGGCCTGGTAGAGGACGCCAGGGTCGGAGTTGCCAGAGACGATGACGTTGAGTGGCTCACTGAGGCCAGAGGCGGTGTTTCCGGTGAGAAGAGAGCCGCCATTGGTTGTGGGGTTGTAGTAGCCTTGTGGCGAGGACTGACGGCGTGTGAGGTCGGAGAAACAAGAGGATGGCAGAGCCTCTGTGAAGGTCGAACCTAGTGCGGCGGCTAGTGCCAAGGTTGGGATTGTATAGGAGACCTTCATACTGGAGATCTGATGCAAGCAGGGGTTGAGTGAACGAAACGGTGCGCACCAAGTCTTGTGAGGCGTGTGTTTATATGTGATCTTCTGAACTCGAGTCTAAGTGTATGCAGCGTCCAGCGCTGTCGAGGATGGCGGGGGCTTGCAAAGGAAAGAGAAAGAGAGGGAGGAAGAGGGAGGAAGAGGGAGGAAAAGCGCAAGCGGTCGGATCGGAGCGAACAAAGATGGATTCGTGTGGGACGGTAGTAGTGGTTGTTTGTATTGAGGGTAGGTAAGGGTAGTCAAGGCAGATCCATTGAGGAGAGGCGAGCAGTTGACCGGACTGACAGAGAAACAAAGAACACTGCCTTTGCCACGCAGCAAGACCATCTAAACCTTGCTCTGTGGAGCATCGAGCTCCTGTTTGCGTTGCCAAGACCATCGAATCGTCCCATTGCAAAGCTGGGCAGCGTAAAGGCATGCATGGTTTTCCAGCTCGCTTCGACAGCAAAGGTTCAAATTTTGTGTTTGGTGATCAGCGTCCGTTGTGCGCGCCTGAAAAAGCTCGGCAGGAGAGCATTTCTCTTCTTCTATACTTTGGTTATCGGTGTCTCGCGACGGATCCTGCCAACTCGTCCTCTTCGCCTCTACAAATTTGCACCTCCTGTCTGTAGTTTGCGAACCGCGTAAAGATGATGCTGCACTCTCTGGTCGACGTTGTTCTGCCGAGCTACTGTAGTTGCGAGTCAGGGCTGAGGTCCCAAGGGAATGGGCGCAACTGCATGATGCGATACTGAAGGTGGCAAAAAATGAAATTCAAAAAGATTCGACCTGTCACACGTCTCTGGCTGCTCATGAGCGATCCGCAGGTGGGTGATGGCTGTGTCTGACAGCGCAACGCTAAAATGAGCTCATTAAACCGGCTTTGTCGATTCTAGAAGGTGTCCGATCACAACATCGAACACCGACGCTGGTTGTTATCGGGTTTGAGTAGCTTTCTATGTCTGTGAGAAGAGGAGGTCATCTGTCGGCTGGACGTGCTGTAAGAGGAAAGAAGTCGCTTTCCGAACCGGCCGAGACTGATCAACGGTTTAGCAATCTCGCACGACAACTGACCGCGTAAAGCAGGATCCGACGGCCGACAAAGCCATGACCCTTGATTCCAACGTCCGATGGTGTGTTTGAACAAGAAAGCGTGGAAGCAAACACACACACAAGAGGATCTCCGCAAAAGAGCTTTGGCTTGCTTTCTGTTGTGCGGTCACAGGATGAGATTTTTCCAGGCTTCTATGTACTCGCTGCCAATTCCCGCCGCAGACAACGGGAGCTGTCATCATAAAATGGTCATTGGTTATGTTGTGCCAGACCGATTGCAGAGTGGTACACCTAGCGGATGTAGAAGGATGCGACGGGGGTTCGAGAACTCGTGAGAGTGCGAGGGATGATTTAGTTCAGATAGCTCAAGCTTCAAGCATAGCCGGTATCCAAAGGAAACCTGTAGCCCAAAGCTACCTTGCCGCGATAGCCGAGGACATCCTTTCCCAACTCTCGAAGAGTGTCTTGGTCTTCAAGTCTGCCTTTCTTGACGCCTCTCCGGCATTCGCCCATACCTCTGCGTATCTCTGCGGTGCCCCACACTTTGTCCTGGCCCGTATAAGTATCGCCTTGAGACGCAATTTTCAGCGGTGTGCCCGCCTAGCAGTCGTCCTGTTCAACCATACCGTCGCTTCAGCATCCTCCTTAGAGCGATTCAGCCATTATGTCGGCCATTACTAGCGGTCTCAAGATTCCCTTCCCACAGGACCAGAATCTGCACACCTTCCTCTTCAGCAACCCTCTTCAACACCATCCTAACAACTTCGGCTCACAGTATCCCAATCACACCTTTGACGGCACCACCATCCCAGAGCAGCGTCCCATCCTAGTGCATGATGGTTCAGGTGCCCAGCTCAGTTGGGCTCGCTTGAGGGCCGACAGCTTGCGTCTTGCTCGCTCTCTTCAAACTCTCACCGGTGCTGCGATTCCTTTCGTCTCTGACCCTAAGAGACCCCGTGAGCCCATCCATGCTCCTCGCACCACGGTTCTCTTGCACATCCCCAATGGCATGGTCTGGCCGCTTGTAGCTCTCGGCACCGTTGCAGCCAACCTCACTGTCTGCCCCATCTCTACCTACCTCAGTCCACGAGAGCTTGCTTACATCTTGGCCAAAGCTCGTCCTCAAGTTCTGTTCACCTCTGTCGGCGCAGAAGGTGAGGTGCCGCTCCGTAAAGCACTCCAACTGCTACTCGACTCGCCTTCTAGCAACAACGGTCAGGTCAAAGGTGCCGAGTTTCAGGCTTGGGCACGTGAACTCGCTAGGGATTGGGATGAGTCCAAAGCCGCAAGATTGGAAAAGAGCAATCAGGTTCCCTACCGTTGTCGTCGTATCTGGACTGTAGACGTCTCTTCGGGCATGGACTACTATGGCACCAGCTTCAACAGGAACGGCGTTGCATCGGCACATGACCCTCGTGACTGGACACATCTCTTGCTTCCACCACCAGGCAGCAAGGCCGAAGGAAGCATTGCTAGTCTTGACAGACCAGCGTTTAATCCTGCGCCTATGACACCAGAGGAGCAGCAGAGACGTGTTGCTTTTGTGCTCTGGTCGAGTGGTACAACGGGTCAGAGCAAAGGTGTGCTCATCAGTCACAAGGCACTCATCAGCAACACGATGGGCGTGTGGGATACTAACCCGCACTTCAGCGGTACTTCGAGAGGAGCAAACGGTGGAGGAGAGCGCTGGATCACCCTTGCTCCTTGGTATCATGTTTACGGGTAAGTTTCCCACACTCTTCTTTCTGACTTGGAACGTCTAAGTTGCTTAGAGTGATACTAATGATCCGTTCTTGTCTTGTGATTGTATTGTTCAAATAGTCTGGCAACCGTGTTGCTACCCACAGTGGCTTTCGGAACGACTCTCATCATCCCTTCAACGCCCAAGTTTGATCTGGGCTACTACCTCAGCCTAGTCACTCGCTACCGTGCTACCTTCAGTCACATCGCCCCTGCCGTTGCTGTTGCACTTCGATCTTGCCCACACCTTGATCCCGCTTCGCCACTGAGCAATGGCATTGATCTCTCGAGCATCGCAGCTTTCCTCACAGGTGGTGCACCCGTCCCTGTCGAAGTCGTGCGCAAGGTGTTCGAGCGAACGGGCAAGTACATTCAGCTTGGCTACGGCACTACCGAAACATGTTCCACTTCTCAGACCAGCGGGTTGGCCATGGATGCCGACACACAAGGAGCACGCGACGAATTGGGTAGTGTAGGTCGGCCTGCACCTAACACCGAGATTCAAATTCGACCTTTGCCGGGAACCAGCAAGCAGCAAGTCGATCAACGTGTGGAGGAGATCCGTGCCGTGTCCAGGCAAGCGAGAGCGAGAGGAGAGCGAGTACCATCGGATCCAGGGATAGTGGGTGAAGTGTTGATTCGCGCACCTGCCGTCATGTCGGGCTACTTCTCCGGGCTGTCCTCCGAAACGCATTCGGCTTTGAATGAAGAGTTGACTGGAGGTGCATTCACGGAAGATGGGTGGTACAGGTCGGGCGATGAAGGCTGTCTCGATTCCAAAGGACGATTGTGGATTACAGGTCGTACAAAGGAATTGATCAAGGTCAAAGGCTTCCAAGTCCCCCCAGCTGAGTTGGATGACCTCTTTGCCACCCATCCAGAGCTGGTGGACGCTGCAGCAACAGGGTTCGTGGAAGACAAGTCGACGGGTGAAGAACAAGTGTTACTCTTGGTGGTGCCCAAGGACAAGACGATTTTGACACAGGAGCAAAAGATGCACGAGTTGGCTTCACGTCTGCACACATGGGTGGGAGATAAGACAGCATACTACAAGTGGCCGAGTACGTATCTGTTCTCGGAGTCAGCACCTAGGAACCCAACGGGAAAGCTACTTAGGAAGGATATTGCTGCGTCAAAAGGTCACAAGATCAAGATTGTCAAGCAGTCGCGTAAGGCTACCTCGCCAAGTCCATCCGCCAAGCTGTGATGGGACATCGTGTATTCGGACCTACAATGCATTGCACATTTCTCTGCTTCTATCTTATCATGACGATCCACCAATCCAGCCGTAATCGATTCGTCGGCATGCACGCAGTGTTTCGGTCATGTATCGTGTACTGTGGTTAGATTAGCGGATGAACTTAAGTGTTGAGTGATGAGTGTAGGACATGAAATGCTGACGCGCTTAGTTCTGAACACTCTGAACAACGCGTGGGTATTGTTGACGAATCATTTCGAAGAGCTCTGGGTTCTTGCCCTGGAGCACGTATGGGTCCTCTGCGAGCGCAACAAAGTAGGTGCTGACACCAGCAGTGATACTGCCGGCACCGACACTTAGTGCAATGTTGAAGCCCAAACCAAAAGCGACAAGCAGGATGATCGAGTAGTAGCCCGAGTCGTTTTGCAAGTACTGTGGATTGGTCTTCTGCTCGTAGATGAAGGCGAAGAGCGCGGTCAGAAGACCAATGATGAAGGCACCGCAGTTGAAGACAATGTTGACGAGACTGTCGTTGATGAGAGCATCTATACCCCGGTCCATAAGCAGCGACCAGGTCTCCTTGGCGGCACGGATGTAGCTGTTGCCGTAGAGAGCAATGTTGATGTAGGCATATCGGTTGAAGTAGTCGACGAGTGCGCGAATGCAGGCAACACAGCAGGAGGCAACGCAAGCGAGAATGGAGCCAACAAGGTCACCTTCGGAAGCAGCTTGGTTCTGCAAAAGGTTGAAGAAGGCGCGGAGCAAGTCAAGGAGGGCGACGATGAGCGAGCCCAAGCAGATGGAGCCCAAGCTGTAAGTCATGGAACGGCGGAAAGCACCCCAAGCGGCGTGCGAGACCTTGTTTACGTTGTAGTAGGCTGTGCCAAAGATGCCGGCAACCGTGGTGAAGGCAATGTTCTTGATGACCTCGGAAATCCAGTAGTAGGCAAAGACGATGAAGACCATAAGACCGATGACAGAGGCGTTGCTGGAACTGCTGCCTGCTGCCTGTCCTGATGGCTCGAAGCGTTGGTAGGTGGCTACTACGACCCAACTGGTCCAAGCACTGAAGGCGGTTTCGACGATGAGACCGCTGAGCGCAACGACGTAGACGCTCTTGTATTGCTCTGCGGTACGAATGACTGTAACCAAAATGAGCTTGGCAAGTGGGATGCGCTTTCGCATGAAGAAATAGGCGATAACGCTGAAGACGGCAAAGATGGTGAACACGATGGCAGCGGCGGTGTTGCCTCGCACCCAGAGGTAGACACAGAAGGCGACATTGCTGAGTGTGGTGAAGAGGAGCGTTGCCTCGAGGATGAACTTGGGAAAGGTTCGTACGAGCAAGATGTAGATGAAGGAGAGAACGAGGGCGATACCACAGCAGATCATGAACATGATGACGGTCTGGCCATTGAGCGTATTGCCAGCAACGTTGCCCCTACCAACAGAGACATCAATACTGGAATTTGAGTAGCCGCGAAGACAGATGACGGAAAGGGCGATGAAGCCACCAAAGACGAGAAGGAAGAGAACAAGGAAGATGGGGTCGTTGAACTTGGGCTTGGGTTTGAGACGCTCGCCCTGGAAGCCTTCGGGTTTGAGGGGCTGCTTGTAGTCGCCGCCGTAGTATTGTTGAGGAGGAGGACCTTGCTGATCGTTGTAGTACTGGTTTTGCGCTCCGTTGGATTGACCCTGGTAGCTACCTGGACCGTAGGAGCCAGGCTGTTGCATCTGCGGGGCTTGAGGAGGGAGAGGAGGAGGAGGATATGCGTATGCACCACCGCCTGCGCCTTGGATGCCATAGCTGTGCTGCTGCGACATGGCGACCGACGAAACGAGAGGGTTTCAAAAGAGCGTGGTGATGGGGTATCTGTGTCGAAATGGTGGTGGTGGAGGAGGAGGAGGAGGAGGAAGTGGGCTGGCGACAAACGGATCTTTTCTGGATGGGACGCAGCTTTGATGTTGTTGTGGGCTGACCGACAAACGGCATACTATTCATCCGTACATGATCTGAATCAGCTCCGCCCTCTGCCGCTGCAGGCCGTCGATTGCGAAAAGTCAGAGACAAAAAGAGAAGAAGAGAAGAAGAATGCAAGGCGAGGGATTTGTGCGTTCTCCTGCATCAACAGAGCCCGCGTCAGAAAGCGCGTGTCGGATCAATTTCGCGGTCTGCAGCATTGTGAGATTCCTGACACCAACAAATGTACGCACGTGCCCATGCTGCTTTCTGTCCGCAATCTTCCTCCACATCAAGTGTCAGCTTGTTTTGCTTTTCCTGCGATCGAGCCATCCTACATTCTCAATAGTTACAGTAAGTTCCATAATCAGCCGCTCAATCTTCTTCCCGCGGAAGTCAACGCTGCTGTCTGCAACAGACTCACAGTCCGACACGAAGTCTGCTTGCCTAACCCTTATCCGATTGCTGTCACCATTTTCTACGTTGTGCCCACTCAGCAAAGTTGCTCTTTTGAGAAGATGCAGGTCGATACCCCATATAGCAACGACTTTTGTTCCCTTCCAACCTCGATCTGGTTGCTTGTTCATCTTACTATCATCTCACAAGCTCGGACAGCTCCTCTCCCAAGATGAGCACCTATACCGTCGGCCTCAAGGCCTTGTTGCCAACGCTTGGCGTCATTTACGGCTTCCAGGCTGCTTGTGCCGCCATCGCTGTTCCTCTCAAGACGGAAAAGTATTACGATCTTTGCGGCTCGCTTGGCTTCATTTCGGCTGCTGGTCTCTCCCTTTACATGCCATGGATACGAGCTCGCTACTTTGATGGCTTCAAGAACATCTCGTTGCCCACATCCTTGTCGGCTTTCCACCCTCGACAGACCATCATGACCGGTCTCACTCTCTTCTGGGCTGTTCGTCTCGGCAGCTTCCTCTTTCAACGTATCAAGAAGTCTGGGGGCGACAGCCGGTTCGACGAGATCAAGCAGAGCCCTCCCAAGTTCTTCGGTGCCTGGATGATGCAGGCTACCTGGATTGCCATCACTGCCCTCCCCGTCTACTTGGTCAACTCGATCCCCAAAGCTTCTCAGCCTCCCCTTGGCCCCCGTGACTACCTTGGTCTCGCCATCTGGATCGCCGGTATGGGTCTAGAGGCCACTGCTGACCGACAAAAGTCTCAATGGAGGCAAGACAGGGAATCTGGCAAGCACAACGAACCTTTCATCAGCTCAGGTGTTTGGAGCTGGTCCAGACACCCCAACTACTTTGGCGAGGTCAGTCTCTGGACCGGTCAATTTGTCCTCTCCACCGCTGCCATTGCCGGCGCAGGTACTTTCTACCCTTCTTGGGCCGTCGGTCTTGCTGCCCTCAGTCCATTGCTCGAGTACGGCCTCATCCGATTCATCTCGGGTGTTCCCATGCTCGAACAGAGTGGAGACAAGAAGCACAAGGACAACCCGCAGTGGAAAAAGTACAAGTCGGAGGTTCCCTGCTTTGTTCCTTTCATTGGCAGCAAAAACTAGTCACTTTAATCCACACATCACCTTCCCACTCTTTTGTTGCAAGCAGCGCTTTGTGTCCGCGTTGTGTGAAACCCTTGAATTCCACGTTCTGTGATCGATTAGTGTATATATGTGATGGACAGAAAGTTTGGGGACGGTCGCGAAGCGAGCAATTAATCTGACATCATTGCCGAGCCTCGTCGCCTTCGAGCCTCAGAACCATCATCACATCCATCCAGAAGCCCTCAACTACCATCATGGTTCGCGGCAAAGAGCTCTCTGTCGCTGACCGCTCCACGATCGTCACCCTACACGAACAAGGCATGTCCTATGCTCGAATAGCCTCCTCAGTTGGCGTAGCTAAAACGACTGTGTTCTAGCCACTGCGTAACTTCAAGGAAAGAGGCAACCTTGAGACAGCACCAAGATCCGGACGACCACGCACCTGCACCGAAAGACAACGTCGTCGCCTCGTACGTCAAGCCCTGAAAGAACCTACTCTGACTTGGAAACAATTGTCTGCGGAGCTCAACGGCCTCTCCATCTCTCGTGTTCGAAAACTAGCATACGAAGCAGACCTTAGTCGACGAATTTCACCCAAGAAGCCTGTTCTTACCACTCTGACAGCCCCTAGACGATCCGAGAAGCCATCGTCAGTCCAGCGAAAACCGCAAACCAATTCTGCTCCTTGACGAGGCGTCCGACAACGTCATTCCCTGGCTCACCAAGCTTTCGGCAAATCAGACTAGAACTTGCGTTCATGTCACTCAATGCAACATTCACCTGCTGATCGATGGTGAGCATAGCCTCCAGATCTCGCACGTGCACTGATGGTACGGTCCGTGAGACAAGGAAAGCAGGTGGTGAGATGTGAGCTGCAAAGACGTTTCCGCATGAGATTATCAGACTGCACTATGCAACCACGCCACGTCTGCTTTTGCCTTTCCATTGGCACAGCCTTTTCTTCTCCGCAACGATCCAAGACCACCCGACGTTCGGCACTTTTTGTACAGCCTTTGTGGAGTTTGCGAATCAGGGTGATTGCACCAAAAGAATCTGCGTATGCCAAGCCTCGAAAGAGAACAAAAGGCTATATCCGGCAACGTCCTTGAATCATGCATGCATCACCTCTCCCTGTCTCTGTCAACAGCCTGAGCGGCAAGCAATGTCCCGCAAACTTGCAAGAATCCAGCTCGCTTTAGCCATCACCTTGACGTACATTTAAGGGGACGTCGGACCACAACCCTACCATCCATTCGGTTCTTACCGCATTCGTACAGCACGCCCGTTCCCAAGCGCACCAACGCAACTGACGCCATCCTCTTGGACGACTAAAGATGTTCGAGAAAGCCAAGGCCGAAGCTGGAGCTCCTGCCCACATCCCTCAGCTGCCTCTACCGCCCTACCCGATGGGCGTCATCCCCGAGTATACTCGCCACACCACTCCCATCGCATTACGTGTTCGTGAACGCAAGTCTTCCTTCACAGGCGACGACTTTGCTGTCAAAGATGCCGTCACAGGCAACACCATCTTCGACATCCGTGCCAAGGTGTTGTCGCTCCATCAGAAGAAGACCGTACACGATCACTCCGGACGTCCCCTGTTCGAGTTTGGAGTCTCTGGAATCTCGATCATGAGAGCATACGTTGGAAAGAGCTGTGACAGTGCAAGCAGAGAACTCTTCCACATCAAAACAGCCGGTATGCTCAAATCAAAACTCAACATCACTTTCTCCAATGTGGCAGCAAACGGCCGAGAAGAAAAGTGGGTATTGAAAGGCAAGTGGCTTAGTGGATCATCGCAGATCACGACCGAGGCAGGAGTTGTGGTCGCTAGCATCTCGAGAGACTATGCCAACGCAGGCCAGATCCTGTTCGGTCAGCAGACCTACATGGTAACTGTGGCTCCAGGCGTCGATGCTTCTCTCATCACTGCAATCTGCATCTGTCTGGATGAATCTTATAGCGAAACCTAAGCCGCCTTCTTGTGAATTCATGCAAACCTCCTACCGATGTGGGCAAGCGGTTCGAGCAGCAACTTGCTAATTCTCAGCCGGTTTCTTTGACCTTTGAGCTTGGGTTTCGGCGCTGCTGTTGGGCGCGAGGACCTTTCATTATCGGCTGGACCCACAGGCTGGCCTTCTTGGGCCGCTTGTAGCTGCGGTCTAAAATCGATCCGCTCACACGCCTCTCGACATCACTGTGCCTCAGTAACTAGCACTGGGCGTCTTCTCAGTGGACCTCGCGCGTCGAATGAAGTCGACAACGAGCCGAGCACTGCCCTGGCCCCCAACCACACCCTTTCATCCATTCTGTATGCATAACAGTTGAAGAGCGTCGTTTGTAGTCAATCAGATCGTGCGTCAAAGTCAATTATCACAAGTATCGATTGCAATGGTGAGCATTCCTAAGTACATGATGAATCAAGCATTTATATATACCTATCTCAAGGCCCTTCGTATACGTGTATGGTACTGGGCTGTGAGGTCAGAGCATGACTATGGAGCTCTCAGGGAAAATTATATTAACCATCCAATCACCAGCATCTAGCACTGTAATGTCCAATGGTTGGTCCGGATAACACATTGAACCCAATCGAGCGAGGCTGGCAATTTGATGTGGGCTCAGCATAGAAGTTGCATACTCCAAGGGGTTGCATGCTTCTATGCCAAGAGGTCACATGCTTCAACTGTGCCCCTTGCCAATCAAGCAACTGAGATGTCCCATGTCAATCATTCCCAATTGCTTTTGTGTCCAGGCCAAGAGTTCTTGAGGAACCAGTTTGGTTAGGAAGTTGGCTATATTTTTGCCTGTCTTAACATACCTGGTAGAGATATCACCCACTTGCACATGATTGCAAATGAGATCATATTTAGTGTTGACATGCTTGAGCTTGGAATGCATAGCTGGATCCTTCACTACTTGAATGCAACTGGTGTTGTTGGTGAACACAATTGGTGTGTGATCACCAAATCCAAGACTATGGAGGAGGTGCTTGTGGAATAATGCCTCCCTGATGGTGGCAGAAGCTGCAATGTACTTGGCCTCAACTGTGGAACTAGTGACACATTTCTGGATGTGTGAATTCCAGGTAATGACACTGCCAAATAACTTGACAATCAATCCTGAGGTGCTTTTTTGGTCCATATTGGGGTCAGATGCCCAGTTTGCATTGGTGTAGGTCTCAATGATGTTTCCATCCAGCTGTTGATCACCAATTTGCAGTACTTTGTTTTGTGTTTGGTTCAAATATTTGATGACATGTAGTGCTGCCTGCATTGCTTCTTTGGTCAGTTTGGACATATGTCATGCAAGGGTGTTGATGGCATAGCAAATGTCAGGTCAAACTGTATTTGACACCCAAAGGAGTTTGCCTACCAGTATTGGGTATTTTCATTTGAGGTCTTCCCAGACTTCTGTATCAGCAAGTGCCTTTGTGGGAGTTGTGGTCATTGGTGTCCAAGTCCTTTTGTTTGGTTGTATCCACCCATTGATGATCTCCTTGATATATGCTTGTTGGTCTAAGTCAATTGTTCAATTCTCTTGATTGTGCATGATCTTGATCTTCAAGAATTCTGTTACCAGACCATTGTCTTCAATTTGCCACTTCTTTGTGATTGCTTGTTTTACTGTATCAATATGTAGTTACTCTGGTGATGTAATAAGCATATTGTCAACATAGACTGTGATGATCACCTGATCATTGTCTGTTCCTCTAAGATAGATGCCCAGCACCACTTGTGAGGGGGGAAACCCTAAGTGCCTGAGGTGCAAATGCCAGTTCCTTGTGCCATTCATGTCCAGATTGTTATATTCCATAAAGGTTCTTGACCAACTTGTACACTTTGCTGGGTGGTATGTTCACTCCTTTGGAGGTTTGAGGTAAATGTAGTGTTCCAGGTTTGCATTTAGGTACACCTGCTTTATGTCAATAGAGTTGATCTCCCAGTCAAACTTTGCAGTGATTACAAGCACTGCACAGATAGCATTGTGGGGAACTATGGGTGTGAATATCTCCATATAGTCCACTCCTTCTCTCTGTGAGAAGCCTTGTGCACAGAATTGGGCTTTAAATTTGTAGGGTGTTCCATTGGCATCCATTTTGACATTGAGGACTAGTTTTGAATCTACCCAGTGTACATTTGCTGGCATGTTGACAATCCTCCAGATGTTCATGCTCTCTAACCCTTCCATTTCAGTGCAAATGGTCTCGCGCAAATGGGTTTGATCTGGTCCATTTAGTGCCTCTATATGAACTCTGTTTTTGTTGTGAAGTGAGTGGCAAGGTCAACATGAACTAGTTCTAGTGGTAGTTTCACATGTTTGCTGTTGCTTTGCCCCATTTGGGCTTTGGTCAACTTGCTTGCCATACAGTCTTGACATTTGCATGGTTGGGTTTTGATATTATAGATTTTTTTGAGTGTCCTAGATTTGTTGCAGCCTGGATGACCACACTGTTCATGGATGAAGTTGTTGCTGAACTTGCATACATTATTTGGGTTGAAGGTCACACATACATTGTCATTTGCTAGAGCTCATACCAGTATTAGGTTAACACTTGCATTTGGGACATGAAGCACATCATTCAGATATATCTTACATCTGTCAACATTGATAATTGCTTGGCCCCTGGCCATGATATGAATTAGTGATCCACTGGCAGCCTTCGCAAAGCCAGTGCATGGTATGGGGGAAATAAGATTTGCATTATTATTTGTGATATGATTGGTTGCACCCAAGTCAACAATCCATGCATTGGATTGTTGCTCTAGTGATGCTCAGTAAGTGGAAGTGACAGTGCACCAAACATCCTATGCAGACATCTGATTAATGTTTGGATTGGTGCTGGTAGTGGTGTTGTTGATCATGTGAAGCTTGCTGTTTGGGTTCTTTGGACAGAATTGGACGATAATAACATTTCCTGCATCCATCAGGGTCTGGTTTCCCCATGCTATAAGCATCTTGGTTCGCGACTTGACCGCTGGCCACAAGCGTTTGATGCAAAAAATGTGCATAAAAAAGTTGATAATCATTTTATTGTGGGACAGTATATGGAGCACTGTTTTGAATTCTTTCAGTACTTTGTGTTCGCTCCTTTTGCCTTGAGGAGATTGTTAAGGGCTTTCAAACGATATAAGACAGTTGAGCATTTGATCGTGTCATTGTTGAGCAATGGGGTGATTAGTGGGACACCTCGAATTCGTGGGACAGTTTATGCGCGAGCTGTACACTCTCAGTTGAGTAGGACCTAAGCTGTGGGCCGCTCATCGTATCATTTGACACGTGGGAAGGTGGCGTGAGAACACGACAATTGCAGCACTAGAATAGGAGGCATGCAGTTGCTAGTCCCACCAATTCCGCCAAGCCGTGATGGGAGCGTGCGTGCTTCGATACAAGCTCTTCCTACGCCGGAGATGGCCAGAGGTCTGCTCGAATGAATATTCTTGGTAATAAAAGGACGCTGCCGGCTGGTCTTTTGTCTTCCCGTCCTCAAAATCTTTCCCTTCATACTCCTGTCTTCCCCCTCGGCAACAATGATCAGAGCCGCGTGGCTTGCTCTTCTTGCAGTCCTTCTCGTCGAAGCTCGAAGTACGCCTCTGCGCGCCGGCAGTACTCCCGAACAGCCCTTCGTGATCACCACCGATGATCCAGTCATTCGGGTACGACCTCGCGAGGTTGCCCTTTCCAGACTTGCGTCCTCTTCCACTCCTGCTGCCAAGGTCAGCACAAACCTGACTCAGTATGTCAACGTTTTTGTCGGCACTGAAGCCAACAGTGACCCTGGTGACGTTTTTGCAGGTGCATCTGTACCTTATGGCATGGCCAAAGCCACCATCAATGTAGAAGGCTATGCTCCCGCTGGCTACGTTTGGCCAGGCGACAAGCCAACGCGTGGTGTAAGCCCTCTGCACGACTCAGGAACTGGCTCCAGCGAGGGGAGCTATGGCAACTTCTGCATCATGCCCGTTCTCTGCACTGACAACAGCCTGGACGCTTGTCCTACGTTGCTCGAGCCTCGTGAACGCATGCGTCTCAACGGAACTGATAGTGGTCGGCCCGGCTACTTCACCACTACGCTCGACAATGGAATCAAGATTGAGCTTACCAGCACCAGAAGGGCTACGTTGGAAAAGTATACATTCCCGAAAGAGGAGATGAAGAGGATGAAATCCACGCCGCATCTGGTGCTTGACTGGACCAATGACTCGCCAGGAACTTTCAGAGGTGGAGAGCTTAAGGCTGACTGGGATCAGGGCCGCTTGATGATGAACGGCACTTGGTTGAGCTCGTTTGGCCCGGGCGAGTTCCATTACCAGGCTTTCCAGTGCGTCGACCTCAAGTTCGAGGGCAAGCAGCAACTTTCGTCGCATGCCTTCTTCGGAGGCAACCGTCGAGGGTTCGACATGAAACGTGCTGACTTGGACCACTGGGTTCGTGTTGCCCAGGTTCTCGGCCAGTACCAAGCTGGTGCCGTTGTTGGCTTCGATACCGACCCGGAGGCTAAGCAAGACGTGACCATCATTGTTCGTCGCGGTGTCTCGTTCACTTCAGCGGAAAACGCCTGTCGCAACATGGAGAGCGAGATCCCTGATTGGAACTTTGACGCCACCGTGGCTGCAAGCAATAATCTGTGGGAAGACAAGTTGCAGCGCATTCAGCTGAGCTCCGAGACTCCTGACTATGTTCGACGTCTCTTCTACACCAGCTTCTACCGCACCTTCCTCTCGCCTAACAACGCCACCGAAGATGGACCTTTCCCAACCAATGCGCCATATTTTGACGGATTGTATTGCACTTGGGATACATTCCGTACACTTTTCCCCTTCCTTTCCCTCTCGAGCCCGGTCGAATTTGCGCAGATCGTAGAGACGTATATTGACGGTTGGAGGAAGGAGGGATGGCTTCCTGAGTGCAGGGCCAATCAAGTCAAAGGCTTCGTCCAGGGTGCCAACAACGGTGTCCCAGTGCTGGCTGACTTCGCAGTTAAGTATGCCAAAGCTGCATCCTCGCTCGGTGTCAACACGGACGAATTGTACGAAGCCATGCGGCATGATCTCGATGTGCCCTCGCCGCAGTGGGAATACGAAGGTCGCCAGGCTGCTCCCTATCAGCTGTACGGGTACGTCCCTTTCGGCTACCTGGACCCGGTGTCTGTCGGTGAGCAGACGCGAGAGGCAAGTCGTTCGCTAGAGTATGCTTTCGGTGACTTCACTGCTGCCATGACGGCCCAGGCTCTCGGCAAACCGATCGAAGACGTCCAACGCTATGCCAAAGCCTCGCTCAACTACTCGCTCAACTTCGACCACAAAACCGTCAGTGATGGCTTCGAGACCTTTGTTCAGCGTCGTTTTGCCAACGGTACCTTCATGCCGAGCGATCCCACCTTCTGCTCGCCTCTGGACAATTCAAGTCACGCTTGTAGTATGCAGGCTGAGAATGACTTTGGCGTTTACGAGTCGTCTTCCTGGGAGTACAGCTTCTATGCGCCCCACGATAGAGCCGGACTCGTTGGTCTGATGGGTGGCAAATCAATGTTCGAGAAACGTCTCGACCATTTCTTCTCCAAGGGCTACTTTGCTCCCGGTAACGAGCCTAGCTTTGACACCCCGACCATGTACCACTACATCTCTAAACCTTATCGCAGCATCCGTCGTGTCCGCGAGGTTGTACAGACGTACTTCTCGCTGAAGCCGGGCGGTATACCTGGTAACGATGACAATGCCGCCATGGCCTCGTTGCTCGCCTGGTACTTGCTTGGATTCTATCCGACGCCTGGTACCAAGGAGTTGCTGATCCTATCGCCCTACATGCCAGGATACACCATCAACAACCCAGTGCTGGGTAAGGCGATGGTCACGGTCAGTGGGTTCGACAAACGTTCGATTGGCGGCAAGATCCCGAAAGGTGTCAAGGCCTTCGTCGAGCAAGTGCTGATTGATGGCAAGCTGCATACCTCACGATGCAGGATGAGCTTTGACGACCTCTTCCCTGGTACTGCCGGCGGAGAGAGAAAGGTAGAGATTGTCCTGACGGACAAAGAGGTGGATGGATGTGGTAGCGGGGCAGGCGACGAGCCTGTTTCGCTGTCCACCGGTGGTTTCCTATGATTTCAAGCCTTAGTCCTGGAGTGCTGCCATCGCATGCCTCCGTTTCATTCTGCTTTTGTTTACTCCTCATTTTCGCTATCCTCTTTACCGTCTCCATTGTCGAGTTGAAGAAGTGCGAACGCAGACCGTGAAGCATTTTGCTTTGCAGCTGCGGCTCTCTGCTTCTTCTCTGCTTCGGTTGCGGCAGTATGTTGCTTCTTCTCTTCCTTCTTTCGGTCTCGCTTTGCTTTCCTCAGTGCCTCTACGTCGATGGCAAGATGCTGTTCTGTGTCGTGTAGAATCCAATCGAGCATAGCGTTTTCTAATGCCGAAGAGGCGGCAGAGATCGAGTCTCGTGTTGCTTCATCCGTCGACTGTGAAATCCTGTGAAAGAGTGAGCCGAGGACGAGGGCGCTTGGTGGAGCACTGAAAGGCTCAGGGCAGAGCAGGAGGGACTGGGCGAGCTGATAGGCGGAATGGAGGGTGAGCTGTATGCTGGTCTGTAGATGGATGTCTCGTGTTGTTGGCTCTATTGTCAAGGGGTTCGGATAGGATAGGCTGGAGGGTAGCGAGGTGACCGCTGTGTCGGACTTGAGAGCTTCGTGGATCGTGTAAGCGAGATGACCGGCTGCGACCGCTGCATGGACTTGTTTCAGCGACCAATTGAAGCGACGACTTGACTCTCCCAGCCGGTGCTGTTCCTTGAGGATCAGGTAGCGGAGTACCAGACAAAGCGGATAGAGTGGTTCAGGAACCTTTGAACTGGATGAGATGAGTGCGTCGGTCCTCTTTTCGTCACTAGCAAGGATGTAACCGAAGACTTTGAGTCGTGCTTGAACAGGCTCGTCAAGCAAACCGACAAATGCATCTGCGTGGGTGTTGGTGAGTAGATCGTTGTCTCCCGCTTCTTCGAGAATGAATGGTGGCTCGGCGGATCTTGTTGCGGACAGCATGTTGTTTCTGGATGAGCTGATTGTGGTGGGGAGATAGAAGTGAAACTAGTCCGCGCTAAAGGGGGTATCAAAGATTTTGCGTTTTTAAAAACCCGGGTTTTTTGAAGAGCGCGTTTTTCAAAAAAACGCAAAAGCTTACATAAGCTGCGCCAAGTGAAAAACAAAGCCGCGTTTTTGAAAATGTGCTAAATTTGTGCATTTGTGAAAACACAAAACCAAGTTCACTCCACAACCCTTCTCTCCTCTTCTCACTTTCAGTTGAAGACGCATCGGCATCTCAAGCAAGATGCACGTGTCATAGCCGGGACACCAAGGTACAGGAGGCCCACTTAAGTGAGAAGCACAATGAGGTACATGATTGTTGTCATGGCAACAGCTTAGTGGTACCCAGTATCATAGCAACACAGGAGTATAAATGAAGTGACATGTCCTGCCTTGGATAGGACTAGAGCAGCAAATGGAGTATATATATGTGTTTGTCATTTAGGTTCTCACTATGAAAACTAAGCATTACATAGAACACATGGCTGTGGTAAAGGGAGTCTGATCGTGACCCCGATAATGCTGTATATTAATTGTTATCTTCAATTCTTTCATTGCTCTTTGCTCACTCTCTCCTTCCTTGCACTCTTTCAACATGACCACCACCACTGATGATTTGCTTGACATTTCTGCACAGTTGTTCTGGCAGTCTGCTACACCTACAAGCTCCACAACTCAGACCAGAAACATGTCATGGGAGCTGCACAGGAAAATCCGAAATGAGGTATGGGGAGCCTTGTGCACTCAAAATTGTGAAATCAACTGGATCATGGGTTTCTGGTTGATTTCACTGACAACAACCATGTTGTGTTTGTCTGGTTGATTTTGCTGAAATCAATCAGAATACAACTACCTGGTTGATTTCACCAAATGCACTGCAAGAAGCTTCCACCAATACAGAATGGGCTGATGGACTACAAGGAAGCAACAGGAGACTTGGCAGAGAAGGTCTCCATCATCAAGGGCAAGGTTAGGACAACAGGAAAGGTTTCACATGTGAGGAGAGGGTCCAAGTTCAGCCAAGAAGAGGACCAAGCTCAGGAGCATGCAGTAGGTTACCACACAGGGGTATGTGCTCATGATCACATAGAACCAGTCACAAGGTAGACCAAGAGGAGCAGGAGCAGTGTTGCAGGCAACACCCTCCAAACACATAATTACTATCACTTCACCATAGCATATGAGTGGATCCTCATCCACTCTACTCTATATCTTACTTACTCTTTACTTGACTCTTAGTTATGTATCATTGCAATAGCAGAGGCTTTGCAACAACATCTTGATTGTGTATGTAGTATCACCATCAGATGTCAAAACTGTAGGCAGTGTTGCTCAACATCTGTGGTCCAGTCAATTATTGCAGGTGGTGTCTAACACCTGTGGTCCAGTACCTCCCATCATCTGTAGGTGATAGTCTTATTGCAGTCCAGACAATGTCAAGAGCATCAAGCAGCAGCATTACAAACACTCATGCTGTATTAGGAGAGTTGTATCTAATACCACTCTTGAACTAACATGTTATGGATGTGCCACATAGCCACTGAATGGAGTGTTCAAGGCAGTTAGCCAAAACCTATCAGAACTCGACCATCTGGTCACTTTCAAACAAATCATACCAAATAGATCTTACCCAGTTGATCTCACCGAAATCAACCGGAAGCGCCCAATCTGGTTTCAGGCACACGACCGCTTACAAAACATTCCTGCGCCGTCTCAATCTGGTTCTGCAAGCACCCCTGACATTTACACTTCCTGTCCAAATCGAGCCTCTGGATCTGCCACAGGCAAGAAGAACTTCACTTGGTCAAGTGCCAACATCCTCTGCCTTGTCACAACCATCTATGACAGCGAGTCCTACTGTCAGGGGTCACGCGCCTGAAACCTGATGTCATGGGCCTGGATGTGCAAGAAGTAAGAAGATCCATCAACTCATATGAAGGGAGTGCAGGAATCAAGGAATTGGGCAGATTGTGGGATTTGCAGCAGAGTTCATTGAGATCTGTAGTAGAAATGGTTCTATGACAGATCCCACCAAGATTGGCACAAGCAAGGATAGTATCACAAATTCCACCAAGATCAGTAGTAGAAGAGATCATATAACAGATTCCACAGAGATCAGTGGCAAGGATGATTGTACAACAAACTCACATGTGAGGAGGACCAAGCTCTGCCAAGACAGGGACCAAGCTCAGAAGCATGCAGCTGGTTACCACTCAGGGGTTCACAAGACAAGAGTCAGGAGAACAGTTGCCAGTTAGGAGGAAGGAGAGCTGTGTTGATGACACCAGCATATAGGTCATGAGGAGGAAGAGCTGTGTCAAAGAGGTTGACACACAGCTCAGGAAGGACAGAAGCAATGTTACAGGGACTCCTGTACAGTACTTGACAAAGAGGGTACTCTCTGGAGAGAGAGCCAGAGCAGTGTTGCAGGCGACACTGCAATGATGTATATAATCATACCTTCTCATCATAGGTGGATGAGTGGATCTCCACCCACTCTACACCTTACATTACTAGTTATAGCTTACACATAAGTATACATTAGTATTCCATCAGCCAGTTGCAATCTCAATAGATTGCTTCCATCATAGCACATGTGTTGTATCACCACTCACTGACATCCAAAGGTGGTTCATAGAAACCTGTGGTCTGGATAATGATAGAACTGAAGGCAGTCATCCACTGCAGTCTGGGGATCACCTCAAGCCTTCAGTTGACACACTGGACACTCATGTCAATGACAATGACAAACACAAACACACCAAACCTTGGTGTTAGTACCAGTTCATATCAGGTATTGATTGTGCCGAGCTACCTCTGGATGGAGTGTCCACAGCGGTTAGTTGACGCCAGCAGGAGAGAGGGTGTTGAAAGTGGATGAAGGCCTCTCAGGAGGAGCAGGAGAGGTGTTGCAGGTGACACCAATCAAATGCATAAATACTCTCATTCTACCATAGCATATGAGTGGATCCTCATCCACTCTACTCTATACTTTACATACTCTTTACCTGACTCATAGTTATGTATCATTGCAATAGCAGAGCTTTGCAATGACACCTCAAATGTGTGTGTTGTATCACTGTTAGGCATCAACTGTAGGCAGTGTTACTCAACACCTGTGGTCCAGTCCCTTACTGTAGGTGGTGTTTGCTCAACATCTGTGGTCCAGTCAGTTATTGTAGGTGGTGTCCAACACCTGCAGTCCAGTAACTCCCATCCTCTGTAGGCAATAAGCATATCACAGTCCAGATGACATTAGAGAGCATTAGCAACAGTACTATGAACACTCATACTGTAAAGGAGAGTGTACTACTCTCCCTCCAAAGAATAAACAGACATGCTGTGCAACCTCTGAATGGAGTGTTCAAGGTGGTCAGCCAAGACCTACCAGTATGAAGCTGTCTGGTTATATTTAGTCAAAACATCCTGAGTAGATCTTACTTGATTGTCCTCACCAATACCAATTGGAAACACCCAATCTGGTTTCAGGTGTGCAACCGCTTACATTGTGCTCCTTCATCTGTCAGGGAATTGGTTGACAAGAGGTTAACATTGAGATGCCTAACATACAATACATTCTGGAGTAATACATCTCCATGGTTTGTTGATATGCTGGTGTCTCCTAAAGCTGTCGCTTCTAGAACCTCACTTCCAGGGGTGAATACACGCTTTCGACAGGTTCTAGGATTAATGAGCATGCTACAGGCTCTGCCAACTCGGTGTGAAGGAACACCAGATTTCCTATTTGGACTTGGCGAGGGAGGAGTTCTTGGGAATGATTACCAAAGCATCACACTGACTGATGCCATGTCCAGATCATTTGCAGATCCAGCATCAAATCCTTTGGGGCCTAGCAGCAACCTTGGCACTGGTGTGGTCTTCATCCTTCTTGTCTTTCTCATCCTTCCTGGTTGGCTTGTCCTGGTCATTGCTGCCAGTGACTCTGGCACTGGCTTGGTGGGGTTTAACCCTCTGAGCAGGGTTATTCTTGATCACTGACTGCTGAATAGTCAAGGTGGTAGCAAGGGTGCTGAAAGTGAGCTGGTTAATGGTGGTGACCATTTCTTTATACATTGGGTGGCAGATAGTGCACTTCTGTAGGTTTGAGAACAAAGTGTCATCAGCAAAAGGTTTTCCCAACAGGCTGCTCTCTGTCTGGATAGACCTGATTTCCTGGATGAGTTTTCAAGCATCAGAGTTGAACATCCTAAGCTTGCCTAACTGAGCAATGAGTGCAATTCAGCAAGAGGTGGTGGTGACTTCATTGGTCAAGCCATTCTCAATCTTCTTCCAGACCTGATGGAATATATAATGCTCCCTGATGATGTTGAGGATCAAGTAATTGACATTGTATTCCCCAGTAGTATTGATGGTGCCATGCAGTGCATTTGTCAAGGTGTCATCAAAGGTGCAGTTCCACTTGGGGTGCTTCTTGTCATACACTACCTCAAGGTATTTCATGGCATGGGGGACACATTGGAGGAAAGACTTGATGTGGGCATTCCAACTGTAGTAGTTGTGTGATGTAAGCTTGGGCACTGGCTTGAGGAGTTTTGCCAAGGTGCAGAAGTTGTATTGCTTGCCACCACTGTCAAGGTCAGAGTCAGAATCAGTTTCTTCATTGGCATCATCATCAATCACCTTGGTCTCTGTCTCATTGGTGGCCTCATTATTGGCAACTTGCAGTTGGGCAGCCTTACCCTTTCTACCTCCTTTGGCCTTGCTTGAGCCAGCTTGAGTTTTGGTTTCTTCTACCATAGCTGTTAATGGGGGGTGCAGCTCAGTTGGTAGAGCTTCAGACTCTTAATCAATTAAAGATTACAAGTCCTGTACACTGACCTAAGCTACTAGCAAGCTCTTGTTCACAGGCATATGTCTTCTTGAATGCTTATCTTTTCTATCAATGGGATGTTATGTACATGGGCATATATATACTTGATCATCACCTCCAATACATGCTAGACTGTGGTGAGCCACTCCTCACATCACCCCTGAGTTGTTGCCTCCTGTATTACTCCTGAGTGTTGCTATGGTAATGCTTATGCATCCCACATGCATGCCACCTATATGTGGCTTTGCTTCATCGATGGCTTGCTTGTGCTCCATGGACCCCGTGAATCCCATTGGAATGCCGACGCATCTTCAACTGACAGCCGGCCCATACCTGGATGTTGAAACGACCGGAACGGAACGTGGGAACCATGTTGTTGATGTCTTCTCGAGTGTTTTTCCAGCAGCTAACCCAACCCTTGTGCATCTGGGCCGGTAGCCAACCTCGACAGCTGCCTTGTCTGTGAACAGCACACCCCTCCAATCAGTGGAGCCATTAGCCTTGGCCCATTCGAGATGTTTATGCCAGTTTTTGGATGTCAGAAATGGCTTTCGAAGTGCAATACGGCAGTTAATACCAGCCCAGTATGCCACTTTCCGGAGCTGCATTGTTGGAATGCCGCCAAGCGATGCTGACAGCTGTCGCCATGATAGAAACGGGTTTTTGAGTACCTCACGCTGAAGATGCGTTCCAGTCATCTCGATCACATACCGAAGGCAGTTATCTACTGCAGTCCGGACAACACCATTACAAACGTGCGGCTATCGACATTACGAACACTCTTGTCAGGACAGACACCATCGTATTATACGCTAGCATAGCTTTAGCAGGTCACTTAGGACCTTGATCGTGCTGCGCTACCCCTGGGCGGTGTGTCCACGGCGGTTAGTCGAAACCCCTCAGAAGTCGGCCTTCCGGTACCTTTTGCTGAAACCATTCGAAAGGAGCTTACTCGGTTGATTTCGCCGATATCAGCCAGAACCATCGAATCCGGGTTTCAGGCGCGCGACCGCTGACACGACTCATCTCAGCCCAACATGTTCAGAGACGGTGCTAAGGTATATATATGCTCAAATGGTCACATCCCATCATGAGTAAGGGGCAGCAAACAAGAAGTCATACGTCTGTGGTAAGGGAGCCTGATCGTGGCTCCAAGGCAGAGTATTATACCTTGTTATCTTCAATTGCGTGTCAGGAGGCGCGAACAGGCGCTAGTGAAGGTGGACGGATCAATGAAGACGAGAGACGAGCCAAACAAATGGACACTGTTCTAGTCATTCAGCTGCTATTTGACCGACGCATGACCCTCATCAAAATGCACAGGAGTGAACGGGATGTCTGATGCGAGACAAACTTTCCAAACAACGTACATCACATCGTTGCAATGTAACAAACACCAAAGGTATCGTCACGAGGCAGTGAAACGCGCGAATCTATCTTGACGTGTAAGATTTTTGCGAAGTGAAATAGAGTACAATGTAGCGACAGGGACAAAGAATGCTTGTGAGGGAAAGCTTTTTGTGGAGCTTGATTGACTGTGCTTTACTTGATCTCGACAAGCTTGACGTCAAAGATGAGAGTCGAGTTGGCGGGAAGGCCAGGAAGTTTCTGGTTTCCGTAGGCAAGCTTGGGCGGGCAAGTGAGACGACGCTCAGCACCAACCTTCATGCCCTTGACACCCTCGTCCCATCCCTTGATAACTTCGCCCTTGCCGAGCTTGAAGTAGAAGGGCTTGCCGGTGGTGCACTGATCGAAGATTTTTCCGTTGGTGAGCTTGCCGACGTAGCGCATGCCGACCTTCTGTCCGGGCTTGCAAGCTGGGCCAGTTCCTTGACTCTTCTCCTCAATGACGAGACCAGAGGGGAGCTTGGTGGTGGTCATCTTGGAGGTGGGCTTCTCGACAGTCTCGGTCTTGGGCTTGGTTTCCTTGGGGCTCTTTGTCTGCTTCTCGACCTTGGTAGGAGTGGAGGTAGCGGAAGCGGTTGCAGCATCAGCCTTGAGCTTCTTGGCAGAGGTTTCCTTGATTGGTTTGTCAGCGGCGCGCTTCTTGGACTTGACAGGGGCGGGAGCCTCAATGGCCTTCTTGGGCTTGGAAGTGGACGACTCAACGAGCTCCTCAAAGCGATCAGGATCCTCCTCCATGTCCTCGTCATCCTCGTCGTCGTCCTCATCGAATTCGTCCGAGTCAAGGCCATACATGTTGTCCTCGTCATCCTCGTCGCTCGAGTAAAGCTCGTCATCCGAAGGTTCCTGATCGTAGTAATCGGGGGGAGCAACATAGTTACCGACGAGATCGACAGGAGTATCGCCAGTGATGGAGAAGCCAATGAGCTCTTCCTGGCAGAACTGGAGGTCTACAACGGCGTGGTCCTTGTTAGCGGCGTTAAGGCTGCAAAGAGTGTAGACCTTCTCCTCAACTTTGACCTCGTCCTCAGCATCCTTAGCCTCCTCCTCCTCATCCTCGTCGTACTCATCTTCGAAGCCGGGCACGTGAGTGTAGTGGATCTTGACGAGGGTTTTGGTGCCGCTCTTGGGCTGCTCGGCGTAGGAGACGTTGGTGATCTTGAAGTCACGCGAGACGTCCATACGGTGGACCTTGCCAGGGACGAGCTTGAGGCCGAAGAAGCCAATGAAAGTAGCAGCCATACTGTTCAACAAAGGCAGCGGATGCTCGATCGAAAGTGATGATGGTATAAGGGTATAGGTGTTGGGAGGAAAGGAAGTCCGAGGTAAGGATGAGCGAACTTGAGCGCTAGAATTCTGTGCCACAGTCTGCGAAGAAAGGGTCCTTGTGGAATTTTTCTTCTTGACGGCCTTGATCTGTAGAAATTTTGGTTGAAGTTGGACAAAAGTTCGGATCACGGAGTGAAATCGGGAATACTATCGGCGATTTGTACCTGACTAATGCGAAAAGAGTTTGAAAAAGCTTTTGTCCGCGCGAACTGACTTCCACTCGACTGATGCTCGTCGCCTCAAAGTGGCTGAAGCTGCCTCGCAAAAAGGAATGAGCGAGGTTCGGATGATCGACTGTCAGGCGACCAATAGAGCTGACGCAAGGTCTCAACAGGAGTTCGCCGACCAGGGCTGATAGCAGCCGAACGCGGGCCGCTTTGCGGACTGGCAGTTGGTCATGTTAAGAGTCGAGGGAGGAAAAAAAGGAAGAAAAAGAAAAAGAAAAAAAAGGAAAGAAAAAAAGCGGGAAGGGTTTAGCGAATCATTGCAACGTCGCTTTTCCGAAGCATCGCACGTCAGAATGCGCCGCATTTTCACTATCCAACCAAAGTGCGCTTGCATTTTTCAACAGCATCTCGGCTGCTGCTGCTATCTTTGGCCATGATTGGCAGATGCAACCACAATCTGACCTGTTTGTGCGCGTGGACAAGCGATGATCACTATGAGCTCTTGTGAGTGAGACTATACTGTAGTTTCCGTGTGGTATCGAAATGAGAGGCTGTCGGTCTGTGCCTTGTTTCGCCCGTTCCGTCGCTATCGAAATGAGACGGTCCGTGCCTTGTCTCGCCCGTTCCGTCGCTATCGAGTGGCATGGTAGGCGAGGCGAAGTTGGCAAATGAAATAAATGACAACGCCACGCATGATGGAGACACAGTGACGAGAAACACTCAATCGAAACCGAGATCGCGACCTTCCACCGGTGTGCCGCCTGAAGCCCTCGTGACAGACTGGACATAATCCAATTCCATGTGCTGCACAGCGTTATACTCGATGGCTGGTCCGTATGGGGATGGCCAGTCCACAATCGCTGGTTGACCTTCGTTAACGCGCTTTTGGGCTTCAGGATGTACGCCAGCATTCCAGAGAGGCAAGAGCACCCTGTTGTCTGCCTCGTACGCTGCTGAACGGGTCACCTCTTGGAACAAGGTGCAAATCTTGTCTCGAATCCTCAGATCGTCCAAACATGGGTACCTGCTCTCGTTCTTCAGTCCTCGGATCCACAAACGCAGAAATTTTGGTTGCTTATCATCCAATTCCAACCAACACGACCTCTTGCACCATCACTAACGACTATTGAGACAGCGACATCCTCGATTCAATCACAAGCGCATACAAGCCGAACACCATTTCTAGCGCGCTAAAGTCGTGATCTGTTCCTGCTCAGATCATCTTCCCATCACACTGCGCACTTTTGTCACCACCTGCCATACAGCGATCACTATGACGTCGTCATATACACGCCCACACCCATACTCCATCTTCACACACTCGGTCGGCACCAACATTGCCGGTCATTCACTTCTGGCCAAGCTTCGTGCCATCGCTGATGCTGGCTTTGACGGTATCGAGCTTTTCCAGGATGACCTTGACGCCTTTGCTAACTCGGAAGAGTTCCAGCAGATCCAAGCTCGAGGTGATGCTGCTCGTTCGCAGAGCAGCCAGCACTCCAATGCCTTTGCGCTCACCCCACCCGACTCTCCCATGAACTTTAATAGGCGCTTCTCAGAGTCGTCGGCCGTTAGCACCGACTCGTCATCAAACACCAGCGCTACGTCATATCGGTCTGGCAAAGCGTCCGGCAAGTCATATTCCGCTGTTGCAGGTCTCGACGACGATCTGCTTGTGCGCGATCAGAACGGCGAACTCGTAATTGGTCTCGATGGTCTTCCCATGACCTACAACGCTTTTGGCATTTGCACCGCCACCACATATCGCCAGGAACTTGCAGCAGCTTCATACATTGCTTCGTATTGCGAAGCGCTCCGACTGCGCATCTATAGCTTGCAGCCTCTGCGTGACTTTGAAGGCTGGGCCAAATCTGAAGACCAGCTCCTTGCTCTGCGTCGAGCTCGTTCTCGCTTCGAGGTAATGCGTGCTCTTGGCACCGACCTCCTCCTCATCTGCTCTAATAATCAGCAACACCCCATCACTGTTGGGAACATCGAACGCATCGGCGATGATCTCGCTCAGCTCGCTCACTTTGCCCAGCAATTTGGTCTCATTTTGGCACCTTCGTATCGCTCTGGCGCCGAGAGACTAGCCGGACGAGAAGCTAAACCCATCCGCATCGGTTACGAGGCACTATCATGGGGTGCTCACGTTGATGTGTGGTCTCGAGCGTGGCAGGCAGTTAAGTACGCAGACAGAGACAATGTTGGACTCATCCTCGATTCTTTCAATACTCTCGCGCGCGAGTACGCCGATCCATGCACTGCGACCGGAATCACGGACAGGTATCCAGATCCTTACGCAGAAGTCATGAAGTCGATTGATGCCCTTTCCACAGTGCCTACAGAAAAGATCTTCTTCCTTCAGATCGGTGATGCACGTAAGATGGCGCAGCCCTTAGCTCCCTCCCCAAACCCTGACGAGCCCCGACCGGCGAGAATGATCTGGTCGAGGGGTAACAGGCTCTTCCCATGCGAGTACAAGGGAGGCGCGTTTCTGCCGGTGAAGGAGTTTGTACACGCGGCCGTGAAGCAGGCGGGGTATACGGGTGCTTGGAGCATCGAAGTCTTCAACAGCAGCCTGTCGGACGAAGGAGAGGATGTGCCCGTCTCGCACGCACAACGCGCTCGGGCTGGACTCGATAAACTCGTGGAGGAAGTCTACGCTTGATCTCCTCAGCCCTCCTCCTGATGTCTATTGACTTTTGGAGCTAGTATGCTCACTTCTCACGGTTGACTCTAACCTCACAACACGGACATTCATTCGCCTCGTTCGCGGACTACTTTTCATGCCTTGGACACGCATCGCGGTCCGGCACCATACCCGCTCTCACTCGTCACTCTTGTAATTATCCGCATCGTCTTGCCCCTTTGTCGCATTCTCTCTTATTAGTTTGGCTGTCGTCATGCTCCGCCGTGTAGCGATCCGTCAGTAAATGGACAGTATTCTTCTACATCATTCTGCCGGCGTGTGGTCAGATTATGTCGTCGAGAAGCAAGTGCATCCCTTCGCCAACGGCTTGGGTTGACGCCAGCGTCTTTCTTGCCGCCAACTGTCCCACGTTGACCGCTTTGTCAATCATGACATGCCAGGCTGGCTTACCTGGCTTCACAGCCTCAACTTCACGTTTGGATAGCAGATGTGAGATTGTAGCTGCGAATGCACCAGCGAAGCTATCCCCGCAGCCCGTTGTGTTGACAAACCGGACCTCACCTGCCGGGATCGGATGGTGTTGTACCCTACTGGCGTCAATTGTGACGACGCCATGGCGACCCACTTTCAGTAGGATGGTGGAGAAAATGCCTGCTTGAACCAAAGAGCACGCTTTGGCAACTGTTAAAGGATCCAATACCGATGGCAAAAAATTCAATATGGGGGTCGCTGACGCTTGGCCAGCAGTTGGTGCGACGATGCCAATTTCGACGGCTTTGGAATGAATCTCTTGCAGCTCGACGGCATTCGGTGTCGCAAAACTGATCGGCTCGTTGCGCTTTGCACCCTTCGACTTGGCATAATGCGAAAGAATGGCAGTAGACTTGCTCACGCTGGTTGGCTCGAATGACGTCAATATCCTGCTGCTCCCGTCTCTGGTGCTGCTCTTCGTATTGTATGACTCGCAAGCGGCCAAGAGCTCGCTCGTCTGTTTCGCTCCAATGTTGCCATCGAACACGACCATGCCTGGCCTTTCCTTTTGCAGCATCGCCTCAAGACCGCCCGACATTGATGATGGAACAAGAGCTGCTTGACCAATGTCCATGTCAGCAACACCCGAGATCAGGTCGCCTGCATCGTCCAGCAACAGCGAGCAGACGGCTGTCCTTCGCTCCCCGCCATTCCTTGGACCCCCGGGAACAAAGAGACCATCGGTGCGCATCCCTGCCTGCTCCATTCCGTTCTTGAGGAGTAAGCCAAAGTCGTCATCCCCGTGAGGAGAGACTAGCTTCACCGGGGAACGCAAATCTGATGATGAAGCGGAGTGGAGCGAGAGAACGCGCGTGGCGGTCTCGGCCATGTTGCGCGCCACGCCGCCAAGGGTTACAGTTACGCGGCCTGGATAGGTGGTGGCAGCAAAGCTTGATGAGTTGCCAGCAGATCTTGTTTGCGAAGTGATGTCTACCGCTGCTGCGCCAAAGATCAAAATACTTGTTTTACCCACCGGAGCCTGGTAGAAAGGAGCAAGGCAAATAGAAGAGTTTCAGCACCAACACTTTTCACACTTTTAGCAGTCATGTATGTTCCGGTCGGATAAACTTGCGCCTGTGCATATGTACATTGTAGCTGTGTTGTGTTTGTGGCTGAGTCAAAGTAGGGAGCAAGTACGTTCAACTCACCGTCGATTGGACTCCACCAAGGGCGTGAGTGTTGCCTGCCTGCTCTACCTCCTTCTCGATCCGATCGAGTTCTACAGCGACCTGCGCCGCCTTCTTTGCATTGTTCACCACGAGCGCCCTGTTGCTCTCTTTGCTCTCCGGTATCAATTCTGCCAGCCTCTTGAGCAGCCATGGGGTAACCTCTTTGCCCCTTTTGTCAATTCCTTGCTCGATTGATTCGCGTACCGCTTGCTCGACACTTTGCTGAATCTTTTGGCCGACTTCGTTCCACTCGGCAGGAATGGGGTTGGCAAAGACTTGACCGCTCTGAATGCCGAGTTGGGCGTTGGCAAAGATGGAGAAGGCTGCTTGAGCGTCGCTGCCAGCGAAGGGCACGTGGAGGCCCGAGTTGGAGGTGTAGAAAGCAGGGAATTCGCCGCTAGAGTTGAAGGTGGTGACCAAGACGCCATATGTTTCGAGAACTTCCAAGGTCCGTGGGATATCGAGGATCGATTTGGGTCCAGAGCAGAAGACGGCAACAGCTGTGCGACCTAGCTCGGTCAAGTCGGCTGAAATGTCCATGGTAGACTCAGCACCGCGGTGCACACCACCGATTCCGCCGGTGGCAAAGATGGGGATGCCGGCCATGTGTGCCAGTACCATCGTTCCGCTCACAGTCGTACCGCCAATGGTGCCCTTGCCTTTGGCTAGCACATGTGCAATATCACGACGACTTGCCTTGATTGCCTGATTCTTGCTCGGGTCAATGGCGCATTGTGCCAGTCTTTCGAGCTGCTGCTGATCAAGTCCGACCAGAGGCTTCCCTTCGAGAAGCGCAATGGTAGCTGGCACAGCGCCATGGTCGACAACCGTCTGCTCGAGCTCTTGTGCCACTTCCAGGTTGTACGGATAGGGCAGCCCGTGCGTGATGATGGTGGACTCGAGCGCAACGAGAGGTGCTCTCGTCGCAGGTGACAATGCGGATCGAACAGCGGGCGAGAGCGAGAGCGTGGGGTGAGGCGAACGTATGAGAGCCCGTGCCGCTTGGCTTAGCATCCTTGTCGATCGAACCATTTTTCCCTTTGAATGCCGCTCCTGTGCGAAGATTGGGAGAGGAAGGAGGGAAACTTGCGCCGAAAGGATCTGCCCTTATATGTCTTCTGAGGGTCGGCAAGAAGTGTGCCTGTGCGGTGCTGCTCAAGAATGGAGTATGAAGAAGCTTGGATAGATGGTCCCTTGATCCGACCTTCCCCCACCCACTCCACTTTTCGGAAGGAAGGAAGCTTTGCTTGAGAAGCCGGAAAGCGGAGAGCGGAAAGCGGCAGTTCGGTCCCAATTTTTCTTTGCTCAAAATGGCGGTACGAAATTGGCCGAAGCGCCGCTTCACGCGTGGATCATCGGAAGCTCGGTCACACAAGCACACTTTGCAAGCTTGGAAGCAGGCTATGGTTGGTCTCGCATCATATGCCTCATCCCTATCGCTGCGAATCATTACGGGCATACTCAACTCCTCCACAAAACAGTTCTTGCATCACCATGTCAAACAAACAGATCGACACATCTTTGAGAAGGGAAACAGGTAAGCCTCTATATGTATTGCGGTCATGGCTGATTGCATCCTGATTGAGTCACTGCGACAAACAATCACAGTTCCTCATGTCCAGAGGCTGCAGCATCAGCATGATTTGCTCGTCCCGAAGCGTTTTCCAAGACTGTCATGCAAAACAAAGCCAGGCTGAGGTCAGCGAACTATCTTCTCGTCAGACACCGGCTACCAGTTTCAGCGACCGAACATACCTTTTCGCAGTGCCGGATCAACCTTCTCGGGCAAGACAAGCTGCCATTCGAGATACAGCTTGCCGAAGAGCATGTCGCGTCCAGCGCGGACATCATCTTCGGCTGGATCAGAAACCGATGTCCCGTGTACTGGCATACCTTCATGGTCGATTACGGAGACGAAGCCGGGTTGAGTAACGCCATCACGCTTGATTGTGATTGTACGGCCGTCCATGTGGGTGAGATTACGTTCAAAGCCTAGCAGTGCTTCCGAAAGCGAAATCGGCAGGCTTTTGTAGAGCGATGTACCTGCTCGTCGGAATTGGCCTTTCGATCGTCTCGAGCTGTATCGCGGTGCATTCGAAATGACGAGGGCTTAGATTAGTATACGTACTGCGTTGCTACCACGCCTTTGGGCTTCGAGATTGAGTCAGTATGAGGCTTACCTGATCTTGACGATCACATCTCCAGCTTCGTAGTCTGGCGCTTCGTCTGCTTCTCCTTCAATCACCACCTCGACTCCTTCTTCTGCACCCCTCTCAACATCAACTTCAAGCGAGGCCGCCTCTTGAACGATCTTCTGACCGTGGCACTTGGAGCATCTGTGTGCAATCACAGAGCCTGCACCTCCGCATCGATCGCACGTCATTTGTGCGTTCGTAATGAATCCTGGCATGATCTGCTGCCTGACAATCCTGACTCCACGCCCATCGCATGCATCACAAGTGTGAATGTCGCCGGGCGACTCAGCACCGCTTCCATCGCAATGCGAGCAGACCACATTCCGCTCATACTCGATCGTGAACGTCCTGCCGCGGTAGAAGTCTTCGATGTCTACATCTACGTCGAAACCTTTGCTGGGTCCTTTCCGCACGCCTCCTCCGCCGCCGCCTCCGCCGCCGAAGAAACGCGAGAAGATGTCGAAAGGATCCTGCTGGTGCTGATTCGCGTTGTCTTTCCGTGTCTGGTGCTTCTTGACACCTTCGACGCCGTATCGGTCGTAGATCTTCCGTGTCTCTGCATCACTGAGAGTTTGATAAGCATCACTGAGCTCCAGGAACTCGGCGTGCTTGTCGGGATGCTTGTCTGGGTGAATTTTTTGCGCACGCTTGCGATAGGCACGCTTGATGTCACGTTCGGAGGCTGTCTTATCGACACCTAGTACCTTGTAGTAATCCTTGGCGGCAGCAACAAGAGCGGCCATCCATATGAAGGAGATGATGGACAGCAAAAGAAGCCAAGACATTCCACGTCCACGCCCTGCCTTCGAACAGCTGGATTTCAACGGCTTCATGTTCTCTGTTGTTGTGCTGAAACTCCGAAAGAGTCTGTGACGTGTTCAGCCTTCGTTCCTCACCGATCTCTCAGAGCCAACTCGAAGCCGTGTCGTAGACGTGGCCGGTGGATTCGCTCTCGCACAGCGGAGGGCAGCAGGGGGTAAAGGGAGATGCCGAAGCGTGAGGTGCACTAGGGGCGCTGCTGGGATCGCTGTCGTTATATGTATGGTCTTGCAGAGGCCCGTGGGAAAGGAAGAGGTAGATGAAGATTGTAAGGAACTGTTGAGCCCGGACCAAGTTGAAAAGAGGGTCCAAGGGTCACACGTAACATTATACTGAACCCTGAACTCGGTTTTCGGCAAAGATGAGCTGGAAGGTTTGACTTTCTTCTTGTGAACCTTTTCCACGCGGCGTTTCCAGCCGGCGTTTGGCTGCTGAAAATAAACACTCCAACACGGTGATGCAAGCTGACATGAGACGATGCGAGAGAGATCGGGCGTAGCAGATCTGATCGGAGATCAGGCAGAGACAATCTCGCCAGGGATCGGGTACAACCTGTTCCCGCTCGTTGTCAGACATCGTCATTAAGTAGAAAGCACCCACGTTCGGTATGAGCCTCACAGATGTATATATATCAAGCTGAGAACACCAGGTTCTCACCACGTTCACTTAGTCAATTGAGTATATATGTTTCTGTCTAAACCAGCAGTGACATCGTACTTAGACTCTCCCCGATCACCAGTTATCGGGACCCAAACGTCTTCACTTTTCAACATTGGCTTGGTGGTCGCTGCAATATGCCTTGCCACTTACTGTGACACTCTTCAGTGCATCACCATTGCCTCTTGCATCAACCCGAACACACAATGCGCAGCTCTTTCGTGTCACACTTCACGAATGACCAGATATGGAGCTGATCAACACGATCAATAACGATACCAATACAATTGCATGCCTAACAAGATCGGCAATACCTTGATGTTACAGACTAAGAGGAAGCGGCAGATGCCTCAGAAAGCCCAATTGAAACAGCCAACGCTTTTGAGAAAGAGCCCCCAGTCAGTTGGCGTCAAGCCACTGTCGACGAGGCTCCAAAGATGCTCGTTGAGCTTCTCCATACGTTCCAGGTCAAACTTGTAGTAAGGACGCAGTTCATGAAACATTGCTCGGATTCGGTCGCGGTCTTGATGCCGTGCAGAGAAGGCCGCGAACGAGAGGGGGAGGACAAGCCTGTGAAGAGCATTACATGGGTTTCGAGTGCAGGAATGGTAATGTGTCAGCGGCGGGAAGAAAAAAAAAAAAAAAAAAAAAAAAAAAAAAAAAAAAAAAAAAAAAAGAAAAGAAAAAAAGCAGTTGGAGCGGAGGTAAAGCAAGGACGGATACTTACCCTTTGGTGATGCCTGCTTGGATGGCTTCTTCCGACCGATTGAGCACGACGGCAGTAGGCTCGGCAAAGCAAGGGTGGTCCGCTGGTTTTGAGAAGATGACCGAATGGATGTACAGCTCTGCGGCGGCGACGTAGAGATGGTTCATAATGACCGGCAACAAAGTTTGCAGCGTTCGCGTCGCTTCTGCTGGAAAAGGCATCTTGGCCCAGATTGGGATCTCAGCTACCAATGCTCGTGCTGTCGACTCTAGCCACAATCTGGTTTCCTCGTACTCTGGTGGTAGGGCAGGGGGCGACCCGCCACCCACTGTCTCCGAAAGGATGATGGTAACGCTTGTCCTTTCCTGCAGCTCTCTGCGCGTTGCTTCAACCCTGGTCATCCTCGCCAGCATGTCGATCATGCCTCGATGCAGTCCGAAGGTCTGGAGAACGCTGTCTTCTTTGATGCTTCTGGGAGAGTCCATCAAGGCATACCACCAGTCATCCCAGGGCTGTAAGAACAGCGTGTAGTCGTCCGAGGTGAGCGAGCTAAGCGCATCGAAGCATGCTATCTGCTCGATGAGAAAGAGACTGGAGGGGTCGGATTGGTCGACAAAGGCTGCAGGTCCTCCCAACTCGGCAATGGCACGGGAAGCGATGTGCAGTGCGTCTTGCCAGTCTTGCTGTGCAGCCAACCTGTCGCGGGTCGCCAAGCCGAGAACGGTAGCAAGCATAATGGCGGCGTTGCTGCGATCCAGCGGGGCAGGCCTCTCTTTGAGAGTGGTTCGTAGCAAGCGGAGAGACTCTTCTCGACGTAAATTGCTCAGTTCAAGTAAAACGTTGGACATGATGCTCTTGGTGCCCGGATCATTGATTGGGTCAGTTAGGCCGGCCATACTGGACGCAACATTGTATTCGCCATGCTTACGACCTTGATACTGGCCAATGTTGGTCAGCGGTGGTCCTGTCTGACGGCTGGTGCTGTGGTCATGCTTTTCGGAGATGGGTGACGGATCCTCGGGTCGCGACGCAACTGCCGGGAACAAATCGGGAATGGGCGCTTGGGAAAGCTTGTGTCCAATGTCGAGACTGGCCATACTGAGGAGAGCTGAACGGAGAGCGTCTTCATATCCGTTTGTGCCGTGAGGATGACGTACGGCGAACGTGGCATGATATCGAATCCATCGATTGTCTGAGAGCGGTATGCTGATAACGCATAGTTGTGGCGCTACCTCAAGAATATAGTGACGAAAGAGACATTGTTGCTCATAGGTTGGAAAGTAGGCATCAAGGTGGTCGAAGCCAAGACCTGGTGGCAGTTCGGGGAGTTTGACTTTAGAGATGTCGATGGAGGAGGAGGCGAAGGAGCCGCGGTAGAAGTGATAATGCGACTGTGGTCGATGGTGGTCGTATTGAGAGGAGGCATGTCTTGCAGGATCGGATTGGTAGCTGGAGTCATTTGCAGTGCGGTAGCGATCGTGATGTGTGCTGGTAGATGCTCGGGTGCGATCGTATGCGTGTGGATGCGACGAATTCGCGGCGTGTTCGTCCAAAGGCGACTGCGGTGAGGTGGAGATAAACGGTCCATAGTGACGAGAGAAGAGGGCAGCGCCGAGGCCTTCAGGAGGGGACAACTGTGAAGCAAGCCCACTGGCGCTCCCGGCGGCATCGAGTGCTTCGGCTGGCTGTGAAGGATGGAGGAGCGAAGAGACTTGAATTCCGGGTAAGGTTGGCGAGCTGCTGCCTGCCGAGGAGCTTGTAAGCGCGGAAGGTTGACTTGTTTGGACGGCTTGACTCGAGCTGGATGATGCGGATGATTCGGCATAAATGCACTCTCTATCGCCAGTTGAGCATCTCCGACAAACAGGTCTGACCTCGTCGCATTTGACTCGACGTTTACGACAAGTGAGACAACCGGCGAGCGACCTTTCATGATAGCGCTTGACGCGATTGGGGATGTATTTTGCTTTGCGCTTGGTGCCCTTGAATGGTCCTGGTCGCGCATCGGCAAAAGTGGTGGTGGCCGCCGATGTAGAATCGTCGAAGCGGTGCCTCTTGTCCCTGTGGACTGTCGGTGAAGTCGACTGGTCCCGATCCGCAACATCACTGCCAGCTGTTGAGCGAGCAATCTCTGGCAAGTCTCCTCTGTCGATCTGCCCAGGAGACTGCGTGGGGGAAGGCGTTGTCGAGTCTGCCTCTACGCGTTTTGTCGGCGTAGATGTCGACGCTGATTTGCGGGCGGTCATAATGCTAGAGCAATGTAGAACATTCCTGCTGTAACTGTTGCGACCGCAGCGAAGATGAATGGACAGAGTTGGTTAGAGACTAGGCAGCTATACGACGGTAGAAGTCGGATCCTCTTTGTCAAGGGAGAAGTCGGGTGTGTCGTGTGTGTCGTGTGTGTCGTGTGTGTCGTGTGTGTCGTGTGTGTGTGTGTGTGTGTGTGTGTGTGTGTGAACGGGCGCAGTTAAAGCGACCCTCCGGAAAAATGTGCTGTGAGGCGGCGTGACAACAACAGCGCAAGAGGTCGTCGTGGCTTTCGAAGGACGACAGCAGAAAAGGTGAAAGCGAAGGCGATCTCAGCCAGTATCGGTGTCGTCGCCGATGATGATGATGCTCAACGTGGGATCCGAGAGTGCTTTCGAAGCGTGTTAGCGAAAGTCGGTTGATGGCAGTCGTGATCAAAGTCGCAACATGGCATTACAAGCAAGCACACGAAGCGGGCACTTTCGCGGCCAAAGTCACTCACTCGCATTCCACGCGGGGTCCCAGGTCCAGTTCGAGGTCGAGCGAGCAGCCGGGTTGGTGGCAGGTGTGCAGGTGTAAGCTGCTCTCTCCCTCTCTCTCTCTCTCTCCCCGTCCCTCAGCTCTTTTCTGTGAAGTTGCCTCGGAAATTGGAGCATCAGAGGCATAAAAGCCGCAAAATATATATATATATATATATATATATATAAATTAATTGTCTGAGACCCCGCGCTGGAATCGAGTCTTGTTTCCGCTTGACGAGCTGGACCCTGTTGTGTGTGTGTTTTGTGTGGCGGGTGTGCCTCTGAGATACGGGCAACGGGTCGATAGACTTCTTTGACAGCGGAACACTGATATAGGTGGTGAGACAGCATTCCTCTTGCAGTATCAGCTGGCAGTAGGATGAGCACGTTGAGCTGCGACAAGTCGATCATGTCTACACATCACGGATTGCAAAGATGACGACAGACAAAAGAGCGAGCAGCAATGTCCACGCAAGCGCTTATCTCTGCGTGGTCGCGATTTAATTGCCGTACAAGTATCTTGCTCGTCGTCAAGATAGGGAGCAGCAGAGCGTCGGATCCAGTATCACCAACTTCGGTATGGTCACTCTCAAGTCGGGAAGAGTCGGAAGGACAAAAGCCAAGGACAAACGGTTCAAGCGACATCGATATGAGCGACAAGCCAGCCTTCCTCAAGCACAGAAAAGAAAGCCTGAGCAGCTGCTCGCTTCTGACGAGGCCCCGCACGGAGACTTCCACAGGAAAAGCCTCCACACAAGCCGCAATGAATCTGCCGGTCTTTTGTTTTCATACAGACAGCCGCACAGCCTTGGCTTTCTCCGTTCGTCATGATCATCACTACTTCACGTAAGCCAGCCTGACTGGCAGAGTTGCTGGCCCTCCATCGTCATTTGCTCCATATCGCCTTGCTTACTAGACCTTCAGATGGATTGGCGACCATAGACGAACTCACATTCAAAGCGTCACCACCTTCATATCTGTCAAGGCGGATCCCAACCAACAGAGCCAATATGGGTCTCAAAGCCAACTTCGAGGAGATACCAACGCTCTTGGCACCACCATCGTATCTTGACAGCACGTCCGACGATCATGTCCAGCTGAGTTCGAGGCAAGAATCACACAGGAACACGAACATTGCTCCGCGTTACATTGCTTGGAAGCTCATCCTGAGAACTCTGATAGGATCGGCTCAGACCATAGCACTGCAGGATTTGGACCAAGAGGAGGAGCGAGCCGCAGCGCTGCTAGATGTCCTTTCTAATATCAGGCTTGTATCTCGACTGCTCTACTCGGTCTCCATGTCGCTATTGCGGCCAATGTACTTTGCCGAGTACCTGAAAGCAATTCAGGCTACCGTTTACTCGACCAACCTCGAAAGCAGCTCTCTGGACCAGCCCTGCCGTGAGACTCGCGTCTTAGATCACTACATCTCGTATCGCATTCAACGGCGTCATCTTGCATCGCAGTCCTCACTCCTCCTCAACAACGACGACATCGAGTCTGACCAACGTCAAGTCTCCCGAGACCTCTTCAAGTGGTTCCAACCACAGACTTACATGGAGGATGAGATCGGAAAAGTCCTTCACTCGTCCGCTGCGCCGTCCAATGCTGTTCGCTTTGAGGATCTCTTGGTGAGATTCCACTTCACGAGGGCGGCCATCACCTTGCCTTTTGCCGTCGAATCGACGCCACTCAGCTCATCGACGTCTGCACCGACAATCGTAAGGAAAGAGTGCGTATCACTGGGCAGGGCTTCCAACGAACCCGTCTTTGTGACCGCACACCGCCTTTTTGACCAGCTCAATCGTTTCATCTTTGTGAGAAAGACATATGGAAGCAAGACATGGTACGAGATCGTGGGTCAGACCGGATAGATCAGCGCCACCTCATCATTCCAAGCGTATTCAGAACAACTGGTGACACACTGCATGTCACACGCAAGGCCGAACGAATTCAAGGTGTACTGTAAGAACTCGATTGGGCTTCAGGAATGAACAATGTCATTGCTGCTTTTGACGAGCTTTCATCATATCGTCCATGCTCGTATTGGACCCTAGCAACCAGTGCGAAAAGTCAGTAGCCCAGCTGGGCAGAAGCGCAAATAACTCGGACCAGTTTGCGTACCACGGCAGCGCAATAGTGCCTCCGCGTCGGCTCTGCACCGCAGATACCACCCTCTTGGCCACGTCATCTGGCTCAACGGAAGGACCGAGGAAGCGAGCTATCAGGTTGACTTTGAATCCATCAAACAGCCGTGTTTTTACATGGCCGAGCACCAACAGGGTGGTCCTGATCTGTGGACATCGATGACAGTAGTCGAGCTCGTACCTCAATGCCTTGTGCAGACCGACAACGCCGTGCTTGGAAGCACAGTAGTCAATCATCTGCGACACGCCCGTGTGACCCATGACCGATGCCGTCGAAACAATGTGTCCTGCGCGACCGTCTTGCTTGGCGCGTTGCACCATGCTCGGAAGCAAATGTTGGAGCATCCACAGATGCGAGGTGAGATTGACGTTGATAAGACGCGAGAGTTGACCGGCCGACAGGGAAGTGATGGGCTGCGAATGCGTGAGGCCGGCATTGTTCATCACCACAGTAGGCACACCGTGAATGGCAAGGATCGATTTGAGTACTTTGGCCAGCGCATCGTCGTTGGCGAGGTCACAGATGTAGGCCGAGATGTTTGGCCGTGCAGACGCCTCGGTACTTTGTGAATTTGGCAGGGTGGATAGCTTCTGTATGTCGATAACTACGACTTTAGCACCTTTTGCCGCAAAGCGGATGGCTGTACGATAGCCGATACCGGAAGCACCACCTGTAATTACAACCAGCTCGTTCTGCCACTCTTTCTTGCGAATAGGCGAGAGATAGGCGCGATTGTACCAAATGTGAGAGGATACGACAAGCCACCAGCCGAACAGCACCGTGGTCGCAGCAGCGGCTGTGCAGAGCCTTTGCGGCACATGAGTGGGAAGCAGCTTGCTGACGAGGCGGATGCATTGTCGGAGCTGTTCATTGGCAGTCTTGCAACTGTGCAAGTCGCAAGCCAAGGCGACCAGATAGGCGATGCTGACGAGTGGATCTGAGCGGAGCAGAAGAGAGCAAAGGTTGCAGTTCAGCGACGGGGACGGCAATCAAATCGGCGGCTGCTGTTTCTTGTTGATGTCGAAGGTAGAAGCACTTACTGAGGATGGTCCATTTCAGCAAAACAACAATCGCGTCGATGCTGAAGAGTGACATGGTCGCACCGAGTGTCAGTCGATACTGAGACCTCGTCCACCTTTGTCTGTCGACGATCTCCCACAGCAAGGAAGTCGAAAGAAAGGAGGAGGGAGGGCTTGGCCTTGGCTTGGCCTGCAACAGCTCTCTTTAGAAAGCCAGTAGCTTCCACAATTCACGAATTGCTCAGTTGATGTCTGAGCCACCGCCACCGCCACAACTCGTTTCTTTGGGTCCAGATGCTGTGCGGCGAAGGATTTGATTGAACGCTGTTCGAAGGAATGGCAACAGGTCAGGTATGGGTCTTGAAAGAAAGGGGTTCAGGCAAGCCAGGCACGACCAAAACGTCGCTCTGACAGACATTCGTTCGGATCAAATCGCGATGGCGAACTTGGCAATCACAACATTAGCACTTTTGACAAGTGGCTTTTGCCGGCAGCGATCAGTTGAGAGGGAATTACATTACTCTTTTTGAAGCTGCAAATTTCGGGAAGCAAGAGCCGAGAGAACACGACCAGAAGAAAAAAGGGGGAAGAAAAAAAGTTGGAAGAAGAGGCAGAAGAAGAGGGAGAAGAAGAAGAAGAAGAAAAAGAAGCTACTAAATCAGCAAAGCACAGCAGAGAAGCAATGCTGTGTTGAGGCGCAGCACAGCTTCGGCATGCCATCCGAGAGGCAAAGAGACAGGGCAGAAGAGAGAGAGAGAGACAAGGCGGAGAATGAGGAGAGGGCGAGGGCGAAACGCGAACAGGAGTGAGCAGAGGCCTTTTTCTATTTTTTATTTTTTTTATTTTTTATTTTTTATTTTTTATTTTAGCCCCCGATTGCGATACCGTAGTCAGAGCGCCAAAAACGCGTGTGTGTGTGTGTGTGTGTGTGTGTGTGTGTGCGTGGAGTGTCAAAATGACGTCGATGCACCTGAGCCGAGTGAGTGTGTTGCTGCCTTGCTCTTTTTTCGGTCCCTGATCCTGGCCCTGGCCCACCGAACAGCTCTTCCGGCCCCTGTGGTGGTGGTGCTGTTTTGTTGTTGCTGCAGTCGAGCAACGCCTTCAACGTCACAGCGGCAGTCATGCCAACCTACACTGGCGCAGCACTGCACTGCATCTCTGCGTTTTTTTTTTTTCTTCGGCATCACTTGGCAGACTTGGCCTTTGTTTTCTACGCTCAGCCGCTCGCTTGGAGTTCATTTCTTACGCAACTCTCTCCCACCCACGTTTGCCCTCCACTTCTATATAACCATCCGCCTCTGTTGCAAGAAATTGTTGCCATCCATCGCCCATCATTTCCAACATTTTTTCCGTTATCGCACAAACTGCACACACACACACACTCACACAGCACACCAATTCGTCAAGATGCCTTTCACTTGCAGCGACATTGTCAAGATCATCCTTGCCATCTTCCTCCCACCTCTTGGTGTCTTCTTGGAGCGAGGTTGCGGCGCGTAAGTATTCACACATCAACACCAGTTTCTCTTTCTCTCTTTCTCTCTCTCTCTCTCCTACGCTCTGCAATGATTGTGCTGTTGCTGACTCTTGACCTCATTCTCCTACTTTTGCGACCATCCGACTCACCATGCAACAGTGACTTCTGGATTAACGTCCTTTTGACAATCCTCGGTTACCTTCCCGGTATTATCCACGCTCTCTACATCATCTTCAAGTACTGAGCAATTCGATACCCGGTTGCGGACTCCCCCTGCGCACGTTCTTTCGACCATGATACATCCACACGCACGCAGTGAGCGTAAATTGCACAGGCAACCAATCAAGCTTTCACCTACGGCTGGAGTCAAGTTGATCGCTGGCTGCTGCGATGTCCAGCTCTCTCCTTCACGATCATCACCACGGCGACAACACACCGCTTCATCTTGTCTACTTTATCGATAATGTCCGCCTCGCGCAATTGATACCATGATCCGCATCAGACAGCACAGATTTCCGTTGCCTGAGGCCGCTAAATCTCGTCGTCTTTGGCACCAAATCTTTTGAGTCTTCCGACTGAAAAGCAGAACAGACCATCGCCGCTTAACGGCTCAAAATCGGCGCAGTAGGATACTCGCCGAAGCATCCGTCTTGGTGACCTCTTATTTGCATCATTGGGGGAGGGGATGGCGGTGTTAGAATGTGAGGACACTCCAAGTTGGCAGATTGCTTGTCATACCAAGCTCACATAGCTGATGCAAATGTTGACAATAGTCATTGAGCGCGGACATATGAGAAAATGTCATCGCTTTCCGAAGCCTATTCCGGCGTTCGCCTAGATAACCTCCCATCTCGACTGCGCGTCGGCAAAGCTTTGACCTCTCCTCATGCTCCGTCTTGCACGGTCCCTGTGAAGTCCTTAAAGATGATGTAAGCATCCGTCAACTCTTCCTTCCCATCCCCCGTCTTGAGTGCTCCAGCCATCGGTAATCTTCCGACGATGGTGAATCCGAGTCTTTGCCAAATCTTCACGCTAGCCATGTTGTTGACGTAAACCAAATTGAACACCGACCCTTTGTAACCTGCTGCTGGCCCGAAATGCAAGAAAGAGCGACCAAGAACTCCGCCCAGACCCAAACCCCGACCTGTGGGGGGCACAACGAAGCCAGCATTGCATAGGTGTGAGGAGCGGCCGGGATAGTTTGGCTTGATGTAGTAGTAGCCGCCTACCTGACTCGTATACTCGAGCGATGACAGGTCTGGAAGAGAAGAGACATCAGAGACTCCTAAGCCTTCTTCAGGGACCGCAATGGATGAAAGCGCCCAAAGCTGGCTGGAGGAAAGGAAGAATCCAACGAGAAGATCATATCCGAGGAAGTAGCCCTCGAATTCGGACAGCTGCATCGGACCTCGCTGCGGGTAGGTGATACCTCGCTCGAGCTCGTCGTTGAAAACACTGGCCAAATATTCGGTCAACGCTCTGGGCGGCCGCAATGCTTTCTTCTCCCCCGAGCAAGCTGCAGCGGCATAAGCCGACTGCTCTACACCGTCAACATGAAATGGTACTATGACGACTGCTCGACGTTCCTGACTTTGTGCCCTTTCGGGAAGTGCATAGAGACGCGGCCGAAGTGTGCTCGCATCTGAACCGGCTGGTCGAGGTACATGTCCGTACGCCATCTTTGATGTGTCGATGGCGCGAGAGAGAGATGCAAGAGAAACTCGCTCGGCGTATTCGTCGGTCTTCTGGATCAAAGCCTCAAGTCCATCACCGATCTTTGCAAGCATCGAATCCCGATCTTCCTCACAGTCAAACACATCTTGACAAATTTTGGGCCAGCAAAGCAGCACGCACACAAAGACCAACTTTTCTTCTGATGGAGGCTCTCGCTCATTTACACAGCGAGGATTTGGAACCTGGAGCGTAACGTCATTGGGCACCAGTTACCGATAGCACCAGCACGCTAAGGTTTCATGTCCTTTCCTCGCTATGCCTTCATTCTGCGACTCAAACACTCCATCTTGATTGCATCCTTTTCTTCCGGGAACGAGGGTCCGGCTCTTCGGTGCAACGCCCGCTAATACGACTGGCATGTACGGTGAGATTGTTTGGACGGCAAGCACAGGTGGAGGATAGACAGGAAAGCACGCATGACGGTTTATGCCTCGCTCGGCTATACACAAGAAAAGTTCGTTATACTTCCATGGACACGGCCTTTGGTCACAGTAGAATCGTCGATCCGGCCCAAAGGTCAGTTTGATGACCGAGCCACATACTGCTTATTCATGATTCTTCTGACGATCCCTTTGCCGCTCCACAGCAGGTTTCCTTTTGAAGCAGAACCAGGAGAGCGAATACAGTTCGTCGAGCCAGCCTTAAGTCCGAGCTCGTGCACAATCGCTTCTTGCTCCTCCCTGTATAAATTCCTTCTTGCTTGCTACCTGTTCTTAACACCGCTACGCTATTGACTCAACGCCACTAAACCATCCAAAATGTCGCATCTCGAAGCTCTCAAGAAGCCCGTCGTCTTCTCCAACGGCGTCTCTGCGCCCAACGTCACACTCAAGAGCCCCATGACTGAGCGTCTCTGCACATGGTCCGACGACGACTTTAAGAAGCGTGGCTGGCCCACTCCCGAATACATCAACCTCTACAAGGTCTGGGGTGAGGGCGAGATCGGCACCATCATCCTTGGCAACATTCCTTGCGATGCCCGATACCCTGAAGCCAAGAAGAATGCCTGCATCGACCCAGAGATTGCTTCGCACGACGAGTACGTGAAGGCATACAAGCCTGTCATCGACGCTGCCAAGGCCCACGGTTCGCTTGTCATTGCCCAGGTCACCCACGCCGGTCGTCAGACCTCCGAGGAGATCGTCGCCACGCCCGTCTCGTCCTCCGACGTCCAGTGCCCTCCTGGTATGGGTATGACCTTCGGTAAGCCTCGTCCTTTGACCGTTGATGAGATCCACGACATTGTCCGCCGCTTCGGTTTTGCCGCCAAGGTGCTCTACGAGGCTCAGTGCAACGGTATCGAGCTCCACGCCGCTCATGGCTACCTTCTCTCGCAGTTCCTTTCGCCTCGTGTCAACAAGCGAACCGACCAGTACGGTGGTGATCTTGAAGGCCGCTCTCGCATTGTCTTTGAGATTATCGAGAGTATCCGCAAAGCTGTTCCCGACCCCAAGTTCATCATCTCGATCAAGATCAACTCTGCCGACTTTGCCGATGGTGGATTCGACGCTGAGGAGTCTTTCGCCATGTCCAAGAAGCTCGAGGCTGCCGGTGTTGACCTCATTGAGCTTTCCGGTGGTACTTACGAGAGCTCTGGCTTCGAGCACAAGAAGGAATCGACCATCGCCCGTGAATCGTTCTTCATCGAATTCGCCGAACGCATTCGACCTCACCTCACCAAGGCGAAGCTCGCTGTGACTGGTGGCTTCCGATCGTCCAAGGCGATGGCCAAGGCCGTCGAGGAGAAGTCGTGCGACATTGTCGGTCTCGCTCGACCCCTTTGCGGTGAGCCTCGCCTGTGCAAGGCCTTGCTGAGCGGAGAACAGGAGGCAGCCAGGCCGGTTCACCCTGACTTGCCTAGACAGATCGAGGTCGGTGCTTGTGTTGTGCAGCTCAATCAGATTGGTCACGGCGCCACTCCTTGCGACACCTCGACTGCGGAGGGTGCCAAATTCGCCACTGATGCTGTGATGCATCGCCGAGAACCTGAGCACGGCGGCAAGAAGGATCAAACACAGAAGCTTTAAATGAGAAGACTTTCTTACTTTGCTGTTAGTTTCCGTGCAGCCAACCCATCTCGTACAGCACTGTACCTTTAGAATGCAATACACACAAGTCTAGAGCAACCTGATATCCTTTTCCTTCACGTTTGACATTCGACTTAACGCTCGCCGCTGCTTCTCAAGCTGCATTGCATCAAGACCGTATGACAAGATTTTGCCACGATTTTTATGGTTTGATGGCCTGCTGTTGACTGTTAGTAGGGGCTGCCCAAGCTATGTTTGCTTTCGCTCCTATGCAGAATGATAGAGCCCATATAGGTGCATATGCTGAAGGTTACGATCCAGCAAGACGTTAAAAGTGACATAAGGCGATATGAAAAGAGATCGGGCAGAGCCGATCTGATAAGGAATTGGGTAGAGCCGATACAGTAAGAGATCGAGTTGAAGATACAACGGAATTACCAGGCATTTAACCAACATGTGAGAAAGCCGAGTCACCAAGAGGCCAAGGGACATGCATGCATGGTTGATGTGTGGCAACCAATCAGGAGATGTTTATGGGAGACAATGCTGAGGCAACACATGGTGCATTCAGTTAACAGGGTGATGGTAAAGTTTTCTCATGGATGGATCAAAGGTATATATATAGGCAGTCTTGTAGTCATAGTCAACATGAAATTTCAAGCATTGCATCTATCATACACCTGTGCAAAAGGAGCTAGAGCATAGCCTGGATGAAGTGGTGTCTTGCATAACTTCAACTGATTAAGAGTCTGAAACTACACCCAAACCAACCATGGCAGAAGAAACCAAACCCCAAGCCAGTGCTAGCAACATCACCAAGAGATCAAAAAGAGGAAGAAAGGTCATAACCATCTGACAAACACCAGTTGACAGCACAGCCATTGATGATAACAAGGCCAAAGAAGAGTCCAACACTGACCCTGATGATGATGACAGGTGATACAGCTCCTGTACCCTAGCAAAGCTTCTCAAACCAGTACCAAAACTTACCTCACAAAACTACTACGACTGGAGCACCCATGTCAGGTCCTTCCTCCAGTCTGTGCCCAATGCCATAGAAAACCTTGAAGGAACTTACAATGATGACCATCTGAGATGGAGACAATCCTTTAATCTAACCCTGACCAATGCTGTGCAAGGAACCATCAATATGGTAGGAGAGTACAACATCAACTATCTCCTACTTGACATCATTTGAGAGTACCTCACCTTCAATCAGGCCTCAAAGAAGATTGAAAAGAGATTGGGCAGTGAAGCCACTAGGAACTCTGGCCAGCTTGCACTAATCACCCAACTGGGTGACATCAAGATGTTCCATGCCAATGCCAGAAAACTAATCCAGGAGATTAGAGCAATCCAGGCAGAAGGTAGTATCCTTGGAAGGCCCTTTGCAGACAATACACTATTTTCAGCACTCCAGAAGTGCATGATCCAACACCTTGTATACAAGGAAATTGTCATGACTGTCCACCAGCTCAGATTTGATGACCTTGCTACCACACTCAGCACATGCCAGGCAGCACTAGAGAGCATCCCCACCCAAAAGATAGACTCCTGACAAGCCAACACCAGAATCACTGAAAGTGGTGACCCTGGAGAGTCAACTAAGGAAGCCTACACCAACAATAATGGCAAAAACTCAAGAATGAGAAATAGGCCACAAAAGATATGGTGCTATGTGTGCAGACAAATCAGACATGGAGCCAGGCAATGTGATGCCTCTGTCAGCATTCCCAAAGATTCGCCACTCACCAAATTGGATTAGGAAGTGTGGTGCTCCCTCACCCAAAGTGTCACAGAAGCTGCGCAGGAAGATCCAAAATGAGGTATGAGGAGCCTTGTGCACACAAAATTGTGAAATCAACCGGATCATGGGTTTCCGGTTGATTTCACCTGACAACAACCGTGTTGCATCTGTCTGGTTGATTTTGCTGAAATCAATCTTTGGGGTAAGGGTTAGGGTTTCATGGCCTGCTGTTGACTGTTGTGAGATGTGTCAGATGACTGGCCTGGGTTGATTTGAAATTTGCAGGAAATTCTGAATTACTGCAGACCCTTGACAATTACAAATTCCACTGATGTGCCTAGCCTAGGTCATTACAAAAGGGAGCCTGGGCTACTACAAATTCCACTGATGTGCTCAGCCTCACCCAGCCTAGGCCATTACAAAAGGCAGCCAGGACTACTGCAAATTCCACTGACGTGCTGGACCTAGGTTGTTACAAAAGGTGGCCTGGGCTACTACAAAGACCCTGGGTAGATTCAATGCTGGGATGGCTGCCATCTTCAAATCAACACCACCTTCATTGCATCAACCAGGACTGCTGTGTCATGTCCTATGTGCAATGTCCCATCTGCACCTTCACCTATGTGCAGTCCAATATCCTTAATCACCTCTGCAAGAAGCATGCTACCATCCATATCAGCCAGGAAGTTGCAGCAGCCTGTGGGGTGGTGGTGTGTAGCTGTGGTCAGGCAGCATCCAATGTGGCAGGTTTGAAGACACATCAAGGTATGAGGCATTGCCAACCAGCACAGCCTGCATTGCCTGCATCACCACTGACACCACCAGATATAGCACAGCAAACACTGTCACCGACACCAGAAACCACAGCACAGGAAGAGACCACAGAAGCACAGGCACAAGATGTAGCAGCAGTCAGTGACTTTGGCATGGAGCTGTCACAGGGTCAGAAGGATAGCGCAAGAGAGTGTGCCAAATTGATCAATGGCAGTCATGGGAATGTCGCACAAAAGAGCAGTATATGAAGGGTGTGCAACAGATCAATATATGAAGGGAGCACCAGATTGATTGGTGCTGAACCATCAGGGATCAACAAGATTAATTGGGCTGGCAGTGCATATGAATTATGAGATTGATCAAACCCCAGGGTTCCAGATTAATCTCACAGGGATTGGTCAGAATCAGTCAGATCAGCATGCTGTCATGGGCCTGAATGCTCAAGAAGCAGCACGGAGCAGGCACAGCCATGAAGGGGACCAAGATCAAGGAGCATGCAGATGGTTACCACTCAGGGGCTCGAGAGACAGTGTCAAAGGAACTGTCACTGGTCAAAGGAGAAGTTAGGGTTAGGGTTACAAGGGTGTTCCCAGCGAGACCCTTGGAAACATGAAATCTGTACTAATGAGATATGTAGGGATACCCTAGCCCTAGCCGGTGTGTCTTGCTTGCAGGCAATGCACAATTGCACTCCGCCAAAATCGAAATTCACGCAACTGCGTTGACCCCCAACGCACTCGAAATTTACACTGCTCAAGTGCCGCAACGCAAACAAATTTATTTTTGCTGGAGCAGCGCAAATTGAGCAACGCACAGCTGGAGCAATGCACTCACAGCTGGAGCAACGCACACTCTGCTGGAGCAACGCAATCTGAGCAGCGCACAGCTCGAGAGCAACGCACTGTTCGAGAGCAACGCACAGCTCAAGAGCAACACACAGCTCAAGAGCAACGCACAGCTGGAGCAACGCAATCTGAGAAGCGCAATCTCATCAGCGAACTGCTGGACAGCGCACACTCTGTCGGAGCAGCACAATTGAGAGCAGCGCAATTGAGAGGAGCGCTCACTCTGCTGGAGCAGCACAATCGACATGAGCGCAATCAAGACGAACGCAATCGACAGGAGCGCAATCGACAAAAGTGCAATCAACAGCAGCTCAATGGACAGGAGCACAATCAAGAGGAGTGCAAGCGACAGGAGCGAGCACTGTGCTGCAGCAGCGCAATCGAGAGGAGCGCAATCACGAGCAGAGCAGGAGAGAGGAGCACAATCGAAAGTAGTGCAAGAGAGAGCAGAGTGAGAGAGAGGAGCGTAATCGACAGGAGAGCAATCTAGAGACGAGCAGCAGAGAGGAGCGCAATCGACAAGAGTGCATTCGACAGGAGCACAATCGAAAGGAGCGCAATCGACAGGAGCGCAATCTACAGGAACGCAATCGAGAGCAGAGCAGGAGAGAGGAGGTCTATCGACAGGAGCGGAATCGACAGGAGCACAATCGACAGGAGAGCAATCGACAGGAGCCAAATCGAAAGGTTAGGGGTTAGGGTTAGGGTTACAAGGGTGTTCCCAGCAAGACCCTTGGAAACATGAAATCTGTACTAATGAGATATGTAGGGATACCCTAGGACTATGTGTATGCAAAGTCTCACGGTACCCTAGCCCTAGGCGGTGTGTCTTGCTTGCGGGCAACGCACAATTGCGCTCCGCCAAATTCGAAATTCACGCGACTGCGTTGACCCCCAACGCACTCGAAATTTACACTGCTCAAGTGCCGCAACGCAAACAAATTTATTTTTGCTGGAGCAGCGCAAATTGAGCAACGCACAGCTGGAGCAACGCACTCACAGCTGGAGCAACGCACACTCTGCTGGAGCAACGCAATCTGAGCAGCGCACAGCTCGAGAGCAACGCACTGTTCGAGAGCAACGCACAGCTCAAGAGCAACGCACAGCTGGAGCAACGCAATCTGAGAAGCGCAATCTCAGCGAACTGCTGGACAGCGCACACTCTGTCGGAGCAGCACAATTGAGAGCAGCGCAATTGAGAGGAGCGCAATCGAGAGGAGCGCTCACTCTGCTGGAGCAGCACAATCGACATGAGCGCAATCAAGACGAACGCAATCGACAGGAGTGCAATCGACAAAAGTGCAATCAACAGCAGCTCAATCGACAGGAGCACAATCAAGAGGAGTGCAAGTGACAGGAGCGAGCACTCTGCTGCAGCAGCGCAATCGAGAGGAGCGCAATCACGAGCAGAGCAGGAGAGAGGAGCACAATCGACAGAAGCGCAAGAGAGAGCAGAGCAGGAGAGAGCAGCGCATTCGAAAGTAGCGCAAGAGAGAGCAGAGCGAGAGAGAGGAGCGCAATTGAGAGGAGTGCAATCGAGAGGAGAGCAACCGAGAGGAGCGCAATCGGGAGCAGAGCAGCAGAGAGGAGCGCAATCAAGAGGAGCGCTCACTCTGCTGCAGCAGCGCAATCGAGAGGAGCGCAACCAAGAGGACCACAATCTACAGGAGCTCACTCGAGAGCAGAGCAGGAGAGAGCAGTGCAATCGACAGGAGAGCAATCGAGAGACCAGCAGAAGAGAGGAGCGCAATCGACAGGAGTACAATCGACAGGAGCTCATTGCAGAGGAGCGCAATTGACAGGAGCGCAAACGAGAGCAGAGCAAGAGACAAAAGCGCAATTGAGAGCAGAGCAGGAGAGAGGAGCGCAATCGACAGTAGTGCAAGAGAGAGCAGAGCGAGAGAGAGGAGCACAATTGAGAGGAGCGCAATCGACAGGAGTGCATTCGACAGGAGCTCAATCAAGAGCAGCACAATCGAGAGGAGCTCAATCGAGAGCAGAGCAGGAGAGAGGAGCGCAATCAAGAGGAGCGCTCACTCTGCTGCAGCAGCACAATCTAGAGGAGCTCGATCGAGAGCAGCGCACACTTTGCTGGAGCAGCACAATCAAGAGGAGCGCACTGCTGGACAGCGTAATTAAGAGGAGCGCACTGCTTGACAGTGCCCACTCTGTCGGAGAGGCACAACTCAGAGCAGCATCAGAGCAGCGCAATCGAAAGCAGAGCAATCGAGAGGAGGGCAATCGAGTGAAGAGCAGCAGAGAGGAGCGCAATCGACAGGAGCGCAATCGAAAGAAGAGCAGAAGAGAGGAGCTCAATCGACAGGAGACCAATCGACCGGAGACCCATCGACAGGAGTGCAATCGACAGGAGAGCAATCTACAGGAGCGCAATCGAGAGCAGAGCAGTAGAGAGGAGCTCTATCGACAAGAGCGCAATCGACAGAAGTGCAATCGAGAGGAGCTCAATCGAGAGCAGAGCAAGAGAGAGGAGCGCAATTGACAGGAGTGCAATCGACAGGAGTGCAAGAGAGAGGAGCGCAAGAGAGAGAGGAGCGCAAGAGAGAGGAGCGCAATAGAGAGGAGCACAATAGAGAGGAGCACAATCGACAGGAGCTGTATTGACAGGAGCGCAGGAGAGAGGTGAGCAATCGACAGGAGCGCAAGAGAGAGGAGTGCAATCGAGAGCAGCGCAATTGAGAGCAGAGCAAGAGAGAGGAGCGCAATCGAGAGGAGCGCTCACTCTGCTGGAGAAGCACAATCGAAGCAGCAAACACTCTGCTAGAGCAGCGCAATTGACAGGAGCGCAAATCGAGCGCAATTAAGAGGAGCGCAATTGACAGGAGTGCAATTGACAGGAGCTCAATTAAGAGGAGCGCAATCGACAGGAGCGCAACTGAGATCAGAGCATTCGAGAGGAGCACTCACTCTGCTGCAGCAGCGCAATCGAGAGGAGCGCTCACTCTGCTGGAGCAGCACAATCAAGAGCAGCGCAATCGACAGGAGCTCTATCGACAGGAGCACAATCGACAGGAGCGCAATCGACAGGAGCTCATTGGAGAGGAGCGCAATCGACAGGAGCGCAATCGAGAGAAGAGCAGAAGAGAGGAGCTCAATCAACAGGAGACCAATCGACAGGAGCACAGTCGACAGGAGCACAATCGACAGAAGTGCAATCGAGAGGAGCCCAATCGAGAGCAGAGCAAGAGAGAGGAGTGCAATCGACAGGAGTGCAATCAACAGGAGCACAATGGACAGGAGCGCAATCGAAAACAGAGCAATCGAGAGGAGGTCACACTCTGCTGGAGCAGCACAATCTGGAGGAGCTCTATTGACAGGAGCGCTCACTCAGCTGGAGAAGCACAATCGAAGGAGCAAACACTAGCCCTAGCCGGTGTGTCTTGCTTGCGGGCAACGCACAATTGCGCTCCGCCAAATTCGAAATTCACGCGACTGCGTTGACCCCCAACGCACTCGAAATTTACACTGCTCAAGTGCTGCAACGCAAACAAATTTATTTTCGCTGGAGCAGCGCAAATTGAGCAATGCACAGCTGGAGCAACACACTCACAGCTGGAGCAACACACACTCTGCTGGAGCAACGCAATCTGAGCAGCGCACAGCTCGAGAGCAACGCACTGTTCGAGAGCAATGCACAGCTCAAGAGCAACACACAGCTCAAGAGCAACGCACAGCTGGAGCAACGCAATCTGAGAAGCGCAATCTCATCAGCGAACTGCTGGACAGCGCACAATCTGTCGGAGCAGCACAATTGAGAGCAGCACATTTGAGAGCAGCGTGTCATGGGCCTGGATGCTCAAGAAGCAGGAGGGTCACTGGTTCATATGGACGGAGCACAGGTATCGAAGACCTAGTCGATACCAGTAGAGAGCATGGTCGTAGTGCAGTCTCCATGGAGACCATGGACTCCTATGGATTCACATGCAAAGGAGCACTGAGCCCATATGCGAGGAGGACCAGGCACAGCCACGAGGAGGACCAAGCTCAAAGAGCAGGCGCAGCCACGAGGAGGACCAAGCTCAGATGGTTACCACTCAGGGGCTCGAGAGACAGGAAGTCGACACAGGTCATGAGGAGGAGGAGCAGTGTCGAAGGAGTCGACACCACTCAAGAGGCACAGGGGTGCCAAGCAGGAGAGGCCCCTGAGCAGTACTCGATGAAGAAGGTACTCTCTGGAGAGAGAGCAGGAGCAGCATTGCTGGCAATGCTGTGAAGAGGTATATAACCATGCTTTCTCATCATCATAGGTCGAGTGGATCCCCATCCACTCTACTCACCATAACTAGTTATCACTTCAGCATAAGTATACATTAGTTTCAGTCAGCATAGCAGCAATCTATCAAGGTTGCTCCTCATCGTAGTGTGTGTGTTGTATCACCACTACCTGACATCCGAAGGCGCCCATAGCAGGTTAGCGGTCCGGATATAGATAGAACCGAAGGCAGTAGTCCACTGCGGTCCGGGGATCACTTCAAGCATCAAGTCAACACACTGGACACTCGTGTTGACGCCACCAACCTTATCACCAACACCATCAACCTCATTATCATTGACGCCACCAACCTTATCACCAACACCATCAACCTCATTATCATCGACGCCACCAACCTTATCACCAACACCATCAACCTCATTATCATCGACATCACCAATCTCATCACCAACACCATCAACCTCATCATCATCAACACTCACACCAGACTTTGGTGTCATCATAACATTGATATTGATTGTGCCGAGCTACCCCTGAACGGAGTGTCCACAGAGGTCAGCCGAAACCTACGATAGTATATACAACGAACGCCACCTGCTGTCACTGCACAACTTGATAGTCACCGAGTATCTCGAGACAATAGCTGTCGCACAGTTTGATAGTCACCGAGTATCTCGATAGGGTTAGGGTTAGGGTTAGGGTTAGGGTTAGGGTTAGGGTTAGGGTTAGGGGGTTAGGGTTAGGGTTAGGGTTAGGGTTAGGGTTAGGGTTAGGGTTAGGGTTAGGGTTAGGGTTAGGGTTAGGGTTAGGGTTAGGGTTAGGGTTAGGGTTAGGGTTAGGGTTA